CGTGAAAAATATCAGTATATTTATAGTTTTTACATGAGAAGATTCTAAAGTATTCACCAAGTATCGTCTAGCACTGATTGTATAAGAATTAGCTAATCAGCGTGCGCCAAAGCAATCATGTATTGAGTATGCTTTAATCCAATCTATGTCCCACTAACACATTAGTTTATTGTTACAAAAGTACAACATAGAGGGAAATCAGAGTAACAATAAATAATCTCTAATGTTTGTCATTTTTGTCATCTAGTTAATTGTACTATGATTTCTCGGACATAACAGAGTTATAAATCATAGAGAAAAGGAATAAACAAAATGAAAGCACGTAATACAGTATTATCAGTCCAATAATTTATTTGGTGAAGTTAAGACGGGGAAAATTGTCATCTTTTAGTTATATCACTACTCAGTTTGCTCCAATGGTGATAATTGTAAAAAAAAAATACATCAAAACTGAGATGCTACGATGTTATAGTTTAATGTCACTGAAAGGATATTAAAAATCCCAGAATTTATGCCCAATAATTACCATACTTTATCCCATATCAGTTACTTTTCATTACAATAATCTACGCATAACCGTAGATTCTTTCTTAAAATACATCCTTTATCGTTTGATTAGTTGTGAAGTAATCAAAAACATGTACCAGTAAAGATTACCGCGATGTATCACAGTACATTTGCTCCTTTATTAACCCTGATTTATTATCTTTTTTGTTATTATACATGATGGTGTCAACTCTGAAAGTGTGCTAAAATTACTAAACGCTACACTACTAGTTATACCTCTTCGTAACACCGATGTTTCAGTCTTTTTATCAACGACGTACTGATACCTAAAATTTAGCCTATTATGTGACACAGAGTCCGTTTGTATGTTACTAAGAGAATACAACGATATTATATATATATATATATATATATATATATATATATATATATATCGTTTTTGTATTGTTGTCTGGATATTGGTATATCTTGTCCCTCGATTTATTTGTAATCACTAATTATTTGTTTGCATCTTCTGAATTGTGGTTGTTTTCTGGATGTCGCTGAGGTCCCCGACCAATGTTTCACTTTCGTTTAATTCAACATTTTGAACTCCGGCGGTTATCATATTGGGTGACCAACCTTTGACTAATTCTCTTTGATTTAACGATTTAACTAACCTATCCCTGATGGAATAAATATTTTTTATAATCATTGGGGAAGTTTGTTGTTTTAAATGGTTAATAGCTCCACTTTAAGCTATATAACTGGTGATAGTGCTGCCTTTTTTGTGGTTAGAACATTATTTTAGCGGAGGTTTCATTATACGTCCAAAACGTTTAAGGGCTTAATGTTCCTAGTTAATTTTACGAAGGTTCTTGGTGTAACACTGATCGCACCTGCTAGGGAAATATAATAATTAGAAGTATTTCAATTAGTGCTCTGACTAGGAATTTTTAAAATAATGCAATGTGTATCAAATAGAATCAGATGGGCACAAATGAACGTATTATATTTGGAATTCGTAATCAGCAGGCAATCAAGTACAAAAGAATCATTAGTTCGCACAAATACAACAGGAAATTATTTTTCTGGTATATTCCGCTTCAATAATATTTATCCTTTTGGAGCCCTTTGTTCGTATTGATTGGCATAAGGAACTAGTTCCGTGTCGACTTTTCCAACACTCAACTAGAGTGTCACTTAAATGTCTCCGGTTTTCGCCCAGTTGTATTACTCGGAATTTTGGAATTTACATATTGTTTAATCCCGTGGTTTACATCAAGGAGCAATCTCAGCTAGCCAACCAATCACATATGTTTCATTCTAGTGCGCGACACCTTAGCAGTGTGTTCAGGACTTACAAACTGTCTAAGGTAGACCATTCAGTCTTGTTATGAACCCTTGAACATTGGGCTAATTAATCGTATATCTAGTTTTACGGTATTACTCAACCACTGTCTAATATGATTTACAGCTTACTGTCCCAGTGTACATCGAACATTTGAAAAACAGATATAACATCATATTCACACTTTATCTTGACTTATCTGGCTGTATTTTCATCGCTTATTATTAAGAACTTATTCGTCTAAGATATATTACTACAAATATAAAAATCCCACAAATAATGTGGCGCTTTAAAATGATATCATTTCAGCTTTGACGTTTATATGCGTCTTTTGATTCATATTTTGTCTACAGCATTGATAAGTATCAAATCAAAACATTTTATGACATATGCCTGTTTAAATAAATGCCACAGGCATTACGAGTTTGACAACGCTTTAAGCAGTAACACCTACTATGAATCGTATCCATCAAGTGAAATCAAAAGAGAGAAGCGAAGAGGTTCTAAGATATATTTGATTAGCTATCAATATATCAGGGATTGGCTGATCTAATCTGGCTAGCGATTGCAGTAGATGTTGAGCACAGCATTCACGCTCATGATCTGGTGCCCATGCATGACCGAGCGCCTCCAGCTAAGTGACTCCATTAAAACTTATGTTGTCAGCATCCAATGTGGGAAGCTTAAAGAGCTATTGATTTCGGGAATTTATTTACCGCTACAATATCCCCATTTCGATTCTCTGTTAAGGTCAAGCTTATACAAGTTTTATATAACGAGGATGAGTTACTGATCTAAAGCCAACAACCATAGACTAAACGACATCCAAAATTTCCCCTAAAAATAAATCTAATCTGGAGATGTATGAAAAATAAACTTAATGAAAGCTCACATGAAATGTGCTACTGATTACGGAAGTGGATACGAAAAAAACGTCGTCAAACCTTGTAGAATGATACAGTCTTGCTGTTGTTGCGCGAAATTATCAGAGACCAAGAGATTTAATGCTTATCCAGTCTTATGAAATTAAATGAAATTGGAAACAACCCTCGACATCAATGAGACATATTACTCAGAAAATCCAAACATAACCAGACACAGCAACAGTATATAGTCAATTGATATCTAACGCCGCTCCCTGAAAAGTCTATAAAAACAGATGTCTATCAGGAAATACTCATACACTATATGTTCTTTGAATCTGCACTGGTCAACGAGTTAAATGCCAACAACCGCCAACTATATAGTATCAGAGTAACCTGCTATATTTTAGAATGATCAAACGAGGAATAAATGTGAAAATATCATCCTCCCTAGCCCAAACAATCAGTTTACTAGAACCTTTTGAAAAGTTGAGGTACGGTTTCCCAAGTCACAGAAGAACCTTTGGCACCCTATCAATGATTTATCCCGAAGGTTTGATAAGTAAATAAATGGATAACATTGGATGTGTCATACTTTGCTGTGGGCGTAAGACATTTCCTAACATAGTCTAATTCGCATCTGCTAACTAAAAGAAAATTTTATTTAGCAGCAGTTTTTCTGTCCTACTTTATCGCTGTGAAGCATGACTTTTAGCAATAGAGAATCATTCTAGGATGTCGCATACTGAGGGTGTATAAATAAATCTGCTGCTTATAAGGAAGACCAACTTTTACCCGTGGGAACCTTAAGATTCCTGAGAGAGATGACAAAAAGACAGATAACAAGTGAGCCTGAAGTTATGGTGGAACTACAAACCCTGACCATTTAGATGCATAGACCTTGGTTCTATATATCCTTAGTCATTTTTCACGGCTTCTAAGCGCGATCTCATTCGAGTGATCAAAGATAATTTAATGAAAACATCATGTAACACAGTCCATTAACGTTAACCCTGGCAACCGAAAGCTGTATTACTGCAATATTTTCCAATGATCGAGATCATACACTTTTACATTTGCTTATCCTGGAGGAGTGCATGCTATTGTAGTGACCTGCTTTTATCAAAAGAACGCGATTGGTTTAATGGGAACAATCATTATTATAACCAATTGTACCAGGGAGTGTTTTAATGTACTTAGGACAGCCATGACTCTCCCCCATTACATTATTCCTTTGATTGTGACCTTGCACGAATTAAGTTACGCTCAGTAACCACGCTTGTACTCCTTTGGCACGATCTCGGTATTCTTTCGATATCATGAGATCGCCAACAAATACATCTCGACTACAGCCATCATCTGCCTTCTGATAATGGCCTACAAGGATCTTATTGGTTAACTGGCACGTAGTCTTCTTGTAGTAGTGATCATAGTCAAAGGCGACTCGACCCAAAGCTACACTATGTTTAGAGTAAGCAAATAAGAAAGTATAAAGTTATCAGTAGTCTTCGGAAATAATTAAACGAAACAAACGCTCTACATTATTAGCTACTACGATAAACAATGATGAATTTATGATAATTATCAGTTCACAGAATCGGATCTTATAAAAGAATGATCCCATAATTGTTTTGGAAGAAAAATACTTGCACGTAATCTCCAGAAACTACAAAATACAGTACAATACAACCGATTCCAACTATCCTTAGTAATAGCCGATGGAGCTACGGCTTTGTAGCTAGACAGCCTTCAGACGACTATACATTAGTCAGAACATGCTTAAACTATTTTCCTCCAAAATTAAACGACTAAAGCACCTATCATTAAAAGGATAAGTTATTTTGGTTACAAGTAGATGAAAGTGAACTTCAGATTTCTAAACAAGTTTATCAGAGAAAGAAACACGTTCTAAGTCCGACAGTAATGTGACATGGTGAGAATTCTTGATAGAAAATTTTCAGGAGGCAGTTTTCTTGCATTCTGACAGCGATACATCAAGTCCACATAACACTCTAAATGTGATTCACTAAGTAGATTCTTCACTGCACTGTTATAAACATTAATTACATCATACAACAGTCTATCTATATCCCAATATGTAAGCCTGATTTTAACTCATTTCTGCGAAATATACAAGACAATCCTTAACGCACATTACTATGTTCACGTTCTCTGTTCATTTTTGTTTTACCAAACCGAAACGATTTATATATCTCGAATAGCAACGCCGGATTTATGAAGCCGTAACGAAAATGAATTATTTCAATTTTGTAATTCACTCAATTTGATGTAACACAAAAATGTCTGAAAACTGTCATATGGTAATTCGTCTTATCATTAACTTATTTCAACAGGTACAAGAACGTTTTGAAGGGAACTGGTCACTAAAGAAATATGAAGAGATAGTTCAGGTAATTGTTGAATAATAAAGTCCATTTTTTCATATTGATATTTAAAGAGACTCTCAACGCCAACATTTAGTTGTAGTTCAACAGAGAAACTGCCTCCACTTCCACCTATAGTGAAGCCCGAAGTCCCATCCTCCTTGTATGCTGTATGTCAATTTATCTGATCAACATTTTTTGTTTTCAGATGGTCACACGGAATGCTACTCATCCACCTTTAATGAATTCTTTCACCTTGACTAAAGCTTCCCCATTCAAGGAACAGAAATACTGGCGTTCACCTAGTCAATCCATTGGAAACAATTTTTCTCCAAATGCTGCTAACTTATCAATGAAAAGCCTAGCAAAATGTGATGGATTATTTAAAATCCGTCCCAAAGTGGAGAAAGAGAAAGATGAATTTAAAAGCAGGTGGGGAGGCGCAATATGCCTCTTGGCATTCTCAAAATAACTTTTTAAATTTTTCTGTAATAATCTCATTGTATATACAGTCTTCAGATTCAAAGTTAATAAGTCAGTTAACCAACGTAGCAGGCAGCTCTGCAAAAATGAGATTTATTTCTTAAATCCTTTATCACCTGGACCAGTATCACTTGCTCTATAGGGTGTTCTTCTCGTTGTTTCAGTTCACCACTGAGTTTCTGATTGCATATGTGCTTCTGACCACAATTTATTTGTTAGCGTATAGGCTTAGCAGAACAAAAATGTCTATGGATTCCTTAATTTAGAACTTGAATACTGACTTTCTCTAACCTAATTTGCAATACATATGATCTTCATTAGTCTAGTTTATCCAGAATAAAGCAATCTCATTGTGATCCCCTTAAGATCAACAATGCGCATAAAAACAATGTTTTTTGGCACATATATGTTAGATCTAAATTTCTATATGAATATTTAATGTGTTTTGGACTCACGACTGACGAATTTCATGTTAAACGATAACTTTTCCAATAGGTGTTTGCTTTTAGTCTGTCATCACGTATGCATAAGACTAAAACGTTGATGTGCTTAAACACACATAACCGTCTATTGTAATGTCAGATTCAGATTTCGAAGTTAAGTAATGAGAGTAGAAAGTCTACGGCCTGTGTTAACTTGTTGCAGTAGGAATTTGTGAGTGTCTATCCTTCCCTTGAATGAGTCAACTGAAGGAGCCGAAACCACTTATTGAGTTGTAAATTTCAAGAACTGATGACTCGGTGTGAAAACCTGTATGCCAGTGGTATTTTTTTGTTCTTGGTTTTTCTACTCGCCTGCTATGTCTTTTGAGATGTCCTGATCTAGTGAAGAGGAAAAGAAAGGATATATCACGTCTAAAATTTTTTAGTATTCGATACATCAAAATTAAATCACCTCGTAATCTGTGGTTGAACAAAACATAAAGGTCTAGATTCCCAAGCCACACTTTGTATTGTAAACCCCAAATTTATGGAATTGCACGGGTATCTACTTTCTGTACGTTTTCAAAGAAATCTGAGCCACCTTTCAAACACGCGCTTGAAGCGCAAACTCATTTTTAAGTTTGTATTTCACTAAACTTGTGTAACACTGAAGTGAACATTTTACTACCTAACCCAGTAAATATTTGTCTTAAAGCCCATAGGGTTCTAAAACCCTTGACTGCAACCTCGTAGCATTAGACCGTGGTCTTATGATAATAGCTCAATGTCACCCCAAAATGCTTGTTTGACGGACTAAGTCAATTGACACTTACTCTCTGCTGTACCTACTTACCCTTCTATCCTTAATTTGCATGTAGACATGCTAGCCCACGTTGATAGACATCAGCCATCTTTTAGACCAGCTAGTCAGAACATCTAAGTCCGCCTAAAGTGTACATGCATCTGCGTCTCCTCTTATTTTTCACTAGGTATTAGCATCGTCAGCGTCTTGTAGTATCGAGGACTCAACTTTACTCGGGAGTCCATTTACAAATAGTATAAAATGTAAAGAGCCTAGAAACGAGCCTTGCAGTATTCCATCACGTACTGGTTTCCAAAAGGAGCATTGGTAATATATCCTTAATTTCTGTCTACAATCTACCAAAAAATCCCTCATCAACTTTAGCAGAGGTCCGTGAATTCCTAGACTTTTCAGCCTCAAAGTGGTCTATATTTTGTTATCTTACCGAATCTTTACTGTAGTCAACGTAGATAATATCGAATGATCTTCAATTATCTAAAGCTTCTGTTCATTGTTTTCTTGCTATAAGGAGATTTCTTGCGCAATGTAATCCTTTTTCTGAAACCATGTAATTCGCTGTTTAACACGTTATTGATTTCCACGAATGTTATTATTGAATTTTTGATAATTCTTTCTCTTCTTTTAACTACAACACTGATGGGACTGACAAGTCTGTAGTTTGATGGAAACTTGGCTGATCTTATTTTATGTATTGAGGTGACAATCGCATCCTTCCAGTCCGTAGGTAACTCACCTTGCTCAAGTGACATACTGGATATCTTAGTCAGTGATGCAGCAGTATATTGTCCAATTAATCTCAATATTTTATGTAGCGATTCATCCGGTCTTGTTGATTTTTCAGTTTTCAAAGTACCAAAAGTTTTTAGTACGTCGTCTCGACAAAAGTCTATAGCATATAATACATTTTTGGAGATAATCCAAAATAACTGGAAAACAAAATAGAATATAATGCTACATAATCACTTTAGTTCCTAGCAGATATCATGTATTACTTTACTAGCTGAATGTTTTTGTTGAAATATCTTTTACGATTTGCGTAACCTCCTATTCCATAATCCCTACCGCCTAACTACAGATCAATAAACTTATAACAAACACTTCAAAAAACTTTGCATAAGAAATATTTACTTTATACTTTGAATAAATGAAAATATAACCCTATAAATTGGATGGTTACTTGTCAAGTAAAAGTCCCAGCTAATTTGGTCTTTAAAAAAGATTAAATTTATTCCTGTTACTCAGCTAGTTAAAGAAAGTTTCATGCTCCACACAAGTTAATTTAGATTACACTGAGTGGTAGTGTTAAAAACCACTAGATTTAAGATATTTAACACAAACACAAATTCGCACTAGGATATTCACAAAATGTAGTTTTAAACAACTAATATTAATTTACAGACGTAATCTTTGAGCTTGTAATTGTCCTTAGAGAAGAAAATCTAATTGAAGAGAACTCACGCTATTTTTGAAAAACAGCTAAACAAAAAGTCTTCTACTGATAACACTGTTCTAACTGTGCTCACATGTATGATTGAAAGTATTGTTGAAAAAACTCAGCTTAATTCCTTATTGGTGAATTTTGACAGGATAACAAAAATGTATTTTCATGCTTATCGACGGCGCAAAAATGAAAGCTAACAGAAAAAGAAGGCTTTTGAACATAAAGCAAAAAAACAGGTAGTCAAAAGCTCCTGGAAATTGTGCTCAAGAGTTAAACAAATGTATTGATCGAATTCGTTTATTTCAAGAAAACTATGATGTTCAGTATTTCGATAATTGTTTTAATTGATCAGTATGTTGGAAATTCTGAAGACGAAACACTAACATGAACAGCCAATAACTGATGGTGTATTTCAGTTTAGGTACTTACAACCTTTATTTAGTTTACTTTCCCCATCGTTACTTGTAAAAATAGAGATGACTTGACGTGAAAAAAACTTAGAATCGTTTCAGCTTTAGCTATCACCTAGCAACTGTTGTACAAAAGAATACTTCACAAGTTCAATGGCTATTGTAAAATACATAGAGAAATATTTAGGTGTTTGACTGCAACAACCATATTTCCTGTAGTATATTAATACAAGGTGATCCATTCCACAAGATACATTGACGTACTTATTTGTTCTCAAAGATTAATAAATGTTAAATGGACATGAAAAATTTGATCAATGGTTGATCACTGCTACTGAATATCTTAAAATTAGTGAAATATGTAAGGGATCCAAACTATCTGACTTACAACTCTTTAAACTACTTTTCACTTCATCGTAATCGGAAATTATAATTTGATCTTTGATACGTGAATAATCGTATCTGTAATTTGCAGTTACTGCTCAGATCATCTAGAATTTTTTCTTGCACTTTGTATTGGACTGAAACATATCTTTCAATCTTATTAACATCATTTGAAATTTTATGGCACTGTAATGATGTATTTTCACTTTTGACCAGCTTTGGTTATATAAGTATGTTAATTTCTACGTTAAATTTGATTTTAAACTAATTTTTATACATTTATAATATAATACTATCTAAATTTCTCATTTTTTAGGAAACGTTTTAGGGTTATGTCTCCAGAGGAGCAGATCGATCAAATGAAAATCTTGGAGAAAGAAAGAAATATAAACCGTCAGAAGCCATCAGAAAGAGATATAGAAGTAACATGATAATTTTCTGAGTATTGCTGATAAAAAAATTTTCGCTTACATAATCTGTTGTTTGTATTCGTTATTTAATGACCTCAGTTGTGGTACCATTGAAAACCAGGTAGTACTGGACAATTGCTTGCTCGTATCACGGGGATCTTCAACAGTATGCAACCGTGACCTCACTGAAGACTGAACTGAAGACCTTGAAATCTTATAATACTTGTACTTTAGACCATTTAGTCAACATTAAATGGCTCTAGTAAGAAGCTAGGACTAGTGGGATTTAACCATTTCGAGTGATGGTCAGCTACCTGCCAGATGTATTAGAAGATAACTGCTCAATACCTTGAGCTAAGTAAAGCAGTTAACCTTAATAGTCGGATGCGAACTCTGTTACGAATTTATCATGACACCTGAAAGTTCTATGTTTTATCCCTGGTTGGGTAGTGGATACATACTACTGAACAGTTCTATCCAAAACGAAAGAAGTTGTTCAGTGCCTCCTGACTTTCATTAGCTACCTAACTGAGGTCAGTCCATAGTGTAAACTAAAAGAATGATGCTATGATTATTACCATTACAGATACTTTCAACTTATATATTCCTATGCAAATTTCTACTGTCATATTAATTTAAGTTAACAAGTTAGGCTACTTTGTATGAATTAATTACTTTGATGATAAGGCTAGGTTTCTTTTCCCAGAAAGTTTTGTTGTTACCTGAGGTAAAGTAAGTGGAATTTATTGAACGATAATTTTGAAAAAAATAGTGTTTTTCGTTACAGTTGTTCAGCTGATATTACTGATGATATTGACTGAGAGTAATAACTGATTTAGTCACTAAAAAATGAGCGATTTAACCACTAAGTCACGGAATTAAACTTGGTCATTCTCATGCAGCTATGAATAGCATTGTAATATTAGTGGTGTAGTGAACAGAACACCAGTGGGGAAAATCAAATGTATTTAACAACAAATTACAGAGCATCTCAATAAAATCTGAGAACCATATATTAAATCGTTAATTTGCAAATTGTTCATCGATTGTCTCAAATGACTCAGAATCCATTTGTTCTTTCATTCTTTCTTCATTCTTTGTTGTTCGATCTTCTCGTCTCTCTGTTGCCAGACATTCTGTTCACGACTCACGTCATATACTACTTATGTCTACACAAGTAGCACACACCACAGTGGTACTTAACCATCAACTAAAAAACATCTGAAAACATGAAAGTACTGAACATAGGTTTCGTCCTGATTTAGGACTCCTCAGCTAATGTTAGATAAAAACCACATTCAAATTATACAGAGTATTCACAAGAACATCCATGAAGTTAGCATATAAATAACTTTATTTCCAAATAATATCTTATTTTGAGTAGTCAAGATTTATTTGTTATTCTATATTACTGAATTACTTATTACTAATCAAATTTTCTTGTATATATATTTTGTAACATAGAGATATACTTACTATATAAATAAAGGTATACCAGATTATATGCTTGCTCCATTATCGAATGAACTATGGGAAAGTTTACAAAAATATTTACCATTGAATTTAACATCGACATGGCCAACTCAATTTGTTGATTTACAACAAGAAATACATGATGATTATGTATATGCTATAAGAAAATCTATCGGTAAGAAACACTAGTATTATAAATATTTAATTTAATAAAAAAAAATATTTGGCAAGACTATAATTTATGGATGAACTAATCATACATAAGATAACAGGTTTTGGATTTTGGCGCGAAATTCATTCATCCATTTGGCTAAATATCGTCTTGGCATTTTAGCTTATGTCAGTTCATGATGAAAACCCGAAATCTAATTTCTAACTTTAATCATCAACTGTAAATCATAATTCTAATTCATCACATTGGTTTATAACTTTCATTTGGTCCTAGTTATTTGATGGATCCTCTCAAGGTCATTAAGGCTTCACTCGACAGTTGCCCATAAATTATAATCTCACCAAAAACTTTTTTTAATTTACATTAATATTGTTGATTGATCAAGTACTGTTTTGTATCAAAAACAGCCATAAGTTGAAGAAAACATTTAGAGTAGAAAAGTGTCGGATAGCTGTTTTGTCTTGGTTAAGTAGTTTTTCAATTCACCTTATAATGTTTTTGTCTCTTTTGAAGTACGATATTCATCGGTTATTCCGGATATTATAATAGCGATAATTTTGAAGACACTTAAAATTCTTATAAATTAAGGAAATTTTAGTTATATTGTATTAGAAAAAATTCATTTAGCTTAAACTAAGCCACAAGTTATAATACGGAAATGACGGAAAAGATTTGAAAGTTGGTTGGGTCATTTTGATTTTTTCAAGTTTTCTGAGCTAGATAGTTTAATTGAGAAGATTTCATTGTCCATCTGGTCAACATCATCTACTCCTACCTTGTGTAGAATTGAACGTCTTAGTTACTGGACGAGCCTGAATCAGTCAGTTCTTTTGATGGTGTTTATGATTGGTTGATGTTGTAGGTTTTACTTGTGTTCAAGTTGACTGTTTCGTTCTGTTGACCTCTGACCATGTTGTTCTTTGATTCAGAATTTTGACGTTCTCCAATGGAATTTATGTTCAAAGTTGTCTGTAAGTATAAATATTAGTGAACCACTGATAGCTTGTGTGTAAGGAGGTCGCTTACTTGTTTAGTGTAGTGTTTATGAAAGTTAGTGCAACTTATTTTGTAGATTATGTTTTGTTTATGGTCTACCATTGTTATATCTTTCGGTCTGCATGAAATTATTTACGAGCGACATTTATTTTAAAGCTTTTTGAAATACTAGCTGTGGTTCATGAAGGAATGTCAAAATTGTGAATCAAAGGAATTCTGAGAGTACAAGTGAATTTCTGGAATCATCTCATTTAAGTCAGTCGGCAATCAATAGATACATAGAATTGGATTCTATTCTTTAAATCATCCAAAAAATTGTCAATTAGTAACATGGTTAGGGGTCAACAGAACGAAACAGTCAACTTGAACACAAGTAAAACCTGCAACATCAATCAATCATAAACACCATCAAAAGAACTAACTGATTCAGGCTTATCAAGTAACTAAGAAGTCCATTTCTACACACGGTAGGAGTAGATTATGTTGATCAGATGGACAATGAAATCTCAATTAAACTATTTAGCTCAGGAGATACAACAACTTAAAAAGGATGTAATTTTACCTAACACAGGAGTGCAGTAAATTAGCTCCATCAATTCTTGCAGGCAAATGTGATTATTAATAAGTACTAAACAACATGAAATCGATCACTAGTATTTGTTTAGTTTATGTAAGGGCATCACAATCATAGATCATGTTAGTTGTAGCATATATAATACAGTAATAACGTTTACGGATATGATATTGGATTCTAAACCAAGAGGAAGCATTTATTCTACTCAGCTTGTAAATACTCCATGTTTATAAAGGCCAACTGGAACTAAATATTCTTCAAAGGCTTTTTATAATTACATGTTGATTAAATGACATAAAGTATGTCAATATTTTGAACATAACTCATTTACTATGATGCGTTGTTTATTTTTTATTCTTTAGTGGACTATATTCTACTAGATCCAGAAGAAAGAAAAAGATTGTTTATTGAATCGTTACCTATTCCATACCCAAATTTCGTTATTCGAGCTCCTGTTCCATGGCATACAACACGTAAAAAAGCATATGAATTCTGTAAACAGTATTTATTTACAATTGGCCCAATACCATTAGCACTGCAAAAAATTTGGTGTACAGAGTATGTTAAAGACATTTAATTGAAACACAAGTTATCGATTCATTTTTTCTATTTTCTCATTCGTTTATTTATGTTAGTACATTAAGATTTAGATAGATTTAGGATTTAAAGTTTATTGATATGCATAGGATATCGTAGAACAGTTACTTTGTCTATATGTGGAACTTATAACCATCACTTACCTAACAAAGCATAAAAGGCTGAACCAAGAACATTTAGATCATACTAAAATCACTTAACTTTTCATGCTTCAACTTAGAATCGAGTGATTTGCATGTACATTCATTCCAAAATATTTCATTTCACTATAAATTCTTCGATAATCACAATTTCTCAGAAAATTTTCATAACATTCTTTATAAAATAAATTAATAATGGATTAAATATTCTACAGTTATTCTGTAGATAGTTTTTTATGATGCCTGAAGGAAAGTCTTGTCAAATGTTTTGTACTTTTCAAACGTCCTCTCTATAATGTACTGAATAGTTATTATCTAATTTTTAGATGTGAAAAACAATATGATGTTTGTTTACTTACTTACTTTCTATGGGATGGGGTTTCCGACCCCGAGTCCAAAGCTCCTTTTTTACCAGGGCTTCGGACTGGTAGTCACTCTAGAACAGCTACATGCGGAAACAGTTTTTTTCTAAGTATATAAATTCTGGTCGATGATGTATTAAAGTGTACCAATAAATTGGCATTTCTACACTATTGGATTTGAACAGTTAAATTCATGAGTCCATTTAAGCTAGACCACCATTAAAAACCTGGAAGCATTGGACGGTCGTTTCGTCTTAGTATGGGACTACTCAACAGTGATCATCCATAATCCCTCACTCGGCACTCGAACCCAGAACTTTCGGTCTTACGTGCGAACTCAACCTCTAGATCACTGAGCCAATATCCAACGATGTTTCAATAAAAATTTTTCATTAGAATATACATAGCTAAGGCTAATGATAGAACTGAACAACTGCTACATTTCTTGTATCTCATTACTGTATTTCAAAAAGTTTGTTTCCGTTAATCATCAATTATTAGTATGCAATAAATAAATACCGTGTAATATATCCTTGATAACAAGTCAATTATAAACAACGTACATTCTAATATGAATGTTTAATATTTCAAAAATTGCCGCATTTTATATTGTCACAGAGAAAGAAAGAGAGAGAAGACTATCATTAAATGTTAGACAAAGTAATCAAAATCATAATAATATCAATCTTAACTAAGATCGAAAATAACAAAACATACGAAAAATAAAGGTATTTTCATCGCTTTTACTCCTTTCAAAGCATATCATTTAAGTTCTCCATCCTTAGATTTTATGATATTAATTAAATGTAAGTAGGATGTCTATTGGTCTTCATATAACTTCAGCCTGTAATCAATGACTTCAATTTATATTGCTAATATGTTGGTTTGATATGCCTAAAACTTCTTTCTAAAAAGACACTATTTATCATCATCATCATCATCATCATCATCATCATCATCATCATCATCATCATCATCATCATCATCATCATTATCATTATCATTATCATAGGAAGTGCTCATATTTATTGATTTTTCCTTTCTTCAAATTATAGATTTTCTCATCTACGTTTTGTAAACTATAATGAATTAGTAAATCTTCCAGAACCTTTGGAACCAATAGAATTTGAAAAACTTATCATTCAACAATGTCAAAAAACAAGAGAAATATTACGTAAAAAGTATTTGTTTTTCTCTCTTAGTTTTGTTCATTATCTTTTTTTTAAGATTTACAAAAATAAAAAAAAATTAAATAATACATATTTATCACTACAGGATTTGAATTGACAATTATATCTGTATGCTAATATGGTATGACAACTGGAACTGATGTACGTACATACGAAGTTCTATGTTGTTAATGATTGACTGACTGACATTTTATTTAATATATACACAGCTTAACATTAAAATAGTAAACAATTGTTTAGTTAACTATCAATTCATATATGGATAGTAATGAGAGTATGTGATACGTGTTAATTAAATCGTTCAGATCTAATTCATTGCAAACTAAATCTCCGAAAACTTAACATCATTTTCTTAAACCCAACTTATCTATCAAAAGTATAAACTATTCCAGAGAGGTATTTTGGAATAACCAAAAACCATTGAACATAAGTGAACTGATATTCTTGGAAACATTTATTTATTATATCTTTTTTGAAAGTAGGATAAGAGTTGAAAATACAAACTAAGTAATGAACCATTAGAGAAAATGCATCAATGACTAAGACAACAAGTAAAGAACACATCATATATGGGGAATAATGATGTCCAAAAACAAATATTCAACTATACAAAAAAATGTAACAAAGTATTGAGTTCTAATAATACAGTTTGTAAAATCAAACAATTCCAAATGAAATATCCAAATTATATGTAATCATTCTGTGAAACTAATTATTTTTTCTGTACGTGGGACTCGAACCCAAAACCTTCAGTCTTGCACGCGAACCCTTAACCTCGAGTCTCGTGTTCGGGATCATGGATGCGCACTGCTGAGAAGTTTTCAACGATTACAATTACTACAGTCTCCATAAATCCCCACTCTGATAATTAATTTTTCAATGTATATAAATTATATAACTTTGATCAATGATAAATTATTTCCTACATTCTTCCCTTTTAAAGTACAGCAGTTATAATTTGTAATAATGAAGAAGTTTATTGCATAATATTCGATCAATTAAATATTTATTGACAATATATATATATATATAAATCTCAAAACTATTAAGATGCCAGATCGAGATCATGAATAGAATGATGTTAGATCATCATTAAAAACCTGAAAGCACTGAAAGGTCATTTCGTCCTACTATAGAACTCATCAGCAGTGTGCATCCACGATCCCGCTCACGGGATTTTAGATAAACTATAAGCAACTGTAATTTATAAGTTTAAGGTTATTTAGCATTGATAAACAAAGAGAATTTGAAATCTTTAGGAAAATCAGGAATTGATGAAGATGTAAATATTCAAGAATGTTACTGTTACACTTAGCCTTTTATAACTGATTCATTTAACTTCAGATTGAGTAAAGATGATATCATAACTGAATATTAGTATAAAATATATAGAATTCATTGAACTAGTATTGTTTGAATTGAATTCTCTTATTCAATACTAAGGGTAGTTGAAAGCCTGGTGTTTGGTAGATAGATTATTTAGCTTTTTAATGATCATCGTAATAACTGTTTTGATTACTTTTGGAAGCTATCAAAACATGATGAATAATTGATTCTATCAACTGTTTGTTTATCTTTATTGAACATTATTTCAATCGTTATTATTTTGTGTATTCCATTACAAGTTTCTGACTTTACATTTCATCCGTTCAAAGAGTGTGTATTGTTGTCAACATAGTAAGTATAAATATCAATTGACTTTATGAAACCAAGAAATTAGAATTCTTGAAATGTGAAATGTTTATAATAGTCATTTAAAATGTTGTACATTATTTATGATTAACCTAAGTTTAATTTATAATGGTTTTACTGATAAGCGTATTATCAGATTAGATTGTGGTTGGAGGTAGTCGACAGGAAACCCTCGACCCGGGTTTCGTGCTACTTGGCACTCGTCAGCAAGGTGTACCTGTAATCTTAAGGGAAGTGGTGCTGCTTGACAGATTCGATCCCGTGTCACCAAGCTTCACAGCATTCGATCTGCACTAATAAGGACTAGACAAGCATGACATTGATCACCACCCAGTGATCAATCAATTGTGATTACATCTCAGTCCTAGAGGAGGTCGGTCGCAGGCTGGATAGGTCAGTGTCAAGGTCTCTGACTGTGAGTCAATCAATCATTTGTGAAGCATATTATCTTTCTGACTGAGTAGCATATCATGCTACTAACAACAAATGTGAGAAGTGATGAAGGTTAGGGCCACGGCTTTAAATTAAAGCAGTAAGCTATTATATCCATTGATATAAACTTATTATTAGACAAATTGGTGATGATAATTCAGGTTTTAAATCAGTTATTTTAGTTATCTCTAAACATATTATGTCAAACAGAACGCAGTTCCATACTCAATCACTTAGAGTAATTACTTTCTCAATAAAATTCAATTAAAACTATGACCTAAATTAACGTAATATTATCAGTATAGGGTTGTGGAGATTGTAAAGTTTTTGTTTGAGATCATGAATCAATGTTATACTACCATCGAAAACTTGGAAGTAGTGGATGGCCGTTTCGTCCTAATATGAAGACTCCTAAACAGTGCGCTTCCTTGATCTGGCACTAGGGATTCGAGCCCAGGCTCTTCAATTTCGCGTGTGAACTCTTAACCTATAGACCACTGAGCTGGCACCGGACGGTGTTAATATCTAACTTCAATCAATCCACGAAATTGCGTGACCGTTTTCCAGGCTTTCAATGGTGGTCTAACATTGAATGGTTCATCATCTCAATCAATAACGTATTATTGTTTAATACCAAACGTATTAATTAATGTGAACACATCATAAATAGTAAACCATATGAACTGATTTATTTTTACTTACTGATTATGTAAACTAGTAAATGTAGAACTAACTGTATAAATTTCAAACTTTTCACTTTAGTTGGATACCAACATGTGCAAAGACTATTACTGAATTAAGTAATACATGGTCTCATTTAATGCCAGTTAGTTCATCTGATTCAATGGAGTTAGTTCGATTATTTTTTGCATGTATATCAGCCTTAATGTCTCGACAGTTACGTGATATTGTAAATATATCTTTACAAGATTTACTAAAGGTATTACAAATTCATAAAGTAAGTTACCATTCAAAATTCTTCCTGATGAAATGTCTGTTACATTGTCATGAACTTATTACTCACATTATTCTAGTGTTCTACAATAGTTTCTTAATATTAATGATACTACTATTAAATGCAATTTTCAGTTTAACATTTTAGTAACTTACGGTCGATATCGTAATGTAAAATGTAAAAGTTTGAATTGATGTACATCTATGTTAGGTCCTATGTTGCTTACAATCAAATGAACGCTTACTCAAACATAATTACTAGTCACTTACATACAAAATTTGTATTGTTAGTCTCCTTTCATCAATCTAAATGATTGTTCTAAGAAACTTTGCTTATAGCACTAATCATATAATTAAATCATTATTTGTTAAATAATAGCTGTACCATGATAATCACTGATTTTTAGGCAACTTCAAGAACCTAACTACATAGAAATACAAAGGGTTGCCTAAGTAAATAACAATGAATTTCTCCGATTATTAGTCAACCGATAAATAGAACAGGCCATCATTCTAATGACCGTTGCATACTGAAAGCAACGAAATGACAAGGAAGTTTTAAATTTATAATATCTTTTAATAAGAAAAAAGTTGTTTATCGAAACATTTTATTCAAACCAATAGAACATTACATGAATTTAATTGATCAATCAATTAAAGAGAGAATATGAATCAGTGTCACTTATTTGGATTGAGAAGGCGATAGGTGCAGAGAAATTCATTAGTCATAATAATTGTATTAATTATCAATCATACTGAATGATATGAACTGGGGAATTTTATAGAAATATGAAATCATATACTGTTTCTGAAGTTACTAAGTAAAAATATGATATGTGGTGCATGCTACTTATTTCTGTTGACATAAGTAGTATGTAACACAAGTCAGAAGTGGAATATCTGGCAAGAAGAGGTTGAGAAGATATAATCGAGGAGAAAAAGAATACAAACAGAGTATAGTTTTTATGGCAATGAAGGAACGATGAAGTTTGAGACAATTGATGGAAGATTTGCAAATGAAGTATTTATTGTATGGTTTTTCATAGTTTACGAAAGAACTCGATGATCTTACATTGAAAATAAATTGGTTATGCCCATATGAATGAGTTTTCATTCACTACAGCTACATATATACTCCAATGAAGACTGATCAAAAATTTTGTCATGATTATCCACAACGGGATAACTCATATCCCTTTTATTAATGATACGAGTATCATACATGTTATACAAGTGAATAGATAAGATGAATAGAATGAAATATTTGTCGTAGATTCCACTATTAGCCACAACCCATCTATTCTGTAAAGTACTACAAATGTCAGTCATCTATTTGTAAATTTCATAATTCATGATAGAATTTATCTAAATATTTCAGTTTTTTGTTAGGTTTTTATAATACTGTTGTGACGTGCGACGTCCGAAATCTGGTACTAATACACGGTTTGCTACGCGAAAGCCCTCCCCCCCCCCCACAACTGACTACTCAAGTAAAAACTCAAGAGTAAGCGAGAAATTGTATTGGATTATCGAATGAAATACACAAATACTCATTCATAAATCCATACCAATCTATTCACAGGAAATCGACCCATTTCTTAGTCAATAAAATGCACTTGATCTTTGAGTCACTTCTGATTATCATTAATTAGACTTTTACTATTTCAGATTAGCTGCCCATTTTAGATATAAAAAAGAATAAGATAAAATCTATTGTATGATATATCACAACTTAGTTTAAGCTCAAAAATATTCATTATCATATTACTGATTTATTCCATGAACATAGAATATAACACTCAATGTAAGATTATTGAAACATTTAGAAATGTGATGTAACACTTGTCAAATAGATCTTAGTTTATATTCATTAATTAGTTTAATATCATAAGGTTCTATAGTTATTAGTTCATATCTCTAATAGTCTTTCAGATATTGATGTATAACAGTTTGATTATGGATAAAATCTAGATTGATTTTCATATCTATCAATGTAAACTTTATTGATTTATTTATATTCTATAAATTATATTATAGAATGGAAATAAATTTGAAAATCAATATGATGAATTGAACTATTTGTATAGATCATCAATTTTATTAAAATTACATATATCTGATCCAAAAATTATATTTATACCTAGTTTTCGTGAAATTCGTGATTGTCTATTACATTGTTTTCAAGCAATAATAAATGCTGCAGAAAATCTACCTAGAGTAAGTAATTATAAATAAATAATAAAATGAAATGAATTATTAAAATTTACTGAATGTTGTTTTATTTGTATTTTCTTCTTCTTCTTCTTCTTCTTCTTCTTCTTCTTATTATTATTATTATTATTATTATTATTATTATTATTTAGGATTTTTAGTTGCCTGTTGTGTTCGCTTGTGGTGGCGAGCTCACCATTTTAGTGGCCTGTTGTGTTTGCTTGTGGTGTCGGGATTACCATTTTAGTGGCCCGTGATCTGACTTCAATTTGATCGTAATGATTGGTTGCTATCGTCTATCCTCGTATATAATCATTGACTTAAATCGCGTTAGTTAATAACGGAATTAAATAAGTCAAATAACGAGAATGAAGTTTTGAATGCATATATTTTGTAATAATTGTTGATTAGACAAACGAACGGGAGAACGACGCGAAAAGAAGAAAGCGAAGCAAAATTGACGAGTGGTGGAGATGGCTGGTAAGCCAACTCCCCTTTAACAAAGAGTTAATCAATATTTATAAGCCCACAAAAATAAATCACAGACATGTGATGAGTAACGGGATAAGAAGTGTACATACGCCTACGCGCTCATATAAAGCAGTCAAGATATTGATAAGCGAATAATTAACAAGGTCAGAATGTGACTCAAATAGAATGAATAGAATGGGCTGTCCGAAAGTTAGAATAATAAGGTATTTGAGCTTAACATAATGACAGACACTACAGATTTTAATTAATCAGTTTCATATCGATAATATATACATGCTATGCGGATTGCCTAGATATATAGACTTAAATCACAAGTCCTATTTAAGACTTGTTAACTGCACATGCCTGAATCTCAGAATTGATGTTCACTGTGGGATTTGAATTTAGTACTCAGCCACCTACTTGTGTAGTGGGGTGAAGTTTTACATTCAGTTGATATTGTTTACTTGTATCTTCTCATAGTTGTTTAGAACTGCAATTGATCAGTCTTATGTTGGAATATATGCATATGGCTACCAAGACTCATTAGCTAAGTGGATAACGTGACATTGTTTGAAGCGAACGGTACTGGATTCGAGGACTAAACGCGCATCAAACTGGATTCCACTGCTAGCTACTATCCATCTACGATTGCAGAAATGAATTATTATTCATAAATAGATTATTAATTAGATTTTGTTTATGGTTTCAAATATCGTGTATCTATGTTCACCATTAGTTACATCTATCATTTAGCCAAAAAAGCTCAAATTGAGTGAATCTTTACTAGATATAGATATATCAATTAAGAATGATCGAAATTTAGTTAATAATATCAATAACGTGACACATGAAAAACAAAAACAGATTCAAGCACAACGAATCCCATCAAAACATTTTGAACACATCTAACACTGAAGAATTTAATTATATTAGAAGAACTGCTGAAGAGTCTCACAATAGGACGAAACGGTTGTCAAGTGCTTTCAGGTTTTCCATGGTGGTCAAGCTTCAATTGACTCATGATCTCAACTATTAAAATTATTACAATCTCCACAAAACCCCATCTTATGTTATTTGTTAATTATCTTCCAGTATAAATAGTCAATATAACTAAATAATAACATTTATGTTTGTTAGCGGGACATAGATTGCATTAAAGCATGCGCAATGTACGATTGCGTTGGTGCACGCTGACTCGTTAGTTCTTATCTAATCAGCGCTAGTCAATACTTGGAGAATACTCTAGAATCTTCTCATGTAAAAACTATTGTGCTTCTTACTTCAATTTAACCTCGTTATTTGGAATTTAATCTCTTTCCTGTTCAACCGTGTTCTGATTTGGGGATTTGTCGAGTGAATTGGTGTCCAAGAATACTATGCAATAAGAATAGCTGGGTTGTAATAAGAGAGAATTATAACAATGTTATAAATTATAGGCCAAGATGGATAATGTATACTAGTAGAGTGCAGTCTGACGCGTGTTTCGTCCTGTTTGGGACTCGTCATCTGGATGTATCTGTATCGCAGAGTTGATGTTCACTCTGAGGCTCGAACCCAGTACCGTCGCGTTACCCACTTAGCTACTGAGTCCTGATAGCCACTTTGCTTATAATGCTTGTAAATTAAGTCAATATCGAGGCAATATGCACAGCATGCACATATGCCAATAAGAGGCTAATCAATTGCAGTCCTAAGCATCATTAGGAAGATTCAAGTAAAGCAATACCAAGTGAATTAATGTGATAAATTGCCCAAAAAAACATAAAAAATGCCTGTTTTAAATTTAACAAATATTTTTTCAATGATTAGTTGTTCCAAACGTAAGGCTTATAGAATCTAAAAATTATCCCATGTTTATTATTAGCTTTTTGATACACTTTCAAGCCTAAGGATAATATTCCATTTAATACATAAATTCGATAGATATGAAAAACGTTTTATACGTGAATGTTTTTTGTAGTCCTTTCACATATCTAAGAACAACAGGAACAATAAAGGGGCGGATTTGTATGCATATAGCATACAATTCTCTTTGAATCTAGCAGACAGCAATAACATCATGCACTGTCCCATCGTCCTTGGCAGATCAGGCAACTCGAAAGTTACGAGAACACCATCAGGGCATACGACAGGCTAGGTACTCTGGTCAAGAAAATAATAACCGCTGAACCCTAGGGAATCAATCTATAAAGTCACTGACTTCTGGTCTAAGCCATGGTAATATATACAGACTACTGGGTTGGGATCAAAACGACTATCGTAATATGTAATTGGAGACTTTGGGTGATATATACTCAGAATCGATCACATTGGTGTAGGTGTATACACACTTTATCTTCCCTTAAATAGTCAGATTAAAACTATGTTATACCTCACTTTCTACGAACTAATTCTTTCTCCTTGTATCATATCCTTTTATGCAATGTTTATATATATATGATTTACTATGACTAATGTTCTAATGTCACAATATATCATAGTTCTACTTTTCTTTTTATTCATTTTCTTATAGGTTGAAGTGGATATTTTCCCGGAACTAAGCTCACATTCATTATACTTACGTTCAGTAACATTTAGTGATCAATCAATAATTGAATATACAGATCAAGCAATGATTATTTTTCGTGCTAATTCAATAGGACCAAAAGATTATCTAGAATTATATCGTCCATATAGTAATTTATTTAATAATAAAGCAGAATTAGAATTGAAAAATTTTCTAAAAGAAGGTCATTCATTATTAGCTATTAAAAAGGTAGTTATTAGTTATTAATTTTATTATGTATTTTTATAAATCATTCCTGAAGTTTCAGTGAGAAGCAGTGACCACTAGAGCTCAACCGGGTCTGTTGTAAGATAGTAACTCACTGAAGACAATGGTGGATGTGTCACTCAATTTCGTGGAATGCTTGAAGTTAGACATTAACACTTTTGGATGCCGGCTCAGTGGTCTAGAGGCTAGGTGTTCGCGCACGAGACTGTGTGGGATCCTGGGTGGGCACTGTTGAGGAGTCTCATACTATGACGAAACAGCCATCGAGTGCTTTTAGGTTTTCCATGGTGGTCTAGCTTCAATTGATTCATGAACTCAACTATTAAATTATTATAATATCCACAAGAAATCCTTTGTGAGAAAAATCATTATCCATCCTTAATTCTTCTCTCTGAGTTATAAGTACTTTTTAATAAGTAATGCTTTCAAAGAACAAAATACATATGGTTATTACTTATCTTTTCATTATTTTGAAAGTAAGATAGTTATCTTACATAAACTGATGTACTGCGTGACTATTGTGGTGTATGCTACTTATGTCTGTCGACATAAGTAGTGTGTAACACCTATCAGAAGTTGAATGCTTGTAAAAATAAAGTTGAGAAGATTGCACTGAAAGAAACCGAAAGAGAAAAAGAAAGGAATCGGAAAGTGAAAGAATCATGAAGGATGTAAAAGAGAACTGGTGAATGATTTACAACTGAAGTATTTAATGCATTTTAATAAAGAACTCTGTAATTATTTATCCATCAAGATTAATATGAGACATAGTGATATGTGGTTAGTCAAACTTAGAAGTGATTGACCTCTAAGCGTGGAATGACAAATGCTTAGCTTGCTATTTAATATGTGATTTTCTTCTTATAAATGATTTCTACTCGGAACTCATTGAGTATAGACAACTTGCATTTATGTTAAATAGATTATTGTCCAGTTTATAGTCTACGTTTTTATTTTTCGTGGGGATTCGTGTACCTAGAATAGAGTACCAACTGAATGAATATATAAAGAGTCTAAGTACGCTTAACTTATTCCTACACTGTTTTATATTCATTTGAGTCGTCTTTTTCCATTTTTATTTATTAACTCTGTGAGCTACTATTATTATTTGTAATATGGTAGTTTATTCTCAAAGATTAACGTGGTGATTTAATAAAATTCTCAACTGAAAAATATTATGCTTGATGATAGTCTTCATAAACCTCTACATTAAATATAGTGATCAGGTTTGTCTATGGTTATAGCTCATAGTTGTATTGTTAACACATTGATCGCATTAGATCCTGATATATCACTCAGGCAAACTGAGAGCAGTGATACTAAAGGCAACAAACACATAGTCTAAAGGTGAAGTCATACAGAGAATATACTAAGGTATAATGATATTAAAGGGTTTTCTTCAGATAATTATCATCTATGACTGTTGGAAAAGTTGGAAACTAAAAATGGTACTACTTATCTTGTCCAATGTATTTCCTTTCTCAAAGGTAAGGTTAGAAGGCTAGGGGGCCAGTACACCGAATACTATACACAAAACTCCTGTGTGTAAAAGTGTTCAAACAATTATCTATTGATTTCTGCTGTCAAGATCTCAGGTATTCAAAGCTACCTATAAACCAGTTTCCTTTCCAGGTTCTTCAGAAAGATGCAACCTTCCATAGTATGGATAAGTGAGACGTGGCTACCGCATTACAGTTGGTTCGCATCACATACTAACATTTGTCGAATGGCCATTAGAAAGTAAGGATCACTGAACAGATAGTTAGATTATAAACTGAATTTATGAGTAATTTAGAGTTGTATAGTAGTGAAAGAGAAACAATAATTAATCACTAAGCATGGAAAAATAGGCGTTTAGCCTACTGACTAATAAATAATATGATTTTCTTTTTCTCATTGGTTTCTACTCTGGACTCACTGAGAGTGACTGTTTATAATCGTGTTAAATAAAGCATTATGCAGTTTTAATCTGGTTCTCTATTCTGCGTCGTAAATCCTGGATCTGATATTTCGTGAATGGTTTGATTATCGTATTGACGTATTGTCGTACCTGAGAGAGAGAGAGAGAAATATATTTCTAACCATCCGTTATATCGTTTACTATTATTAAAACTGTTTCATGCAATTAGTTCCCTATATGAATTTGAATAAAGCCAGAATAAATATGGATACAAAATAATATGAATTCATTATATTTCGTGGTTTCTCATTAGCTGCTTACAACCATATATGCATGGAAAGTTTACATTGAGATAAGATATAATATTAGACAACTGACATAGATAAATGCAAGGAATTGGAACAACAAAGGTTATCAATAATAACTATATACATATGTACAGGAACAGATCTGAGGTCATTTGGTGTTGGATTAAAAGAACATAAGGGGGGATGATGCATTAATTAAGTGAGGTTCAGAGATGGATAAGATGGATTGTGTGATAATTTTAGAGGCTATGAAGGGTTTACATAAAATTCCTGAAATTAAAAAATACTGATAACGTGGATTACGTAATAGTTGAATAGGATTTGAAGAGTTTACATAAATGAAGACAATTGAGTGATTGGAAATGTATCGGTGAAGGGTAGGTTTTAATGTACATAAAATAGAAATTCGGTAAGGGAAAACCACATAACAAAATGAACACTAAAAAATAAAGATAATGACAAAAATGATTTACCAGTGTAATAATAGGTTGCCTTCCTATCCCAAACACACGAACAAATGCAGATAAAGACAACTAATGTAGCAGCAGCCTCTGCATCAGTAGGCCTGGACATACACAACGGAAAAGGCAAGATCCCCAAATACAACACGGAGAACACTAACCCAATCACAACTGATAGCGAAACTTTGGAAGATGTCGAATCTTTCACGTACCTGGGAAGCATCATTGATGAACAAGGAGGATCCGATGTAGACGTAAAGGCGAGGATTGGTAAAGCGAGTGCCGTACTCCTACAATTGAAGAACATATGGAACTCAAAACAACTGTCAACCAATATCAAAGTCACAATCTTCAATACAAACGTCAAGAGAGTCCTACTGCACGGAGCCGAAACGTGGAGAACTACTACAACCACCATCAAGATGGTACAAGTATTTATAAATAGTTTTCCACACAAGATACTCAACATCCACTGGCTGGATACCATCATCAACAGCCTACTTTGGGAGAGGACAAACCAGCTTCCATCTGAAGAGGAAATCAAGAAAAGACGGTAGAGGTAATAGGACATACATTACGTAAATCATCAAACTGTATCATGAGGCAAGCGCATACCTGGAATCTTGAGGAGAAAAGAAAACGAGGAAGGCTAAAGAACGTGCTGCGTCTTGAATTGGAGGCAGATATGAAAAGGATGAATAACAACCGGAAAGAGCTGGAAAGAATTGCCAAGGATAGGGTTAGATTTAGAGTGCTGGTGAGCGGCCCATGCTCCTCCACGAGGAGTAACAGACGTAAGTAAAGTAAAAGAAAATAATAGCTGGTTTAGTGATTCACTTTTTATGTGTTTATTAGCTAACACTGACAAAACTTGTGTAGTGAATAGTTCTGTGCACTGATGAAAGTATACGAACTAGGTCGTGAGGTAATTTCATTTTGTATACATACTATTTAATCTATGATAAGTAGTTTCACTGAATTAAAACACATTTCTAAACACTAAATGATAAAAAAAGTTTCCAATTCAACCATTTTTCAATAGTTGAAACCATGAGTCAATTGAAGCTAGACGACCATGGAAAACCTGTGCACGATCCCATCCACCCCGCGAGATTCGTGGATGCTCACTGCTGAGGAGTCCCATACCAGGACGAAACGGCCGTTCAGTGCTTCGAGGTTTTCCATGGTCGTCTAGCTTCAATTGAATCATGATTTCAACTATTGAAATTACTAAAATCTCCACAAAATCCCTTCTGACCATTCATTTTTCTTTGTTTTTGGCTTTCTTGTTTCTATCGAAAATTCCACCTTTTATGAATAGAAAGTTGAAAGTTTACAAGATTTGAATACTGAACTCTTATTGTTACGACAAACTGTCCCAATGAGTTTATTTTGTTTAAATTGCCAAGATGTAAATGATGAGTTAGTTAAACGTGTGTGGAAACTACATGATCTAATAGCTACATATGAAATGGATGAAAATCGTGATGCAAACAAAAGGTATGTATGATACAAAATTAACTATTTTTTCCGACCATTATCATTAGTAGTATTAATAATAGCAGTTAGTAGTATGAATCTGTCATAATTAATTAAATGTTAATTATTATTGTAAGGAAGTAAAAAAATTATAATGAATTCCGTACATGATTAACAGGAATCGGATTTCCATTAACTATGACCTGAATATTTAAGCAACTCTTATTATATTGAATAGAGATGACTTCTATTTAACGAATATATGAGGAAGTAATGATGCATACTACTTCAAATCCCTCATGAAAACTAGTCGCAGCCGTATTTCAGACAACATATTTGTATGGTACGTATATTATTTATTCTGATACAACTTGATTTTAAATTCACAGCAAAAATGAGACATTTTTAATGCTCTTATTTTACCATTCCTTTCGTCACAAATTTGTTTCATCAGTATTTAACTACTTGTTAGTAGTATGCATTTAAAAGGCATCAACTTTTAGTTGTAGCTACACATCAAGTTAACTTAATTGAACTCAATAATCGTTTTCAAGAAAAAGTTGTTTCATTTTCTATTTCATCATCAGAATTTGTTGCCAGTATGATGAAATAATGAACAGATTAAGTGAAACACCGATGAATACAGAAGATTTAGTGAAACTACAAACATATTTACGTGAAGTAGGCAATACATTAGTATTTAAATTGAAAGAAGAAGTAGCTGAATCTGCAGAACGACTAAATTTTCTATTGGATTACGCTCTTTTATCATGTAAGTTCATCATATACATACATAAGACTGAGAAAGTTGTACTTTTTATATTTATCTTATAAATTCCTCTTATTCTGTAAGGATATGTGATGACGCCAGGAGGAATGATTTCCTAGATATGTTGTTTCACTTGACATAATGTAAATAAATTATTGTTTCCATGGGAATAAATTTAGAGCTGTATAGTAGACTACGTAATCTAATTTCAATATCTTTATTTCTAAGGGGAAATTTGTAGAAAACTTCATATTGATTACCTTATAATGAAACTTTATTGTATAGTTCCAACTTGATATGGGAGATATTCAAAAGTGAATCAAGCAATGAAAACAAAAATCGATATGAATAATATTAAACTGAAGAAAATGGTTATGATTGATGAATTGAAAATGTTTGAACCAAATAATAAGCAACTATCTCTGTGTCTTAATCTCATCAGTCAGTCAGTCAGCTAGGACCAGGCACATATGTGCATCGGTCCAAGTTGCCATACCTCATTGGCACAGCGAAACTAACGCCGGATTCATAGAACCAGTTAACTCAATGGTGGTAATATATAAATGAAAGATTTTGTGTAAGAATGTAGTACTGAAAGAATGAACTGGTTTGTAGAAAGAAAGATATGAAACGATTTTAATCGCACGGTTTAAGGTAAGACAAAGAGCGGATACACCTACGCCATTGTGATCGATTCTGAGCCATGTCACACACAGTCTCCAACCATTGGTTACGATATTCACGCTTTTACGTGGTCTTAGTAACCGCAATGCCCAATGGACAACTGATTGAGCTTGGTCACACACGACCTTTTTGTGAGTAATTTTTTGTGTTAGCTCCATATGTGTTGAGGTTTTACCTCCTAAGACGGATATCCGTGGGATAAGGTAATATGTGCATTTTTAGGGTCAACTTTTTCCAACCCCTACCCTCCTTGTAGAAAGACAACATCACTGTTATGCTGGTTGTCTGAAGGAAACACGATACCACCGTCACATCTCTGTACAGACAGCAGTACGATTTCGTCTTCGGACCTTGGGTTTGCTGCTTTTATTCTTACCACTCTTCAACCGATTTGTCTGGCATGGTAGGAATTTAAGGAACGATTGTTTCAACCAGTATAGCTCGATTGGTGCATCACAATAGGCAAGTCCGACCATCACGTCAAGGTAATAACAACGGTCGAATCTGAAACTTATAACGAAATTTTAATCCGATTAGTTCTGTTTATTCATTAGATTCTGGTGACATCCTTTTTAATGTTTACATTCACTACAATCAGTTCAATATCTTTGTCTTATTCTTCGTTAATGATTTTTTTGTTCACTATGTGCTGCTGAAAAATTTGGGAATTTGAATTAGTATACTCTTACACATAATTCTAGATTGTTCTGTCTATGTTTCCCTCATTATATTGATTACTAACTTAATGATTATTATTACAAAAGCATATAGTGTTATATGCTTAACTATACGATTTATCGTAAGATGAGATTGACAATTTAGATACGTTGATTTATACACGATCAAACTAATGACGCATACACTAGTAAGAGCAGCCTAGAATTTCGATTTTTCCTTTCTCTGCCTATCCTTACCTGTTAAGTCTAAAACGTCAATCTCAGTCTCCGTGATACGAATTGTTTATTTCAAACATATTTGGTTTATCATATGAGCAACATCAAATCCTATCACACCACAACATAGAAAGTAACAATTATACAAGATCAAACCAATAAGGTAGATCGTGATTGTGAAAGATTGTTACTAATAAATTGGGTATATCTCATGAAAAGTAAATCGTATATATACAATATAGTTACTTAATAATCATACAATAAGAATATTTGTATAATATTAGTCCATAAATAAATCCCAATAGTTACCTTTTCATTATACTCTTCGAGATAATAATAAATAATTAACAGGAATATAATTTTTTTTCTTCTCTTATATCTTACACATTTATTCATAAGATGATGATATTAAATTAAATGCTACACTATTTAATTGGCCTGAACAAATTATAACTATTATTGATAATACAAATATACGTTTAACAACATTACGTGATAATGCTGAAGATGATTTAAAACAAAGAATAAAAGATTTAGAAAAACGTATAACTAATTCATGGGATCGTATTAATTTAATGCGTCGTCGTGAAGTAATTTCACTTGATGAAATGTTAAAATCTCAATCAATTCTTGATGATTTTCAAGCAGATCTAGAAATATTAACATTAGATGCTGAACAAATTAATAAGTAGGTTATTTGATTAATTATTATTAAATAAATAATAACTAGTTATCTTATGATTTATATTATGTTTTTAAAATTGAATTGTATAAAAGTTAGATAATAATCAATTTCTTTGATAATATATATAATGTTTTAGATAATGATAAACAACCAATATAATTGTGATGTAGGTTACTTATATCCACATAAGTAGTATATAATGATGGTCAGGCATAGAATGTAAGAAACTCGACTTTCATCGTGAGGCGTCATAATTCTTCTAAACGAAGACCTTCTGACTCCCACGGCAGAGTTTAAATGGTTTGAATAATTTTTTCTGGTTAGCGTTTTTTTAGCGAGTTAGTTTTCTACGGGATGGGGTCGCTAACCCCATGCCCAACCGGCAGTAGCCCCCGGAAAGGGGCTCCCTTTCTCTTTCTCCTGGTGATCGACTGGATCATGAAGACATCAACATCTGAAGGGAAGCACGGGATACAGTGGATAGCTAGGATGCAATTGGATGATCTAGACTTTGCAGATGATCTGGCTCTTCTATCGCATACACAACAACAAATGCAGGAGAAGACAACCAGTGTAGCTGCAGCCTCAGCAGCAATAGGTCTCAATATACATAAAGGGAAAAGCAAGATTCTTCGATACAACACAACATGTACCAATCCAATCACAATTGACGGAGAAGCTTTGGAAGATGTACAAACCTTTACATATTTGGGCAGTATCATCGATGAACACGGTGGATCTGATGCAGATGTGAAGGCACGGATTGGCAAAGCAAGAGCAGCATATCTACAACTGAAGAATATCTGGAACTCAAAACAATTAGCAACCAACACCAAAGTCAGAATTTTCAATACAAATGTGAAGACAGTTCTACTGTATGGGGCGGAAACCTGGAAAACTACGAAATCCATCGTCCAAAAGATACAGGTGTTTATTAACAGTTGTCTACGCAAAATACTTCAGATCCGCTGGCCGGACACTATAAGCAACAACCTACTGTGGGAGAGAACAAATCAGATCCCAGTGGAGGAAGAAATCAGGAAGAAGCGCTGGAAGTGGATAGGACACACATTGAGGAAAGCACTGAACTGCGTCACAAGACAAGCCCTCATATGGAATCCTAAAGGTCGAAGGAGGAGAGGAAGACCAAAGAATACATTACGCCGGGAAATGGAGATAGATATGAGAAAAATGAACAAGAATTGGATGGAACTAGAAAAGAAGGCCCAGGACAGAGTGGGTTGGAGAATGCTGGTCGGCGGCCTATTCTCCATTGGGAGTAACAGGCGTAAGTAAGTAAGTAAGGCATAGAATGTATTTCAATAGAAGATCGATAAGAAATAAAAAAGGGAACGGGACGTAATTGGTATGAAAATGAATGATTATTGAAATTTGAGACAATAGATTGATATTTGCAAAAAGGAACAGTGAAGTTTGAGACGATGGAATGAATTTTTTGCAAATTAAATATTTACTATATGATTCTCAAATGTTAGAGAGATGCTCTTTAATGTCGTGTCATTGCACTATAATTAAGAATGGAAATTATTCAACTCAGAAAATCAATAATGTACAGATTATGATTATATATTTCATTTATGATAACGATAGCATTGAATTACAGATCAATTCGAGATACTAGATATATTCACTCACTGAGCTACCACGTAAGTTAAAATATATAAGAAGAACTTGAGATCTTTATGATGGGTTAATATATAATGGTTCATCACTTACAAAATAGTTAAATCCTATTTTGGTTTCACAGATGTAAAAATTTCTCAATCATAACTTAGTTGACTTTGTATGTTACATATCTTATCACTAGAACTTCAGAAGATTCATTACAAAAACTGATTACTATTGGTTATATGAATTAAAGTTGGTTTTACTTATGTACCGCCAAAATTTCAATGGTTGAGATCGTGAGTCATTTGAAGCTGGAACACAATGGTTCCAGGTCTAGCTTCAATTGACTTATGATTTCAAACATCGAAACTACTATAATATCCACAAAAACCCTTCTGATATGAATCGATATATGCTCACTGATGACTGGCTTCAAGCGATATATCCTGGAGTTCTAGTGAGAAGCAGTGAAGAGTAGAGTTCAACCACGTCTGTTATGAGATAGTAACATAATGTGTCGCGAAACGGCCGTCCAGCACTTTCAGGTTTTCTATGCTGGTTTAGCTTCAGTTGACTCATGATCTTAACCATAGAAAGTAGATATCTTAGAACACCTACATAAACATGAAGTCGGCTAATACAATTTGAATCGAACAAAAGTTACCGATTATTGATTGATTGTACTGAATTTATTTAACTTTGATGTGTTTTGCTACGTTTGGTTTCAAGTCTGTAAAGATTCTTAGTATCTTTCATATGGTTTAGTGAAAACACATGCTGATTATTAACAATCAGCTAAGTACTTTTTGTCCTGTCAGAAGGATGATACATTCAAGAATATTCCATGAATTTAGAACTTCGGAATAGATAAATAACATTATTCATTAAATCAAATAATTAATTTTATGATATATGGTAATGATGTGGTAATTAATCAAGATTAGGATTACTGATCAACAAAACAGTATCCACTTTCTGTATACCTATTAATGTTTCGTGTTCTCTTTCAAGTCACTTCATTATTCTAGGTAGTCGATGTATGGATCCAGTTGTCCAAACAGGTGTATTTAAAACAGGGAAAGAATTTGGTTGTTTTTATACAGTTCTCTGCTATTCTGAAATGTTCAAGAATCTCTTTTGAACCATTAATTCATTTCATCTGATGCTCTATTGATTTTGTTATAAATATCCATTGTTACATCACTTTTAATCGTAACAATAGTGATAGTAAGCTAGATATAACGTTTAATAGGTTTCATTAACACGTATATCAGTAGTTGTTATTGAATGAAGGATGACCAGGTTGAAATTCTGTTCGTGTCTCAACCTATTCCAGCCGTCTGACTAAGTTATACACTACAAGAAGATTTAAATCCCAAGCCTGTATTACTAATCTGAATAGTTCCGTTTATATTCATTCATCACTATTACCAATCAAGTTTATTCAACTACTTTAATTATTTAGGTTATATAGTACTCTGTTTAGAACCCGTTAGCTGGATGTACCTCTATCCTTGTGATGGGGTTCAGATTGACAATTGCTTTAAATACTAAATCACTCTTTTTTTCACATTTTATCTTAACTGCTTGCTTTTAAATGAAATGTTTTAAATAGAGAAGAAAGTCTTGTTGGTTGGGAGCAAACATCATTCCCTCAAATTGTAGAACTTAAACAACAAATGGAACCATTTGATAATTTATGGCGTACTGCACTTGCATTTGATGTATATAATAAGGAATGGTTTGAATCACCCTATCATACATTGAATCCGAATGAGATTGAACAACAAATTACTGATATGTATAGAATAATGCATAAACTTACCAAAACTTTAACTGATCTACCAGGACCATCTAAGGTGGCACAAAAAGTTAAAGTAAGTTAATAATTGATTTTGATTGGATCATTCATATTAATCTATCGGTTGTTCGATATTTCCTTAAGTATGAAATTCAGTCTGTAATATCAGAATAGAAAGTGTTATTCAAAGATTGGTAGAAACTTGTGTATCAACTCTCTTTTCTATAAAAGAATTTAGAAATACTTCATATATATAGCTCTTTTAAACATCTTGAAGAAAGCATGAACAAAGATTCTAGCTTACTTACTTACTTACCCCAGTTACCCCTCGTAAAGTAGCATAGACTGTCCATCAGAATTCTCCATCGGAATCTGTCCCAATCAATGCTTTACAGTTGTTTCCAGTCGCTATTCTTTCTCTTGATGTCTACTTCTAATTCTCAACTTGTTGTGCTCTGTGGTCTTCCTCTTTTCCATTTCCCTTCAGGATTCCAAGTTAGATTCTAGCTGAATAGCATGAATTCATTTATTTCGTTTGGTTCTCGTTAGCTGTCTACAACCTGTGGTATTTGAAAATCATAATTACAAAATTGGTTTAAGTTACTTACATGAGAGAGTTTCCTTGGAAGTTATTCTGAAGACATTTTAATATAGTATAACACAAATTTAATGCCTGATATTAACAGCTTCAGCAAACTTCAGAAGACTGGAGCTTTGCTATTTATTAATCACCTTGGAAGATTGTAAGGCATCGACCTGATGTTCTGTATTCAAGAGATGTTTGATAATTACACTGTTTAAAGTCGTTCTTTCTTTTGTTCTAAGGCTTTTTCGAACATACTCAAAAAATCTAGGATATGCCCTCCTTTCTGCTAGGCCAATGCAGCTGCTTTGGCGAGTACACGTAAATTTATAAAGACAGTTGGTAGTAACATGAAAGGGGTGCTTTTTGACCTTTGATTTGGTTATTGAACGTGTTTTATCCAGAATCTCTACTTTAGCTGCCGGGTAAGTTCTGGCTAATGCAGTGTTAAGTCTCCTACTAATTGTGCTTGCGACTTTATCATCTTAGAATTTGAGATTTATCGATATTGTTTCCTTATTGATTGTAGCCACTTCCGTCTTGTTTTCCTTTCTGAGTTTTATATTTGTCGATAAATTTATGTGGGTAGCAGTTATCCCTTAAGCATTTTTTAACATTCATCAATTCTTCTTCCAGTTTGTTGATTGTACATATCCTTTCTACTCCATAAATTAAAGTTTTGACCAATGTTTTCTCGTAAATGATTGGAAAAAAACTATTGAAATCCAAGTAAATGACATTTCTAGTACTTTTTCAATAAACCGAACATTGAACTGTCCTGTCTCCCCTATATAACATGTTCCACTTTCTTGATATTGCCATACAACGTGAAGGATAAAGGCAAAGAGATATTCAGCTTATTAAATCGAATGTTGAAATATAAAGACTGATCAATAATAGTCCTGAATACCTACAATCGGAAAGCCTGATAGAAGATATACGTTATCGCTCGCATCTGCCGGGATCATTGGGTAAGTAATAGTGAGGTTAGACGTAGGGTATAAGAAAATGATGGTAAATCAGTTGATGAGGTTGTGAATCTTCATCGACTGAGATGGTTGGGCCACCTGTTACGTATACCTGTACACCGATTACCACGACGCACAATCCTGACTAGTGTAGGGGATGGTTGGAAGAAAGTTAGAGGCGGCCAAACCAAAACGTGGCATCAGTACTTGAAGTCACTAACGTCTAGTCTTAGCCATGTTAGTAGATGCAGATTACTCGGCTGGGGCCTGCGTGACTATCGTAACCAATGGTTGGAGAATCTTGGTAACATGGCTTGGAATCGATCAATATGGCGTAGGTGTATACAGTGTCTATCTTTCCTCAAACTATGAGATTAAAATTCTTTCATATCTCTCTTTCTACGAACTAATTCTTTCTTTCTGTACTATTTCCTTACATAAAATCTTTCCTTTATATATTACACCGTTGAGTTAACTGATTCTATGAACCCAGTGTTCGTCTTGCTGTGCTAATGCGGTATGGCAACTTGGACCGATGCATGTATGTGCCTGATCCTACGCTGTAACTGACCGACTGACTGACTGAGATATACCTTAACATATAATGTTAGAGACCATTGAGCTACAACATAGCATAATTACGTGTAAATGCTACTTTGCAATCAGTATGGAATTCTAGTGAGAGAACTTGTTTTCTTAAAGTATTAGTTCACATAAATAATAAAACATTCCAAAGTTCTATTTTAGCACTTCACTGGTTCATTGATAGGACTGTTTTTCATTTAATCCTTAAAATTTTGTTACATTGTTCTCTAGATTTTCTATAATCTTATTTTATTCTTTCAAACAGGATAAACTAACTAAATTTCAACAGTTTTTACCAATTATTCACATTGTCTGTAATCCAGGCATACAATCACGTCATTGGGATCAAATGAGTGAAATTGTAGGCTTTGATATTAAACCAATGGAAGATACTAAATTAGTGACATTTTTAGAATATGGTTTAAAACCATATTTGGAACAATTAGAAGAAGTTGGTGCTGGAGCTGCTAAAGAACATCAACTTGAAATGGCTATAGCTAAAATGAAAGGTGAATGGAGTTTAATGAAGTTTGAATTGATATCTTACAGGGATACAGTAAGTAATTTTCATTTGGTTAGAATTCATTTGAGTTCTTTCATACATTTTGTTAATGTAAGTAAGGTTTGCTACATCAGCTTTATCGAAACTACATTACTTACTTACTTACTTACACCTGTTACTCCTAATGAAGAATAGGCCGCCAACCAGTATTCTCCAACCTACTTTGTCCTGGACCTTCCTTTTCACTTCTATTCAATTTTTGTTCATTCTTCTCATGTCTGTCTCCATTTCTAGATGTAATGTGTTCTTTGGTCTCCTTCTTCTCATTCGGCCCTGAGTATTCCATGTGAGGGCTTGCCTTGTTATGCAGTTGGGTGCTTTCCTTAATATGTGTGCTAACCACTTCCAGCACTTCTTCCTGATTTCTTCCTTCGCTAGGATCTGGTTTGTTCTCTCCCATAGTAGGTTGTTGTTGATAGTGTCCGGCCAATGGATCCAAAATATTTTGCATAGACAGCTGTTAATAAACACTTATATTTTCTGGATGATGGCTTTCGTAGTTCTCCAGGTTTACGCCTAATATAGGAGAACTGTCTTGACATTTGTATTGAAAATTCTGACCTTGGTGTTGGTTGACAGTTGTTTTGAGTTCCAGATGTTTGTCAGTTATAAATATGATGCTCTTACTTTGCCGATCTGCGAAACTACATTGGTCATTTAAATTTACCTTACATGACTTGTTTATATGCCGTCTAATATTGACAATGAAATACAATTGTTATATTGTAAAAATGATATTCATGTTATTTCATTCAAGAATCATTCAAAAGTACTCAAATACGAACACACTTGGAATTATACCTAACACCTAAAATTAACCATAATATTTAATCATAGAAGTTTATATCTCAGTGATTTATATCACTTAAATCGTCAAGTATTTATCTAAATATTAAAGTTTCTTTCATGTTTATTTTGTCTGTTAAGTAGACTTTGGAACTACATACCAATTTTGATGGAGATTTGTTCTCTGAGCCGGATGGTTTTATCATGGAGATTTCATCGTTATTTTGAACGACATCATCAGCACAAACTTCAGGTAGAAGTGACGTGTTCGAATTTCTATACATGTGGTTTACGGCTTGTCCTGTAGACCTCGATGTTGACCGGTTATTGTTGACCATGAACCTGTCATTGTTTACTTCTTTATTTTAGTTGTTGTTCACAATTGTCTACATGCATTGATATAAGCGAGGATATGTCGTGGCGTTTGACTGCTAACTGCTGACACACATTCGACTGGGAAAACGTCAAGATCTTAAATAGAGGCAATTCTAAAAACACCAGAGGTTTTAGAAGCTTGGTGCTTAGGTCAATCATCAATCAACAAACACATTGATATTGATCCAATTTATCAACCAATCAGAAAAATTATGGACAAATATAGGACAATAGAATAAAAACTCCACGACCGAATTATCCAGCTCAGAGAACAAAACTCCCTCAAAATCATCCACCTGAGCTACAAATCTTCTCTCCATACTAATTTCTATTTGAAATATAATTCTTTAATATATTTAGAGCAGAGCTAACTCTTACTATAATGATTTGAGTCATGAGTAAGTTACAAATACTTGATATCAGTGACCTATATGAAGCAAAATCGACGTTTGTTGTTTATTTATTATTTTAATAGTCTTGGGAATAATTTCTTTACATCTAAAAAATTCCTAGTGCAAAGTCATTTCTCCCTTCTTGTTTACATTTTGGTAATGATTATTAGAATAATATGGAGAAACCATACTTTCAATTCTTCTTGTATATTTATTTACATAAATACAACTGAAGAAAATCTCCAAAATGTTCTACTTTTGATTAGTTCAGAGAACTGTTAAAATTCTCCTTTTCAATGACATTCTGGTACATGTTTCAATTTCTCAATACCGTTGTAACACATCTTCCAGAATACTTATGTTAACTTGGTGAGACTATAATTTATGAACGAATCAATCAAATATAAGATAATAGATATTGGATTTTGGCGTAAAATTCATTCATCCATTTACCTAAATAGCGTCTTGTCATTTAACTCTAAATCTACTTCCTAACCCTAACCATCAACTGTAAATTATAATTCTAATTCCTCACAGTACTTTATAACCGTCATTTAGTCTTAGTTAATAGGTAGACATTCTCAAGGTCACTAAGGCGTCGCTCAAAGATCCTCCATAAATTATAGTCTCACAAAGTTTGTAATGTTTTTACATTATTGAGTTTCAGTAATACGTTTGGTCGGTTTCTGTTTTGCGGTATGCTCAATTTAAATGAATATTTCATTACTGTTTATAATTACAACTCCTAGTCATATTCAGTCATTTTATGACGTAATCAAAGCTAATTGATATCAATCATCAGTAAAATACAAATACTTTAGATTTGTTATTATGAATACTCAACAAGTTGATGATTATCTGAAATCAATGGTCAAATGGTCAGATTGTTGACGTTTGAGACGAAAATTAATAACGTTGAACCGCAGTGTAAATATTAACACTGAATTGTAGGTATATCACGTTGATGAGTCTCAGAATAACATAAAACACATGTTTTAGATACTATTTACCTATTACAGCTGTTTTACTTAATATAGAAGTTTATCTATTTCATTTGTTATTACTTTCTTTTTCTCAGGGAATATCGATATTATCAGCAGTTGATGATATACAAGTTATATTAGATGATCATATTATTAAAGCACAAACAATGCGTAGTTCACCATATATTAAACCATTTGAAGAAGAAATGATTTCATGGGAAACAAAGCTGATTTCAATGAATGATATATTAGATGTATGGTTGAAAGTAAGTTACAATACAATAAGATAAATGTAAATTGAAGTATTTCACTATAGTTCTCTGTATTCATTTTAAAAGAACATGAATTATTATTTAAGCAGACCTACTCCATTCATGAACTAGTCATAAACGAGGATCATCTAAATTTTCTGTAAACTAAGTACTACCGTTATGAACGACGACACAGGTGGGAGCAACAAAATGTATTTTATTACAAAATTACACAGTATCTTGGTAAACTATAAGAACTATACAAAAAAAAAATACTTCATTTGTAAATATTCCATCAACTATTCTTAACATTCTGTATGATTGTTCCAATTCACAATTTCTTCCAACTTCTTTCTCTTTTTATTTAATTCAATCTTCTTAGCTTTCTGCTACCATGCAATTCACTTCTGATGGGTGTTATGTACTACTTATGTCTGTTGACATAAGTAACACACACCACACTACTTTGTAGATAATTTGTACTAGATAGTCATTTCTCAGCAATATGAATTTACAATCTCACATGTGATTGAATTCGACCTTCAGGTTTCATGTTGTAAACCGTATCACTAGACTAAGTATTCGGAATCTATCTCCTATTAATGCACAATATTGGAAAACAAAACATTCATAAAACTGCCATTTAAATTCACTTGGTATTGTCTTTTACTTGTATCGCCCCATTGGGGTTTAGGACTTAAATTGATCAGTCTGCACATATGCCAATAACAGACTGATCAATTGCAGTGTTAAACCTCAATGGGAAGATACAAGTAAAAGACAATATCAAGTGAATTCGAATTCACCACATTGCACAAGCAAGTGGCTATGAGAACTCAGTAGCTGAGTGGATCACGCGATGGCGTTTCAAGCGAATGGTACTGGGTTCGAGTCACAGAGTGAACATCAACTCTGAAATGTAGGTACATCCAGCTGACGAGTCCCAAACGGGACGAAACGCTCGTCCTGGATTCCGCTGCTAGCCACTATCCATCCTGACTTATAATTCCATTTAAATTGTTATTATTCATCATTTTTAAGGTCACAGTTCTACATTTTAATTATAAATATATAATCTTTATGGTTAAAATGTTAAATACAGGTACAAGCTACATGGTTATATTTGGAGCCAATATTTTCATCTGAAGATATTTTAGCACAAATGCCTGAAGAAGGTCGTAAATTTGGTATTGTTGATGTAATATGGCGTGAATTAATGTCTGAGACAGCATTAAATCCAAATTGTTTAATAGCTACTGATCAAAGAGACATGTTAAAACGGTTGAATGATGCACATTTATTACTTGAAGATATACAAAAAGGATTAAATGATTATTTAGAAAAGAAGAGATTATATTTCCCACGGTTAGTCAAATAACTATATTTATAAAATTAGTATTTGATTATATATATGTAATGAATTTTTTAGTTGGGTTGAAAACAAGTTTCAAGTCTAGAGTTTAAATGTTTCGTGCGTGTAACCAAAAGTCTTGGTTAGGGGCGGCCAAACCAAAACGTGGCATCAGTGCTCGAAGTCACTAACGTCTAGTCTTAACCATGCTGGCAGATGAAAACTGCTTGGTTGGGGTCCGCGTAACTATCTTAACCAATGGTTGGAGACTGTGGGTGATATGGCTCAGAATCGATCAGAACGGCCTAGATGTATACACTCTCTGTCTACCCTTAAACTATGAGATTAAAATCGTTTGATATCTTTCTTACTATGAACTAATTCTTCCTTCCTGTATTATATCCTTATATGAAATCTTTCTTTCTACCATTGAAGTAACTACTTCTATGAATTCGGTGTTCATTTTGCTATCCTAATGAGGAGTGGAAGCTCACTACTGAGTTGTTCTATACAATGATCAATCAGAGACGTAAACCATTTTAGTTTGAAATACTTCAATAACATAAACAAGCAGATATATACAGGACTGTTGATTGCTGTTATTCTACTTACTCTATGAGTGGAATCTTATTAAACATGAATGATATTTAATGATATGTGACTCGACTATATATGAGATAATAGATGTTCACTTTTGAAATATTTCAAAATGACAAAAATGTTTCCGATCCCACTACGTTTCGATGTTTATCCAAAAAAGTTCAGTCAGTAACTAAGTCTGTCTTCAGATATTTTACTATATGCTTAATATTATAGTTGGAATTATACCTCAGAGCATTATGTGTGATGCACCATGTAGAAGATTGATGATTTACAACTATCGATGTCTTCTGAATAAATGATGATGACTTGTGTAGGAAAGTAATCACAAAAACAATAAATTCACTTCCTATTGTTTACTTGATTCTTCCCATTGACGTTTACGACTACAGTTGATCTGTCTCATATTGGCATATGTGCATACTGTGTATATTGCCTTAATTCACAAGCATTATAAGCTAGCCACTATCCATCTTCGCTTACAAAATCAATAGCTTACGACGGTCTGAATTCACATAGAAATAACTTCTGCTTAAGATTTGATCAAGATCTAATTGTAAAAACAACAATTTGAGTGAAAAGGTATTTTCGGTTGCATATCAAAACCGTCGGTTAATCTGAATGTTATTTAATTAAATGGAATGGAATTTGATGAATGGATAATTACAAGGGAATCGTAGTTGGTTGTATCTCATAAACATGAATCTTGTTATTAGTTATAACTCATTACCAAAGTTTACCTGAGATTGTTAGGGATATCTAGAAAACTCTTCAGAAAAAGCCAACAAAGGCTTTGAAAACTCTGAGAAGTATCTTATCTAATCAGCATTCACTAGACGTTTTGCCAGAAACATCTAGAAAGTTAAAAATAACATGCCGAGTTTCTGATTGGATGATTAATTATACTGCTACTATGTTCAGTAGCGTTCCAGAATTTTCCGGAAACCCAAGGTTATCTAAAATACCATAAAAACCCTAGATTTTCTGTAATGTAAACGAATCTTGGAGTAAAGCGTTCCTTATCATGTGTTCAAGTAACTGTGTAGATTTCGCCTGGCGGTTACTAGAAGAGCTTAGAAACTTTATCTATCGTTCAATTAAAAGACTTATCAGAAATATTTAAGGAATTGTAGATCATCAGAACGATTGAAATCGTAAAATTTATTGTCACACCATCATCAGTTGTTAATCATTGTTGTGATACTTTAAAAATTTTTTTTGCTTTATTGTTAGATTCTTCTTCTTATCCAATGACGAATTATTAGAAATTTTATCTGAAACAAAAGATCCTCAAAGGGTTCAACCACACTTGAAAAAATGTTTTGAAGGTAATTTATACAAAAATAAATGTATACGTTATTTACAGATGTTATAATTTGTATAAGTTTAATTAGTTGCTAAGGTGAGAAACTATAAGAAGAACTCTTGATACAAAATAAGAATCTAATGCGATGATATTGATTGACGGTCAATACAAAACGATGCTTCAACAATGATAATGAAAAGAAAAGAAAAAACTTTACAACAGGCCATTTGTAGTGAAGGAGAACACAGCTGAGGACAAGCAACTATACTTGGCAAAAAATTACAGTTGCTTGATAAAATAGAAACACCATACTCCAATACTTCATTTGTAAAATGTTCATTAATTGTCTCAGACTTCATTGTGCTTGCATTTCCATACGAATTGCTTATTATTTCCATTCTTTCCTCATTGATCTTCTCAACCATCTGTTGCCAGACATTCTATCCCTGACTATCGTTATAGGCGAGACTATAATTTATGGACGAACTAATCAGATTTAGGATAACAGGTCTTGGATTTTAGCGCTAAATTCACTCACCCATTCGTCCAAATAGCGTCTTGGCATTTTAGCTGATACTGTACGGAGCTGAAACTTGGAGAACTAAAACAACCACCATCAAGAAGGTACAGGTATTTATCAATAGCTGTCTACGCATGATACTCAACATCCATTGGCCGGATACCATCAGCAACAGTCTTTTGTTGGAGAGAACCAACCAGCTTCCAGCTGAAGAGGAAATTAGGAAAAGACGATGGAAATGGATAGGACATACATTGAGGAAATCATCAAACTGCATTACGAGACAAGCGCTAACTTGGAATCCTGAAGGGAAGTGGAAAAGATGAAGGCCAAAGAACACATTACGTCGGGAAATAGAAGCAGATATGAAAAGGATGAATAAGAACTGGAAAGAGCTTGAAAGGATTGCCCAGGACAGGGTTGGATGAAGAATGCTGCTGAGCGGCCTATACTCCTTCACGAGGAGTAACGGGCGTAAGTAAGTAAGTAAGTAAGTAAGTAAGTAAGTAAGTAAGTAAGTAAGTAAGTAAGTAAGTAAGTAAGTAAGTAAGTAAGTAAGTAAGTAAGTAAGTAAGTAAGTAAGTAAGTAAGTAAGTAAGTAAGTAAGTAAGTAAGTAAGTAAGTAAGTAAGTAAGTAAGTAAGTAAGTAAGTAAGTAAGTAAGTAAGTAAGTAAGTAAGTAAGTAAGTAAGTAAGTAAGTAAGTAAGTAAGTAAGTAAGTAAGTAAGTAAGTAAGTAAGTAAGTAAGTAAGTAAGTAAGTAAGTAAGTAAGTAAGTAAGTAAGTAAGTAAGTAAGTAAGTAAGTAAGTAAGTAAGTAAGTAAGTAAGTAAGTAAGTAAGTAAGTAAGTAAGTAAGTAAGTAAGTAAGTAAGTAAGTAAGTAAGTAAGTAAGTAAGTAAGTAAGTAAGTAAGTAAGTAAGTAAGTAAGTAAGTAAGTAAGTAAGTAAGTAAGTAAGTAAGTAAGTAAGTAAGTAAGTAAGTAAGTAAGTAAGTAAGTAAGTAAGTAAGTAAGTAAGTAAGTAAGTAAGTAAGTAAGTAAGTAAGTAAGTAAGTAAGTAAGTAAGTAAGTAAGTAAGTAAGTAAGTAAGTAAGTAAGTAAGTAAGTAAGTAAGTAAGTAAGTAAGTAAGTAAGTAAGTAAGTAAGTAAGTAAGTAAGTAAGTAAGTAAGTAAGTAAGTAAGTAAGTAAGTAAGTAAGTAAGTAAGTAAGTAAGTAAGTAAGTAAGTAAGTAAGTAAGTAAGTAAGTAAGTAAGTAAGTAAGTAAGTAAGTAAGTAAGTAAGTAAGTAAGTAAGTAAGTAAGTAAGTAAGTAAGTAAGTAAGTAAGTAAGTAAGTAAGTAAGTAAGTAAGTAAGTAAGTAAGTAAGTAAGTAAGTAAGTAAGTAAGTAAGTAAGTAAGTAAGTAAGTAAGTAAGTAAGTAAGTAAGTAAGTAAGTATTTTAGCTGATATCGGTTCGTGATGAAAACCATAAATCTAAATCCTAACCTTTACCATCAACTGTAAATCATTGTCTCTATTCTTCAAACTGCTTTACAACCTTCATTTAGCGCTATTAAATAGGTAGACACTCTCAAGGTCACTTTGGCGTTGCTTAAAGGTCGTCCGTAAATTATAGTCTCACCGCGTTATATACTATCTATGTTGATATAAGTATCACATCACAATTTTAGAGCTTGAGCAGGGATAACGAATTATGCAAATCCAAGTGAATTTAAATTGATTGCCCACTGGAAAGTGGCCATTGTTATATTTGTTTACTACTTAGTGGGGATGACGAACTTCTACCGATAAACTTACAATTTAACCACTAATTCAAATAGCTTGTCATCACGTTTACTATATTTTGATATCAGATAATTCAAGATGGTTGGTAGGAAATCCTAGAACTAGACTTCATGCTTCATGGTGCTCTTCAACAAATCACAATGAGATGAATATCTAATGCACTTTCATTCCTTTACACCTTTAGCTAATATCAGACTGATATGAAAATCATCCCGAAAAAATACAAAAGTTTTAATAAAACCGTCTAATATTATTATCGTTGTTTGATGTTCATAAAATTGGCCAGTAGGTTGAGCATTCGAAGACCCTGGGTTCGAATCCCACGGGCGGGATCGTTGATGTGCACTGCTGAGGAGTCTCACAATAGGACAAAGCGGTCGTCCAGTGCTTCCAGCTTTTCAGTGTTGGTCTAACATCAATCGGTTCATGATCTCAATCAAGAAATTATTTAGTTTAAAATCAATTGTATTGTTAAACATTGTTACTATGTGATTTCATGAATATTTTATAGAAATCTTATCTGCTATTTTGTTTTTCTAACTGTTTATCAATCTATTCAACATTGTCATTTATTTGTTTTTTATTTAGGTATCAGTCGATTGATATTTACAGAACAACAAGAAATTATTGGAATGACATCAGCGGAATCTGAATCGGTACCGTTTGTTACCAAAATTCATCCAGCTAAAGCTAAGGTAAGACATTCAGAAAGAAAGAAAGATGCAATTGATTTGAAACACAAAAAAAGGTGTACTTTATTCACTTAACACATTTTAAACAATCTGATGCTCATTTAATATTTACTTTGTCAAGTAACTGATATACCCGAAAGTGATTAATTAGAATAGACCTACGTTGTAGCTGACTGAATCAGAATAGAAATGAAATAATAGAATGTATACATAATAAAAGGTTGTCAAACTATTCTAGGTAATCAAATGAATTAAAGGTTACCGAAGTACGTTTAAAGTAGGCTCTAACATTTTATTAACTTGGATTTGCATAAACTTATAAATGTGCCTCCCACCTCCGGAGACAACTTTTTATGTAATGATAATGAAAGCTATTTTAAAGTCAATTTCACGACCAGTGTCAAAGATAAGTCGTACTAATGATAAGCATAACTGCCTATTCTCCATATTTATTTGAGTATGTAACACTAATTGATTCTAAGGCTATTTAGGCACATGCTCTAACATTACTCATCACTTTTTACTTGTGTTTACAAACATGCATATGAATTGGTAAACTTGAAGAGATATGACTTGATCATCCATGGAGATACTGAAATTGTTGTACTATCATGGGTTTTCAACTTTTGTTTCAAAATAATGCTGTTTCATTTTCTTTTATACTGTCACTGTGATTTCAATCCTTTTGTTTGAGCCGAAATTTCTTTTTCTAGACCTAAGTTATGCACCGTTTAATAATTACAGTCCCCCACATTCACAGCCACTTTTTGGCTCGATCTTGTATAAATGTTATTTTCTATTTTATGCTGTGATGCGGTTTGTTTGACTGGTATATAAACCAAGTATGTTTGAAACAAACGACCTGCTTAGTGGAAACTGTTGTTGGCTTTCTGAACCCAACTGTACAGGCTAGACGAACAAAAGACCAATAAAAACGCTAGGCTGCTCATACCGGAGAAACGTCATTGATTTGGCACAGTACTATGATTGAGTAAGTTGTATTTCGATTGGCGGATAAATCACATGATAATTAGTCGAGCCCAAAGACATAACAATATTTACAATACGTGGACATTTATCAACAAAGTACAACGGATTACAAATGTGACTCAGTTAATGTGTATCAGAATGATATCATATTGTGAGGAAATTTATTAGGTTAAAAGGAATAATAGTTGAAATAACATTAGTGGTTAAAAGCTATACATATATCAAATTAGTTTGAAATGAACGAATGATATCGAGAAATTGTTATGTTGTTATGATGGTCGAGAATCTAATGCAATTTTGATGGAAGCTGTTTAATTTAGTAATTCATTATCTACTAATGAGATTCTCAATAAATTTGAGAGAAATGTTTCAGAAAAATCAGACCTTAATGATTTCAAATCAATTGGTGTTCATCCTCACCATGTAGCCACTTTTAGTGGATTCGTTGTTCAACGCGACAAATATGTTCTAAATGAAGTCACATTAATTGTAACTTGGGGGATATGAGGATCCAGTATTATTTCGTGGGGGAGGACAAAGTCAGAAAATTTGAAGTCTGGTTATAAACCCCGAATCTTCAAAAAAATAGGGAGATGTTATATCCGACTAGTATTATGAATGGTAACTTTTGAGAACTATTTATGGAACAATACGATACATATATTTTTATTGTATGATTGTTATGTAACTAAACTATACATATTCATGTTCCTCTTATTAAAAGCTTTATTTTGACCCATAGGCTAATATTTACCTTTCTTGAATTATGCCCAGCCTATTAATTACAGTCTCCTATATTCACAGCCAATTCTGGCTAGATCTTGTACAAAAGTTATTATCTATTTTGTAGTACGATGTGGTCTGTTTGTTTTGTATATAAATCGAGTATGTTTGAAATACATAATTTATATAGCAAAGGCTGAGATTTGTGTTCTAGATTCAACAGGCAGGGTTAGGCAGGAAGAAGGATCGATAAGAACTTTAGACTGTTCGTACGGGTTTACGCGTCATCGGTCCAGTCGATAAATCACTGTTCTCTAATTGGCGGTATCATTTCGCTATATATTAAGAAGGCACAAGGCTATAGGTTATAACAGAAATAAACACAGAAAATAATAAGAAAGCACTAGGTGGAGAAGATAAAGATTGAACACAAATATGCCATTTAATATAGCAGGTTGACAAGATCCTCAATACTAAGCTAGTTTCGTCCTCAGCTTCCATAATAACAAGTATCTCTCCACGATATGAATAACTGAGAAGTCTCAATCACTCTCGTACTTTGAAGAGTTTGGCTTTCATTTCTTATTTTTCTATAGTTTGTTATCAAACTTTCCTCCTTAGTTTTATTCTCTTCTTTGCTTAAACTTCGTTCCTTCAAAACATCACCTCTTAGTTCCTGAAACTTAGCCTCAAACTACATGTATTCCCAGTGATATCTCAGATGATGTTCTTTACTCTGCAATAAATCATTTAACTGGTAAGAAAGGCTTGCACTGTTATTCTGAACAAGCGGATTCACTGTTCTAATTTTTCTGAACTTAACCTTAATTGTTCGTAGTCTTACAAATGCAGATAAAGTACAAAGTTCGAAAGGTGAATGGCTTCTATTAGACTGATGAAACGTACACTACTTTGATTCAAACAAAATGAAAACATAAAAAAAGCCAACAACTGATTATTAAAGAAATGATGTAAGTATACATTTTACCGTGACCGTTGCTGCTACCAGTAGAACTATACTGGCTGGAACAATTGTTCCTCAAATTTCTACCATGCCAGACATGTCGGTTGAAGAGCGGTAAGAATAAAAACAGCAAAGCCAAGGTCCGAAGGCGAAATCGTACTGCTGTCTGTACAGAGATGTGACGGCAGTAAGGTGTTTCCTTCAGAAAACCAGCATGACAGCGATGCTGCCTTCCCACAAGAAGGGGTGGGGTTAGAAAAGGTCGACCCTAAAAATGCGCATCTCGCCTTATCCCACGGATATCCGTCTCCGGGGGCAAGGTTCCAATAAGTATGAAGTCAACACAAAAATTACTCACAAAAAGATTGTATGTGACCGACCTCAAGCAGTTGTCCCTTGGGCACTGCGGTCACGCTCTCAAGTCACTAAGACCACCCTTAACCCAATTTCCTTTACAGGCAACTCCATAAGAATCCTTCCACGGAGTGGGCGACCGGAGAGTGATAACCGTCCTCATACCTCTAACAGAACACATGCATCGACCTTTTCAATATTTCTCACCTAACATTGTTTAACAAATAAAATCATTTATACTTATTTACTCATTTTAACTGTTATATAAAGGTAATAGACGGATATGTTTTTTTTATTATTCTAGGGTATGGTTGAAAAATGGTTATTACAAGTTGAAGATGTTATGTTAAGCAGTTTAAGAAAAGTGATTGCTGATAGTGTTCAGGCATATCCTGATATTTTAAGAAAAAAATGGGTATTAGATTGGCCAGGTCAAGTAAGCTTCATATTATTTATAGTCTAGTTTCTTTTTCATAATGAATATAATGGTTTTCCCTTTTCTTTTTGAATTAATAAATAATTTAAAATAGAGGATACATTTTAACAACTTCAATTTTAATAAGTCAAAGAATAAAAAGTTCGGTCAGTTAGCAACAAAGTAGAACCCGGCACATGCATGCATCGGTCCAAGTTCCCACACCTTATTATCACAACAAGAGGAACACCAAATTCATAGAAGCAATTAATTCATTGATAGTAATATATAAAAGCAAGATTGCATATAAGGATACGACACAGGGAGAAAGAATTAGGTCGTAGTGATTATGATGTAGTGAAACTTCATCAATTGAGATGACTGGGACGCGTGTTACGTATGACCAATTACTGACTGACCCATCGTGCGATATTTCATGCTATAGGAGTAGGTTGGAAGAAAGCTAGGAGCGGCCAGAACAAAACATAGCATAAATCCATGAAGTCTCTAACAAGTGGAATGAGCCATGTTAGTAGGTGTAGACTACCTCGTTAGGATCTGTGAGACGATAGCAACCAATGGTTAGAGACCTTGGATGACATGGCTCAAAATCGTCTACAGTGTGTGTTCCTCCCTATCCTAATCTTCTGAATTCTTCATGTCCGTTATTTTCTCTCCTTCCAAATTTATTTCACTGGATTATACTTCTTGAATAACATCTTCAAACCCTAATCTTACCGATTACTGCTTATATTTTGACTACCTCTACCACTACGGGATTTGAATCGACAATTATGTATGTGCGCTAATATGGTATGGCAACTCCAACTGATGTACGTAAATACAAAGTTCTACGTTGTTACTGACTGACTGACTTCACTCATTACTTTACCAGCAAATTGTTTAAGCTATAATTAACCCATATATATGACTTACAATATACTACTCAAATATAGATAATCAGTATTACATTAAATTATAATTCATCATTACTACATTATATAATATATATCTACTGTTTATTTTTCATTCTTAATAGGTTGTTATTTGTGTATCAAGCATTTATTGGACAAAAGAAGTACAAGAATCTATTAAAAATAATCAATTAACTGAATATCATAATAAATGTAATCAACAAATTGATGATATTGTACAATTAGTAAGAGGAAAATTAACCAGTGGTGAACGAATCACATTAGGTGCACTTACAGTAATTGATGTACATGGTAAGAAAATAGATTTAATAATTATGTTCTAACATATATCTTCTAAAATAAAGTGACATTAAATATTTCTACTAGTATTATAATGTATGCTACTTATATTAACAGCTGTAAGTACTATGTCACCACAATCAGAAGTTGAACTCTTGTCAAAAGAACGTTGAGAAGATTGCACTGAACAAAACAGAACAAGAACAATAAAGGAATTGGAAAATGGAAAATTCATAAAGGGTGTAAAGGACAACGGATTAATGTGCAATTTTCATAAGTGATCAAGAAACTCTGTAGTTTTGCACTAAAAGAAATAATTGGTTTTCCCCACCTGAGTTTTTGTTCACTACAGCATAATACTGCATTGTTTAATTCATCAGTTGTAATTTTCATAAATTACATTTATTTTGTAGTTGTTTGGTCTATTCTTAGACTTCTGGAGGTACTTAACTACTTGGTTGGGGTCCACGTAACTACCGTAACCAATGGTTGGAAACTGTGAGTGACATGGCTCAGAATCGATCACAATAGCGTAAATGTATAAAATTTGTCCTCCTTTAAATCATGAGATTAAAATCGCTTCATATCTTTCTTTCTACAAACTAATTCTTACTTCCTGTACTATTTCCTTATATGGAATCTTTCTTTTATATATTACCACCATGGAATTAACTACTTCTATGAATCCGGCGTTAGTTTCGCTGTGCCAATGAGGTATGGCAACTTGGACCGATGTATGTATGTTCCTGGTTTTATGTTGTAGCTGAATGACTGACTATTCTTAGACTTAATCAAATACTAATACTAATACTAATAATAATAATAAGTTCAAATCTTCACCTGGAAAAATGAATATGTTCTCAATTCTTTTTCTTCTATTTATAGTGTTCTTTTTATACGTTAGCCGTTATTATTGCTTGAACTCTTCTAGTCAACAATTATTTGAATGACTATTTGCCTCAGAATTTTATTCAAAAGAAACGTCTGACTTCATTGAAGTTATAACTACACAATTGTTTGTCTATTAAAAACTGATGTAAAATATTAATCCTGAAAATTTAATCTTGTCCCTTCATCATTTAAAACTATATTCAGTAGTTTAAAATCATTCAATGTAGATCTAGTAAATCTTTTATAATTTTATTACAGGCCTATAAATTTTCAAAATTTCCATAGGTACTCAATACCTTTATTATATGAACCAAACAATTAAACTGTTTAATAAAGATCATCATTCTCTTCATGTTTTTGAGTTATAATTTAGCTACTTAATAATAAACAGTAGCACAAATTTTAAAGACAAAAAATGCAATTTGCTAAAAATTTAAAAATTCTCAATTTCATACAAAACGCTTTATATAATATATAATATTTTAAATAAACTAACCTAGTATAAATATTTTTGGATTGTTTCCAAAAACGTTCCTCATATCATGTACGAATTAAGAATTCAAACAGATGTCCAAAATATTAGGGAAACAAGTTTCCCTAGAATAGCAGATACGAATCTGGGATATAAAATAAAATGAATTTACTTGAGCTTATAAACATAAAAATAATTTGAGCATATTTAATTCTAGAGTCGAGCTACTACTTAAATTATATTATGAGAATAACGACCGGGTGAAATGGGGTAAGAGCAATCATAATATAATTGATTAATAATCTTATCGATTGTTGGATCCAAGGTTATGTAATGTACGGAATAATATTGAGACGATATTTTAAGAAAGGATAAGTGTCGAAAAAATTGTTTAAACCTACTTGTAAAAAAATAATTAAATCTAATAAATATCATAGTTTGTATCATGATATGTCTTGTCTGATGACTACTGGTCGTCACTGATTGTTGTATCGGAAACGCTTATCACTTATACTCGAAACGATGAACGTCTGCAATTCACACGACGCGAAAGTAAGAACACAAAGACTGGTATAAGTGAAGATTTATTAACCCCCAAAACACGACAATGACCAGATATAACAAGTAGCGTTCAATTCGACAAGACATATCAGTGGCTAGGGGGATGAAAAAAGAACCAAGGTCTGCCAGTAATTTGACGAAAATCAGTGTAATTATATCGAACAATCAGTATAAAGAATTTTCATCGGTGTCCTTGAACGACATTGGTTACTAATTTGCCATACAGTATTTTCTATTACCGTGCTGATTCATAAAGAAACAGAGAATGGCTATCCCTTCCGATCAATTGCAGTTACTATTTTAGCGACAACAGCAGCGTTTTAAAAAGAATCAGTTGGAATTTATAGACAAATTACAAACACGGCTGCTGAATCATCCATCCTTTGGAGATGTGACGGGAGTTAATCAATTAATTTCTAAATTGGGTACAGAGCCAGATAACGATTGCAGAATGAATGAATGTGTAAGTGAAGGCTTCTATGAATCCTTGACATGCAGCAATTTAAACGAAATAGTAGCAGTCCAGTGGCCCAGTAATTTCTATTTCCGAAACGCCCTATCGTAGGTTCGAATCCCCAAAACACAATATACAAACACTGACTTATCCAGCTCACAGAAAGACAGGATCTTTTTAAATGCTCATGAAATTATTTCAGTACCCGCCCACGAAGAAACACAAAATGAATCAAGTAACATAAACGAGACATTTACACCAAATGAAGCTCATCAATCTAAGATAAACGTTTCTGATAAATCTACTTATCAGGATTCTCTAGTTTTTTGACCAGATATGAATCATCTTAATGACTCACATGATTTTGATGACATTTCTTACAAAAATAATTAACTATGTCGGATGTGTCAAATGATGATCAAGAACCTAATGAAATTTTGATAGATACTGATTGTCTTTACTTACTTACTTACTTATTTACTTACTTACTTACTTACGCCTGTTACTCCCAATGGAGGGTAGGCCACCGATCAGCATTCTCCAATCAACTCTGTCCTAAACCTTCCTTTTCAGTTCTATACAATTTTTGTTCATTCTTCTCATTTCTATTTCTATTTCTCGACGTAATGTGTTCGTTGGTCTTCCTCTTTTCCTTTTGCTGATTATCCTAGTGATCCATTATCTGTTAATGAGATTTTCAAGAAATTCAATGGAAACATTACAAAAGAATCTAAGCTCTAGATATAACATATCATGAACTAGTTGGTTTTAGTTAGACGGTCACTGAAAACCATGATGCACTGGAGATCTGTTTTACCTAACTATAAAACTCTTCTGATGTTCAGCGCTTTCTGTTTTTAAATGGTTTTCTAGTATAGATCATCTCATGATATAAATCATAAAACTCAATATTCTTCTCAAACCCCATTGAGTAAACACAAATCTAAATCGTGAAATGGCTAAATGGAAATAGTTTTGGACATTAAACCTATTGCGTCACATTACAAATTGGATGATTATTGATTGATGTGGCCAATAAATAGCATAGTATGAGAAAAATTGGAACGTGCTTCTTTCCTGTTTTACATGTAATATCAAATTATTAATTTCTTGTTAAGTATCCGCGCACGAGACAGAAGGTTCTGAATTCTAGTCCCGTATTCATGATCGTGGATGCGTACTGCTCAGGAGTTTCATACTAGGCTTTCAACGGTTATCTAACATTGATCGACTCATGAATTCAACAATTAAAATATTCAGTTTTCTGCATTACAAGAATATAATTATCTATTATTTTCATGATAACTCTGAATTTTTCTATAGCACGGGATGTGGTAACGTCTATGGTTAAGAATAAAGTGAGTTCAACTCAAGATTTTGAATGGTTAAGTCAACTGAGATATTATTTCCTACCAGAAGAATCGAATAAAGTAACTGTATGCCAAATAACAACTGAATTAGATTATGGGTTTGTGCTTATTAAAATAATTTGCATTTATTGATAATTTTGATTTATTAACCTAAAGTTAAGTTAATTAAAATAAGTTTTTGATTGGGATCATGAACCCATTGATGTTAGACCACCATTGAAAACCTGGAAGCACTGGACGGCTGTTCGTCCTGTTTAATGACTCCTCAGCAGTGCGCATCGACGATCCCGCTGGCGGGATTTTAATCCAAGACCTTCACTTTCGCGCGCGAACGCTTAACCTACTCGACCACTGATCTGGCATCCAATGATGTTCCTGTCTAACCTCAACCAATCCACTAAATTGCGCTACCATTTTCCATTGTACTGAGGTAGATACCTGTCTCTAACCGACACGGACCAGCTCCACTGGTCACGACATCTCACTAGAACTCCGAGAATTCTCTCACGAAGCATCAATGTAGAATACAAACTTACAAGTAGACGTCAATATGACCATTAAATCACTAGTCATTAATACAATTTAACTGAAACACTGAAAACTATACACAGAGAAATTGAGAATACCTGAGAAATTCAGTAAAATTCCAGATACAAATTGATTTGCGCTTATATATACAATTGTAGTAAACAAATTTAGATTTTAAGCCTGAAAAAGTAAATAAGAAAACTGATAAATTTATAATACAAGTGATTGATCACTGGATGGTGATGAATTTCATGTGTGTCAGGTCCTTCTCAATGCAGATAGAATGCTATCGACTAAGTTGCAATGTGGTCACTAGTCTAGGTGACTCGACATTGCGTATGCACTATGTTGAGATAGGATGGTGGTTGGAGGTAGTGAACAGGAAATTCTGAACTTGAGTCTCGTGGTACTTGGCAGTCGTCAGCATGGTGTGCATGTAATCTTGAGGGAACTGACACGCCCTGAAGGATCCGATCTCGTGTCACCAAGCTTTGCAGTCTGGAGCGTTACCACTGAGCCATCCGAGTCTCGACTGAGCTCCTGTAGGACTGAGTCCAGCAAAGAATGTTAACAGTTTATTTATGAGAAATATTAATACATAAAATTTATTTTTGTAATGCCTACTATAATGATAACCAAGGTGACAAATAGTCTGTCAGTACAAGACAAAATGCCCTGGTACAACCGAGGGTAGGAGGAGTCAGCTTTCCCTATCCAAATGCTCTCACATAGCTATGCGTATATAGCCAATGCCAGGGAAGTCCTACTCACTGCATTCTCGACACTGGGGTGTTGTTTACGAAATAAAAAGGATGAAAAGTAAATGTCCGGCGCTTTAACCGGGTCGATGGAGGGGTCATCTATGGGAGTTGAAAAGCTTTGATACCAAACCAATGGTGCACATGGTTTCCACGATCCTAAAGAAACAAAATGCTTATGAAAAAATTATTGGTCACTGGCTACCATGGGACTGCATCTCCTAACATTCCTCAACTGCCTTGTGAACTAGACCTTCAGGTCAGAAACTCAGAGTGTGTACCCTAAGAAAACCACTTGTTTCGGTTTGGGCACCCGGGCAGTATCACAGCCTACTCACAAATCAAGTAACTTGTATGGCGCATACGTATTTGGTGACCCCTTGTACCAATATTAGTGTGTTCAAATAAATAGATGTACAACGTGAAAATTTAGAAATGAATTAAAATATAATATTTTTATTAATATTGAGTAGTTTATAGTGGCCCGGAGATTTGACTCTAGGTAGATCGTTTATTGATTGCTATCGAAACATACATGCCTCCAATCCTCGTATAAAACTATCGACTAAAACAGTGTTAGTGAATAACGTAATTCAATACGCCAAATACGAGAATGGGTTTCGAATACATATATTTCATACAATCATTGATCGAAACAGACAATCAAAGAAACGAAGCGAAGAAAGTAAGGGGAATAGAGCGAAGCGAAACGAAATGATGCGCGGTTGAAAAGATATTTTGAATCAACTTGTTCTAATAAAGCGTGACTTAATCTTTATAGTCAAACAAAAATAAGTTACAGACATGTGATGAGTAGGATAAGTTATGGACACACATAAACTCACATAAAAACAGTCAAGGTTAACAAGCGAATAATGAACAGGATCAAAATATGACTTAAAAAGAACAAATAAATTGGTCAATCCGAAAGCTAAGATAACCTATATAGACTTGATATAGAACGAGCTCCTATAAGAGTATAACCATGTTTCGTTATACATTTTTTTGGTTAATTAAATAATTGTACTTGCTTCACTTAATAAGAAATTATTTCGTTATTTTTTTAAAAAAAAATGAAAGTTATGAATATTTAGGCAATACTCCAAGATTAGTGATTACACCATTGACAGATCGATGTTATCGAACACTTATGGGTGCATTAAAATTAAATTTGGGTGGTGCACCAGAAGGACCAGCAGGAACTGGAAAAACTGAAACATGCAAAGTAAATTGTATTATCCATTTTTATTTGTGATGATATGTTAAATGTTCAATATTTATCATTGTTTAAATATTTAAATACTGATAATATTGAGCGGGATATTCAAAAACTAAACAAATAGATACGTAGAACTTTGAATCAATATCGGTGGCCAATAAAGTCAAAATGAACCATTTGTTTATTAGTTTGATAAGAAACTTGAATTACAGTATGATTGATTGTTTCACTTTCAGGAAGGTCAATGTATAATCTGTTAAGAAAAATATAAAAGATCTTAAGATGACTGATGAACTCATACGATTACTCTATCAAACATTCAATATAATTTTTAGATCAAATCAAAGACACTTGAATTGGCAGAAACGAATTGATGATACTCTTAGCTATCACAGATTTAGTTATATCATTTAAGTTGAATCTACTAACGTATACTAGATCCCTGATCATCACCAACTAATTATCAAGTAATATCTATAGTTATATTTTTTGATCGTTCATATGATTATCAAATTGAGAGACTAGAACTAACGACTAGAATAATTCACACTAGTGAATAGAAAAAATTCGATAGAACAATGAGAAGACGGAGTTGATCTGAAAAATGTGATGTATTTGCGTTATACATTTTGAACAATCTGATCACACATATACTTGTCAGGGCATTTTATATGAAAATTAATAAAGGTCAATTAAATGAAAGTTCAAGTACAAACAACAACAAAAAAAGTAACAAAGAGGAGAGAAAGAATAAGAAATTGTCGCGTTATCCTAGGCCATAGAATGACTTAAGGATTACCAAGGTAAAGTCAAGGTTACTACAAATTGTTTTTGTATACATAAGAGGGGTTTAAATTTACGAATACCCAAGGCTTCAATAAACTTGAGAATTCGTCCTTATCAATTTTGTGCCCCATTTCAATTATGTTTCGCTATGGATGAACCTGGTTTTCTACCTCCCACGTTGATCGGATCATTTGTTTAATTGTCTAATTTGTAACGGATTCAACTAAATAGCAAATACAACTGATCACCCCTTAGTATCTTATAACCTAATTAGTCATAACAATATAAGTAAACAACATCTCGCATCGTAAATATGAAGAATTTTTAACGGATGATTTTTGTATATTCTTAAATAACCTAAAATTAAAAATGGTTTAATGATCTTCATTGACTAACCTAACAGAAGAATAAACTATGCAATAATATTATTCAGATGGCGTAACAATATGAATCAAGATTAAAAGTAGAACGATCTCTATTTTCAGAAGGTGTTTTGTGGAGATTTTTAGAAATTTCACTAATTGAAATCATGAGTCAATTGAAGCTAGATCACCATGGAAAACTTGTAAGCACTGGACGGCCGTTTCGTTACTAAGACATCAACACCATTGGATGCCAGCTCAATGGTCTAGAGATTAAGCATTCACGCGTGAGACCGACGTTCCTGGGTTCCAGTTGTGTATGCGGGGCCGTGGGTGCGAACTGTTGAGGGGTCCTATACTAGGATAAAAACGACTGTCCAGTGCTTCCAGATCTTTGGTTGTGGCCTAGATTAGATCGATTCATGAGTTCAACTATTAAAATAGTTTGAATGGTTTGTGCGAACTGGGAGAGAGAAACGAAAACGGGGAAAGATTTGCAAATCTGTGTGCATTCAATAAATTGGTCATAGGCGGTACAACATTTCCACACAAACGTATACTCAAAGCTACGTGGATCTCACCGGACCACACCACAGAGAACCAGATAGATCACATTTGCATCAATAAAAAGTTCCGAAGGACAATGGAAGATGTAAGAACCAGGAGAAGAGCTGACATAGCTTCAGATCATCACCTAGTTGTGGCCAAATTGAAACTGAAGCTAAAGAAGAACTGGACAACTGGACAAACAGCATCACAAAGGTTCAATACAGCCTTCCTTCGAGATACTGACAAACTCAATGAATTCAAGGTAGCTCTCAACAACAGGTTCCAAGCCTTACAGGATCTACTGAAGGAAGAAGAAACTACTATGGAGGATAGCTGGAAAGGTATCAAAGAAACATTAACTTCAACGTGTCAAGAGGTTCTGGGCCCCAAGAAGCATCATCACAAGGAATGGATCTCTACAGAAACACTGGACAGGATCAAAGAAAGAAAGAACAAGAAGACAGCAATTAACAACAGTCGAACACGAGCAGAGAAATTCCAAGCACAAGCAGAGTACATAGAAGCAAACAAGAAAGTGAAGAAGAGCATTAGAGCTGATAAGCAAAAATACGTGGAAGAACTAGCAACGACGGCGGAAAAAGCTGCAAGAGAAGGAAATATGAGACAGCTTTACGATACGACGAAGAAGCTTGCAGGGAAATACAGTAAACCAGAGAGACCAGTCAAAGACAAAGAAGGAAGACCAATCACTGAGATTCAACAACAGCGCAACAGATGGGCAGAGTACTTCGAGGAACTCCTGAACAGGCCGGCTCCGATGAATCCACCGGACATCGAAGCAGCACACACAGATCTTCCTATAAATGTCAACCCACCAACGACAGAAGAAATCAGAATGGCCGTCAGACAAATCAAGAGCGGGAAAGCAGCAGGACCTGACAATATACCAGCTGAAACGTTGAAGTCAGACATCGAAGTAACTACAAGCATGCTTCATCTTCTATTCAAGAAGATTTGGGAGGAGGAACAAGTGCCGATGGATTGGAAAGAAGGACACCTCATCAAGATTCCAAAGAAAGAAGATCTGAGCAAGTGTGAAAACTACAGAGGCATTACACTACTGTCAATACCAGGTAAAGTCTTCAACAGAGTGTTACTGAACAGGATGAAAGACGCAGTTGACGCTCAACTTCGAGATCAACAAGCTGGATTCCGTAAGGACCGGTCGTGTACAGACCAGATTGCGACACTACGGATCATCGTCGAACAATCAATTGAGTGGAACTCGTCACTCTACATCAACTTCATTGATTATGAGAAGGCATTTGACAGTGTAGATAGGAGGACGTTATGGAAACTTCTTCGACACTACGGAGTTCCTGAGAATATTGTCAACACTATCCGGAACTCATACGATGGACTACAGTGCAAAGTAGTGCATGGAGGACAGCTGACAGACGCATTCTAAGTAAGGACCGGAGTAAGACAAGGCTGTCTACTCTCTCCCTTCCTGTTTCTTCTGGTGGTCGACTGGATTATGAAGACCTCGACATCTGAGAGAAACTACGGCATACGATGGACAGCTCAGAACCAATTAGACGACTTGGACTTCGCAGATGACCTAGCCCTCCTATCACATACACACGAACAAATGCAGATAAAGACAGCCAGCATAGTAGCAGTCTGTGCATCAGTAGGCTTCAACATACACAAAGGGAAAACCAAGGTCCTCAAACACAACACGGAGAACAGCAATCCAATCACTCTTGATGGCGAAACTCTGGAAGACGTGGAATCCTTCACATACCTGGGAAGCATCGTCGATAAACAAGGAGGTTCAGATGCAGACGTCAAGGCGAGGATTGGCAAAGCTAGAGCGGCATTCCTTCAACTGAAGAACATATGGAACTCAAAACAACTTTCAACCAATATCAAAGTCAGAATCTTCAATACGAACGTCAAGGCAGTTCTACTGTACGGAGCTGAAACTTGGAGAACTACAACAACCACCATCAAGAAGGTACAGGTATTTATTAATAGCTGTCTACGCATGATACTCAACATCCATTGGCCGGATACCATCAGCAACAGTCTTTTGTTGGAGAGAACCAACCAGCTTCCAGCTGAAGAGGAAATTAGGAAAAGACGATGGAAATGGATAGGACATACATTGAGGAAATCATCAAACTGCATTACGAGACAAGCGCTAACTTGGAATCCTGAAGGGAAGCGGAAAAGAGGAAGGCCAAAGAACACATTACGTCGGGAAATAGAAGCAGATATGAAAAGGATGAATAAGAACTGGAAAGAGCTTGAAAGGATTGCCCAGGACAGGGTTGGATGGAGAATGCTGGTGAGCGGCCTATGCTCCTTCACGAGGAGTAACAGGCGTAAGTAAGTAAGTAAGTTTTGTGCGAACACTAACGGAGAGATTCATATAAATCATTTTTAAAGATAACGCTTCTGTTGTATCCCATTGTTTTCTAGATTATCCTATCTCACTAAAAACAACACAATTTTTTTATTAAATACAGTAGCATAGCTTTAACCTTGAGCCACATATTTTGTGTAAGGGTTGATCAAACCAAAGTATTTGAAATGTGGTTTGAATCTATGAAACTGTAGTCAGTAGTCAAACATTTAGTTACTTAACTTCTGTTTCAGATTCATCATCGTTAACAAAAAGAGTATTGTAACTCTGACAATTTCTTAATGGTTCATTTCATTTTATACCTTTCTTATATCAGGATTTAGCTAAAGCTATTGCAAAACAATGCGTTGTATTCAACTGTTCCGATGGTCTTGATTATCGTGCAATGAGTAAATTTTTCAAAGGATTAGCGCAAGCTGGTGCATGGGCATGTTTTGATGAATTCAATCGTATTGAATTAGAAGTATTATCAGTAGTGGCTCAACAAATTCATTGTATACAAACAGCTATCAGTGCTGGATTGAAACGTTTTGTATTTGAAGGTACAGAATTAAGCCTAAATCCAACGTGTACAATGTTTATTACAATGAATCCAGGTTACGCTGGGCGTCAAGAATTACCAGATAATTTAAAAGTAGGTTTATACTGTTTAAACTGTTAAAGTATGTTGTCATTGAATTAAATATCGTGTTGATTCCAGATAAAACATAAATTGCTCTGACCGACCAATCAATTAGTTGATTTATTTAATACATATCCAGTGAGAATGCTTTGTAAGCACAGTTTACATTAGCTTAGATGACATTCATCTTGTAGTTTACAGTTGAACATTCCTTACCTATGGTTTGTGATGGATTGGACAATGACTATGGAAATCAAGGTATTACCCTGTCCATGTCGGTTTTCTATACACAGAACGTTTGATGGAACCACTGCCTCTCTTAATAATCAGTACATCTAGAAGAAAGAGCTAGTTATTTCTCTCTTCCTCGACGGATGTAAGAGAAATATGCTTTCGACTTGTGTTGAGTTCTTTTAACAAGCAATTCACGCATTCACGCTTAGTTTTGATGATTAAGATGTCATCCACGTACCGCTTACACAAACAGATTTTTAAATTGAGTCTTCAGCTAGATTTTCAATATATTCTAATAGCCAAATATGATCAAAAGATAGACAAATATTTTCCTCCATTGAGAAACATTTTGTTGAGGCTGGTTATAAGATTGATATCAAGTCAGACTGCAATTTTGTACAAGGACGTATATTAAGGTTTATTGAAACCTTATCTACACGAAAGCTGAAACACCCTTTATATGTTCAAAATCAATTTGTTCCTACCCTTAACATATCCCGGTGATACTGATTTATTATCCAGAGTGGTTTTTGTGTACCTTACCATAATCTTTATATCCTCTTACCTTTTAATTTGTCCACTTGACCTTTTCTTTTTCATACAGAATGTCTTAACAAGTATACATATATATATATGATCAGATTGTTCGAACTGTATTGCGTTAATATATAAAATAGTTCTGATAACCTTTGTCTTCGCAATGCATTATCGAAGCTTATCAAAGGGACTTATTGTTTTCAATAACACTACTATTATAATACGTTCAATCTGTGAGATTTAACTTACCTCAAGTGGTTGGAGCCAGTCAATAGAATGATCTAGACATTAGGCTTTTATTGGTAAGCCTTCAGCAGCAAGACGTTGTCATCGTATATAGAGAGAATAAATATTTGAACAAATATTTGATGCCAAGTCCTTTATAACTAGAAATTCCTCAACGAACACATTTCTGATTATAACATTAAGTGACATAGGTATGATATCCATGAAAAATATCAGCCTCTTAAAGATTGTGGATGTCACACAGACCAGTTATTCTTCCATAGTATGGAACAGCGTCTACACCAGGGGTCGAATCCAAGGCCTTCAGGTGGTTGTTTATATTAAGTATTCAGCAAGATGCCAGGAGTTTGACCCGTGGTGGGGACATAGACGCTCATTGAGGAAGAGTCACATGCTAAGACGAATCGGCCACCTTGTGCTCTCTAGTTCTCAAATGTACTTTAACTGAAATCAGTCTGTGACGAATAAAATCTACAGATTAAATGAATCTTCACAAAACGTCTTTAACAAGAGATTGGTTTTGTGGACTGATAACTTCTACCTACAGTCAACTTATGAGTGACAACTAGTTTTAAACACAATCCAGTTTCCCTAACTGAATGAAATTCAAAGTAAAAATGACCAGATATAGATTTATTTAATTATCAAACATATGCAACTGACAAAACTCAAAATACATTTCTTCAATATGTGTTCATACGTCGGTATCTGGTCAGATTTGATTAAACTATTTACGAAACAATGACTGGATGTTACAATACAACATCATTGATCACTGAATCCTGTAAAAGGCTGCATGTCTCCCTGAAAACTGAAGACTATTGATAGCTGCACTTTGATTATACTACCAAGAAGTTCTGCAACAGTGATCAAACTCCAGTAATTATAATTTCAAAATCATTAACAGTTCTTTATATTTGCCAGTAAGAAGTCTTTAATAACAAAACTAGTGTTCATTAAAACAGATGGTTTTTGACTAATATTACAATCCAAGAGGCACATTTCTTTTTATTTAGAACTGGATGTATCTGCATTCAAATGATGATGTTCACATAGACTCAAACATAATAATTTCCATTCCCAACGCCAGTAAGCTATTCATTGAAGTATTAAGTCAAGATAGCTAATAACTTGTCCAACAGATATGTTTTTTGTATGAAATAATGGTCGTATCAAGACAGTCTGCACAGGATTTACGTATACCAACAAAGACTAGTTAAAAATCTTGTATGTAACAATGGGATAGTACAACCTCTTACTATTGAAGATAAGTATACAATGTTTTAAAATTTGAGAACAACTCTGTCACTGATTGTAAAACAATAATAATAAACTGACTAGTTAGCAAGAATTTATTTGAATATTGTTGTATATATCTTAAAATTAGGTTCTATTTCGTTCAGTTGCTATGATGGTTCCTGATTATGCACTTATCGGTGAAATATCATTATATTCAATGGGTTTCATTGATGCTAGATCGTAAGTTTATCAGTAATTTAAATTCTGTTTGTAATTATTTCATAAATAATTATATTTTAGTCTGGTATACCAAACGATTAAAAGTTTAGCTTGTTTATATAACTTAGGCAGTAAAGAAAACTGTCATCTTAATGCCTAGAACAAAATCGAAAAAAACGGAACGTCCTCTAAAATCCTTATGCATTAAATCAGTTCTATTTGACAAATATGAAAGTATTCACATATATAAAAGTAACCGTGGTAAAGAACATTTAACTTCTTGACTTATCAGATTAGATGGAAACATAAATACAGTACTTTATGAAGTTTACTGGAATTTTCCTCGAAAAAAATTTAATAGCCATAAGTAATTTTGAATATTTCAGAGTCCTCAGATTTCATAGCTAATATCACGAACTCACTTAAGTTAGACAATCATCACTAGATGTAAGTTTCGTCATAGAGTGGAAATCTTCAGCCACACAAGCTTGCTTCTCCGTCACAGGGAATGAGATCCAGGACTTTCAGCCTAGCACTCTAATGCTTAACCTCTAAACCACTGAATTGGAACTCAATGCTATGCAAGCCTCAATGATTAATATGTTCAAATTGTTAGTTTGTTGTTCAAAAATTCATTTCAAATTAAAAGGCAAGGATTCACAAACAAAGAATATTCTTTTCACTAAGATCTCATTTGATACTACAGTTATTATTTAAATAATCATACAAATCAATGAATAGATGCTTTATTACATATATATTCAACGAAAGTTGTGATATTATATTAGATGGAAGTCTAAGGTGTATACATAGCTACTCCTTGTATTATTGAAAAGAAGAATACTGTATTAAATGAAAATGAATTGGTTTAAAGAAATAATTATCAGATCTCAACTAAGCCTGTATAATATAAAATAACCATTTACTAAATGAGTAAATTAAATTCTAGGAAAATATTACCAAATATTAGATTACTTGCTTACTCTTGATACCCCTCGTCGAAGAGCATAGACTACCTATCAGCAATCTCTATGCAACACTGTCCTGGATAATCATTTCCAGTTCTTTCCAGTTGCTATTGATCGTATTCATGTCTACTTCCAATTCCCGACGCAATGTATTCTTTGATCTCCTTTTCCGTTTCCCTTCAAGATTCCAAGTTAGCGCTTGCCTCGTGATGCAGTTTGATGATCTCCATAATATATGTTCTATCCTTTTCCAGCGTCTTTTCCCGATTTCCTCTTCAGCTGGAAGTTGATTTGACCTCTGCCACAGTAGGGTGTTGTCAATGGTTTCCGGTCAACGGACATTGAGTATCTTGTATAGACAATTATTTATAAATACTTGTACGTTTTTGATTATGGTTTCTAAAAAAACGCGAACAGGACTGAACAAATATTAGATTTGACTACAATAAATACACAATCATCTACGTTGATTAATCACCATCATTTCGTTTGAAAATAATTATATTTATGTTCTAATGGTTTTAATAATTTCCAATACTTCTGGAAATAAAATCAACAGTCTGCAAGCAATAACATAGTAACTCCTATCTATTTATTTATTTAAATACATAGACATTAGTACAAGGAGGCACCAAATAGATATGCGCCACATGAATCATTCTATTTGCATGAGGGCTGGGATACTGCTCGGATTTCTAGGTCGTATAGGTGGACTCCTTAGAAGGGCACATCCCGAGCCTTCAACGTGAAGGTCTAGTTCACAAGGCAGTGGAGCAACTTCAGGAGATGCAGTCTCAGTGACCAATAATTGGTCCGAACGCCATTTATCCCTTCAGGATCCTGGAGTCCATATGCACCATTGGTTTAGAATCAGGGCTTTCCAACTCCCCTAGATGAATCCTCCATGTTCACCGACCCGATTAAAGTGCCGTACATTCACTTTTCGTCTTCTCAATTTCGTAACTAACATATCTGCTGCGAGAAGACAGTAAGTAGGACTTTCCTGGAAGTGTCTGCATACGCATAGCCATGTGAGAGCATTTAGAGAGTGCTAGGCTTGAAATGGTTACGAGTTCACTTAGTCTGCAAACGGAAACAATGACTTCTGACCAAAGACCAATAAACTAGCTATTCTATTGCATCCCAGCCCTGCTAACTAAAGAGAGAAGTCGAAGTCCGAACGGGGAAGTATGTTCCGCAAAAGCCAGAAGCACGAGCGATAACAACAGACACAAATCAAAACGTATATATACAGCACAAAACCGTCCTTGGGAAGCACTACAAAATACCGTACTATAAGACATAACGTTTAAGATTCTCCCAAGTGGGAAATACAACATGGAGGTGAAAAGAGCGCTTTTGGCGCGAAACCAAAGAAATTCAAATTTTAAAAATAAAATTACAAAGTTATGACCTTTTTTAAGTGAGTTCTGGGGATCTAACCTCCGCAACAGAGAGGGAGAACTGACTCTCTCCACAAAATATAGGTTCAAACACACAAATTTCTATCTAAATAAATTTTCAGTTCAGGGGTTGTGGAGATTGTTAAGTTCTTGATCGAGATCATGAACCGATTGATGTTAGACCGCCATCAAAAACTTAACAATCTCCACAACTCCTAAACTGATAATTACTATGTGCTCACTAGTGAAAAAATTCCCGGAGTTCTGGTGAGAAGCCGTGACCAGTGTATCTAGAGACAAGTATCTATCTCAGTACAATAGAAGATGGTCGCGCGACATCGTGTATTGGTTGAGGTTAGACATTAACACCATTGTATGCCAGCTCATTAGTCGAGTAGGTTAAGCGTTCGAGCGCCAGACTGAAGGTCCTGGGTTGGAATCCTGCGAGCGGGATCATGGACACGCATTGTTGAGGAGTCCCACAATAAGACGAAACGGACGTCCAGTGCTTCCAGGTTTTCAATGTTGGTCTAACATTAATTACTGAATTTCATTAGTTATAGACAATGAATCAAACATCTTTTTTTTCCTACAACAAACTAATACAAAACAAAATATCGTAAACAACTATTTCACCTCATTATCCAACTTGTTTATCCCTATTAATGTAACATAGAATCAAGCATACAATCATTAGGTCCAATAACCATTCTATCATTATATATATATATATATATATATATATATATATATATATATATATATATTAGATCATTTATAATATTACTTTATTATTGATTATAGATTATCTAGTAAAATTGTAGCTACTTATCGTTTATGCTCAGAACAATTATCATCACAACATCATTATGATTATGGTATGCGTGCTGTTAAATCTGTATTAACAGCAGCTGGTAATTTACGTCAAAAATATTTCAATGAAAATGAATCTGTATTATTATTAAAAGCAATTAATGATGTAAATTTACCAAAATTTTTATCACAAGATATACCATTATTTGAAGGAATTATATCAGATTTATTTCCTGGTATTCAATTACCTAAAAATGATTATAATCAATTAATTGATTGTTTACATCAACAATTACATAATAATCAATTACAATATGTACCATGGTATTTAAATAAAATTTTACAAATTTATGAAATGATACTTGTTAGACATGGTTTAATGATTGTTGGTGATACATTAAGTGGTAAAACTAAATCATATCAATTATTAGCTAATACATTAAATCAATTAATTGAAACAAATCAAATTATTAATGAATATTCAGTACAATATAGTATTATTAATCCAAAATCAATAACTATAGGACAATTATATGGACAATTTGATATAATATCACATGAATGGTCTGATGGTATATTATCTGTAATATTTCGTGAATATGCTACAATACAAGATAATAAACGTAAATGGATATTATTTGATGGACCAGTTGATGCTGTATGGATTGAAAATATGAATACAGTATTAGATGATAATAAAAAATTATGTTTAATGTCAGGTGAAATAATACAAATGTCATCATTAATGAATTTAATATTTGAACCAGCTGATTTAGAACAAGCTAGTCCAGCAACTGTATCTAGATGTGGTATGATTTATATGGAATCAATACAATTAGGTTGGAGACCAATGGTTAAATCATATATTGATTATCAATTACCAAATAATTTAATCAATGAATTAAAAGAATTAATTAATGATCTTTTTGAATGGCTTGTTGATCCATGTTTAGAATTTATACAAACTAATTGTAGACAATTATTTTCTATATCTAATTTACATGCTGTTAAACAATTGATTACATTATTTGATTGTTTATTAGATGAAATACGACATTGGTGTACATTAGATCATAGTGAGTTGATGATTTATAATATCAGTTTAATATTACCAATAACAGAGATTGATATGTATTTAAAATAGTTTTGATTAGAAAATGATAATTGAGACTGTAATTTATGAATAGCATTTGAGCGATGTTAGACTGATCTTGAGAGTGTTCACTCAAATGACGGTTATACATATGTGTAAGGAATTAAATTTATAATTTACAGTTGATGGTTAGAGTAAGGAATTAGATTTCAGGTTCTCATCACGAACTAATATCAGCTATAATGTCAAAACTCTATTTAAATGGTTAAGATCATGAGTCAGTCGAAGCTAGACCACCATGGAAAACTTGGAATCACTGGACAGCCGTTTCGTCCTATTATTGGACTCCTCAGAAGTAAGCATACACGACATCGCCCCCTGCGAGATCCGAACCCAGGACCTACTGGTTTCGCGTGCGAGCACTTAACCACTAGACCACTGAGCCGGCATCCAACGGTGTTAATGTCTAACTTCAACTAATCCGCGAGATTGAGCGACACATTCACCAATGTCTTCAGTGAGTTACTATCTCACGACAGACCTGGTTGAACTCCACTGGTTACTACATCCCACTGAAACTTCAGGAATGATTTAAAAAAACCAGTAGGTCCTGGGTTCGAATCTCGCAGGGGGCGAAGTCGTGGACGCGCACTGCTGAGGAGTTTCATAATAGGACGAAACGGCCGTCCAGTGCTCCCAGGTTTTCCATGGTGGTCTAGCTTCAATTGACTCATGATCTTAACCATTGAAATTACTACAATCTCCACAAAACCTTTTCTGATAAAACTCTATTTAGCCAAATGCATGGGTGAATTTCGCGCCGAAATCCGAGACCTATTATCTTATACGTGATTGGTTCGTCCATAAATTATAGTCTCGCCATTAAAAAGGTACTATGTAATTGTTTTCTTCAGGTGTAAAGCTTCTTACCAATTAAAGTACATGAATTTATTCGATAATACACCTAAAGCATTCCATTATGATTATAAATACTAAGTCAGTCAGTCAGCCAGTTATTTGAATAATTACTTTAACTGATATGATTTAAACTACTGAAATATTGTCAAAACCTCTATAAAAAACTTTTATATATCAGGAATAATTTTAGCTTTAGATATGGGTATAATCTATAAGATTCAGTATTACGTACACAATTCTCAGAAATGATATTAAATTCCTTGAGGTTTGTTGTGTAATACAAATAGGCTTTAAAATTGCATAAGAAACTGTGTACATGTAACGAGTGAGTAGCCGTGACCAGTAGATTCCAATCCGTGTCGACTGTTACCTACCTCAGATAATGGATAAAGAGTTTCGCAAGATCATGGATCGATCGAAGTTAGACGTTAACACCGATGGATGTCGGCTCAGTGGTGTTATATCCTAGTGAAGATTAAATTACAGGTAACGGAATTACAGGTAATGGAATAATAATATATCCATATTTGCGATCATCGAGAACTATATGATCGATTGAATGAAAAGTATAATTGTGAACAGTATTAAATTGAAAATGAACTCGTTAAAAGGATTTTATCGCTGAATGAATTGTCTCATGGTTTAGTGAGTGTATAAGGGAGTAAACTTCTTCGTAACAGTAAACTGTTCATCTATCCCCAAAATTCGACTGAACTTAAGAAAATCAGTGACTGAAACCAGCTCGGAATCTAAATGGCATGGATATAAATGAGTATGAAATTATGAGGAAATTCCGTAAGTAAATATGACGCTAAAACATCATGGTAGAATTAATTAGGTACAAAATAGTTTTAGGAAAGCTAGGGGCGGTCAAACTAAAATCTGTCATCAATCCATAAAGTTACTGAATGTTGGTCTGAGTCGTATTGACTGTATCATTGATTTCAAATTGATCACCGAGACCAGTTATTGTATATGGCAAATGATCTGGCTCAGAATCGCTCTCAGTAGCGTAGACGCGTTCACTTATTAAATTTACCTAGAATTTGATCTCCAGTACTCCCTTTTACATACTTAGTGTTATATATCCAAGAGAAGATTAAATTATGAGTACCTTCTTAGGGCTATTAATAGACTAGTATTATAAATATATTCTTATTGTATAGCTGTTGAATAACTAGATTATGTACACCGAAATTTCTCTTATTATAAGCTTTCATTTGACCGACTGACTACTATTTTACGACTTACTATTCTTAAGTTATACCCAGTTTATTAATTACAGTCTATCAAAATTACAGTTGCTTTATGGTTTGATCCTGTACAATTGTTATTTTTTTATTTTATGGTATGATGTGGTCTAGTTTGCTTGTATATATATCAAGTATGTCTGCATTTAATGATTCGTATTTTAGAAGCTGATGTTGGTGAACTGGACTCAATAGGTAGGGCTAGTCAGGAAGAAGGATCAATAAGGACTCTAGGCTTCTCATACCGGTTAATATGTCACTGGTTTGACACAGTGCCAAGATTGAATAAGTCGTATTTTGATTAGCGAATCAGTCACGTGATAATTAGCCGAGCAAAAGTCACAACACTTAGTCTTTCTCATCATCATTAGTAATACATTATTTCAACTCCTTCACTATTCGTTTTGTTGATTTCATCGCGTGCTAATATGATATTGTGAACTGAGCTAATACACAATTCTGCCAACAGCTACATTGATCGTAACTATTTTAATTTAAACTGGAACATTTCAGCCGCGTACACCAATGACTATACAATCAGCAAAACCCAGTAACTTCTCCCTTTTTTCAAACCATGTTATATACATAAATCATTAGTCAATGTGAAGTTTGATAATTTCAGCTGCATATATTTGGACCTTGTCCTAAGCTGTTGATGACTGATTGACCTACTCGAGTTTAATATCTTATTGTTGTTATTAATACATAGAAGCCTGGATAATAACAATAATATCACAAATGGAGACAACCAAATGTATTTCAATCCAAAATTACAGAATATCTTGGTAAAATATGTGAACCATACATTTATAAAATATTCATCAATTGTTTCAGATTTTATTGTTCTTTCCTTTCCACACTAATCACTCTCTGTTCTCATCCGCTTCTCTTCGATTTTCTCAAACTTATGCTGCCTGGCATTTCATTTTCGATTGGTTATACATACTACTTATATCTGTTGACATCAGTAGCACACACCACCATATTACCTTATACTTTCGAATCTGCATTACATAACCCTGATTTAGATTCTATAATAATTGAACGTTAATAGTTGATTAACAAATCAAATAAATTGTTACAGATGTCTGGTTTTCCTGTGTTTTTTTTAAATACAGTTTCTATGCACAAATTAGTGTTGATATGTTTCTATGTTATAACTTGTTGATTTTGATTATAGATGCAGAAACACCGGAAATTGGTTCACCACAAGCGAATATGTCTGTTCAAACTGTTTATTTACAAATTCAAGCATTATTTCTTTTCTCAATTGTATGGAGTTTAGGATCATGTTTACCAACTGAATCAAGAGGAAAATTTGATTTATTTTTTCGTGATCTAATTTCTGGTGTAAATCAACAACATCCTAAACCAAAAACAATTAAATTAACTAAAGCAAATTCATTTCCAGAACGTCAAACTGTTTATGATTTTTGGTTTGATAAAAAATCTCAAGGATCATGGACTGATTGGATTAATTTTAATTGGAATCCAATGAAAGCTGGACAATGTTATAATCCTAATGAATCTATAACAAATGTGACGAATTCTGAAAGTGGTATACCGAATTCATCAAGTTCAATTGGAATTGATAATGATTCACAAAGTGATATGATTGTTAGTACAATTGATACTGAACGAATGTATTACTTTCTTAATCTGTATACAACACATCATATTTCATTACTTTTAGTTGGACCTACAGGTATTAACACTTTAATAAAAACGTAGACGAGACTATAATTTATGGACGAACCAATCATACATAAGATAACAGGTCGTGGATTTTGACGCGAAATTCACTCATCTATTTGGATAAATTGAGTTTTAGCATTATAGCTGATGTTAGTTCATGATGAAAAACCTAAATCTAAATTTTAACCTTAACCATCAAATGAAAATCATAATTCTAATCCCCCACAATATTTCATAACTCTTATTTGATCTTGGTTATTAGGTGGACATCCTCAAGGTCACTTCAGCAATGCTCAAAGGTCGTCCATAAATTATAGTCTCACCAAAACATGCCTTTAATCTATTCTAATTTAAATTTAAAAAATAATTAATCAAATTAATAGTGTTATAGATTAACATTTTGTATGTTCATAACCATACTTGTGGTATATGCTACTTATATCTGTCGGTAAAAGTAGTATATAACACCAATCGGAAATTGAATGCCTATCAAAAGAAAATTGAGTAGATTGAACCGGGAAAAAATAGAAAATAAAACATTAAATGGATTGAGGAATTCAAGAATTGTAAAGGTTGTAAAGGACAATTAATGAAAGATTAATAAATGAAGTAATTAATCTATGGTTTTCACATTTTATTAAAAAGAACTCTATAATTTTGTGTTAAACCATGAATTAGTTGTCCTTATTTGAGTGCTCATTCACTATCTAACTATCTAACTGAGTCATAGAAAACATGTTATGAATGACGTAAAATGTATTTGGGAGTTAACGTTGAACAACTCATGCAGTTAACCTTTTCTTTCACACAATAAATATGCGTGTACATTCAGTAAGTGATGTCCAGATCAGTGAGATGAAAACAAGCTGCTAAAACAAAGTGACATAACGGTTATTCTGTTTTATAAAGCGTAAGGGTGAGTAATCAGAGCAAAATTAAGTAAATAAACGACCCTAACAAATTTTTGACCTATTCAACTAATTAGAAAAAAAAAGGATATGAATGAAAGATTTCAATTTCTACAACCACAGTTTAGGTTTAAAATTCAGAGTTAGGATTTTCACCATGAAATGACTTCAACTATAATGAGATAGTGCTTTGTAGTAGACAATTAAATGAATGAACTCCGAAATGTCTAATCCTAAAACTAATTATTTTGTTCGTTAAGTTTGGTGCCACGTAACCTTAAATCCTGAAGCTAATTCGTAGTACTAACTCTTACATTTAGTCTTTGAGCATGCATTATATCATAGCTCATATCAATTCGTGTTTAAAACCCTAACCATTATTTCCTTTTATTTCAACATAGGTAGAAGGTGTTCTGTTTTGATTTAGGCATCGTAATCTAAAAGAAATCTGAACATTCATTATTAGCTCACACATATATTTGAGCTTTATCTTTGTAAAGACATTTCAATTATGAGTTCGGATCACTGATACGAGTTAATTATGGTTTATTTATCTATTTATTTATTTGAACACATAAATATTGGTAGAAAGGGTCACCAAATACATATGCGCCATACAAGTTACTTTATTTGTGTGCGTGTTATGGTACTGCCCGAGTCCCCAGACTGAAGTAGGTGGTTTCCTCGGGGAGCCACTCCTCAAGCCTTGACCTGAAGGTCTAATCCATAAGACAGTGGAGCAACGTTAGGAGATGCAGTCTAATAATAGCTGGTTCACACACCATTTGTTCCCTCAAGATATTGGAGCTCATGTACACTATTGGTTTGAAATCAGGGTTTCCCAACCCCCCATGTGGATCCTCCGTGCCCACCAACCCGGTTAAATCGCTGAACATTCGCTTTCCGTCTTTTCGATTTCGTAATCAACACCCTAGTGGCGAAAATACAGTGAGTAGGACTTCCCTAGCAGTGGCTGTATACGCGTGGCCATGTGACAGCATTTCTAGAGAGAGAGATAGAGATAGAACTAACTCTCTTCACCCTCGTCCGCACCAGCCCATTTGGGGGCTTCATTCATTTCGGTAATGTCAATTATAAATTATCCTACAATATTTCTGTCGATGAAACATTAAATACATTTTTTCTGATTTATTGAAACTTAAAAATAGCTAACATTGATTATGAGGTATCATTCGTAAACTCCAACTTAACTTTCCTATTCTTCATTCAAACAACAGAGACAATTGAATCATTAGTTTGATTAGTAACAAAAAAATTAATAATCTTTCCTATCAAATGTAGTTTAACGTATTTTAAGTAGAATAAACATCTGTAGCTTAAGAAATTATGTAATAAACTAAATCCTTTTACGAGGGAGGGTGGTTTATTAAAGTATCTAACCATCAATCACTTTTACGGTCATTACTACAAACAAACAAAACACATCCAAGTAAACTTTCCATGGTCTGTTTCTTTCCATGAACAAATTAATACTAAAATGAAACAATTGTCCTATGTTCTTTGAATTTTAATGACTAATTAAAACCACAAGTTTATACTTTTCAGTATGATGGTTAAAGAATCTTTAGTGGCCCTATATCTAACTCGAATTAGATCGTATGAATGATTGTTGTCAAAATAAATATATTGGCTATCTTTGTATAATTCATCGACTTAAATCTTATTAGTGAATAACGGGATTAAATAAGCGAAGCGAAGTCGTGTGCGCTAAATCCATTTAGTCAGGCTTTATTCAATACTTATAGCCAGATAAAATTAAGCTACAGACATTTGATGAGTGCAATAAGATGTACACACACATACACTCATACAAAAGCAGTCAGGGTTGGTAAGTGAATAATTAACAAGGTCAAAACGTGACTCAAGAAGGGTGAATAAATTGACCTGTCCGGAAGCTAGAATAAGGTATATAGGCTTAACAACAACAACTGACAAAACAAATCATTATTCCAGCTCCTAGAATAAAACACTTCAGACATAAGCATATATCAGATATGTATAACCTAATCATAGACTTTTTCATATCGCACACATGTCCAACGTGTTGTGAACGTCATGTAAACCTATTACTCTATCCAGTTGTGTTGCCGTTTCCATAACACTTCATTAAAGAATTTACATTATAATTAGCTATCATATCATTTATTGATTAGTATCCTATTTACTATTTCCAAATAACCCTAATACCCTTCTGACCCTTCCAATTGATGTTTTATTTTGTTATCTTTCTTTTTGTTTCCTCTTCTCTTCATATTTTAAGGAACTGGTAAATCTGTTATTGCTAATAATTATCTTATTCAATTACCTAAAGAAAATTATTTACCGAATATTTTAAATTTTTCTGCACGTACAACTGCTAATCAAACACAAGATATTATTATGTCACGTTTAGATAGACGACGTAAATGTGTATATGGTCCACCTATAGGTAAACAATGTATTGTATTTATTGATGATTTAAATATGCCAATGAAAGAGAAATATGGTGCTCAACCACCTATTGAATTATTACGTATGTGGCTTGATCATAAACATTGGTATGATAGAAAAGATAATACAAAACAATATTTAGTTGATGTAGTAAGTACAAATAGATTATCATTATTTCGGTTTTGTTTTGTTTTTCATATAGATTGTGTCAAATTCAAAACATATATCTTGATATGAAATAATCTATTAAATATAAAGGCAGATGAATTTTAGTTGGTGTATAAGTAATTTGATTAATCAACTAACCAAAATAACAGATATGTATTGGCATTGCATCGTTAATTAATCACTCTCATGACTGTTATTATATAAACAACAACGGTGTTTGAAAACAGAAAGCAATTAATGTTAACCCAAAACTATAAGCACACCGGGCGAATTTGATGCAGAAAGACGAACAAGTATGTACGAGCAAATACATTGGCAAATTTATAGTCAAATCACATAAGGGTATAGCAAGGACTAATAATAGGATTTGAGTACTATATACATGGGGAGGAGGATGAATCATCGAGCGATGATTATACAACCAACATTTTAGTTAATCTGTCAAGTGGATCTAGTGATCATGACGGTACAAAGGAATATGCGAAGTGTTCTGTTCAAATAACATTGTCTGCTAAGTTAATAAAAGGGCCTAACCAAAATTAACCATAGTAAAAATGGGTTGCAGGATTTTTGCTATAGACATTATAAAAAACAGATGGATGGTGGCTAGTAGTGATGTGTGTTTTGTCTCATTAGCTAGATGTACCTACATCCTAGAGTTAGTGTTCACTCTGAGATTCGAACCCAGGAACGAAATGGGATTTGAAGCAGACGTTACTGGGTTCTTCATACAATATATTAAACTCATAAATCCTTCATTTAAGGCTGATTTGTCTAATATTCCAAGCCTTACAGATAGATATCAACTTGTACAATCCTAACTCTTGGATTTCTTGTAGATTATTTGCAACCATACAACACTGATCTTTACTCCAATGTGAAGTCACTTAGTCTAGTGATCTTATCACATACTTGGTCGCTGGAGATTGGTCGACAACGAAGATCAAATAATCTGACGATCGCTATCGTTTATATACGGATAGATATCACAGTTAAAGATGTTAATTTGTCTTTATGTTGTTGACAATATCTTACAGATTCATCTGAAGACTTAGTGGATATTTCCAGCCTGTGTGTTTCATAACATGACAATATATTAAATTGATGTTTCTTTCATGTTAATATGCATATTGACATAACTCATAACTAACATAAAAATCACTTACTCTAATGGAGTTTATTAGATAGACAGGGTCGAAATTTCACATTGTCTTACTTCAGTCTTTTTAATAATTAAATGTTATAATCTGTATAGGGTTGTGTAAATTGTTGGATTTCATTAAAATCATGAACCAATCTAAGTCAAACCACCATTGGGAACCTGAAAGCACTAAACAAGAGTTTCATCCTAGTATAGAACTCCTCAACATTATGTATCCATGATACCTTACAAGGATTCATGATTTCAATGAAATTGTATTATCCTGAATTTGTTAGAGAAAACTCCAATGTTAATATTATATCTTAACTTTTCCATTTATTTGTTAATTCATTATTATTATTATTATTTTTAATTACAATTCATTAGCATTTTATGGCTGCTATGGGACCACCTGGAGGTGGACGAAACAATATTACATCACGTTTAACTAGACATACAAATGTATTAGGTGTTAATGAATTTGATGATCAAACAATGTTAAAAATATTTACTACCATTACCGATGCACATTTTTCAAATGGTTTTGAACCACAATTTATGAGATTAAGTAAAGTATGTTTAGTTTTATTTTACATTAAAATCTGTTCTATTCAAAAATAATTTCAAGGTTTTCGTTTGTGGTTAATCCAAAAAAAAAAAAAAAAAAAAATCAACACTCTAATTATCAGTTTGAAATGAGATCATAACTTAAGTAAAAATGGATAGTGGCTAGAATTGGAATCTGAAATTATTGTTTGATTTGTGTTTGAAACTCATCAGCTAGATAGATGTACTTGTATCTATGTAAATGTTCACTTCGACAATCGAATCCATCATCCTTTACTCTAGATATTAACTCGTTATTCAATAAACTACTTGGTTGATATGTTCATTAAATTGTTCAAATCCAATGAATATTATTATTTATTTGTAAAATTTTTGAATCATCCCGTTATTGATGTTAAGAGCTAAGTTTTGACTAGTCTTTTTGTAGAAGATAGTCAATGTTCTTCTTTATTTAAGAATTTATGAATTAATGGAAATATCGAGGTGATCCATTCAGGATGCATATATGCCATAAAAAAAATTAATCAATAACGTAAATATTCAAACACTTATATAGATTATAAATTACAACTCAGTTTTGATATTCTAGTCTATTGATGTTATTTTCCTTATGGGAACAGAAAATAGAGTTCCAAATTAGAACAAAACAATTGTACAGTATTTAATATTTTTAAATGGTTCTTCAGCTGCCGTTGTTTAAGTATAAAATAAAGTTGTTCAACTACATGTAAAAATGATTTCCAACTCCTGCTTACGACAGTATCACTATCTTTTGCCTGAATTTTCTTAAACCAATCAAACCAACAGTGATTCGCCCCCAAATGCCCTAATACAGCCGAGAGTATAGAGTGTCAGCTCTCCATCTCCAAATGCTCTTACATTGCCATAAATATACAGACACTATTAGGGAAGTCCTACTCACTGCATTCTCGCAGCAGAAATGTTGTTTACGGAATTGAAAAGACGAAAAGCGAATGTCCAACGCTTTGTCCTAGTTGGTGGATATGGAACATCTACTTAGGAGAGTTGAAAAACCCTGATTTCAAACAAGTAGTGCATATAGGCTCCAGGATCCTGAAGAAACAAATGGCATATAAATCTATTGTTAGTTACCGGATACCATGGGACTACATTTTCTAATGTTGCTCCACTGCCTTATGGATTAGACCTATAGGTGCAAGTCTCCGGATGCGGCTTCCTAAGATTCCAGCTTTAACACAAACCATTTGATTTGTGTAGTGTATATATATTTGGTACCTCCGTATACCAGTGTTTATATGTTTAAAGTAAATAATTTTTAAAAAAAACAGCGTATCATGAATTCATGGTTGTAAATTACTCACATGAGAGGGTATGGTTGGAAGTTATATTGAAGACATATTGGTACAGTATAGCAAGGGTGTAAATAAAATTAATAGACTGAATACTGTAAGTTTATACCTTATATGAAAGAACATTCCAACATTGATTGTGACAACAGTTCAAGCAGCCAGAAACAAACGATTACATAATAAGTAAACATTGATAAGAGTATAGTGAGCAGAGCTCAGTTGATAAAATAAGATTATTAAGTTGAAAGATAATTGAAATAAAACTCAATGATGTAATAAATGCAGGAATGAGTTTAAAGAAAAAGAAAAAAATTTAAGATGCAGTGAAGGAATATTTGTCACTAAAGCAAGGAAAGATTAATAACGCATAAGTCAGGTTTTTGACGCCTGATGGCAACAGCTTCAGTAAACTTCAGAAAACTGGAATTTAGCTGCTTACTAATCACCTTAAAACATTGCAAGTTGTCTACCTGATGTCCTGTATGAAAGAGATGTTTGATGATTATATTGTTTAACGTATTTCTTTCTCTTGTTCGGAGACTTTTTAGAACATGTTGAAAAAATCTAAGATATGCCCTCCTTTCTGTTTGGTAAATGTAGCTGATTTGACAGATACACAAAAATTTATAAATACAGTTAGTGTTGTAGTAAACAGAACACGGGTGGGGAAAATTGAATGTGTTTGACACAAAATTACAGGACTTCTTAATAAAATCTAACAATCATATAGTAAATGCTTAATTTGCAATTGTCTCAAAATGACTCAGACTTCATTGGTCCTACATTTACATACAAATTGCATTCCGTTTCCATTCTTTACTGTTCGATTCTCTTGTCACTGCTCTGCTGCCAGACATTATTTTCACGACTAACATCATACACTACTTATGTCGACATAAGTAGCACACACCACAGCGGTAAAATGAAAGGGGTGCTTATTAAATTAAGAATACTATTCTGCTAGAATCTTTGTTCTTGCTCTTTCAAAAAACAACAACAGTAATTACGTTCATGAATTTCTACCATATTAAGGTCTAGTTGTATATAGAAACAAAGTAATGTTTAGTTCTAATCAATTATAGTTTCTAATTGTAATCTCATTAAAATTTAATTTCCATGAATGAATTACTTCTTTTAAAATTATAAATAATAATAAAAAGTAAACACATTTATATTTATTCTTAGATATTAGTTCAAGCAACTTTACATGTTTACAAATTGTCTATATCAACATTTTTACCAACACCAGCTAAATCACATTATGTATTTAATTTACGTGATTTTGCACGAGTTATCAAAGGTATACGTTTAGTACCATCAAGTAATATGAAAGAAGAAGATAAACTAATGCGTTTATGGATACATGAGGTAAAATAATTGATGTTTGTTAGTAAGAAGGTATAAAATTATTTTATTATTATTATTATTATTTCATTGGTAATTTTGTTTGACTGAAGTTTCGAACAAATAACTTAAAGAATATTTAGATTTAGATTGATATCATGAATGGATCAATGCTAAACCACCATTGAAGACCTAGAAGTACTAGACGACCATTTTTATCCTACTATGGGAAGCTTCAGTAGTTGTGCATTCCGAAGATGTAGGAGTTGTGAATGAGCATCGCTGAAGAGTCCCATAGTAGGATAAAACGACCGTTTGATACTTTCAGGTCTTCAGTGGTAGTTTAGTGTTGATTCATTCATGATATCAATCTAAACACAGTAATCTCCACAATCGTATACTGATATTATTGTAGTATTATAATATTTTGTTTCATATATATGATAATTGGGACTTTATTAACATAAAAAAAGACATTGGTAACGGAAAGAAAACATTAAATGTTCAGTGTTAATTGCAATATATTTTCAGATTTATATATATATATATATATATATATATATATATATATATATATATATATTGATAGTTTATTGGCCTCCAAATGCCCTAGTACGGCCGAGAGTGAGGAGAGTCCGCTCTCCCTCTCGAAACGCTCTCACATGGCCACGTGTATATAGCCTCTGCTAAGGAAATCCTACTCACTGCACATTCGTGGCGGGGGTGTTGTTTACGGAATTGAGAGGACGAAAAGCGAATTTCCAACGCTCCAACAGAGTTGGTGCATATGAAGGATCCACCTAGAGAAGTTGGAAAACCCAGTGGTGCACAAGGACTCCGGTATCTCGAGGGAAAAATGGAGTATGAACAAATCGTTGGTCATCGGTGACCATGGGAATGCATTTGCTGACGTTGCTCCACGCTTTGTGAATCAGAACTTTAGGTCTAAAACTTTAAGTGTGGCCCCCTAAGAAAGCCACCTGCTCCGGTTTGAGCATCCGAGCAGTATCACAGCCCTCACATTAATCAAATGAAGTTTGCGTGGCGCATATATATTTGGTGACCCTTTGTACCAGTATTTGTATGTTCAATTAAATAAATAAAATCGTTTATTGATAATTGTGTAGTGATGAATGTCCTATTTTCATAAAATATATAAATAAAGCATGTCAAACCGTTGTAAAAATCATAATATGTATCCCACACAATTTTCTAAAATTCACATTTTGAATTACAATCTTTCTGGTGAACAGTAGTATAAACTCATGAGTCAAACACTGATATTGACAAACTATGTTCGGTATCTTTGACTTATCGTTACATATTGATTTAAAAAAAACACAACCACATCTCTTTACTGTTTTGTTCAACCTATGGGGTTAGGCAGGTCTGTTCAATCTCACCATTTCCCTCCAACTTTGCCTTTTATTACGTTCTGGAAACATCACTGATGGATGTAAGTAATAATGATATGGGTCTGTTAGCTGGAGAAAGACTTTTCAACCTTGAGTATGCTGTGATGCCCAAGCAATACAGTACGCAATCAATTATTTGGCAATCAGTGTCCGTAGGTATGGCATGTGCTGTGCATCCTCCAAGTGAAAAGTTCTTTTACAAGACTAGTAGGACCCTTTACTTACATTCACTCCTGATAGTTAACATTTGGAAGTAGTCGAAACGTTTCTGTATCTAGGTAGTTGCGCAAGTGTTGGTGGTGGCTTGAGTGATGAGATCGTTTCAGGTATAGTGAGAGCCAGACCGGGTCATGCCAATCTGGGACATCTTTGGTACCTTCGTGATGTTAATTTAACTGTAAAAGATCGGATCTACAACTGCTTCTCCCACTAATTTTTTTCACTCTCATACATTAATTCACTTTCTTTTATTTTTATCATTATACTCATCTTCCCTTTCGATCTCTTCACAGTCTCATTTCTATTGTGTGACGTATATATATTTTGGTGTCCTGTTGTACCGATGTTTATATGTTTAAATAAATAAATAAATAAAGATAAACTGATTTGTGTTGAGGACCCAAGATCCTCAGAACTCACTTGGTAAACGTCTTATATTTGTAATTTTATTATGGAGATTTGAATTTCTTATTTTCATGTCAAAACCTCCCATTCCCATATTCATATCATATTTACCACTCGGAAAGACCTTAAATGTTATTGATTCGTTGTCTTTTAATATAATGTTTTGTAAGGTTTTCCAAAGACATTTTTATACTGTATTTGAGCGCTTGAGTTGTGCTTGTTGTTGTTGTTATTTATGTTTCTGCCTACTTGTGGAATACATTTTCCTTCTTCTGAACCTGTACTTTTCTCTCGTTAGCGGGGCTGGGACGCATCGGAATAGTTAATTTATTCGGTCATTGTATCTCGGAGTCTTTGTTCCATTCGCGGACTTAAATGAATTCGTAATCTCTTCAAACATAGCAATTAGTATAGTTAAACATAATAATTAATATAATCAATTGATGAAAAGAGTTAAGAATTATTCATGTAATCTCAATCCCATAAAATCGTTTTGTATAGTGAATGAATTTTCTACGAATCAACTTTTTGGCCACCTTTTTAAATTGTTCAAAACATTTAAAATGATTATGAAAACTTATATTTTGCCATCATATAGTACAAACAACAGTAGTGAACGCAACAAGCGTTCAATTACATATTGGTAGATTGCATATAACAGGAAAACCAACACCATCTCTGAATCTCAACACTGTAACAAACTTTAACCTGGCTTCACTATATTTTATAGATGAACTAATCGAATACTGCCTTTCACCTTTCTAGGTTTAATCTCTTTGTTCATATGTTTACAGAAAAGTTTTGTACTATAGTTGATATCAGCTTGTAAAAACTCTAATCGTAAACCCCTAATATTTACCTTATATACCTCAGTCAGTCAGCAACAACGTAGAACGTCGTATGTACTTACATCAGTTTGAGTTGCCATACCACATTAGCACAGAGATACTTAACAATAACAAAACATTTTAGAGACTGAAAATCTATTAGAGTCCTTATAAACGTTCAACTAGATAGATATAAATTATATAAACTATGTCTATAGGTGTACTAACCTATAGAAGACTGTTATACGTTTTTCTTTCTATAAACTATTTATCAGCAAAATTTGTTTCCTAATTATATCAGTAAAGTTTTTGTAAATATTATACTAATTTCAATGGTTGAGATCGTGAGTCAATTGAAGCTAGACCACCATGGAAAACCTGGAAGCACTGGACGGCTGTTTTGTTCTATTATGGGATTCCCCAACAGTGCGTATCCACGATCCGGCCTCGCAAGATTCGAACCCAGGATTAATTAGTTAAGACTTAACTTATACCTATACTATATGAATATCAAATAAATGATTTCTTATTTATATATCATTGAGTTTGTTTGTTTGTTTTTTCATTCTTTGTTTACTTATACAGGTATATCGTGTATTCTATGATCGATTAACAATGATAGAAGATGAAAATCATTTCTTTGATATTATTCGTCAAACATGTTCTGATATATTTCGTACTAATATTGATAAAATATTAAGTCATTTAAGTTTAAGTGGACGTGTTACTGATAATGATATTAGAAATTTATTATTTGGTAATTATATACAAGATGATAGTTGCTATGATGAAGTAACTGATTATAAATTACTTATAAATCGTATGGAAAATTATTTAAATGATTATAATACAATATCTAAAACACCAATGAATCTTGTTATGTTTAAATTTGCTATTGAACATATTAGTCGTGTAGCACGTGTTTTATTACAAGATAATGGTCATGCATTATTAGTTGGTAAGTTGTATATGGAAAATGTAATTTCTTTATTCTCAATTGATTGATATATTGTTTTTCAAAGAATAATAAATATCTGCTTCTTAGAACGAATATATATCGGTATTAAATTATTCTCTTTACTTTAGTGAATAATACATTAATATCATTTCATTATAGACCTACACTGAATTTTCGTGCACTGATCTCCTGCTAGGAAGTATGCTTATCGACTTAGAATACACAGGTGATATAGTCCTGTTTGACGAAAATGCTGATAAAATGCAGAGTCTTTTGGTATTACTGAGCAACAATGTCAGGATGTTTGGAATGCGTTTCTTTCCTTCTAAATGCAAATTGTTCCTTCAGGACTGGCCTGCATCAGCATCTGAACTATGGATAAGGATTGAAGTAGTCCAACACATTGACAACTTCACTTATCTTAGACTTCTGATCAGCCCTAACAGGTTGGTGCCTGACAAAATCACTACACGGATTTAGAAAGTTCGTTTGGCTTTTACCAACTTAATTCACCTACGGTGAACGCAAGATATCCGTCTATCAATTAAGGGACGAGTATACTGCACGGCAATTCGTTCTGTTCTACTTTAGGAGATTAATTGCTTCTATAAATTTTGTTTTCATCTTATGTTAATGAAGTATGGAAACTTGGACCGATGCATATATGTGCCTGGTCCTACGTTGTAACTGACTGAGTGACTGAGTTAATACTTTGATCGATAAAAATCGATTATCATCACCATTCAATGGTCATGATTTATGTTCGAACATAAAGCAGGATTAAGAACACGTTATAATCATGAACCGATCAATGTTAGATCACCATTGAAAACCTTTTAGCACTGGACGAACGCTTCGTACTAGTATGACATTTTTTTACAGTGCACATCTGCCATCCTGCATGAAGAAGTCTAATCCAGGACCCTAAGTTTTGCACACATCTGTACAAGCATACACAGATGTACAAAGCATGCTTAAGGTTACACATTAGTAACTGAACAAGATAAACATATGGATGATAGGACAAATAAAAAGATTAGAATAATTTATCTATCCAAAGTTTAGAATAAATTATGTAGGCATGTGTTGACTAAGATTTTCTATAGGTTCTAATGTTGGCTAAATCATCATGTTCACTATAGTTATTTATTTCTTTTTATCCAAATATCCACATTCTTTGCCAAGAATTATCAAAAGCAACGCTTTTATATTTCATCGAGCAAAATCAGATTAAATAAGAAGAATTATATGATCGATGATCCTTTAACTAATTAATGATATTGCATGACAGTTATTCAGTAATGTAAACAGATCTTCATCATCACAATTGAACTAAATGCCTTAAATTATTTTAATATTTATTATTATAGACATTTTTATAGAAATATACGATTTATTACCAGGTACCTTCCTAATTCCACTTTATTCTCTCTTCAGGTGTCGGAGGTAGTGGTCGTCAAAGTGCTACACGTTTAGCTAGTCATATTGCTGATCATGAATTATTTGTCATTGAAATAACGCGTACATACGGTGTAAATGAATGGCGTGATGATATTAAACGTTTATTACTTAAAACTGGTTTAGAAGCTAAATCCACTGTATTCTTAATTACCGATAACCAATTAAAGCATGAATCGTTTATGGAAGATATATCAATGTTATTAAATTCAGGTGATGTACCAAATTTATTCCCACCAGATGAAAAAGCTGAATTAATAGATAAAGTACAAAATATTGTACGTTTAGAAGTAAGTCTAATATTAGTGTACTTATATTAATGTACACTATTTTCTGATCGTACGTTGATATACTACTAACCATTATAAGTAGTTAGACACTTCTCACACAAATGTTTATATATATATATATATAATAGTCTATAAATAGTTGCTAGCAGTTACCATTCATTTGTTCTACGTTAGGATATAGCGAATTCAAATACTCTCAGCTAATCATCTGCTCTGTCGGTTTGCTTATACTAGGTACAATTACATTTATTCTTGAGAATTAGAAGCGTATTGAATGTATCAATATTCAATATGAATGTGAATAATTTTCATGGCACCAAATTTTACAAAAATTAACTTTTAATACTTAACTGTAATTATTATAACCCTCTCGAAATGCCCCCATATGACCACAAATATACAGACACAACTAGGGAAGTCCTAATCACTGCATTCAAACCAGTGGTGCATATGGGCTCCAGGATCCTGAAGAAACAAATGGCGTATAAACCTATTGTTGGTCACCAGTTACCACGAAACTGCATCTACTAATGCTGCTCCACTGCCTTGTGGATTAGACCTTCAGGTCAAGACTTGGAGAGTGGCTCTATGAGAAAACCACGTGCTTCAGTTTGGACACCCGGACAGTATCTTAACCCTAACACAAACCATTTGATTTGTGTGGTGCATATATATTTGTCGCCTCTTTGTATCAATGGTTGTGTTCGAATAAAATATATAACGAATTCAAAACGAGTTTATAATAAAATAAAAATGATATTTTAACATTTGAAAGTAAAAAACTTAAAAGAAGGACCTGACACACATGGCACTGATCACCACCCAGTGTTCAATCAATTGTGAATACATCTCAGTCCTAAAGGAGGTCAGTTGCGGCCCGGATAGCTCATTTTAATATCTCTGACTGTGAAACTGGGTGACATGGGATCGAATCTGTCAGAGAGTATCAGGTACACGTTGCTGATGAGTGCCAAGTATCACGAAACCTATGTTCAGGGTTTCCTGTTAACTACATCCAACCACCATCTTATCTCAATATAGTGCACACATATTGTCGATTCACCAAGACTGGTGGCCACATTTCCACTTGGCCTATAGCATTCTTTCTGCATTGGGAAGGACCTGACACACATGACATTGATCATCATCCAGTGACCAATCAATTGTAAATTACTGATCTCATTTTCTTTTTATTTGTTTAATAAACATTTCATGATAATTTCTAATACTACTAATCATTGTATACTACTTACAATTACTGTAGGCAAAAAAAGCCGTAAGTAAATTTTTCTTTTATCATTCAATTATAAATTATTTATATATATGAATATATAAGTGTTCAATTTACTTATTTTTATGTTCTTTTATCTACAAATGAATAAACTTAAAAATTCCTCAAAATCATTACTCTCTCTATAGTTGTGCTCTATTTCACCCTTTAATTTCTCAAGTTAAAATGAAACTAATTTATCATAAATGTATTCAAACTTGACTGATAAAGTCAGTTATTCATAAAGGTGGAAGCAAAAGGTTGAGTGAAAAAGGTAGAGGTTGAAATGAGCACATGTTCATAAAGATAAGAATTGAATGGAGAAATAAGCTTCTGAAGTGGTTAAACCACTATTCAATGATTGATTGATGTGAAAAATTTAGCCCTACAGTGCATAAATCGTTACTCAAAAGCCTTAGGGAAACGGATTTACATATCACTAGAAGGTTTACTTGCCTACACATTGCAAATATTCACTTACTGAAAAGTGTGAAACAACAAGAACCAAATAATTAGCACGTTCATTTATAATTAACTCTATCACTAGCATAAAAATATTCAAAGATCATTCTTAGGATGTCATAGTTGTCATCCTGTTGTTTATACTATTTAATCACAATCCAGATAAATCTTGGGAAAACATGAAGAGTGTGATCCGCTGAACCATATGGATTTAAACTGAATGATAGATGAGAGATATTGACAAGGAAACATTATTGGTTAGGATTTGATTTGATTCTCTAAGGAAACAGATATACGCTATCAGTTGAAAACCTGACTTATATTTTTGCAGGAGTACAGATATACATTTAAAAATAAGCTGAACAAATATTATTAATTCAATTAACCAATTAAAGCTTTCTAGTCGGTTTTGGTTTTTTCACTCCAGTGACTTGTTAAGAAATCTATACAGAAAGTGTATATATCATTAATAGATTAAAACAATCAGACAACATGGAATGGCCAAGAAAAATTCTATTTAACTAGATGACGTTAAGTTCTTTTCGAAAGATTGAAAGTTACTAAAACTGACCAGCTATGTAATAGTTTGATCTTGTGCTTGCCATATTGCTTTCTTAAGACCCCATAGGATTTCATCAAAGAAATAACTCGGTCTAAATAGTTGAATAAACCTTTAAAAAAATTTAGTGTTTAGACGGTGCTATGAATTTCCTACCATAAATAATTATCTTACAATGATTATATTTATATATACAGGTAGGAGTACACTGAATGTATACTTATTCTAGCAGGCTTGTCCTCACATGGAATATGCCTACCAGCTGTCCTCCATGCATAACTTTGGACTGTAGTCTCTTATATGAATTCTGGATGATATTGACAATTTTCTCAGGCATATTATAGTGTCAAAGATGGTTCCATAAGGTTTCGCTATCTACCTGTAGCTCTTCTGAGAGTAATGTAGGTCTCAAACTCAGATATAGCAGAAAAGTTGGGCCATGGGATCAGCAACTCCATCTCGTAAAAAATAACCTCGCTAAAAAGGTTCTAACTAGAATATTTGGTAAAATATCAAAGTTTAAAATTAAGTATAAAAATTTATTTTTACAATTTGTATTTTAAATAAAGGAATATAGCCAGATGATTTATGAACATTTAGATTGGATCAAACTCAGGTTTGTAAACATTTGAAGCATCCAACATAGTTTGATCGTCAATAGAATTGATTCACCGAGTTATACAAAAATCAAAAGATAATACCTTATCGGTGGGTATAATGAATTCTTAGTTAACAAAAATACAATCCGATTAAAATTACAAACAAATAATGATTGAATGATTCACTCTAAATAATCTGTCAGTTGAATAAATCGTTCTATACGATTATTCCAACTACAAAACAGCAAAACGTATCGTTCAAAGTCTATATTATACCGATGAATAACATTAATATTATACAAAATCAATTCACCAATTAATTTATTTATAAAATTTATCATCTAAACAAATAGTATTATGATGTGTGCTACTGATATCGATAGATATAAGTAGTATGTACTATCAATTGGAAGTGAAATACCTAACTGTAGAAAATTAAGAAGATCGAAGAAAAGATAAAGAGAATAGAGAAAAGATGATTCCTGTGGAAACAAAGGAACAATGTAATCTGAGACGATTGATAGATATTTAGTAAAAGAAGTATTTACTGTATGATTCTAAGATTTTATGAAGAGATTTTGTAATTTTCTGTTCAAATACTTTGGATTGTCTGTACTTGTGTTCGCATTCACTACAGTGTGATTGCATATTTAAAATACAATTTATTATCTACTTCTTTAAACTATAGTAATATAGTTTTAAAATGTTGCCTTTTCAATTAGAGTTCATTGGTTAATTTGATATTTTGTTTACAAGTTTTTCTATAATTTAAAGATGATTTTCATCTAAAATTTAGCTTTCATTCGAGGAACAAGATTTGTAGCTCAACAGAGAAGTACTGAAGATATTTTGTTTTCCTTGAACTATCCAGCTAAATTGTGATGCTTCCATTGTCTTGCTAGTTAATATGTACATATGTACATATTTCATAGTTTATGTTGACGAAGCACATTGTCAAGGAGTTGTAAACAACTTCTTGAAGTATTTACTATTAATATTATCTAAAAAGACGACGAAAGCTTCGAGTTTGGATTATTCATTTCGAAAAGCACTAAATAACAAACAAATTTGAGCAGTATTAATTGATTCTTCTTTAACAAGTTTCCCATTTCTTACTTCTTGGTCGATTTTGACAATAAATATTGAACGGTCACCAGTTATAAGTTAAAAGTTCAGTCAATCGGCATTTAAATAATGTGCATTCTTTTCGCTGAATATTGTCAGCAATCACGATATCTCTGAGTGGGCCTTTTGTAATTTATACAATGATAGGTTGTATACTTTTCAGAAACGTACCTGAATAGGTTATGTGATTAATAGTCATAATGATGTATTAAAACAAACACAAAACTAAATAACTTATTGAAATATCTAGATGTCAGCGAGAGGTAACTCAGATGTTTAAGCAGGCCGCCACATATGTTTTGGGGAAGATTTTTAAGTGTTATATATTTTTAAAAGCCAATATACAATTATTCATGAGCAACTCTTCAATCATCAGTAAAAATTTGCTGCATATTCATTATTTCTTAAGTCTTTCTGCTTTTATTTAACTTAAAAAAGAAACTAAATTGATTGAATTACTTTTGTTTTCTTAAAAGGGTGTTAAAATTGAACCGGATCCATTAGCAATGTATACATATTTTACACAAAGGGTTAAAAAACATTTACATATTGTATTAGTGATGAGTCCAATTGGTGATGCTTTTCGATCACGGCTACGTATGTTTCCATCTTTGATTAATTGTTGTACAATTGACTGGTTTCATGTAAGTTATTATCATATTTAATTATATTATTAGTAGTAATTTATCAGTTGAGTTCATCAGTCAATTAAAAGTAGACCACCATTAAAAACCTGGAAGTATTGGATAGACGTCTCATCCTAGTATGGAACTTCTCAACAGTGCACATCCACGATTTTGAACGCGAGACTCAAAACCAGTTACTAGTCAGCACATGGAAATTATCGGTATGGAATCGTGGAGACTGTTGAGTTTTTGATTAAGATCATGAACCAAATAATGTTTTTGACAGTTCCTCAAATTTATAATGTCACTTACCATTACATAATCACCACTTCAGTATGTTTACCCTTAAATCACGAAGCAATATCTTACTTTAAAACAGGTGACAAGTGGATAACGGTATAGCTTAAACTAGAAACGTGGATAATTTGATGTTAGCTAACTAGTCCATAATTAATGTGACGACTTCAATGCGTGAACTTTTAAGGTTCATTTCCTGACAGTATCATAGTTGTGGACTACAGAGGGGTCTCAAACTTTAAGGTTTCTGGCTTTCTTTTTTTTCACAATTGATATCAGTTTTTTAGACAAACTTTTTTCGTAATCAACTATCTTTCACAAATCGTTTGATTCAGTTACCAAAAGGTGTTTATGGGTAATGTCTACTACTTCTAAACACCTAAAAATGATACATTTATTATTTTGTTTAGTCAACATTCGTTCTGAGAGTGAAGTTTTTCTATATAACAATAATTTATTCAATAGTTGAGATCATGAGTCAATCGAAGCTAGACAACCATGGAAAACCTGGAGGCACTAGACGACCATTTCGTCCTAATCTGAGACTCCTCATCAATGCGCGTCCACGATCCCGCCTTGCGAGATCAGAACCCAGGATCTATCAGTCCCTTCTGATATTAATGAATATATGCTCACTAGTGACTGGCTTCAAGAGGTATATCCTGGAGCTCTAGTGAGAAGCAGTTACTAGTGGAGTTTAACCAAGTCTGTTGTGAGATAGTAACTCACTGAAGACAATGGTGGATGTGGATTAGTTGAAGCTAGACATTAACACTGTTGGATGCCGGCTCAGTTGTCTAGTGGTTAAGTTGTCGCACGCGAAACCAGTAGGTCTTGGGTTCGAGTCCTGCGAGGCGGGGTCGTGGATGCGCCCGGATGAGGAGTCTCAGGTTAGGACGAAACGGCCAACCCAGTGCTTCCAGGTTTTTCATGGTGATCTATCTTCAAATGACTCATGATCTCAACCACTGAAATTACTATAATATCCACAAACCCCCCTTCTAATAATAATTTATTCATTTTAATCTTATCAATACAATTAAGGTTTGGCCTGAAGATGCACTAGAAATGGTTGCAAACAAATATTTTGAAGGTATTGAATTTGCAGAAAATATACGTGAATCATCTGTTACTTTATGTAAATACTTTCATGAAAGTGTGAGAAAATTATCTGAAAAGTAAGTGTTTTCTTTAAATGACATTATATATTCATTTAAAAAATAAACCTGATCATTCAGATGATCAGAAAGATGCTGAAATAAAAATAAGTCCTGGATTCCATTGATAGCCATTATCCATTTTCGCTTATCAAGCTTGTGAATCAAGGCAATAACGAGGTAATACGCGCAGTATGCACATTCGCCTACAATAGACTGATCGATTGCAGTCTTAAACCTCAATGGGAAGATTCAGGCAAACAGTACCATGTGAATTTTCATTCTACTGATTTTACTGACTACTGAAATACTTATTACATTTATTGTTTGTATGTGTGTTTCATTGTTATTTTTGCATGCACAACTTAACCCCGTTAGTCAATGATGGTTTATGAGAACAGGGATTATTCTATAACCTTAAGTTTGTACATCTAACTTAATTTCAACATGGATCAGTTTATGCATCGATCTTATCTGAATACAGTGAATTGGTGATTAATTCTGTACGACTTATAAAAGTGCTGATAAATATGGAATCCTGTCCATAAAATACGATTGTTTGTTAAATAAAACAAAGCACTAAAAACGCCAAATTGTTCTTGGAAACTTAATAGACAGTGTGATTTAATATACTTTTTCTAAATGATTTACATTACAGTTAACAATTTTTCCACTAACCCAGAATATTCCTCGAAAAAAGCCTAAAGGGGTCCTGAAAACGCTGAAAAACATTTTATCCAATCATCGTTGAATAGACGTTTCTCAGAACCATCTAAATAGTGAAGAGTCACACGTCACATTTCTGAGTGATGATGATTATCTAAACTGATACTATGTCTAATAGGGTCCCAGAACCTTTTAGAAGCCCAAGGCCATCTGTAATGCTATAAATACCCTTATTTTTGTGAAGCTTTCTTTCTATATATTGCGCCTTTCCTCTCATGTCCAAGTTTTCGTGTAGATTTAGCCTGGAGTTATAAGAAGAGCTTAGGAAACCGATTCAAACGTTCAGTCAGAAGATTTATCATTATTGCGTTTAGCGGCATTCAATACTACACGAAATTGTAAATATATTCCATCAATTATACTGAAAACCTATTAAATGCCAGAAATGATACTTTATCATAAATTGTATGGGTTTACATTTTCCGATCGTTAATATTTATGACTGTAAGTATCCAATCTTTATAGGAAAATTAGTTTCCTGCATGGACATCTGAACACCCCTAGAATTTGCAAGTAAATTTACAACTTTAATCAGTAAATCCTTCATAGTCAACGTGAGATCTGTAAAAAATTTCAAATCTGTTATACACATTTGGTTCTATTTGGGATTAGTTGCAAAAAGATGAAAGTTACTACGTGGATTTTACTGTTAGCCTCCCATCTAAAATGTTATCAGAAATAATATTTATTCATAAATCGATTGAAGTTATACATTAAAGCCGTTCGATATCTGGTCAGTAGACTAGATGTTAAGCATTCACACGTGAGACCGAGGGTTCTGGGTTCGAGTCCCGGGTTTGGGATCGTGAATGCACACTGTTAAGGAGTCTCACACTAGGGAGAGACGTTCATCCAATACTTACAGGTTCTCAATGGTAGTCTATTTTGGGATCGACTCGTGAATTCAACTTTGAAAATATTTGTTCATTCATTTTTCTCTTTCCTATTATTTTCAAAATAGATTTTTAGAGGTATTACGTCGGCACAGTTATGTAACACCAACATCATATTTAGAAATGATACTTACATTTAAAAAATTATTGCATACAAAACGAACTGAATTAACTACAATGCGTAATCGATATTTAATTGGTTTAGAAAAATTAGAATTTGCTGCAAATGAAGTTGGTAAAATGCAAATTGAATTACGTAATTTACAACCATTACTTATTGAGACCAGTACAGAAACTGATAAATTATTACATAAAATTGCACAAGAATCTGTTGAAGTTGAAGCACAACGTGAAATTGTTGCATCCGATGAAATGATTGCTAATCAATCAGCATCTATATCGAAAGCAATTAAAGATGAATGTGAATCGGATTTAGCTGAAGCTATGCCAATACTAAACGATGCATTATCATCTTTAGATACATTAAAACAAAGTGTAAGCTTATTATATCATTTTTATAAGGATGGTTTTTAACCATGCTTTATAAGTGCAAACAATTTAGCAGTTTCCCTTAACGGTAAATCTTGTCTCGTTTCATTTGACCATTAATTGGAATTACTGTTCTTTCTTTATCTCCAAAAATTAACCTTCGTTTTAATATTATTTAGTGACAAGGAGTATAAGATGGAGTGATGATGTATGCGATAAAGGAACAGTTTCAGCCTTTTTTTAATTACCAAAATCAATCTTATTTTAGCTAAGTTAATATTACTTTCATTGATAATCATTAGGAGGGAGAGGTTTTAGATTCTGTATACATAATATTGAAGAGAGATTTGCTATGAAAACTTCAACTCGACAGATAAGTTATTAAGTTCAAGAATTTCGCAGAGGTACAATGATTTAGAAAATAATTGCATTTAATGTTTGTAAAACTAGAAATATCGAATAGTCAAGTGTGCAATCATCTGTTTCTCATTAAAATTTACAGTCATTTGAATAACATCCAAAAATCTCCAGAAATAAATTTCACATAAGCTGATACTCATCAGTACAGAACTTGTATATTGTAGTGAAAATTGAGATTTTTGTGTGAAATTCAGAGCTGCATAATTAGATTTGACGATTAGAAAGGTCAACTTGCGACAGATCTCCAGTATAATGGGGATTTTGACAGTAATTGGTGACTGAACAGTGTTTTGTTTAATTCCCAGTACTAATCAAATTTTTTTCGAATCACGAACCGATCTAAGTTAGACAGCTGTCGGTGATGATCGCAAGTACGTATGCACGACCCCTCGACAGAGAATCAGACCCAGGACCTTTGGTCTCGCGAGTAAAGGCTTAAACTCTAGATCACTGAGTTGGCATCCAATGATCAATAATTCTAACTTTACTCAATCCACGAAATTGCACAACCATCCCTTTTGTATCCAGTGGGTAACTTCCCTACACCCGACACAGTTTAAATCCACTAGTCACTTCTTTTTATTAGAACGCTAAAACTTTCCTCATAAATCTAGCCACTAACGTGCACATTTTCTCGGTTACGAGTTTACGTGTATGCACTGCAGAGGTGTGACGTAATAGGACGAAACGTTCGTCCAACGCTTCCAGGCTTTCAATGCTTGTCTAACTTTTAGCGGTTCGTGATTTTAATGAAACTAGATAAACTACACAACCCCATACTGACAACTGATCAAATTCTGCTGAAAAACCAGGTTCCAACCTCTTTTTATAATGACATTTAACAGTCTGATACAAAACAAGTCACTCAAAAGTATGGCTACACTTCGAAATGACATTTAGAATTTGACAAACGTCAATCAAACATAAAATTCATTATAATTATATAATCATTTAGAATTAAGATGAGGACAAACAGTCTGTCAGCAATCAATGAGATTATTCAGGTGTACTAAAACCAAATTCGTAGAGGAATGTCAACAAACACAATTATTAGTAAGCAAAAATACATGACTACAATCAAACAAGGCTTGATAATAAGAGTACAGTTAGGATTTGCTAACTCTACTTACCAGTAGTATAAAGTTTGCACGCAAAAATTAGGAAAAAGAATTCATGAAAAGATTAATGCTTTTTAAATGGATGACAGACAATCAATCAAGAGCAGTATGAGATCTGGTACAAATCTTCATGGATTCAGGTTACCAAAACCCATGTCGGCACGGAGAGATGGAATTATCAAAACACACTCCGAAGTAGTAGAAGTGGTTACAGCATCAACAGTACTAGATAACATTAGACGTACGAACTGAAATCATACAGAATGAAATACATAACTATTTTACAACACACAGTGCGTGCTTCTGGATCAATGCCACTGATTCTAAGTGATATCACCCTTTGTATCCAACATTTGATTGTGATAATCGCGAGACCCCCATTAAGTCTGAATTTATCTACTCAACTCAGTCCGAAAATCGGTGACTATACAATGATGTCAAGTAGTGGTTCCACCACTCCTCTCTTTCGATCTACTTCAACACCAATCATCATCTCCTGTTGAGGGTGGGAGTGGTTGAGCACACTAATATATATCCTAATCACCTCAGTCAAAGAAGACTCACTATCTTATCAATCGATTCACCACCCTTAAATACCTTATGCTTAGCCTCAACATTTACCACTTGGTAATTTAAGCATACCCATATAATCCTACAAACATGCTTAATCCATAAATATCTCCTATTTTTACCAGTCACTTTCCACAATTATAAAATTGAGCGGAACTCACTGTTACACAGTATACTTTCCCTTTGTTTGTCAGTATGATCTACTAAAATTTCTCCTTTTATGTCTTTGTATTGATGTTTACTTTCTTCTGTTTATTCACATTATAGGATATTACATTAGTTAAATCAATGAAAAATCCACCAAATGTTGTAAAATTAGTTATGGAAGCTGTTTGTATAATGTTAAATGAGAAAGCTGATCGTAAACCAGATGGTACAGGTCGAATGATTGAAGATTATTGGGGCCCATCATTAAAATTATTAGGTGATCTTAAATTTTTAGATCGTTTAAAAAATTATCCAATTGATAATATTTCTATAAATATTATGAAAAAAATTCGTGATAATTATATACCAAATACAGATTTTGATCCAAAAATTGTACGTAATGCAAGTACAGCATGTGAAGGTTTATGTAAATGGATTATTGCATTAGATAAATATGACAAAGTAGCTAAAATTGTTGCACCAAAAAAAGAAAAATTAGCTATTGCTGAATCTGAATTAAAAGTGCAAGTACGTTCTTGTGTTACATTATATTAATGCATTTTTCAATACTAAATACCTTATATTTCAACAAAATTTCTATCCAATGCTGATTTACCTTGTTTATACTCAAAGATATAGACATATATTCTCGTCAATATTTCTCCTTAAAGTTTTCTTGAACAGTCCCATCATCCTGTCATCATTTTTTCGAAGGGAAATAATTAGGCGTCTTTTATCTGAACCTCAGTCAGTCAGTCAGTCAGCTGAAAAGTAGGACCAGGTACATATGTGCATCTGTTCAAGTTGTCAACCTCATTAGCACAACAAGATGAACACCGGATTCATAGAATTAGTTAATTCGATGGTGGTAAGATATAAATGAAAGATTGAATATAAGGATATAATACAGGAAGAAAGAATCAGTTCGTAGAAAGAAAGATATACAGCAATTTTAATCTCATAATTTAAGGGAAGACAGAGAGTGTATACACCTAAGTAATTATGATCGATTCTGAGCCATATCATCCACAGTCTCCAACCATTGATTACGATAGTCACGTGGACCCCAACACTAGTTAGCATTGGGCATCGGGGTAGTCGGTGTTCAGGAATACGTAACACGTGGTCTAACCATCTCAGTCGATAGAGATTCATAACCTCATCAACTGATTTATCATCATTCCCTTACACCCTGCAATTAACTTCACTATTACATACCCGGTGATACTAGCAGATGCCAGCAATATTTCTAAGACATCTGTGATCAAATCCTATTAACTTACGAGTATCTTCTACTCTTAATGGTCACGTTTCGTAGCCGCAAATTAAAACAGAACGAACTGCCAAGCAGTATACTCGTTCTTTTATTGATAGATGGACATCTCACCTTCGCCATCGGTGAGGCAAGTTGGCAAAAGCCAAACGAACTTTTTGAATCCGTGCTGAGATTTCGTCAGAAAATAATCCATTAGGGCTGATCAGACTTCCAAGATAAGTGAAGTTGTCAACGAGTTCGATTACTTCACTTCCTATCCTTTGCTCAGGTGTTGACGCAGACCATTCCTGAAGCAACAACTTGTATTTAGAGGGAGAGAAGCGCATTTCAAACATTCTAGCATTGTTGCTCATTGCTACCAAAAGACTGCATTTTATCTGAACCTAGAACAATGTTTTTAGTATTGGTCAAATTTTCACCAAAGCCGCAATTTCACATTTCTCACCATAGTTTGAATTGCATAAATCAGTGCACCTCAACTCACAAGATTCAGTAAGCCATTTGTTATCAAATCCCAATAAAAAATAAATGATCCAGATGAAAAAATAACCATTGCTTACCTTTTTTTCTAAAGAGAAACTACTCGATACTAATAATAACCAGTGATTATAAAAATCAAAATGTCTTAGTTCAAACATAAAATAACAGATCATGATCATTAGTACAATCTAAAATATCATCATATTAATGCTCGAGTAGTTTAAAAAACTCAACCTCGATAAGTTGGTGGATACGCACTGGTGAAGCGTTACATATTAGGACAAAACAAGTGTTCAATAGTTCCTGGTTTTCATTAGTTGTCTAAATTTGGTCAGTTCATAATCTTAATAACATTTGATAATGCTCATAAAACCACTGTAATAAAACTTCAAAATCGTCCCACTTATTAACATATTCATACTAATGTATGTAGCTAGCTAAATTAGCTGAAAAGAAAGCTGCATTAGATGAAATTCAAGCGAAATTTCAAGACTTACAAGATCAATTAGAAGAAATGCAAAAAAAGAAACAAGATTTAGAAGATAATATTGATTTGTGTAGTAAAAAGTTGGATCGCGCAGAAAAACTGATCAGTGGATTAGGCGGTGAGAAAACACGATGGACTGAAGCTGCTGCAGTGTTAAAAGTAAGAATTAATAATGAGATTTTATTCATATAAAAATGTATTTTTTTTAAAAAAAATCTTATTCTTTTAGTTTTAATAAAGCATTCACATAATTAAGGTAACTGGAGTGATCTTGTATTTACCGAATCCATTTTTGAAATCTCAACGGATTCCAAGAGATAAGACCACTGACAAACTGATCAAATATGTTTGAATCTTTTCGTTTTCAGCCATGATACCAAGTGAACCAGATAGACTGGAATTAATCAGTTAGTTGTATGCTTAAATGTAGGACTGACACGGAATAGTAAGTACATAATATAACAATACTTAATTGTCTTGCATTCTACCCCTTTACTTCCCTTTAAATCAGTCATGTTAAGTCAAATATGTTGCGACCTTTCTAATGTATACATGCACTCTTTCTAACTTCTGTATAGACAAGTCAGTTTGCCATTATAGGTTATTTATTATATTTGCCTTTGTAAGCTATTCACTTTCATCAGCGCGCATTTTCATGTATGTGTGTCTGTTTTGTTTGGATACTGCTTATAAACAACTGAAACACCTTTTTATCCACGGCTTTCGACTATAACTTCATTATCAATACTCACTAATTTAATTTGTCTGTTTACGCGATGATCTGAAATACATATATTCTACACGCATTCCGTATTCAACTGTCTATTTTTACGTTTTATGAGCATGATCAGTTGACAGGATATAAACGAAGTTAAACCGAATTTACATTTCATTCATCCCTCAATATAAGGGTCATAGATGTACTACGTTATTCAAATTGTGTTTGTTGGTGTATGTTCTCTATATTCAGCGTGAATAAAATAACGCTGAAACATTTTCTTTATATCCTCATTTATTCAATTAAATCAAGTCTTTAAATATTATTTCATACATCCCGATCCCTTAGTAAATTTAAATAATTTTAATAGTTGAATTCATGAGTTGATCTAAGGCTGGACCACTATCGGAAACTTGGAAGCACTGGATAGACTTTTTGCCCTAGTATGGGACTCTTCAACAGTTGACGTTAGACATTAACACAGTTCGATGCCGGTTCAGTAGACTAGATGTTAAGCGTGTGCGCGAAAGACCGAAGGTCCTGGATTCGAGTTGCGCGTTTGGGACCATGGATGCGCAATGTTGAGGAGTTTCATACTAGGACGAGAAACCCATCCAATACTTACAGGTTTTTCGTGGTGTTATAACATTGATCCATTCATGATATCAATCTAAACTCAACAATCTCCACACCCCTATATAGATGTTGTTTTCTCTTGTTTCTTAAGTTGTTTCGAACTGAATTTCATTGATTGTGGTATATAATAACATGTTTTTAATAATAGCATTTCTATCTTAAATTTAAGCCATTTTCAGCTGGCAAGAAGCCTTGAAATACATTCAATTCATTTTATTCTACCAATATCGTTCTTCGCACTTTATTTACATGTTATTGTCTCAATAGTTTGAAACGGAATTAACTAGAAAACTTGAAAAAGTTGTAAATTTTATTTTGTACCAATAGACAAATGATAATGAGATACTATAGGGTTTAGAAAGCGATTAACTTGGTCATTAAGTATGATGTTTGTATCATTGTTAGTAACATATTGAAGTATCCCGTTCATTTAAAAATCTTGTAATAAGATGTTTATCTTGGAGCTATCTACACAAAATACACATATGTCATTAAAGACTGATCATAAATTTCATCCTAGGATAATTTAAAGCCTTACTAATAACCACATAGTTATAACAACGTTTGTAGATTCAACTGTACAGTGAATATCCCTCAATAGTTTTTTATTTATTAGGCTTGTTAAACTCGACTTGAATTTATTTTAAAAAAAACACTTCTAATTACAATGTGACTTTGTAATTATCAGTATAGAGTTGTGGAGATTGTTGAGTTTTAATTAAGATCATAAATAGATGTGCACTACTGAGGAGTCCTACACTTAGACGAAACGGCCGTCCATGACTTCCAGGTTTTCAACGAATTTCACGATAATAAAAGTCAGTAATTAATTTTTAACACTCCGTTTACTGTGACTTGATGAATCAATTCAAAAACAAAGATTGTGGTCAAAATTTGCTCTTAATATTACTATTGAAACATATTTAACCTCAATAATTCATCCATAAGATTATGTATTGATAAATTCTTAAACCATACATTCATCTTCACATTGATTTATTTTTCTAGGAACGATATGAAAATATAATTGGAGATGTTCTATTAAGTGCTGGTGTTGTTGCTTATCTTGGACCATATACTGTTGATTTTCGTTCTCAAATACAAAATGAATGGCATGAATTATGTCAAAAATTAGAAATTCCTTGTTCTGAAGTATTTCGTATCTCTGATACATTAGGTGATCCTGTAAAAATTCGTTCATGGAATATTGCTGGACTACCAGTGGATAATTTTTCCACTGATAACGGTATAATTGTCACAAATTCTAATAGATGGGCATTATGCATAGATCCACAAGGTATATTATCACTTTATATGTGATTTTTTTTGGCCTTTTTTGCATAAATAATGTTTCATAAAAGTAAGATCAAATTTAATATGTGAATATAAGCCTGATTTCAACAATTCGCTGAGCATTGAATATTGATATGTGTTAAAATCGATGACATCAGTATGATTGGTCATTTGATTTGTTATAGAGCGACTATGTTGAATGTTTAAGTATTTTTATGTTTAAATTATTACTCCAGTTGTAGTTTTTCGAATTTATCTAACGAACTTTATTGATAGGTGCCGATTAACATAACTCATTACTTCATAACTTTTTACTGATAACCATATACTATCTAACGAGTTAGATTTCAGTAGTGTAATATTAGTAAATGATAGACTAGAAGTAGTATTAACATCGGAGATACCCTTTTGTCATTATTTAATCCCCTAGTTAAACATGTATGTGTTTATTAAAACATAATTCTTGTTTTTCAAGTTTCAATTAGTTTTTGTATCACAGCTGAAGATACATTTAGAATCATAGAGCAATGATCGACTATTGTATTAGAGAGAGGCTTTATGGATATTATAGTAATTTAGTAGTTAAATTCATGAATCAATTAAAGCTAGACCACCAAGGACAATATGAAAGCACTGGACGGCGATTTCGTCCTAGTATGGTACTTCTAGCGATAAGCTGTGACCATTGGAGGCCAACTGGGTCTGTCGTGAGATAGTAACTTACTGAAGACAATGGTGAACGGTGGCGCAATTTTGTGGATTGGTTGAAGTTAGATGTTAACACCGTTAAGTGGCAGTCCAATGGTCTAGAGGTTAAGCGTTCGCGCGCGAGACCAATAAGTCCTGGGTTCGAATCTCACGAGGCAGGATGCTGTATGCGCAGTGTTTGGGAGTTCCAAACTAGGACGAAACGACCATCCAGTGCACCTAGGTTTTCCATGGTGGTTTAGCTTCAATTGACTCATGAATTTAACCACTACTATAAAACCCACAAAGCACCTCTCTCAGTAGTTTGTGAATAACATCAGTAGTGTGATTTGTGCTACTGATGTTGACAGATATAAGTAGTATGTATCACTAATCGAAAGTGAAATACCTGTTGGCAGAAGGTTAAGAAGATCAAAGAGTACGAGAATAGAAAATAATTGGTGTGGAAACGAATGAACAATGAAGTCTGAGACAATTGATTGACATTTTACAAATGAAGTATTTACTGCATGGTTCTCAGATTTTACTATGAGATTCTGTAACTTTGTATTCAGATACATTTGGCCGTTCCAGCCTGTGTTCCCGTTCACAACAGTATTACTTATCATTTAATGATTGACTCATGAACACACTTCTGACTTGTTTGATTAATCTCCAACAATTAATTTCATTCAATGTTTAACTTATCGTAAATTGTCAATTGAAAGTTCTGTGGAGTTTACTTTGCTGATTGGAAAGTTATCGACAACTAGAATGAACTATTAAGTTGTTATTTCCCATTAAGGTAGGCTTTCAAATATGTCAGAAATGAGTCACTTACTCATCAATAATATCAGATTATTTTATACTATATTATGAATTGATTAGTTGGAAATGATAGTGTAGAACACCGAATTTCAAATTACCGATATAAAGTTAGTTCATTCACCATGAAATTTAAAAGATAGTTATTTGGTTAGAGGATAGAGTTTATTAAGATGTCCTACGTTTAGTCCAATACCTGTCTATCAATGGTTTTCCAAATGATTGATTGATTCATGACAAAAATTGAACTTCAACCTTGAGTTGATAAAACATTTGTCATTTATAAAAGATACCAGACGTCGTTTTGTGAATACTATAATAATTTCAATAGTTCAAATCATGAGTCAATTGAAGCTAGACCACCATGGAATACCTAAATGCACTAGACGACCGTTTTGTCCTCTTATGAGACTCTTCAGCAGTGCGAAAGCGCTTGAACCATCAAACCATATTTTACTACTTCAATTATTATTTAGTTTCTTCTAAAGTTTTCTTTTTTTTTCACTTCATTTTTCTTCCAAATTCAAAAAAAAAAACAAATGAATAAATAAAGGTCAAGCTAATAAATGGATTAAAAATATGGAAAAAGATAATAAATTACAAATTATTAAATTAAGTGATACACATTATTTACGTACATTAGAAAATGCTATACAATTTGGTATGCCTGTATTAATGGAAAATATCGGTGAAGAATTAGATCCAATATTAGAACCTATTTTACAACGTTTATTATTTAAATCTCAAGGAAGTTGGTGTATACGTCTTGGTGATAATATAATTGAATATAATTCAAATTTTCGTTTTTATATAACTACACGTTTACGTAATCCACATTATTTACCTGAAATTGCTGTTAAAGTTTGTTTAATTAATTTTATGATAACACCAATTGGTTTACAAGATCAATTATTAGGTATTGTTACAGCTAAAGAAAAACCAAAATTAGAAATAATTAAAAATCAATTAATTATTGAATCAGCTAATAATAAACGTCAATTAAAAGAATTAGAAGATCAAATATTAGAAGTATTAAATACATCACAAGGGAATATTTTAGAAAATGAAACTGCTATTAATATATTAAGTTCATCAAAACAATTAAGTAAAGAAATAATTAAAAAACAAACTATATCAGAGAATACACAATTAGAAATTGATTCAACACGTAATGGTTATCGTCCTGTATCTGAACATGGTTCATTATTATTTTTTTGTATATCGGATCTTTCAAATATTGATCCTATGTATCAATATTCATTAACATGGTTTATTAATTTATTCTTATCAGTAAGTTGTTTTGTTTTATTTTGTTTGTTTTTAAAGTTTTTCTTACATTTATTGTAACATTGAATAAATTTAAATTAGTTTTATTTAGATTTTAATTAATGTTTTGTATTGAAACAATTGTATTAACAATGATTCATTTGAATATGAGAGTATAGTTTCCTAGCAGTGATCTATATGAGCTGATGTGTAACTAAGTAATATTGTGAAATTGTAATCTAATCATTATAAAATGAAAGATATTGATAATTATTTGGGTTTAATCCATTCTATTCAATGATCACAGTATATTATTACGCTGGATATAAGGTAACGTAGGGGTATGAACAGAGAAACAAAAAAAGGTATGACAAACTATGGATGTTATTTTTTCGGAACGTTATTTCATTTAATTCAAAGTTTGTAAAATATTGACATTTAATTTTTGTTCCTAGTTTATTTAATATGCAATAAGCTTTCGTTTGATATATGATACACTGTCATACGCTTATCCGTTCCAAAGCTATTGTAATTTAAACGTAACTTTTTGTACTCTATTTTCTACTCTAATCCCCAGTTTTGGATATAATTGTATTTTCCTAGTTGTTTGTACGTTTTGGTCATGTTGGTCATCTATGTTATTCATGTATTTTTTTTCGCTAATCTGATACGGAATCGTTTCTGCTATATTGACGTGGTGGTCGGGCTCGCCTATCGTTATAAATCAATCAACCTATACTAGTTGAAACAATCGTTCCTCAAATACCTATCATGCCAAACAGGTTGGTTGAAGAGCGGTAAGACTAAAAGCAGCAAACTCAAGGTCCGATGGCTAATTTGTACTCTTGATTCTACGGAGGTGGACTGCAGTATCGTGTTTCTTTCAGACAACCAGCATAACAGCCATGCTGACTTCTCACAAGGAAGGGTGGTGTTAGGAAAGGTCGACCCTAAAAATGCACATCTTGCGTTATCCCACGTATATTCGTCTGCGGTGGTAAGGTCCCAGCACGTACGAAGCTTACACAAAAATTACTCACAAAACGTTCGTGTGTGGTTACGTTGTAGCTGACTGACTGACTGATTCGTAACTGAATAGAAATCGAAAACAAATTGAATAGATCTCCAGTTGACTTATCTTTCTCGCGCTCATTTGCCAAGCAATCAGGTGATAGAATAATTCTCATCTCTATACTTAAAGCATTTAGTCTCACCTCGAACTCACGCGATCCTAGCCACAAGGTTGATCCAGTCAGCCTATCGTGTGAAAACCTTAATCTAGATTCGGACAAGTTATCATTCATATATTATTGGGTAGACAGATCAAGGATGTAACACGTAGATTCGGTAATAGTGGATATGACCAATTATTTATGTATTACCATATTCAAACACCTATCATAGACACGTCTAACAGTACAGTTTAAATGGTCTTCACACTTATTATTATTATATATGCTCACTAGCGACTGGCTTCAAGAGGTATATCCTGGAGTTCTAGTCAGAAGCAATGACTAGTGAAGTTCAACCGGGTTAGTTGTGAGATAGTAACTCACTGATGACGATGGTGGATATGTCGCTCAATTTCGTGGATTAGTTGAAGTTAGACATTAACAGAGCTGGATTTTGGCCGGCTCAGTGGCCTAGTTGGTTAAGCGCCTGCCGCGAAACCAATAGGTTCTGGGATTGGATCTCGCGAGGCAGGATCGTGGATGCGCACTGCTGAAGAGCCCCCTACTGGGACGAAACGGCCGTCCGGTGCTTCCAGGTTTTCCATGGTGGTCTAGCTTCAGTTGACTCATGATCTCAACTGTTGATATTATTAACATATTATAGAAGATAGAGCAAGATACAAATATACCTAGCTAAGTCTTTAATAATCTAATTATTCTTTTAATTAATGAACAACAGAGATTATGCTTAAGACGATGATTTGTTTGTTTGTTTTTCCTTACAAAACTTTAGTCTATTTCTAATAGTGAAAAATCACCTATTTTGGAAGAACGAATTGAATTATTGAATAATCATTTTACAACTAGTGTTTATCGAAATATATGTCGATCATTATTTGAAAATCATAAATTATTGTTTTCCTTAATCATGTGTTATTCACTTATGAAAAATAAGTAAGTTCTTTTATTAATATGAAATCACAATGATAATCATTATTATTAATTATTCAAAGACTACTGGATAGATAATATATTTAATATGCAGTGGAATACAGTTTGATGCTCATACCATCCTACTCGGGACTCATTAGCTGGATGTATCTGAATCTCAGATTTGATGTTCACTCTGGGACTCGAACTCAATACCGTTCGCTTCAAATGCTATTGGGTTATCCACTTAGCTACTGAATTCTGACAGCCACTAGTTGGTGCAGTGGGGTGAAGTTTAATTTGCTTGGTACTGTTTGTTTGAATCCTCCGATTGGTGTTTAGGACTACAATCGATCAATCTCTTATTGACATTTAATGCTTGTGAATTAAGGTTATATCGAGGCAATACGGACAGTATTCACATATGCTAATAAGAGACTGATCAATTGTAGCCCTAAACATCAATGGGAAGATTCAAATAAACAATACCAAATGAATATATTTATTATTTTACAATTTGACTACTTATATGTACGTCACTAATTATAAGAAAGTAAGATTATGTAAAATAATTTATAATGGATAAAATCAAAATAGACTTTTAATTATTTTAGTGCAGAGTCAATCTTTATTATGGTATATTGAAACTGATTGGGGCATAAATAGATCAGGGAACTTTTTGATCACTGAGTAGTGATTAATCTGATATGTCTGATTGTTTAGTGACACTAGAATTCTACCGATCAATTTGCAATTCATAAAAATATCAAATTTTCAGCAATTTATTCGTTTCCTGGATAGATTAGTAGTAACGCATATGGTTGTGAAACTTGGTAATATAGGTTCGAATCCCATGGGAAGCGTTAGTTTCATCAAGATTGTGATGAAATCTAAGTGAGACAGATTCTCTCGTCTAATACCTCCAACAACGTATTCTTGACTCTGATCTAAGTCTTTGCACCTGATAAATGTGGAGATGTTGTATAAGAACTGACGGGATAAGCCTTCAGTTTCTGTTTATATTCTCATTTTTAGTGAGTTGTCTTTTTGTTGTTGAAATTTTAATCAGATTTTTCTTTATTATATGGTTATGTATAGTGTAAACACTTCAAATGAATCTCAGTTACACTACTTCTTATTGCTGCACAAAGGTGTTTATTTGAGGACTTTAAAATTCAAAATCAAATCTATGACTGATGATTATTAGTAACAAAATAGGATTACACGAAACATTCTTCTAAGTCTCAATCAATTTGTGACTGCAATACCGTTCTCAAATTGTGTTTTATTAACGTTATAGATTCATTATTGTGCAATATTTTTAATATATTGTCCAAATACGATTTCGTAAATTATTGATACAACTGATTACTTTTTACAGCACTGTGATTTAGTTACATCTTACTGATAAACCCTAAATAACGCAATGTTTGCTTCTTGGATTGTATTCTCAGTTACTATTCATACGTATAATCAACTTGTTCATGTGATGAATATTGAGGCATCCGTTCAAGAAGTACTAACAGGGACTAGTTAATTCAGTCTTAACAAACATCAACGGCAAAAAAAGAATTACTGAAATCGGTTTTTCTAGAACGAAACATTGTGAAGGTAGCCACAGACTTACTTCTTGAAAATAAACACTGTGAACCAGAAATCATTATACACTACTTCATCCTAGTATAGTATTCCACAGCAGTGTGCATCAGCGACGCCAGCTAGCTTAAAACCTATGGCCTTCAAGAACCTTACTAATAAGCACTATCCAAATTATAATCAGTTTAACTGCCATTACTACTTATTTACTTTAATTAAACATTAGATTTATTATAAACTTTTTCAAATTAGAGGGAAAGTAAATGAAACAGTTTGGCGTTTTCTACTAACCGGTGGTGTTGCACTTGACAATCCTTATCCAAATCCATGTCCTGATTGGTTATCAGATAAATGTTGGTCAGAAATTGTACGTACTACAGAATTACCAGGATTAGAAGGATTTATGGATAGTAAGTAGTACAATTATATCAAATATTATATAAATATATAAGTAATTTTTCATAAATTAATATTGTGACAAACGCGAACACAAGAATTAAGAATATATGGCAGCTAGATTATTTCATTCAGAAAACAAAACATTTTCCTATATATATCAAAGCTAAAACTCAGAACAACTGTCAACCAACATTAAGTCAGAATCTTCAATACGAACGTCAAAACAGTCCTGAAACTTGAAGAACTACCACAATCATCACCAAAAAGATACAAGTATTTATAGACGATTTTTTACGTAAGATACTGAGTGTCCGTTGTCCGGACACCATCAACAACGACCTACTGTGGGGGAGAACTTCCAGCTGAGGAGGAAATTTGGAAAAGATATTGGAAGTGGATAGGACACACATTGAGGAAATCACCGTACTATATCACGAGGCAAGCGCTTACCTGGAATTCTGAAGTGAGACGAAAACGGGGAAGGCCAAAGAACACATTGAGTCGAAAATTGGTTGCTGACATGAAAAGAATGAATAGAAATTGGAAAGAAGTGGAAAAAATTGTCCAGGAGAGAGTTGGAAGGAGAATGCGGGTGGATGGCCTATACTCCTCCACGAGGGATAAAAAGCGTAAGTATATATATATCATAGAAAGCACTGAACGCATCTGTTATACCTGAATAAAAAAACATCTTAACGATGTGCATGTATATTCTCACATGGTTTCCAATCTAAATTATTTAATGCTAGTACTTTACTACTAGAATCTAATGGTTTACAATTACGACTACAGGGAATTTCAAATAAAACGATTACCATATAGCAACACCCAAATTACAGTGTTTAACACTTGTGCATACTACTTTAATTTTAATATAATTAGCTGTTTCAACTATATCTAGTAAATACAGAGGTATTTCCGACATGCTCTTCAATTACTATGAATTAAAGTCATTGTTTTAAGATGCTTGCTTATATTGTCCACAATTTTTTTCAACCATGTATAAACAGATAGATACAATGAAAAATATTTGTTATCCTGGAGAAAAAAACAAAAGGAACACTGCTATGAAGAAGCATCGTTATCTAGTATGTTGTTGGAGTTCTAAACACGGTTCTAGGCTCAGTACATTAATAGTCTGAATTTCATTAGGAAAAAAATCGATACCATCTTGAAGGTCTAGATCAATTTTATGACTTAGATTTAATTAGTATCCTTAAATCAATTCATTTGTTTCAACTAACCAACTACAAGATCACAATGGTAACTTTATCTAGTGTGTGAGTAATCTTAACGAATTTACATAGTTCAATCGACATAAAATCAGCTAAACGTCACAAGTACTCTTAGCTTACCATTACTAGTTAGTAAATACTAAAAATGTTTCATATGAATTGAATATTTATTTCCATAAATTCACTGCATTTTTAAAGGTGTACAATCTGCTTCAAATGAATGGAAAGCTATGTATGATGATTTAACACCTCATAGATTTCCTATTCCTGGAGAATTTTCAAAATTAGATGGTCTTGAAAAATTGGTTGTACTACGATGTATACGTCCAGATAAAGTGATTCCTGGAGTTCAAGTAAATTTTGATTGTTTGTAATAATATTAACATTAACAGTGAATCAAATTTTCTTACAAATCATTTATATTTCCAAAAGTTAGTCAAATTTATTATATATACGAAAACATTACCACTTAATAAAATCCCGCGAGCGGGATTATGGATGCGCACTGCTAAAGAGTCCCAGTGCTTCCAGGTTTCCAACGGTGGTCTAACATTAATCGGTTCATGATCTCAATCAAAAACTTAATAATCTCCACAACCCCTATACTGGTAAAACAGTTGGAGTTGATTTAATGCCATGATTAAATGATTAAAATGTATGAAAGTGACTTAGATATTTGTTATACAGATTAATTCAAGCTTTTAAAGAAATACTTGTGATTGAAAAGATATAAGATATACTGAACAGTATTTTAAGTGAATACATTATGAATTCCTATTTAAAACTGTTTCTATGATTATAGAAAAAGTAGAAACTAGATCCTGGAGAAAAGGTTTACTGAACTATATTTTAAGTATATTAAAGATTCCCATTGTGAAAATTAGAACAACACATGTAAGCGAATAATTGTTTTCAATTAGATCGTCATCAGGTTTTACTCTAATATACATGAATATTTGTACGAAAATGTTAAACCAATCAAAGTAATTTAGGTCAATAATCATAATGAAATAAAATAAGTCACCACACATAATTGGTGAAAGTACAAGTTGATAGTAGGAAGACAGGCGTACTGATAGTAGTAAGAATAATGAAATACAATGACAAAAGTCTTATCAATAGTTAAACATTGGAAATAGTAGGTCAAACATGGGTGAATAGAATAATCATCACAAAACATTGAAATCATTACGTAATAAGAAGTGTGCAAATAATTAGATAGTGAAGAATACAAACGGAAAGAGATGGATAATTACAAACAAATAATGGATGTGTAAATAAGGTCAATGATAGAATAATAATAATAATAATAATAATAATAATAATAATAATAATAAAGAAAAAATAAAAAAATTAATCGTTAGTTAAGTTATAACTGGACATGCAAGGGATAGGGTAGTTACAAATTTCTTCTGTACACATAAATTGGGGTTATATGTACGAATTCCTATGGCTTACGCTGGGAAATGATGGAGGTATACGATAGATCACTTGAAATGATTTTGATTTATCTACAGCATGACCACTATCAATAAGATGTGACAAATTGAATATTTTTAGTTTTATATAACTTACATTTTTCATTGGCATCGTGTACATCATATATTATTACTGGTTGAATTATATCGAACGGTTCTAGATGTAACTGTAAACATAATTAATTTAACATTTTATTATATTCTAATTTCTATCATTCATGGAACTGTAGGGTTATTCAAACATCAAGCAAGGAGTTAGTTCTATATTCCATTGCTAGCCAACATCCATCTCTGCTTAAAATGCTTGTGACTCAATCCACACACAATCCATATACACCAAAAGAGACTGATCAATCGAAGTCTTAAACGTCAATATAAAGATTCAAATAATCAATAGAAAGTAAACTAAGCTTTACCCTATTGTACAAGCTATTGGCTATCAGGACTCAGTCGCTAAGTGGATAATGCTATGGCGTTTAAAGCGGACGGTACTAGGTTCGTGTCTCAGAGTGAGAACATCAAATCTGGAATGCAGGTACATCCAGCTAAAGAGCCTCACATAATTGAAAAATAAGGAGAATAATTTAGAAGATGAAGTTTAAAATTTGATTAGAAACTTTACACACAAATACTTCAAGTTTCGAAATGTGCATATTTGCTACTTTTAAGTTACAAATATATTTCTCTAAAGATTTCAAGTCTCAAATCAAGCAGAAACATATCTCGAATATGTTTTATTGAATAATAGTCTATTTCAGTTAACGTTTTCTTTTTAAATTCCAAACACTAAGAGTTATGAAAAGCTTTTTATTAGCTCCTATTGTGGTGTGTGCTACTGATGTCGATAGATATAAGTAGTATGTATCGTCAATCGAAAATGAAATACCTGGCAGCAAAAGGTCAAGAAGATCAAGGAAAAGAGAACGAAAACAGAGAATGTTTGTTGTGGAAATAAAGGAATAGTAAAGTCTGAGACGATTGATTGACAGTTTGCAAATAAAAGAATTTACTGTATGGTTTTGCGATTTTACTAGAAGAATCTGTAATTGAGATGGTGGAGTACATTTGGTTTTCCGCACTTGTGTTCTCGTTCCGTACACTGTCAACTGTTTTAAATGTCATTCATAACATTCTCCTGCAGAAAACTTTCTTATTCTAGGAATTATCATCATTTAAATAATTCAGTTCAATCATTAATGCATTAATTAATTTATTGTATAAATAGAGACAGATATGCAAAAATGATATAGATGTTGGAATAATGATTTGGTTAACAAACCGTTATTAACCATGCCAAATATTATCATTCATTATCACTGGACTTAATATTTCTGTGCTCATTACAGAGAATAAAATCTATGTAATTTAAACTTCATTAATTGAGCAACCCTCTCCTTTTTTCAAAATTCGTGCCTGCCCAAGACTTTCATCATTTATACGTTGTTTAAAACCTTTTCTCGTAAAGTAAACAGTGAATTTTGTACAGTTCCATTCAGCGAATATAAAACTAAACATATTAGTAAGAAAAATTTTATTTCTGAAAGCTCATTTATATATACGGAAGAGATAATCAAATTGAAATATAAGTTTTAGTCGAAAACTGATACTGAATTCAATGCTTTATAAAAAATGGCTAGCAGTTCAAAGTCACTAAGAATAAGAATTGTAAAACAAAACAAAAACTGCTCATGTCGAATTCACTTGAAATTGTTTTACTTGAATCTTCCCATTGATGTTTAGGACTGCAATTGATCAGTCTCTCATATTGGCATATGTGCATACTGTGCGTATCGCCTCGATATTGCCTTAATTTACAAGCATTATAAGAAAAGATGGATAGTGGCTAGCAGTGGAATCCAGGACGCGCGTTTCGTCCTATTTGGGACTCGTCAGCTGGATGTACCTTCATCTCAGAGTTGATGTTCACTTCGGAACTCAAACCCAGTACCGTCCGCTTCAAACGCCATCGCGTTATCCACTTAGCTACTGAGTCCTGATAGCCAGTTGCTTGTGCAATGGGGTGAAGTTTAATTCCCTTGATATTGTTTTACTTGAATCTTCCCATTGATGTTTAGGACTGCAATTGATCAGTCTCTCATATTCGTACTGGGTTCGAGTCGCAGAGTGAACATCAACTCTGAGATGCAGGTACATCCAGCTGACGAGTCCCAAATAGGACGAAACGCGCGTCCTGGATTCCACTGTTAGCCACTATCCATCTTTTCTTATAATGCTCATTTCGAAGTTCTTTTTTTATCACAGTTTGATTAAAGTTCGCTAAACATTAAAAACCCAAAGTACCTTGAACAATTTTTTTCAACCAAACTTGATACTCCTCAGCTACATATGTGTACCACTCTGAAAGCTTCACATCTCTTAACATCCACGATAAAATTGCATCACAGAGACAACGGATAAGAGCCTGTAATTAGTAAGGCACATAACTTTATAAATGATAACAATGGTAGATGGTGTTGCAACTTCGTGGATTAGTCTTAGCTAGAGATTAACTCCATTAGATGCTCGCTCAGCAGTCTAGAGGTTAAGCGCTCATGAGGTGGGGTTGTGGATGCGCACTGCTGAAAACTCCTATACTAGGACGAAACGACCGTCCGGTGCTTCCGGGTTTTCCATGGTGGTCTACCTTCAATTGACTCATAGTTGTGATAGTTCTGTAAAAAGAACACTGTTGGATCTAATTAGTCTCTGATGATTAAGTTTATAATACTTTACACTTTCATAATAAGTGAATTATTGAAATTATTATCGTTCTTTTTTCTCAACAAAAAAAATTATAAATAGGATTTTATAGTACAAAATCTTGGTCAACAATTTATTGAACCACCAACATTTGATTTACCCGGTTCATTCGCTGATTCCAATTGTTGCTCACCATTAATATTTATATTATCACCTGGAGCTGATCCAATGAATGCTTTAATTAAATTCGGTATTGATTTAGGATATACCAGTGATCGTATACAAACAATATCACTTGGTCAAGGTCAAGGACCAATAGCAGCAAATATGATTTATCAAGCTATTAAAAATGGTACATGGGTTGTATTACAAAATTGTCATTTAGCTGTTAGTTGGATGAAATCATTAGAGAAAATATGTGAAGAAACAATTGTACCAAATAATGTAAATGATAAATTTCGTTTATGGTTAACTAGTTATCCATCACCTGATTTTCCTGTTACAATATTAGAAAACGGTAAGTGTAACTTTGTTTTGATAATAAAATGAAATGACAGTCAAGGTCATTAGTGAGGTCAGATTTTACGCGGTGAATCTTAAGTGAAATCAAAATGTAACAATGTAGTCATATAAATGTTTGTTATTACAAAATAGAAATTTCGTATTTGGTGTCTATCACTTATAAAATCTAATTTAATAACTCATTACTGTAAATAAATGGATATAATAAGGGGGGAAAATGATTGAGATCATGAACCGATTGATGTTAGATCGCCATTAAAGACCTAGAAGCTCTGGATGGCCGTTTCGTCCTATTGCAGGACTCCCCAGCAGTGTGCGTCCACGATCCCGCTCGCGGGACTCGATCCAAGGGATTTCAGTCTCGCGCGCGAACGCATATCCTCTAGACCATTGAGTCGGCCAGTATCTGACAGTGTCAATGTCTAACTTCAACCAATCCATGAAATTGCACGACCATCTTCCATTGTACTTAGGTAGATACTTGTCACTACCTGACACGGATTAGCCCCACTGGTCACGTCTTCTCACCAGAACTCCGAGAATTCCCTCACGAAGCTAGTCACTAGTGAGCACATAGTAATTATCAGTATAGGGTTGTGGAGATTATTAATTTATTGATTGAGATCATGAACCGATTGATATTTACGATTGTGGTCTAACATCAATCGGTTCATGATCTCAATCAGTAACTTAATAATCTCCACAACCCTATACTGAAAAAAGACCGATTACTTAAATACAATTTTCTTCAAGTGAAATGAAAAAATTTGTCTACGAAATAATATACAAAAAACAATGAAATGATTAAGTTACTTGAAACAGTTGATTATATAACATAGGTTTCAAGGGTCAATCAAGACCCTAATGTAAAACCTAATTCTTGCCTTTCATTTCAATTATATTATCGTCGAAAATCGTGGTTGAAACTAGAGTATATATGATTGACCATAGAAACTATAACCTTTCATACAGTCGTCTATAGTTGAAGAGACTAGCTAATGAAAACCAATCATAAAAAAATAATTAAAGGTTAAAGCATGTGATACAAAGCTTAATCAGCTTATATTCGATGGAGTTTTGTCCTCTAAACTGTATGGTCCGACTCAGAGAACAAAACTCCATTAAAATTATCCACTTGAGCTACAAATCTTCTCCATCATCTTAACCAGCTTACAATTGATCTTTCATCAGTTTATACTCATGGACTGTGGTGACACTCAGTTGTTAAAAAGCGTAACAAAGCAACTGTCATTTAGATTTCTAAATTTTAACATTAACTATGGACTACGTCTAGATAATACTTGATTGAAGGATTTAGAAATAAAAATAGAAGATATAAACCATATTGTGAAAATAACGCAAGTGTTAATAAAGAAGATAAATTCACAAGTGAACACAACTATTATTATACTTTAGATTATGGAATTGGGCAACTTTATGAAAATAAGTTTTTCCTCGGCTACCGAATGAATCTGAATGGTTTATGTATATTCAGACTACTTATTTAGAGTCAACAGTTGGATACATTCAGTGATTTGGTTGAAATAATATATACTAATATGTTTGCATTCATTTTGAATAGATACTATTGTTTCGTTCTTCTTGTTCAGTTTGCAATGTTTGTATGACCACTGATTTTTGTATATGAAACAATATATATAACTCCTAAGATACAGATTTTCAAGTTATCAGTCTTCTAGACATGCTTAGTCAAAGTAGAGAACATATCTACAAGTAAAACAACACCTAATGAATTTAGACTTAAACCCATTGTACAATCAGGTGGCTATTAGAACTCAGTAGCTAAGTGGATAACGTGATAGCGTTTCAAGCGAACGGTACTGGGTTCGAGTTCCAAAGTGAACATCAACTCTAAGATACAAGTGCATCCAGTTGACGAGTCCTAATTAGAACGAAATGTGCGGATAACTACAGATTCCACTGTTAGCCACTATCCATCTTTGCTTAAAAAGCTTGTGACTTAAGGCTATATCGAGGCAATACGTACAAGATGCACATATGTCAACAAGAGACTGATCAATTGCAGTCCTAAATAACAATGGGAAGATACAAGTAAAATTATTACAATTAATTATCTTGTTGAATTATCAAGATTATGTAAAAAGGAATAACCATACACTATCATTTGTATTCACTGATTTTCTTTTCACATATTTCATAGGTGTTAAAATGACAAATGAACCACCAAAAGGTTTACGATCAAATTTATTACGTTCTTACTTAAATGATCCCATATCAGATCCAATATTCTATGATGGTTGTACAAAAGTGAGTGCAAAACAAACATTTATATAAAGAAAAGATAAATAAAATATAACATCTACCCAGTACTCTACAATGATTAGTAATTAGCAGATAAATATCATTTGTTGATAGAAATCCCATTCTTTCTTGTCCCTTGAATAACATGGTGATCTTGTAGTTAAGCTTTAAGATTTCAATAAATGGATCAAAGATTAAAACTTCACTCTACCTAATTTGTTATGCATAACCAGGTATTAGTGTCAAGCCGTCACAAAAAACAATGTGATAAGATACTGGGAAACTAAACTTGTAATTGTTATATAAATTACAACAAAATTATCCTCACTGTTAGCAATTAAAAGGGTAAGTAATAAGTATCAACTATACTAGAAACTTTCGACCACTGAACCTCCAATCCGATAAATGTTTGACTATAAATATACCAGAAAGCATTTCACGTATTCCTTAGTTTACTTATAAATAGGCCATCAGCCACATATACTTCATGAATGAGCTCAGTGCTTTTGTGAAACTATTTTATAGCACTTGGTAGATCTACCTGATATTAGAACGATTTTGATTACCGAATAAATCTTAATATTTGGATAGGCAATTAAAAACAAAAAAGACATTTTTCAAAACTTTGTTCATAACAGATATTGTGACATGGCTCAGAATCGATCATACTCTCTGTTTTCCCTTAAACGATGAGATTAAAATTGCTTTATATCTTTCTTTCTACAAACTAATTCTTTCTTCCTGTACTATGTCCTCATATGCAATCTTTCCTTTATATATTACCACCACTACTTCTATGAATCCGGTATTCATCTCGTTGCCCTAATGAGGTGTGACAACTTGAACTGATGCACATATGTGCCTAGTCCTACGTTGTAGCTAACTAACTTGTAGTATTTCTAAAAACTCTTATCATTTCATGAGTCTTATAGAATTAGACATTCTCTCAACTAAAATGATTCTTTAACATTCCTATGTAAATCAAATGAAACATATTTAAATGCGATCAAAATTAGTTTTACTTTATATCAATTTAAATATAATCATTAAATCATAAAACAGTTTGTTTCTTCAATAAACAGATCCTTTTCAACAAGTTTATTGTCAAAAGACGTACAATTCTATTTATATATGATAAATTACTGATTAATGAATAGTTATATCAAAATGGAAGTTGGTGGAGATTGTAGTAATTTTAACAGTTAAATTCATGAGTCAATCTAAGGTAGATCATTAGGAATAACCTAGAAGCATTGAATAGCCATTCCGTTCTAGTATGTCTAACTTCAATCAATGCAATGATCTTGTGCAACCCTTCAACCGGCTCAGTAATCTAGAGGTTAGGAGTTCGAGTGTGAGATCAATGGCCCTGAATTTAAATCCCATGTGAGGGATCGTGGATGCGCACTGCTGAGGAGTCCCAAACTACAATGAGATGGCTGTTCAGGTCTCCCAGGTTTTCAATGGTGGTTTAACTTAGATTGACCCATGAATTCACATATTACAATAATTATGTCAGTTAAAATTTGATTAATTATTAATGTCGATTGTTGAGATCATAATTCAATTGAAGCTAGAACCACATGGAAAACCTGAAAGCACTAGATGGCCATTTCGTCCTATTGTGGGACTCCTTAGCAGTGCACATTCATTGGATGCAGGCTCAGTGGTCTAGTGGTTAAGCACTCGTGCGCGAGACCAGTAGGTTGTGGTTCGAGTCCCGCCAGGCGGGGTCGTGGGTGAGCACTTCTGAGGAGTCTCCTAATTGGACGAATCGGCCGTCCACTGCTTTCAGGTTTTCTTTGGTGGTCTAGCTTCAATTGACTCGTGATCTGAACTATTGAAATTACTAAAATCTCCACAAAACCCCTTCTGATACTAATTATTATTGTGTAAAAAATAGTTATTAAGGGAGAAAATATATGAAATGTGAGAAATATGTAATCGATAGGGTGAAAATTGAAACTCTGAGTATTGTCATATTGAAATAAGAATGTGTGAATGATGGCCAAGATATCATATTTGAAACACTCTTTAATAAAAAACATAATAATTGCTGTGACTTTATGGCCCGCTTTTTATCACATAATTTTTTCGCCAATCTAAATAGACTTATTCACTCTTTTACTGTACTAAACCAATGACATCCGACCGGTCTGACCAGCCTAGTGTCCTTATAGGTCCTTGACTCGCCTAACCCATCCAATTGAGTTCGGAACACCAATACCAGCTTCCACTATGCGAATCACTTATTTCAAACATACTTGATTTATATATCAGCTAAACAGACCGCGTCGCACCATAAAATAGGAAATAACAGTCAGTCAGTGTGCTGTTACGTGTATGAGGGCTGATATCACTTACAGGCTGCCCCCACCGTGGAAGGGTATTTCTTGGGGAACCTGAAAATTAAGTTGGATTAGTGTTGGTCTTAACGACCTGAGAGCATAACCGTAGAGCTTGAGGAACAACTGATTGAGGCAAGTCGCGCACGGACTTTTTGTGGGAGGTTTTTAACGTGTTAGCTCCCTGTGCAACTTTGTCCTCAGACCTTGAGTTGCTACTTTTAGTCTTACCGTTCTCCAATCGACCTACCTGGCACGGTAGAACTTCCAGAAACGTATGTTCCAGCCAATATAGCTCGGTTGATTCATCACTATGGGCGAGCCTAACCACCATGTCAAGGTAGCACCTACGGTCAGGATAAGAAATAACATTTATACAAATCAAGCCAAAATGTGGCTGTGAACATGAGTGACTGTAATCAATAAACTGAACATAACTTAAGAACAGTGAATCGTATCAGAATAATCTATAAGTCAAAATGAAGCCTATAATAAAAGGAATATAGATATTCACAATCTAATTACAGAATAGTTATACCATAACAATATATGTAGATAATATTAGACCATTAATAGGTCTCAAAAGTTACCCGTAATTTAATCTTCTCTAGGATATAACAATAATAATAGAAAATTAGGATTATTTCGTAAATCTAATAAAATCAAGTAGAGAGAAAGAACAGTTAAGTACACAAATTAATATTGAAAACTGAGACTGTTATAGAAAAAAAATAGATCCAACAAATTGTATTTATACGCATAGCTCAAATTTTAAATTATGGATAGTTGAATCTTCTGCAGTGTAAGGCGAGTAAAGGTGTACATCTCTTGATATCTTTGTTGGGGAGGTTATATCCCTAGAACTCACTTTGTAAATGCCTTATTTTTGTAATTCAATGTAAAAAATTTTGAGTTTCTTGTTTTTGCACGAAAAGTGCTCATTTTTACGTTCATGTCGTAATTCCCATTTGGGAGGATCTTAAATGCTATTGGTTAGTTGTATCTTTTAGTATACAATTTTGTAACGCTTCCCAATAACATTTTTATGCTGTATATATATATATATATATACGCTTGATTTGTGCTTGTTGATGTTCGTGCTTCTTGTTGCTTATGGAATATATTTCGTTCTTTTGAACTTGGACTTCTCTCTCTAGTTAGAGGGGCTGGGACGCGTCGGGATAGGTAGCTTATCTGCCATTATGTCACCGGGTATTCATTCCGTTCTCAGATTAGATGAACTCTTCATCAGTTGCGAATATTCTTTATCAATACTTTGTTTAATTATCGAATGTTCTAAGGATATTTCAATAAAAGTTTTCCTTTCTTCTTATTTGATTTAGAATCCTATATGGCATAAGATGTTATTTGGATTATGCTTTTTCCATGCACTGGTTCAAGAACGACGTAACTTTGGTCCACTTGGTTGGAATGTTCCTTATGAATTTAATGAATCCGATCTACGTATAAGTGTACGACAAATGAAGGTTAGACTAAATAGTAGATCACATTAGCATACTTTTCATGTCCCTTTTTAAAAGATGATTTTCCTCACGGACTGATATAAGTTGAACAAAATTATTAAGACTGTTGTATCGTTACATTTCGAACAGAAAAATGTGTTAATATAGAATGGATGTAATGAGGTTAGCACAGAAACTCAGGACATGTCTTTGATTCTATTTGAGGGTGGGTGTACTTGCATCCAATAGTTGATGTTCACTTTGGTACTCGAACGCAGAACCATTAGTTTCAAACACCACCGTGTTACCCACTTAGCCACTTAACCACTCACTTTTTTAACGAATATGAGTTTCAGTTCAATTCGAAATTATTTATATTATTCCATTGTTAATATTTTGATTGATATTTGGTATATATATATATATATATATATATATATATATATATATATATATATATATATTCTGTGCTGATTGCTTTGACATAATCATTATGGCACAAATTAATGTAGAACTGATGGAATGTGTCTAACAGTAGAAAAATGAGTATCCTATTACATATTAAGAGTACACCGTATAGTTACAGGTAATCAGTATGAATCCCTAAACCTTAAATTTTACTCACTGACATCCGTTTGCTATCAGAAATAGTTAAACAATAACGTGCATGATGGTGGTACCCGTAATGAAATTACCTCGAGAATGGAGATATGGTGTTGTTTGTAAGCATCAAAAGTTGTGATATATGAGCGTTAGACTCTAATGTCCATAATTTCCAACCACTTAATATCAATGTAAGTGCATCTAAATATAACTAACTGAATTTAATGATCATGTTTAAACTTTGAAAGGTAGAATTCAAAAGACCATATTAACTAGACAAAATAATATTCATACATTTCAAAAATCATTTACGCCGTTTTCTTTCATATTTTTTTAAAATTCAAATACCTTGAAGAGCATCAGTTACCTCAACTGTGGATACATCTCATTCTAAAATTTAGGTTCATTTAAGCTTCTTGTAGTTTACCTCCAAGCACAATATGCATGCGATAGTTGGTCACTAAAACTATTGGGTACACAATCACTATCACTAAGGTCTTGACAAACATGAAATTTGTCACTATTCAATGATCATTTAGTATAAATATATTGATCGTTTAAAATCAAGTTGACAGTTTTTCTGTAATTTCATTTATTCATTTCATAGTTATAAAAATGTATATTTAAATTCATTCTTAATTTCTTAGTCTACATCATGAAGTGACCTAAGCTAGACAACCATTGTAAACCAGGATGCACAGGTGAAAGTTTCATCCTAAAAAAGGACTCTTAAATAGTTCGAATCAGAAACTTTACTAGGGATCTAATCCAGTATCTTCAGATCTCTCATAGAGTACTTATTATTCAGATCAGTGACTTGACACCCTACAGCTTACATTTCTAACTTTCTAGGTCTCAATGTTCGGCTAGGATCGGTTCATGTTGTAGACTAGGAAGCTCAACAATCTCTACAAACTTCTTATACCATATTATTGATTTTTGTATTTTATTTAAAAAACATTTAATAATTTAGATGTTTTTAGATCAATATGATGAAATTCCATATGAAGCATTAACTTATCTTACTGGTGAATGTAATTATGGTGGACGTGTAACTGATGATAAAGATAGACGATTACTTATTTCATTATTGGGTATATTTTATAATAAAAGAATTATTGAAGAAGAAAATTACAAGTAAGTTATACAATTACTTTTTGATTATAGTGGAAAGTTGATAACTAGTTAATATGTTAAGCTATTTGAGAAGCGCGACTACAAACCAAGTCATTTTAATTACATAATTTAATTACTACACAGAAAGTTATTTAACATGGACTGAAAATAGTTGGGGTATAAATGAAAATTTGGAAGTAAATGACAGTTCGTTTGTGCTACTATAGAATTCCACTTCAGTGTACATTGAAGAACCGGCTAGAGATTAAACACAAGTATCGCAGCCACAAAATTGGAACTCAAAGGTTCGTATTTTAATTCTAACAAATTTGAGATATATAAACGTTTACTTGAATCGAACTAACTGTTCATAAGTTCTTTATCACAATTTGATATAACCAGTTGTGAATATATTTCATAAGATCAAGAAGTTGGATCATGAAATGTCATCAGTAATAAGTTACTTAACCTTAATCTACACTCTAAAAACACTATTTATAATTTGTCATTAATAGAAGTTCTGTAAACGTTTGCTCATGTGTGTACAATAACTTCTATACTATGCCTCCATTCGAAATCAATAATTTAATCTTTTGTCACAACTGAACTATAGCTTACTACTTCATTAGGTGGTAGATAAAAAACAAGTGGTGATATATAATTTCAAAATAAGATTAAATATCCGCTAAATACCTTTAAACTCTCAACCAGCTTCTAGTCCTATATATAGTGTTCAATCAACTTTTGTACTGAATAATTTGAAAAAAATAGGCAAATTTTCTTTCGTTAAGATTTTACAAACATCTTCTTCCTCCTTAAATTTCGCAGTTTTCTAAAATGATATTTTTCTTTCTTTTGTTGTTAACATATAAATTAGTGATTTAGTAACATAGCCAATTTCTAGACTTGAATCCTAATCCATTGAATTTGTTCTAGAGATATGATTTATATCAATAAACCTTACATATCCAAAAGAAATATGTGAGATGAGCATTTTATACATGTGTATGTCTTGTTCTTTTGAATATATTATAGATTTTCATCATCTGGTATATATTATTGTCCTGATGATGGTACAGCCCAACATTTTATTGATTATATACGTTCGTTACCATTAAATCCAATGCCAGAAGTTTATGGTCTTCATGATAATGCCGATATCACTAAAGATAATCAAGAAACTTTCCAAGTAATTAATTAATCAATGTTTATTTCATTTTTTTAATGAATCAATAAGAATTTGTTTGAAAATCCACATTTGATATAATATAATCAAGAGGTATTTCGTGGAGTTCTAGCAAGAAGCAATGACCAGTGGAGTTCAATCGGGTCTGTGAGATAGTAACTCACTGAAGACAATGGTGGATGTGTCACTCAATTTCGTGGATTAGCTGAAGTTAGACATTAACACCATTGGATGTTGGCCGGATTAGTGGTCTAGTGGTTAAGCGCTCGCGCACGAGTTGGAATCTGACGAGGCGGGATTGTGGATGCGCGCTACTGAGGATTCCCCTACTGGGACAAAACGGCCGCCCAGTGCTTCCAGGTTTTCCATTGTGGTCTAGCTCCAATCGACTCAACTACTGAGATTACCATAATGTCCACAAAAAACCTTTCTGATATAATCTAAAGGGTTGTATAGACAAAATCCGGAATGCTAAGACATACAATTATTCTTTCTAAAAACCGTTTGTACTATTGAAGTAGACAACACCATGCTTAGGATTAAAAATAATAATAAATTTTTATACATTTTTAACGAATCTAAAGTCATAAAGGAATAATGATTAAATACTTTACGCTGATTGGTTCGACAGTAGATCCAACTAACCAATAGAATTCTCCAAACAAAGCAATAGAATGAATCAAAATTTGAAGTAAACAAACACTTGATATACAAGCCAACAAATTGAAATATAAGTATCCCACTTACTCACTAACTGTGTTACGATTGTTGAAGCTACATTGTATCTCAGTAGTAACTGCAGAATTGATCAGCCGGAAGAAATTTGAGTAATGTGAAGTGAGAGAAATTTGAAATATTTTGGACTGACAAAATAAATTCAAAGTTCTACAGCGGGATTTCAAAATTAATGTAAAATATAATCTTTATCATGATTAGATTTGAAGAAAGTACCTTTATATAGGGTTATTAATATTTTGAATTAATGAAGAGGAGATTAATGTATCAACTCGGATTAGCTTAGATCGACTCATGATTGATAAATCATATATGAACCATGAAAATTACATAAATCTCGTCTAAGCACTGTGTATATCAAACTTTTATTTGATTTTGGAAACAAATTATTGTTATTATTGTAATGGCTGGTACTATTTCAAGCTCAAAAAGTTATTCTAGCTTCTGAACCGATCGATTTATTCATTCTTCTCAGGCTATATTTTGACTTTATTGATTATTCGCTTATTAACCCCAACTGTTTTTACACGATCATATATGTGTTAATTACTTATCCTATTCATCAAGTGTCTGCAACATATTTTTGATCTGACTATAGATAGTGAGTTACTCCCCCCTGATCCGCTTCGCTTTCCCACTTTGTTTCTCTGAGTGTCAGTCTGGATTAACAAGTGTACGAAATATACGTATCGAAATTCATTCTCGTATTTGACTAATTTAATTCCGTTATTCTTTAACGCGAATTAATTCGATAATTATATACGATGGCTGACGACATGTATATTTCGATAACAATCATTCATGCGATCTAACTGGAGTCAGATATAGGTCCACCAAATTAGTGAGCCCAATATGATTCGAACACTCCGCCTTCTTATATAGAGTCAGATACCGGGCCACTAAATTACTTTATCCTTATGCTTATTAACTATTAAAGGTGATTTTAAGTTTATGATTATTTATATATCACTTATCAAGTTTATCATCTAATGTGAGATAAGCAATGACGTATTGACCTTCAGGTTGGTAGGTGGGGGGAATTTTACTATCAACTGGATATATTTTTAATGGGTCACAATCATTGTCAGTTTACGGGTTTACTTACTTACGCCTGTTACTCCTCGTGGAGGAGCATGGGCCTCCCACTAATTTACTCCACCATAATTTTAACTTGTACTATTTTGAAAAACTGTTATTACCTTTGATCACATAATTAAATGTGCTTACCTACATTTTCTCTTCTTCTCTTCTTCACTTTCATTATATAAAGTTATTTTCTGGAATTTTATTAACATTACCAAGGCAAAAAGACACAGCTGGTAAATCACCAGAATCAATTGTACAAGATTTAGCTGCAGATATTTTATCGAAACTTCCACCAGATTTTGATTTAAAAGAAGTGAGTTTAACTAAGTATTACTTATTTGTTGCTTATTTCTATATGGTAGTGGCTAACAGTAGAATCCAGGATTCGTATTATATCCTATCTAGGACTTTTCAGCTATATGTATTTGCATCTGTGTTGATATTTACACCGGAACTTGAACCGATTGGCTTCCACCTCAAATATCATCAACATGAGAACTCGAAAGTAGGTACATCCGACTAACGAGTTCCGAATAGTGTGAAACGCAAGTTCTCAACTTTACTACTAACTACTATCCAACACTGTTTAAAACACTTGCGAATTGATATCAGTATTGAAGCAATCCTCTTACAATACACAAAAAGTGACAGATTAATTGCACCCCACAACAGCAAAAACGGGAAGATCTAAATGACTTTTAAAATTAATTAAAATCCAAATTGTATGGTAATTTCCTTTAAATATGAGGAAAAACAGACTGAACAAGAAAATAGAATTAAGAATTCTTTTGGCTAGACAATAGATCTAATAGTTCATTGAGATTTATAACATATTCATTTCATTGGATAGCATATTTGTCATGTCCTTATTTCAAACATAATCCTCACACTTTCCGATGAACCACTATTTAAAATGAACTATTGCGTATAATTTTGATTCTCTTTGACTGAACTAAATTAATAAAGCTTCTCTAGTCACAGATTGATATGATTTTACATTAGCAATTAACTTCTGTAAAGCGTGGTGTTGATCAAAAGCTAAGTATTGATTGTTCTTGATAAAATAGGTGACCAAACAACTTCTCATCAACCTGATGATCAGATACTATTTTGCTTTAGGTGGCTTTTGCAGACTGCCATTAAATGTTAAAATTGATTTCTAGTACAAACGGAAGTCATCTGTTGTAATATTTTGGAAATGAGAGTTATAAGTCAATTGCATTCCGTTATGCTCACACCATGTCCAAAGATAATGTGAAACAGTTACCCATCGAAGACAACGGGAAATGGTAGCGCAATATCGCAGATTTTTTGAAATTAGTGATCTATATGTCAAGAGTTTGTGTGCGGGGCCAAGGATTTTCAATTCGAGTCCTGCATGTGTGGTCGTGGATAGGCATCGATGAGGAGTTCCGTACTAGGACGAGATGGCCGTCCAGGTTTCCAATGCTAATCTAACATTGATCGATTCATGATCTCAACCAAAACTTGGCAATGTCCACAACCCTATACTGGTAATATACTTGTTGTGATATACTAATGTCTTTAGTTCGATCATGTGTGATATTGAGAGGTGATCACTGCTAAGGGATCACAAATAGTTTTTCAGTTATGCTTGATTAGCAATGTTTTTTAAATGGCTTAAGCTTTTTACAAAAAAATTTCCTCCAAGTAATCAAATTTAGCTATTAAATTTCTCATCAGTTACAAATAATAAATTTAACTTAATAAGTGACATTGATATTACGGATGAAATCCCGATATCGAAAAGTTCTACTGTCCTGTAAACAACTAAAGCACTATGAACTGACAAACTTTAAATATTGGAATTTTCAAACGTCAGTGACGTCAAAAATGTACGGTCGGAGATTAAATATTTCCTTCATACATGTAAAAGAGTTAAGTTACTACGTGTGCTTTCAATCAAAAAACAGAACACATCTTTGTCAAGAGAGGATATAGAGCCCCAAAGAAATACATGACGCACTATTTCGAAATTAGACAAGTCGCCAGAATTGAACAAAATGTGTAGCGACTACGAATAATTGGAAACTGGTTTACTGTGACAAACAGACACAATGCTTGGACAATAAAAATTATCAAACATACCCAAAGTATTTGATATTATTGAGTAGTGTGATTACGAAATGTTACGTAGAGGAAATGAAGCTGCAACGTAGGAAACAGATTTAGCTATCTATATGTACCTAGATTAAACGTTTTGAGGATATCGTTTGGGCTTTTGAGTGATATTCTCCATGGATTGGTCTTACTTGGCCTACCAATAGGTACCAGAGGATATTTAATTCATTTCAGTCTGTGATTCTTTTCCAATATGTCCCCACCAAGCGTAGAAATCAGAATCACCAGGCCTGTTGGTTAAATTTCTAGTCGAATTCACACTTAAAAATTCCAACTAGGTTGGAAGACCTGTAAGTCGTAAATACTATCTATTGAGGAGTTGCATATGCATGCTGAAGCGGAGTTTCACTCAAAAATGAAACAAATATCTAGTACTCTCTAGTATTCAATGGAACCTCAATAGATATCGTTTCATGACGAATGTCGCTTACATGTAATAAACGTAAATCCCTAGCAAAAGTTTTTCTCATCAGTTACACTTTTTTAAATTCTTTTATGTGAACGTTTTTGTTAACAGGTAATTAATCATTATCCTGTCAAGTATGAAGAATCGATGAATACCGTACTTAGACAAGAATTGATACGATTTAATCGCTTAACTAGCGTTATACGTGCGACATTAATAGACTTACAAAAAGCCATCAAAGGATTAGTTGTTATGTCAGCTGATTTGGAAGATGTATTTAATTCAATATTAATCGGAAAATTACCAAGTGTTTGGGCAGCGAAATCATTTCCATCACTTAAACCTTTAGGAAGTTATATACAAGATTTACTATATAGGTAATCGATTTGTTTATTTTTAAACAATAAAAATGTATTAACCATTAATTTAGTAAGAAAGAGAGTTTCAGTAGTTGAAACCATGAATCAATTGAAGCTAGACCACCATGGAAAACCTGGGAGCACTGGATGACCATTTTGTCATAGTATGGGACTCCTCGGCAGTACGCTTAGGTTGTGGTCTAGCTTCAATTGACTCATGATTTCAAATATTGAAAGAAAGGGAATATCAGAAACTAATAGTATTTGAACTTATGGGCAAATATACCCTCTCTTACGAAGAATTAGTTAACGAAAAGTTTCAGTGATTTAGTAAACCCATAAACAAGGTTCCTAAAATCAATATATTTGAATTCAATATGTTATCATTATGAACAAAGATTTCAAACTGAGATTGATATACTGAAAAGAAGAGATATTCAAGAAATTAAGCATTATTTATTCCTATCTCTTCTCACATGTTAGTCAGGTTAGTATTTATTTCAAAATACTTTCAACGAGCATAGTATTAAGTTCAGGTATTGGACATTACATTAAAAGAATATCCTATTCCATAGATGTATATTGAAGTTTTCAAGGGTTGTATTTTACTTTTTATAAATTTTCGAAATCGTTGTCTACCGGAGAACATTATTTTCAAGGCGGATTAATTGGAAATAAAGCTATGACGTGAATTATGTTGGCTCTAATATATGTTGGTTCTTTTCAATAATAATGTTAGGTGTAGTAGAGACTACCTGCTACCTCCGGACTCAAGGCAGGAGATAGAGAAGAGTTAACGAATAGTGAACCAATAGGAATCTAGCTACCGGCTCAAGGTCAGTAGTGATGAACGGGTGTACAATTGGACAAGTCGAAGACACTGATTTAGAGAACAAATAAATGACCAAATTAGAAGTAGAATCCAGATTGATGACTTGACACATGATTTCTTTCAGCGATCCTCAAGAAAGTTTTTATTGTTAGATAACTTTTATGGTTTAATATGAGAATCTTTCTTGAATCGTTCAAAATGACTAACTAAAATATTAACAACCATTTTCACTAAGTAACTGCTTATGTTTAGACTCATGTAAAATTGATCTCTAACTCAGTGATCTTTTAATCACATTACATTGCACAGGTAACGTGTTTTTTGTTTAAGATGTTGGTAAAAAATATTTTAAACTTCTCCAGTAAAAATCTAAAACTAATCTTGCAGAGCTGTGCAAGATGTTCTAAGAAGGTCCATCTGAACTATTAAAAAGACGGATATGTAATTGATAGACAGATTATTCAAGCAATCCACAAAATCTCGAAATCCTTACGCAAAACACATTTGATACTCGTTAAAACTACACACTGATAATGCCAGAAATATATGTGGAAATACTGCTAAAATAAAACTAGTATACTATGGATATTTTGCATTCATGGCTATCAATAAAGTTTATTTTTGTCATACATTAACCATTAACAATAATAATTCGACTAACAAGATAATTTACTATTATGTTTAAAGTTTTCAGATTATTGTTTCAATAGTTGAATTCACTAGTCAATTAAAGCTAGACCACCATAGAAAACCTGGAAACACTAAACAACCGTTTTGTCCTAGTATGGAACCCCTCAGCAGTGCGCACGCGAGACCGATAGATCTTAGGTTCGAATCCCTCAAGCTAGATCGTGGATGGCTGTCAACAAAGTGCGCATACAAAACCGAAGGTCGTGAGTTCTATACTAGAATTAAAAAGCCTTCCAGTGCTTCCAGGTTTTCCATAGTAGTCTATCTTTAATTAATTTATGAATTCACCTATCTTCACAAAATCCCTTTCTGATAATTGTTATGACTAGTATCACATGATTTATCCGCCAATCGAAATACGACTTATACAATCTTTACACTATGCTAAACCAATGACATTCAACCAGTATGAGCAAACTAGCGTCCTCATTGGTCCTTTTTCCTCCTAGCCTTACCAGTTGAGTCCAGAACGCCAACAACAACAACAACTTCTAATATGCAAATCATTTATTTCAGACACAATTGGTTTATATACCAGCAAACAGACCGCATCACATCAAGCCAAAAGGTGACTGTGAACGTGAGAGACTGTAATCAATAAACTGGACATAACTTAAGAACGATAAATCGTATCATAATAATCTATAAGTCAAAATGAAGCTTATAATAAGAGGAATATAGATATATATTGTTAGGATTTGAAAAAGAGAGATCACGGGTTCACGTAGTCTGCGTTCGAGAACGAAATTCGATGACCAATGACCAGTGAGCTAGCTATTGCTGCGCCCCAGCCCCGCTATCAAGAGGGAGAAGTCCAAGCTTGGAATAAGAAGTGTATTCTGCAGCAACCAGAGAAAAGAGCGAAGTCCCTTTAGTAGAAAATATACTCGTTTATATATTGATTGTACACCCGTTTTGATTAATAATTAGAAGAAAATCACATACATGAAAAATACTCACAGTTATAACAAATCATATTCTGAGTATAGTTCATAGTCAATGAAATACAAGAATATTGTATATTATACAGAATAAATATCATACGAGAAAAGAAAATAAATATTACATTGCGTAATCATTACATTGAATCAAAAGAATGTAATGATGAATAAAACTCATATTAAGTAAATCAATCGAATATTGATTTTTCCTCCCATCATATATATATATATATATATATATATATAATTACTGAATAGTTGTACCATAAGACTATATAGATAATATTAGTCTATTAATAGATTACAAAAGTGACCCTAAATTTAATCTTTATTATGATATAACAATAATAATTTGTTTTTGATTAATTTATATTTTATTTATTATATAATATAGATTGAAATTTTTTGCTGATTGGTTAACATATGATACACCACCAGTATATTGGATATCAGGTTTTTATTTTACACAATCATTTTTAACTGGAATATTACAAAATTATGCAAGAAAATATACAATACCAATAGATACAATTAGTTTTACATTTTATATAACAACAAATTATTTAAATATAATTAATTTATTAGAGAATATATCAATTATACCAAAATATCCAAAACAATCATTAATTGAAAATAAACGTACATCATTAATTATAAATAATTTAGTTAAATTAGAAAGATCAAATGAACAATTTGGTAATTTTATTAAACCAAATGATGGTGCTTATATAACAGGATTATATTTAGAAGGTGCACGTTGGGATATAATTAATAATTGTTTAAGTGAATCAAAATCAAAAATATTATTTGATATAATGCCAGTTGTAAGTAAAATAATTAATTTTATCAGTATAAAGAATTATAGAGATTATTAAGTTGTTTGTTTTTGTTTTGTTTTTTGTTTTTTTGATTGAGATCATGAACCGATTGATATTCAAGTTTTTAATGGTAGTCTAACATCAATCAGTTCATGATCTCAATTAATTAATTTTGTTTAGATTAAATAAATGAATAGAATTTTTTTTAAAATAAAACTAACTTTAATGGACTCATGAATTCACTTATTAAAATTATTATAATATCCACAAACAACCATCTTGATAATAATCATCATATGCTCACTAGTAACTGACTTTAAGGTGGATGTCCTGGAAGTGTAGTGAGAAGCAGTGACCGGTGGAGTTCAATTGCGTCTGGTGTGAGATAGTAACTCACTGAAGACAATGTTGGACCATAGCGCAATGTTGTGGATTAGTTGAAGTTAGACATTAACACCGTTGGACGCCGAACAGCTAAGTGGTCTAGTGGTTAAGCGTTCTCACACGAGGCTGATAGGTCCTGAGTTCAGGTTTTGCGAATCCAACCATTAAATTTATTATAATATCCACAAACCACCATCCTGATAATAAACATCATGTGCTCATTAATAACTGACTTTAAGGTGGATTTATTTGAGTTCTAATGAGGAACCGTGACCAGTGTAGTTCAATCAGTGTCGGATAAAGACAGGTATCTACTTCAAAAAATTGGATGAATAGTTGCGCAATGTCATAGAAGTTAGACATTAACGCTGTTGCATGCCGGCTCAGTAGTCTAGAGATTAGGCGTTCACACGCGAGACCGAAAGTCCCGGGTTCGAGTGTTGTATATAGGATTGTGGATGCGCACAGCTGAGGTGTCCCATACTAGGTAAGAACGACCGTCCAGTGCTTCCAGATTTTCGATGGTGGTTTAGTTTAGATTGATTCATAAGTTCAACTATTAAAATTGCTACAATCTCCACAAACCTCATTCTGATAATAGTTTCTTATACCTAATTAATTAAATATTATAAATTTGCCATTTTGACTAACGACATTTTCTTACTTATATTATCATATAAAAAATAATTACAGTGTTTAAGATTATACTTTTCATGCAGCGATAAAAATGCAAAAAATAAATATTCAATAGTGTATAAGAGAAAAAGTTACGTTTCATAGTAGTCTAAAAGTTAAAGAAAAAGTAGGAAATTATAAAAGAAACTTCTACTCAATGTTGTAATATAAACTTTTCAATCAATTATTGAAATATGAAATTGGTTAGAACTAAGGAGTAAAACAATATGATATGAATTATTTCTCAACGATCGATTCATGTTAACATCTCATCTCAACAGATTATTGGTAACTTCACTGAATGTGACATGCGTACGAACTCTATAGAGAATAACAGTTCATTTCAAAATAGTAGATACAGTATATTGATAATCGTCATCTAATAAGTAACTTACAACTGTGGCTTAGTTTCAAGTGCTTATAAGTTACCTAACACCAAATAATTTTCTTAGTTCGTATGGTTTAGAAATGAAAGAGAAATTGTATTATTCATACAGTTTCTTGAAGTAGAGGCAGATACTGATGATGATATCAGAAAAAAGATTTCAAATTGAATCGATCAGTCTATAAGTAATGTATTGTCACCAATAGGACTAATAAATGTCAATTTGCCTTATTACTTCATTCACTTATTATTAACTGACTGATTTATAAATAACATAATAAATGATACTTCAAGAATTGTCTGATATCTTCAGGTAAATATTAATTTCGTTGATGATTTAAATACATAAGTACTAAAAAATATACAACTTATGTCCAAAACCTCGTGTTGATTGAGTTTAATATTTGAATGTCAATCAAAGTATATTATGGTATCAAACCTGTGTAACATATCACAAACTTTAATAATCGAACTCAGTCTATAATAAAAGCTATCATTCTGAATAAATGAACAAGTTTTAATAATTTACTTTATAAACATAATAAAACTAAACATTATACCATATAACTTTTTTTCACTCTTTTCTGTACACATTAGATCTGGCTTATTCCAAAAAAGTTAAGTGAAATCAATCGTGAATCAACTTATACTTGCCCAGTCTACAAAACATCTGCTCGACGTGGTGTTCTATCAACTACAGGACATTCAACAAATTTTGTATTATATATTGATTTGAAAACAAATCAACCACAAGAGCATTGGATTAATCGTGGTGTAGCTGCTTTATGTCAATTAGATGATTAGAAAGTGACATCAGAGAGAGAGAATATGTTTAAATGAATAACAAGTAGTAATTGTATAAGAACGTAAACAGTGATAAATATTAGAAGTTATAGGAGGAAATTCACTTCATACAGTCTGTTCTTACATTAAAGTTGAAGGAAGAATTCAGTAACGTAAAATGGCCTGAAACATAATTTACATAAACTTCTTTTATGATTACTATTCCAAGATTGTGTGCTTTCGAAGAAATAGTATTTTTCCAAATGACACTACTTATTATTAGTTAGTAGTGTATTATCATTCAATAAATATGTGCATATGTTACATGAATCTTTATTTGAAATATAATCAACCGATTTAAATAAAAAAATATTCTCACTAATAAATTCGCCCCAGATCCCATAGTAGTAGGACAAACTATTTACTACATTTATGGAGACAGTAAGCTTTCTACAAAAAGTAATCGGATTTTTATGTTATTAGCAAAATCGCTATTTTTTAAATGATCCACTTATTAAAAGATTTCAAAATACAAAATCTAAAGAGTCCTTTTGTGTATTTTAATTCAAAAGTGAATAAAATTAAAAGCGACTTCATGAGTACAAATCAATCTAATTACTAAGAAAACCCAGGACCTATCGATTACAACATTTATTGCAGACTATAACCACAAAGATCTACTTAGCTAGAAGGCACACTTGGGAATGCGTGACGATGCGGAGTAGTGCATAAGCAATGAAATGGTTCAGGTTATTGAGGCTAAAACAAGAAATAAAACCGACAAGAACGAATAGATGCATCCCTAGGGAGACATTTGGTAGAGGAAATACACAAGGGTAATGTGTCCTATTGCTATTGTAGTTGATTAAGTTATCTGGTCTTCTGTTATTACACCTTAGTTCTTTCATTAAAGGATAATCGATAAAAGAAGAGATTGAAACAACCACGAAAAATTTCCATCCTGTTTCTAGCCAACCAGAAAGAAGCTTCTATACATGGATAGCCTATGGGAAACCAAACAATAATACTGAGAAATGTGGACCGATCTTATGTAATTCATAAATCTATTGATGTCTTCAACAGGTTCCTCCACCTGTAAGTTGAGAAAACAACGACATATAAGCTCGTACATATGGATTTAGATTTTCCATATTGTCGATTCCTTATAAAGACTTGGATTTTTAAGAGTTCTTATTTAGGGTAAGGGTTAGGGGTTCTAATCACAAGTTGACATTAACTATTATATCGAATTGCCCTGTAGCCATAAGAATGAATGAATTCCACTCAACAATACAAGAGGTGATATCTGGTTAGTCCATACACAAAATGTAATGTCATCGGGTCAAGGTTTGTCTCAAAATTAAGATTTAGCCGTTATAGATAATTTGAAAAGACGAAATTAAACATTCTATACATTTCACACTTTTACTGTGCTAATAGAAATAGGAAATAATATGGTATAATTTAAAGCGTCTTAAGCAGCATATAAAGCAATTTTGCTGCATACGATTACTTAGTTATTTATTTTAACACATAGATATTGGTACGAGGCACCGAATATATATGCGCCACACAAATCTCATTTGAATTGTGTGAAGGCTGTGATACTACCCGAGTGCCCAAACCGAAGCAGGTGGTTTTCTAAGTGGGTCAGCCCATGTGCGCCACTGGTTTGAAATGAGGGTTTTCCAACTCCCCTAGGTGGACTCTCCATGTCCACCAACTCTGTTGGAGCGCCGGACATTCGCTTTCGTCCTCTCATTTTCGTAAACAACACCCCCGCCACGAGAAGGCAGTGAGTAGGACTTCCCTGGCAGAGGCTATATACGCGTGGCCATGTGAGAGCGTTTCGAGAGGGGGAGCGGACTCTCCCCACTCTCGGCCGTATCAGGGCATTTGGTGGCGCTGCATACCATGCACATTTGAATTTCACACAAAAAACTGAATACCGCGTTCTCAACTACGATTGGCTTGTCCCTAAATTATCTTTTACGGGATAGCCACGATGAAATTTCCCTAGTTCTTATTACCGCAATAACAAATGCTTTGATATGATTGGTTGTCACCACTTTTAGTCTGTTAACTTCGTTATGTGCCCCAAAGTCATTGCATAAACAGTTGTTTGTTTCCAATTTTCGGCTTGTTTAAGGAATATAAATTCATCTTGAAAAACCCACCTCTATTAGTGTGAATTGCTAACATTGAAATATCGTTGTATAACAAACGTCCGTTTTATTCGAGTTCCCATTCATTGAGTCGTTTTAGAAGAATCATTAATTGTTCGTGGGTAAAATTTGCCATGAACGAACCGAAAACCCAGTACTTCAATCTTTCTTGCTACTAAACCAACGAGAAAGAGCACACTTTCATAAAATAATCGAAATGAATATCCCGTCCACCATATATTAGTTTCTTGATTGCTTTTATTAGTCAGTCCGAATGCAAGTGTTACAAATCAATAACTTGTCACAAAATAAAAAACATCAAAGGTATACACTAATTTTACATTATTAATAAACTTATTGAATTTTAGTATTAAAATCAAATCAGGTTCCGCACAAATAGTCGTATATACAACTCAACATTATTTTAACTGTAGAGGCTCCATATAAAAGTGAAGATAGTACCCTAATCTTTGCCAAATTACTTCGATACTACTAGAGCGAACACTACCTATAGGATCGATAGATTGGGGTTTATGAACGAGTCTGATAATTATAATTGTACATTTGTAAACAAATAAACGCTCTCTAGTCCTCCATCTAAGTGTTAGTCCCCGATTGCATAAACCATACACAAATAAATGATTTATCTGTTTCAGTTGAGTCATAATAGATGTGGTAGCCTGAAAGACCCCATGAAAATCCTTGACTATGTTCGGAATCAAATCTAATACACTCAACAAGCAATTACTGTTTCAGACTCAATCTTCTTTAAAATAAGGTGTTTCTTGTATATTAACTTTCACATTATATTTGCTATTTCATTGTACAATTGATATACTTACCAATTTTCAACTTCTTAATCAAGTACTAGATATCAGTCACTGAATATTTAACTTCCCGCAAGAATCCAACAGTTACTATTTCAAATTTTGATTAATTTGTTAGTTTCGAAAAATTAAAAAGAAACCAGATAATATTAAACAAAATAAAACTGTTCGAAGTTTATACATACATGTCATAAGTTGTTTGTATTCACAATTAACAGTAGTTGATTGTTGAGTTGACTTAATAAGTCAGATAAAATTGCAAAAACTTTACATACACATACGAAATACAGTAGGAGGAAAAAATTATTCACATAATATATTACGAAGGTGGTGGTGAAGGAGATCTAGGAATAGCAATATTACTATTATCATGAGAGGCACCTGGTCGATGTACAGCTGGAGATGGGCATGAAGCATACAATGTATCAGTGCCAAACTTATTTCTTTGTTGATGAATAGGATTAGGAGACAGAGGAGTACGGAATTCTCTTGATGATGATGACGATGATAATAGACCAGGTGAGGGAGTAAGAGTTGGTAGTTTACGTAGATTTGGCATTTGACCTTGTCCAATATGTAGATTGCTCAGATGAGGTGTAGCTCCCATTAGACCTGGATTAGTAAGAGGTGTTCCGATAGGCAAATTTAAACCATAAGATGTTGTTGATGATGATGAGTAACACGATGATAAGCTGGTACCAGTTAATGATGTAGTGCTACTATTCGATGACTGTAGTGAGTCTGCACCAAAACGTGAATATTTATTGCTCGATAAAGGACTACGAGGCGATGGAGCAACCCATGCATCTGGCATTTGAAAACCAGTAAAGTTCGTTAAGAGATTTGCTGATGCATTTAATGATGACGCTGATGAACTGTAACCACAAGGTCCAGTTTTAATTCCAACTAAATTTGTTGGTGTTAACGGTGATGCAAGCGAATTCTAGAAATAGGGGAGAGAGAATGAACAATTTCAGAAAAGAATGGCTATTTTCATCACAGATAAATATATACATGATGTTAGGATAGGATAAGAACATGAGATCGCGGGATTATTCAATTTTTGTCAATAATGCTAAAGTCTTACTAGTAACATGTGTTCGTATGAACTTGGCCCTTTTCTAACTGGTTGTCATAAATCTTAATTCGCCAATATTCAGTGTGTTTTAAGGTCATCCTTTTGTTACTTGATACACCGAGATATGTTATTCCGAGCTATTTTACTTGAATATCAAGCACTTCCCATACTTCCAATTTTTGTTAGCGGTCAATTAAATGTGTTGTGTGCCAGTTGCCATAACTGAGTCTGTGCAATGGGAGCCATTCATATTAGCACAGCTCATGCAATCTTTAATAAACAAATATCATAAACTCGTACTGAAAACTCAAATGACAAGATACAACACAAACTCGGTGTGACTTATTCAGCATTATTTCTATTTTTGACTGCGATAATTGATTGTGGTTATTATTATTATTATTATTATTATTATTATTATTATTATTTTAACACATAAATATCGGTACAAGAAGGCACCAAATACATATGCGCCACACAGATCTCATTTGATATGTGTGAGGGCTGTGATACTGCCCCGGTGCCCAAACCGAAGTAGGTGGTTTTCTTAGGGGGCCACACCCCGAGCCTTCGACCTGAAGATCTGATCCACAAGGCAGTGGAGCATCGTAAGGAGATGCAGTCCCATGGTAGCCGGTGACCAACGATTGGTTCATACGCCATTTGTTCCCGAAGGATACTGGAGCCCATGTGCACCATTGGTTTGGAATCCGGTTAAAGCGCCGGACATTCGCTTTTCGTCCTCTCATTTTTGTAAACAACACCCCCGCCACGAGAAGGCAGTGAGTAGGACTTCCCTGGCAGGGGCTGTATACGCGTGGCCATATGATATGTTTGTGGTTAAGGTTATGTTATAGTTTCAGTATTCAAGTAATGTGTTGTACCTAACATTTTCAATCACCTTTCGGTTCATTTAGTAAGTCCTGAACAATAAATTGTAATTTCCATTAGAGACTTAATTCTAAGCACTAACTTTCAATATGTTTGTGATTTTTATCCTGTGTCTTCGGCTGCGATATGCTGATATATTCATAGCACATGGTTGCGTATAATTCCAGACTTGTGAAATGAAATTTTTGGTGAGAATTACGCTTCAATGTGCAACACTCGCCCAAAAATGAAGAGAAAAAGGGTTGAATGTACCAGGTATAACACTACTTGAACATTAAAAACGTGACGGATAACCTCGGCTTTGTTCGCTTTAACATTAGTTTTAATTTACTATCATTTTTAAATACTTCAAGCATCAGTTCTACGCAAGGTATGCCACACAAATATGAAGAAAAATCATTTTTCAGTTAATAAACCCATGTGTGTCCAGAGGCAATATGATCGATACGATTTAATTAGCACTTAAGACTAAAAATGACATTGGTTAGCATAGTCTTACAAATTAACCTTAGTTCCAGTCAAATGGGTTTTGTGCAGATAAGTTTGATTTGTAGATTATATTCCCTACACATTGATCTCGTATAGAGTAGCACTGAGAACCGGGAAGCACTGAACAGTTTCTTTGTCCTGTTATGAGACTCCTCAACATTCCTTGCTCTCGATCACACTAGGGATCAAACCGAGGATAGTTCTTAAAAAACGTGAACTAGAAGTAGACGAACGATAAATGCATCTGCGCTATTGAGAGCTATTTTGAGTTACATCCCCCATAGTCTAAAACTATTTGTCATAATAATCGCGCGGACTGCGATCACGTGGCTTGGACGTAAAAATACGGTTAATCATTTCATAACCAAATATAACAATTTGGTTTGACCGCCCTTAACTTCCTCCCAACCTACCTCTATTCCAGACAATATCTTGAGTCGAGGTAATCAGTAGTTGATCATACCTAATGCATATCTTAGCCAGCTTAGTCAATAAACATTAATAGTTTTATCAACCGACTCCTTATATTTTTCTAATGCCCAACGTCTAACCTCAAAATTATTTACGCGGTTCTTACACCAAACGCGAGTAATCCTTTAAAAATATCTAAGGTCAAATACTAGTAAACTGTAAATTTCCAATACTTCTAATGGTCACTTTTGCACCTATACGGTAAAAACAAGGTGAACTGGTATGCAATATTCTCACTACTTTACTTGGTTGGCAGATGAAAATTCCGTCTACTATACACGTGACGCATATTGGTAAGAAGCTGAGTACGTAATTTGAATCTATGACGAGATCTTACCAAGTATTGATCCGTTATACGTAGGACAGAGAATAAATATGCAACACTCCAGGTTGTCATATTTTATACGCACACATAGTAAGAGAAAACTTACATGATAAATAACAATGGAGTTGAAATAATCACTATTATTTGAAGTGGTGAACTAAGCTGTGGAAGTGTAGTTCGAAAGAAATGAAGGATATAGAATGAAAATAAAATTTAAACTTAACGATGAATTCATTCAAATCATTAAGAAAGACATAAAGACAATATCACTAAATGTATTCAATTGTGAAATACAGTTATCTTTCCGTTTAGTCCAACAGTCAATAACTTTATGGACTGATACCATTTTAATCTCATCACCTTTAGACATTTTTAAACCTACTCTTCTATATTATCAAGCATAGTATGTCAGAGTAAGTAATGTTTAGACAAGATTATCATGTCTTAGCTCAATTATAAAAGTGGACAGTATCACTAATTAAGTTATCATCATTACTAATTACCTGAATAAAAACACAATATCTTCATGATTGTATGTTTGTATAACAAACAGTAAACAAAATGACAGAACTCACATGGGATTTTTCAATATCTTTACGCAGAACATCCAAAGCAGCTAAAACACGTGGATTTGATGATTTATAGCTTCCAGTTGAACCGGCTGCTGTACCAGATTGTTGTGTACTGGATTCAAATAATAAATTCGAATCATTAGTTGACAATGTACCAGTACTACCAACAGATGTAATATTACAATGTCTTGCTAATGTATTGACAAGTTTTTCACGTTCACTTAAACTAGGTGCAGGTGAGACAGATTCATTGATACTACTAACATCCGTAGTAGTTGTAGTAACAGTAGTAGTAGTTCCAGAAGACAAAGGATGAATGGAGGATACATTGGTGCCACTACTACTAGACATACCACCAGTTCCTAAACTGGTATTCGTTGGTCCAGGTACAAGTAAGGCAACTTGAGCAAGAGCTAATAATTGTACATCATTAATTAATGGTAAACTAGATCTGAGTAGACCAGCTAAATTAGCGCGTGTAACAATTGACCCTGTTATGGTAGAGTAAGATTCTGGATTAGTATTTTGACAAGTAGAATTTAGAACATTAGTAAAACCAATAATATTATTTCCTAATTCATTGTTAGAAATTATATTTGACATCATTGAATTTGTACGAACTAAAGATGATATATTAGATGAATTATTATCAGAATCCGATTGACCAGTATTATCATTTAAAGAAGATTCAACAGAACCTTCAGTAATATGTGTATTTCGATCAATATCCACAAAAGCAGGCGCAGATTGAGGTAAGCGTGAAATTCCTAAAACTAAAGCCTAAAAAGAATATAAAACACAATTCACACTAGTTCATGATTACAATTAAAATAAATAACATTTAACGGTAAGACTATAAATTTATGGACGACCTTTGAGCAACGCCAAAATGACTTTGGAATGTCCACCCATTTACTACGGTTAAATGAGGGCTAAACATGTGTGATGAATTACGATTAAAATTTGTAGTTGATTGTTAAGGTTAGAAATTAAATTTAATGTTTACATCACAAACTGACATTAGTTATAATGCCAAAATGGTATTTAGCCAAATGAGTGGATGAATTTCGCGCCAAAATCCAAGATCTGTTATCCTAAATCTTATTGGTTCGTCCATAAATTATAGTCTCACCCAATATTATATTTTTGATACAATGTAAAGTTCTCAAAGTATTTCAACAACTTTCTTTTACAAAAAAAGTAAAAAGGTGAACGAAACTGATAACTGCATTTATATATACTAAAGTTAAGTGGATAAACTGCCTGCAATTAAATGAAGTGTTTGTTTTTAAAAAGATTTGAATCTCTACAACTTTTCTAATTACAAATATGTTTAGGAATACAAGTTATTGACCAAGTCAGCTCTAACAATCCGTTCGCCACAGAGTTATACCAGTTATGAATGAAGTGGATGGTTAGTATTTGATAAAATAACACCTTCCAGGAGTTAGCAAGACTTTAGATGTCTATCCATAACCATTTTAATGATGACCTTAGAAAAAGTAACTATACACCATGCCAACTGCCTTCAGAGCTCTTTGCAATGCAGTAAAATCTTTTCTCGAAAACCCAGGAAGGAATAATGGAAAACAGTGATTACAAAAGAATGCAGACTCTCTATGTAATAAGTCAAACAGAAGACTTTCTTCGATAACAATAAAACACGAGATAATCAAGAGAGATCAGAGGAAAAACTTACACCAAGATAAATGATATAGTGTTAACCAAACAATCTCCAATGATACAAGCTTTATGGGATTCTAACATGGTGTTTAAGTGCTCTTTATATCCCGGGATAAAGTTATGGAGATTCTAAGACTCAAATTTTAAAGGAAGACAGAGTGAATGAACCTGTGCTATTGCGAATGATTTTGAGTCATATCATTCAAGGCTTCTAATCATTGATTACGATAATCACACATCGGCTATATTCACTTCTCCAGTTGTCCGAACTGAAATAGGCAAAATTGAAACCTATCTACCTTTACATTGAAAACCTATATTACTACAATCATTCAACCATTCTTTGTCAGTGTCTATTTCATGTATAAATTTAGTAGATTCTAGGAAGATAAGCAAAATGGGAAATGCTCATATTTATACAAAATGATGTACAAAAAAAACATTATAAATCTAACTTTCTATAGTAAAACATGTATTATGATAAGAGAACAGATTAAATAAAATGAAATACGTTATCATTACGATACAAACATTGATTTTATTCATCATAAACATACAAATAGAAAGAAATTATAATTTAATGATTTCAATACATAATTATTAACTAATACATCGTTGATCTGAATTGACCTGCTATATATTTATTCTAATTTGAATAGCTGAATAGAATTACTACCCCTGTAGTGAACAAGAACACGAGTGGGGACAATCGAATGTATTTGACACGAAATTACAGAGAATTTCAATAAAATCTGAGAATCATATAGTAAATTGTTAATTTGCAAAATATCAATCCATCGTCTCAAATTTGACTGTTCCTTTGTAAATATGAGTCAAATGTCTCAAATTTGATTGTTCATGCATTTTCATTATTTATTTTTTATTTATTTTAACACATAGATATTGGTACAAGGAGGCACCGAATATATATGCGCCACACAAATCTCATTTGAGTTGTGTGAGGGCTGTGATACTGCCCGGGTGCCCAAACCGAAGTAGGTGGTTTTCTTAGGGGGCCACACCCGAAGCCTTCGACCTAAAGGTCTGATCCACAAGACAGTGGAGCATCGTAAGGAAATGCAGTCCCATGGTAGCCGGTGACCAACGATTGGTTCATACGCCATTTGTTCCTTTAGGATACTGTAGCCCATGTGCGCCACTGGTTTGAAATGAGGGTTTTCCAACTCCCCTAGGTGGACTCTCCATGTCCACCAACTCTGTTGGAGCGCCGGACATTCGCTTTTCATCCTCTCGACTTCGTAAACAACACCCCCGCCACGAGAAGGCAGTGAGTAGGACTTCCCTGGCAGAGGCTATATACGCGTGGCCATGTGAGAGTATTTCGAGAGGGGGAGCGGACTCTTCCCACTCTTGGCCGTATCAGGGCATTTGGGGGCAGAGTGGAAGCGTGCTGGGCCCATGCATTTTCATACCAACCGCGTTCAGTTTTCGTTCTTTCCTTATCGATCTTCTGCTGAAATACATACTATGCCTGACCACCGTTCATAGTTATATAATATACGCTTGTGGACCAGGGCAATTTTATATTGGTTTTCAGGAGAACCAGACATCATCCAGACATTCACGTGACAACCCAAACAGTACAGCCCAATCTCGTTTAACAGGAGAGCCAGACACCGCCCAGGCTTAGATTTTATAACCCGATAAGTACAGCTCAATCTAGCTTCACAGGAGAAGCTGACGTCGTATAGGTTTTAACGCTACAATCTGAATAGTACAGTTCAAACCCGTGGCGCAACCTCACAGGTACCAAGCACCCTGGTGGACTATTCACACCATTCATATACATGTATAGATATTCCGATCAATGATCGCGTGAATCAATTATACACAGCACGAAGAGGCCAAAGTTGACCTATTCCGCTTACACAACAGTCAAACTCATTAATGTTAGCAATGGCGACATGCCCTACAATGTCCCAATGACAATGGCCCTTAAGAATACTGAAAAGCAACCACCAGTATGAATGAAATCAGTTAACCAGCAAACCAATTTTGTGCATGAGCAGTCAGTAAAACTTGCCAAAGAAATGCCGAACCACCCACAATATCAATGGCAAACCTCCAGCCTCATATGAGACCTTCAGCTCTACATAGCCATATAGCTTACCACCGTTACATACTACTTATGTGGATATAAGTAACTCACAACACAACCACACTAAAATAAAACTGTCTCAAATTCAAATTATACGAATTGACAAATGGTTACAGTTACACATTACATTGTTTCCCAAGCTAAGATTATACACATACATGTAAGCATTCTATGTATATTAGCAAACAAACTGTAATGTAGTTAATTAACACAAATTTTATGAATCTTTGTGATTATTTTAAAACTTACTTGTAAAACTTCTGGACGCCAACGAAAAATAACAGATAGGCCAAATTTATTATTAGAAATTAATGAATCAGAACATAACACTTTTGTTGGTGTAATTGGTTGAGATTGTGTTGTAGATTTATTATGATGACTAGGACGATTTACACGTGATTGTGCAAGTGTTACAGCTAATTTTAATAAAGCACGTAATGTAGCTAATTCATTACGTTCTAAACAAAATAAACAATGATATTGTAAAATCAAATAACCAATTGGATGTGCTAAATAACCTGATGGTACGGTTATATTGACACATTGAGTAGCATCTATGGAAAAAATTGAAAGCAATGATAATAATAACAATAATAATACTAATAAATAATAATAATAATAATAATAATGATAATAATAATTAACGATTCATTAAACAGTAAATTAAAGAAATATTTACGATGATAACTACTGGAGAAATGAAATGAATGGTAAAAGTCATTTAATGGATGAGAACATCAGGTAATATACAATACAGTCTATTATATTTAAGTATAATGTACAACCATAATTTTAATGTTTTATTCTGATTAGCATTAGAAACTAGGATTACCTAAGTTACTGAAGAGTCTAGGTTTGAACCAGTAATTGGGTGTCGGTGTACACCTCTGATGAAAAAAAACAACAACTGTTTAATGATCTTTACATTTCATTCATCAACTTTAGCTGACATTAATTCATGATCGGAATCGTCTTCTTTGGATCATGTAATTGCCTGTGTACTATATAAATCTTGGCTTATCTCATGTGATATTTCCCCTAATGATTGATTTATTAACTTCATTGAAATCATGGAATTCAACAATTGTCATTAGTAGCTAGTTTCAAAAGGAAATTTCCGGAGTCCTGATGAAAGCTGGAGTTCAAACATGTCAGTTGTGAGGCAGTTACCCACCGAAGACAAAAGAACACGGTTGCGTAATGTAGTGGATTGACTGAAATTAGAGATTTACACCGTTGGATGCCATCTAAGTGGTCTACAGGTTAGGTGTTCAAGCGCCAGATCGAAGGTACTGGGTTCTATTCTCTGTGGCGGGGGATCGTCCTCCAATGCTTCCTGGTTTTCAATGATGATCTAACTTAGGTCGACTCATGATTCCAACGAAAATCAACAATCTTTACAACCCCATACTGAAATTTACTAACGATCAGAATGTTCGAAATGTCAGATATATTACCACTCAACAACTTAGTGCACATGGATACACAACAAAAATGAGATCGAGATGAGAAAATCATCAATCAACTAAAAATCACTTAAATTAATTTGCACTTTCTTAATTACCGTATATTTATCATTACAAATGAAAAGTTGGTTTTGTCAGTAACATAGAACCTGGGCACATATGTGTATCGATTCATATTGATACAATACATTAGAACAGAGAAATATCAAAGTAGCGTAATTAATAACAGTATTAGTGGTAGTAAAAAAATTAGGCACAAAAGATATGAATGAAAAAGGAAGTAGAAAATAGTGAAATAAAAAGGAACGTGAGACATTCAAGAAACTTAGATTCTGAAGTAAAACAATGAATGAATGCAGCTGTACCATTTCAAATGATTGTAATCCATGTCACTCAAAATCTCCAATCACTTTGGTTACAACAACCGCGTAAATCTCGAATAGAAAATCATCACACATCTTATTTGACACCTAAAAAAACTTTTCCGTATCATTTAAAGACCAATAAAAAAACAGTTCAGCGAATTCATTGTCAACTGGATAAGAAATGAAAAACGCATTGAACATAAGAGAGAAGAATCTTTATTTTTGTTTAAAAAAAAAGAGCGTTCACCTCAAATGATGGGGGGGGGTCAATTATTTTGAGCTAATAATGAATTTTGTCTTATTTTAGATGACTTTTTTCGTTTGTAATATTTTAGTATCATTGTGTTGCTCATTTCGGTTATTAAATTACATGAGATTTGAAAGCGAAACGCTTGAAATTGTAAAGTTTATTAATAGTTATTTATATGATGAAATTTAGTTAATATGATTGTAAAGTATAGTTCTTTTAAGCCAAAAATGCAACATCATTAATATCTGAAGGGTATTTTTAGTAAACAATATATTAGTAGTAAGAAGAAAATAGAAAATAAGAATCTTTCGTTATTAACAAGGCTAAATGATGTTTAACGGTTAAGATTGTATCTTGATGTGAATTATTAATCAATATTTCTCACTACAATAATATGATTATTAGATGGACTGATCAAATAGAGTATTGTGATTAATGTAGGCTAATTTCAGACAATCAGTTACAATAATCAATCAGTCCCAGGTTAAACGAAATGTGTATCCTCAATTCCACTGCTAGAAACACACTATCCATTGTATGTAAACTAATCCATATTACCACTGACTGATATTTAACATCAAAAAATAATTCATTTTTGTATTGGTTGTTGAATCATTCCATTGATGTTTAGGACTACAATTGATCAGTCTCTTATTGACATATGTGCATCCTGTGCGGATTGCCTCGATATTGCCTTCAGCACAAGCATTGTAAGCTGAGATGATGGTGACTAGCAGTGGAATCCAGGACGCGTGTTTGTACAAGCTAGTGGCTATCTGGACTCAGTAGCTAAGTGGATAACGTGATAGTGTTTGAAGCGAACGGTACTGAGTTCGAGTTGAGGAGTGAACATCAACTCGAGGATGCAGATACATCAAGTTGCCGAATCCCAAATAAAACGAAACGCGCGTCCCGGATTCCAATGTTAGCCATCATCTCGACTTACAAAAAATAATTTCAGTGTGATATGGCACGTGTCCTTCCTTGACTAATGAGCTTTCTATCAACAATGAGAATTATACATGATATTATTTAACACATAATTATTGGTACTCGAAATGTATATAAAGGAAAACTTGTTTAACAAGTATATGTATGTGTATTTATATACGTTGCTTTATGTCATATCTTTCGTATGAATTCATAATGTTGAAATGAAGCTGGAGTTTTTAATTTGCCGACATGCAAGAGTTGAAATTCCACATGAAATTATTGGTTTATTATTGTTCTTTATATTAGAATATTTATTAAATACCGGATACAGATTCGTGTACACTTGAATTTCAAACACAATTTAAATATGAAATTTAGAGATGTGGTGTATGCTACTTATGTTTGCAGATACAAGTAGTATTTAATACCAATCGAAAGCAGAATGTCTGCGAGCAGAAGGTTGAGAAGATAGAATTGAAGAGAAGAGAGAAGGTAACTGAAAACAACCAAGATATCAGCAGGAATGAAGGAACAGTGAAGCTTGTAAGAGACAATTCAAAGATGTGCAAATAATGTATTTGATGTATGACTTTCACGTTTTACTAAACTACTGTGTAATTGTGTATTATACAATAAATTGATCTTCCCCACTTGACTTCTCCATTTACTACAGTGAAACTATTTCGATTGCATAAACCAAAGTAGATGAAATGCCTGCTTCTAACCTGTAACTTAGTGACTGAATGTTGAATATCTTAAGCACAGCGAGTTAGTTAGATTAAAATAATTCAGACTTGTTCGTAAATTTAAAAGTAAAAAAATAATGAGAAAAAAAAACATAATGAACTAATTTTCAAGTTTTATTTACCTTTAATACGTTTTTGCCAAACCAATGGTGGTGATGTTGGCAATGATGATGGTGATGATGATGACGATGATGGATTAAATGATTCTCTTGATTCATGAGATGTTGATCGTTGATTTGTATTATTATTAGATGGTGTTAACCCACCACCACCGCCACCACTACTACTATTACTACTGCCAGTAGTATTTTCCAAACTAGTAGTAGGCCATAAATTATTGCTTAATGTTAAAATCTCTTCAGCCACTTGTGCTCTCCATGTTAATACTTGTAATTGTGCAACAGCTGGTAAAATATAACTAATTAATGCTTTTGATGGACAATTCAATGTAGGATCATCAATATCGGATGATGATGTTGATGGTGTAGAAGAAGTACCCGTAGTGGTAGTACTATTACGTTTACTCATAGAATTTTCTTTGGTTTTTAAATGTAAACAAGAATACGGGATTAAATCGTCGCCTAAGCCAAGTACTAATAAATGAACAAGCAAGTGCACTTCAGGTATATCCTGTAGATTTTTTAAAATAAAGAAATATGATGAAATAGAAGGGAAAAAAAGGTTTTACTTTAAATATGAATAATGGTAATACATTCAAGGTTTGATATGTTGGGGATACCCAGAAAATTCCTCGAAAAATACGATAAGAGGCTCTGAAAATGCAGAGAAACATCTTATCTAATCAGCATTCAACAGGAGTTTTACCGGAAACATCTAGAAAGCGAAGTCACATATCCCATTTCTGATTGGATGATTACCTATATTGCTACTATGTTTAGTAGCGTTCCAGAATTTTCCAGAAGCCCAAGGCTATCTGAAATGTTACAAATACCCTAGATTTTCTGCGCATAAATGAGTAAAGCGTTCTTTCCATATTTTGCGTCTTTTCTCTCGTGTTCAAGTTGCCATGTAGAAGAGCTTATGAAACCAATCTAGTGTTCAATTAGATTTATCAGATAAACAGAAAAAACTTGAAATTTATGCATAAAATTTCCTGTTTACATCATTTAACATTACAGAAGTAGATTTATAGGAGTAAAAATAAAATGAATCATTTACAGATGAGTGAATGAAATAAATCTATAATAATATGAAAATATTCAACTTTCAAAGATCTATTATATAATTTCTTAAATCACTAATACCTAATATCTTGTAGATATCACTACCTCTTACAAGGGATCCTATATTCGACTACAGAGTGAAATTCAATAATCTATAATTTTATCGATCGATCGGATAGGCATATTTGGAACAAAGCATTCCTATAACTTTGATGTAACACCACCAACTATAATTTAAGCTATCTCTCTGTTTTATTTCAATATTGTTATCATTTGTGTATAATGAATTATTTATTTATTTATTTATTCACGAAGTAGTTTTAAAAGACAGGAAGCAGTCTGTTTTTGACAATATTTGGCCATGAATAGGTAAAAATAGTTGAAAAATTTGGGTATAGTTGGATAAGTACTAAGGGGTGCAGTGATACGGTGAGATTATTTTTTTGTAGTGAAATTCATGGTGATCAATCGAAGCTGTTTCTGGCACCATAGTGACGACGATCTTATCGTAAAGGTCTAGTAGACAATCCTTCATTAGTGTTAGTTCTATACGGCATATTCATGAAATCTAACCTATACGAGCTAGTGACTTCAACATTTTGTCACTTACACCTTCGTAAAATTAGGTGTATTCTATGGTAGCATCGTGTAATAAATTTGAAGTCCAATTATGTCAAATCAATCATATAATTATTAGTCAACTAAGAAAATTATCTTAGAACAATGGCTTCAATGGTTTAAACACATCTCATATACATGATGGAACAATGCGTGTATTTCGTATTATCAATTTTTTGTAATATAAGAGAAAACATATTGACGTTAGATTATCAAGAACTTGTTTAAACTGTAGCAGCCTCTATTTTATGACACCTACGCGACTTACCCTAACTTTCAAATAGATATATTATACTGATCATTCTACTCATTATGTCATTTATACACGGGATCTTGCCATGTATGCATGATAGTATGTATGTGTCCATATGCTGGCTAGTTTGTTTCTTGCTTATAAATGTCGACTCATGTTTTAATTACATAGAGAAGGGATATCTGCCTTCTTAGCTTCTTTTCGCTTCATCTGTCTGTCGAATTCAATGCATGAAATACAAACATCCAAAACTCTTATATTCGACATTTTATTATCCGCGTTGTTATGAAGGGGATTTGCCGACAGAATATATATGTAAGTAGAATCTATATTTCGTCTAAATTCACCATTTCAAGTTCGATCAAATTGGAGCCAGAACATAGGCACTACTATAGCAGAGAGCTCCGGTTTGTCAGAGCTAAAAAACTATTCTGTAACCAATAATCTATGCTCTATTTATCGATACAAAATGAGATACTGATGAGAGGCCTATCAGCCAATCGGAAAACACTACCTGGTTATAAAACATCTAACAGCAAAAGGCAATAATATAACAGTGCAATAATACCCATAATTTGAGTAGTCAACGCTCATATGTCGAATTATTTTCTTAGTAGAAGGAAAAGGTTAAGTTTACATATTAAGAGTCGAGTCATTGTTATGAATTAGGGGTTACCACCCCACGAAGCTTTTGCTATCAAATGACACCAGAGATAATGCAAAAACGGTAGGGATAGGTATTAAAAGGTGAGCTCAATTTTTAGGTTTGATTTAGAAACCAAAACTAAGGTTTTTGAATCAAACGGGCATTAATTATCATCAAATGCTTTGTCACCCTTTTATTTACAGGCTTAAGAAACTTAGGGTTGAGATTTAAAGTAACTTTCTAAATAGGTATCATTACCAAGGTTTGATTTGATAATTTCGAATAAATTGAGCATTGGGTTGATTGTTCCGTTGTACTATTTAAACTTGGATTAATTTTAATTTGGATATTTATTCTCTGAAGAAGTGACTTACACTAAGTCACGAAACGTCAGAAAATCTAATTTTCTACTCATTGGGATATTACAAATATATTATTTATTTATAACTTTCTAAATATTTTATTTGCATGTAGAAGCAATGAGACGACAATAAAGAGATCTATTCGTAGAAAAATAGAATCACATATTGAAATCAGTTTGGATTTGAAAAAGAAATTATACCTAACGCTTCCTGATTTTTAATTGTTTCCTCATTTAAAACAGTTTGCAACAAAACTATATATAAATCTCACAACAAAACATCTTGGCAAACTGAAAAAAGTCTATTTATTCTCCGATGGGTAATAGTTTAATGGGCCGTTATTTTGACGCCAATTAGATATGACGATGATGTTATCGACGGGTTCATCACTTTAGTGGCCCTATATCTGACTCCAATTAGATCAGACGAATGATAGTCGTATCTAATTGACGTCAAAATGACAGGCTACTGACAAGTCCAGAATAGCAGGAAACGTGTCCGAGAGCTCAATGATAACCACATTCTATCTATTCTTTAAGGAAAAATGTAGCCTATATGCGTTATATATATATATATATATATATATATATATATATATATATATATATATATATATATATATATGTTTATCAACCAACTAACTTACCCGAGGTAATTTGTCTTCATAAAGTCCATTAAGTACGTAACGAATTAATGATGTACAAATGGTGTAAACAACCCATGGATCTCGACAAGCCATATGCATATCTCTGTATACAAATATGAAAAATTAAGCAAATGAGTTCATTTAAATATAAGTCTATATTAATAAATCCAATACTTTTTATTATAATGGAAAAACAAATATTCATGACCTTACATCACATAAATCCACATTTCATATAATCCAACTGAATTTACCAACACATAACACAGAATAGGCGGTAAGTGAAAAGAATTCAGTATTGTACACTTCGTTTACCAATCCTAAAGGAAGCACCTGAATCCCCAAGATGTTTTTGACATACGTCATAAAGTGTTCTCGCGGTCCAATCTCCCAGGTAAGCAATGTGCCTATTAATACTTTGAATGATAGGTAATTATACCCAAATGAAAATGATCTTCAGTACTTTTTCTTCTCAACTGGTGATCAGATCAATTTGACATGTCGTTTGCTTAATGTTATTGGTTTTGACAGAACCTACAAAACCAATAACGAAAATTTGTTTTTGTATCAGCCGGGACTTTTTGTCAATACATATGAAATCAGTTGTTGTCTAAGAAGCACGAATGGTCTAATGCATTCCGACTAGCTGTAAAACTTCTTGAACAAAATGATATCAACTTCGTTGAGGCAAGACATAAAATCTTGAAGCCCCACAGACTTACAAAAACAACACACGTGCTTAAATCTACCTTCAGTGGATGGAAGCATGAGTTTAAAAATACATATCAAGATGTCTCAACAAGACAATTATTGATCAGGAGCCATAAATACGTCATCTTCAAGACAAACTGACACTTGTTGTATGTCAGTTATTGAAACGTCACCTTTCACAGATGTCATAACATCAGTCGACATGTTCATGATTGCTGACGCTACAGGCATTTACAGGATCCTACGGAAATCCCGTCAATTGCTCCCGAAGCTTTTATACGAAAAACAGATTGCCGTACCGTCATGCCAGGGATCCAACAGACAAATCGTACCGACTATCGAACGAATGTGGATTTGGATGAAACGCCAAATCATGACGATGTAGTTTCAATAAGCATTCAAATAAATTCTCATCAAGCCGTAGTCAATATGCTACATGTACATCATTTGAGAATAATAATGACAATGTGATTATAGTAATATTTTTTATGGTTCATCAAATCTCAATATTATCTAATGAACATAGTACATGGACGCAAAAATAGCTAGCAATGGAATTCAGTGTGACGAGCGTTTCGTCCCATTTAGGACTCATTAGCTGGATGTACCCAGTAAGAGACCCAATAAAAGACTGATCAATCGCAGTCCTAAACATCAATGAGAAGATAGAAACAAAATGAATTGTACATATACGTCTAAATAATATATTTCTCAGCTTATTCAGCCGGAAAATATAAACTTTTCATTATTATATAGAAATAAAACTTCCGTACAGTATGATGTCGATTCATACAGTTGAGCTCATTCGCGTTTAGCAGTCTAATCAGCCAAAAAAGTTAATGTCAGACCTAAGCCTGTTTATTAACATTTAATACTAAATGTATTTTAATTATCTGTCGAAGATGATTGTTATTGAAACGTTTAGCTATTTCAGCCTCAATATTGAAATATTCACATACTGGGAATATGTGCATAGAATTGGTTAGTACCCCTTATAATATGTTTAAAACCTAAATGAAATCATTTGAAAAATCATCTATGACGTGATTGATAAAAAATTATGAGGTACACGGCATGTCACTGATAAGTTGATTATTATTATTTAAACACAAACATTGGTACAAGGAGGCACCAAATATATATGCGCCACATAAATCATTCGCTTTGAGTGAGGGTTGGAATACTGTTCGGGCACCCAAACAGAAAGGAAATTGAAAAATTAAGATGATGATTTCGTCTAGCTGTACACTTACAAACAATTTGCTATTGACACTACTTAGAAAATAAACTTAACCGTATACTTTCCAGGCACAATAACTGATTTAAACTATATTACATACAAAGATAAGTTTTCTTATAATTGTATACTGGTCAAGTATATAGATAAGACAATGTATAACTGAAAACAATTTTTATTTTAATGAATTCGCAAAATTACGCAACTTTTAATTTACTATAGACTACTATACTCAAGAATACAACACCTTCGCAAAGCGAAATATAACACTTCAGGTTCAGTAATCAGTATTATAATTACAAGTGTCATATTCGACAAATAATTATCAGTTTTTCCTCAGTTTACTTTTAATAACATGCATAGTCATTCTTTTGTTATGATAACTGAAGACTTCAGTTCCATCTCTATTCGATCGAAAAGAAATTTAATTCCACTTTTTATTTATCAATATCTTTTTCAAAACTAGGAGTATAGTATGGAGGTTGAACAGAATTGATGCCGTTCTTTCGGAGGTGAAAAAATTCAAATGTAAAAATGCAAATTTTGACATCCAATCAAACAACTTTATGCTACTTTGATTTCAACTAACCAGATTAGAAAGAAGAACAATTTACAACCAATTAACAAACTATTATATACAATAAAATGTCCTACACACAACACTCGAATCCAGGACTTTCGGTCTCGCGTGTGAACGCCTAACCTCTAGGTCAGTGAGCCGGCATCCAACAACGTTAATGTCTAACTTCAATCGATCCATGACATTGCGTAACTATCCATCCAATTGTCTGAGGTAGATACTTGATTCTATCCGACACGAATTGGACTCCATTGGTCACGGCTTCATATTAGAACTCTAGGAAATCCACCTTGAAGCCAGTTACTAGTGAGCACATGATGAATATTATCAAAATGGGGGTTTGTGGAGATTGTAGTAATTATAATAGTTGAATGCACGAGTGATGGTTTAGCCTAGATCGACTAATGAATTCAAATATTAAAATATTTCACTTTTGGATGGAGTTTAGTTCCCTGAGCTGGATGGTTTGGTCGTTGAGCTTTCATCGTTCTTCTGAACATCATCAGCGCAAACTTCACCTGAGCTACAAATCTCCACTATTCCAAAATATTTCACTACCGTACATCACCATCATATCATACTAATCATCCTTCGAATTATATTCGCTATATTTTGTAGATTATGATTACACCTAAAATTGCTAACAATTCAACCTTTTTAGTTTATTATCTAATTAATTTCTTATTACACTATGCTGATGTATAGTATGTTTGGAATATATGAATCAAATAACGGAGGCTGATAATTGCGTTTTGGACTGAACCGGCTGGATTAGGAGAGAAGCTACCATTTCGAAAGGACCAATAAGAACTCTAGGCTGCTCGTGCAGGTTTATGTGTCACTACTCTGGTTGTATAAGTCGGTGGTCTTTAATCGGCTATATTATCTCGCGATATATTAAGAGGCCACCAGCCATAAGCCCCCAAATGCCCTGGTACGGCCGAGAGTGGGGAGAGTTCGCTCTCCCTCTCGAAATGCTCTCACATGGCCATGCGTATATAGCCTCTGCCAGGGAAGTCCTACTCACTGCCTTCTCGTGGCGGGGGTGTTGTTAACAAAGATGAGAGGACGAAAAGCGAATGTCCGGCGCTTTAACCGGACCTCAAATCAATGGTGCACATGGGCTCCAGTATCCTGAAGGAACAAATGGCGTATGAACCAATCGTTGGTCACCGGCCACCATGGGACTGCATCTCCTCACGATGCTCCACTGCCTTGTGGGTCAGACGTCCAGGTCGAAGGCTCGGGGTGTGGCCCCCTAAGAAAACCACCTACTTCGGTTTGGGCACCCGGGTAGTATCACAGCCCTCACACTTATCAATTGAGATTCGTGTGGCGCATATGTATTTGGTGCCTCCCTGTACCTATACTTATGTGTTAAAATAAATAAATAAATAACCAGCCATAACAGTTAATAAATGTAAAAAAATACTGAAGTGAACAAAAATTCTGATGTACTTTTTAACAAATAATTCAATCATAATGTAGAACCTGGGATATACATGCATAAGCACAAATTATCACACCCCATAATAGAACAGCCAAATGAAATTATTCCCTGAGTAATGGAAGTGGTGACAGTGAAGATAGTAGTAGAAAAAATTACGCATCAACAATATGATTAGAAAAGAATGAGTATATATAGACCAAAACGTATACGTAAGGATTGTAAAAGCAGAGCTGATGGGATTTTTTACATAATTTCTTTTTTTGTTTATTGAAGATGTCACTGGTTTTTCTCGATAGCTATGCTGACATTAGCTTCTTCACATATGTCATTCGATTACTGATGACGATTAAAAAATTAGTCATAGAATTCAGCTTGGGAAAAACAATAATATCAAAAACATTCTCTAGTAAACCGTTAGCATCTACACTTTAAATTAAATTCCACCTACTTTTCTAACAAGTTTACATCAGCTGTCTTTTCTACATCGTCTGAATCGCAATATTTTTCTGTACTTGAAGGAGATTGTTTTCGATTGGTTTTACCACTTTTAGAATTTTTACCACGAGAAGAACTAGAATGTCCACGTTTAGACATTTCTCCACTGATATTTTCATTAGATTCTTCATATGATTCATGACATTCATCAGCTGTTTCTTTAGCCCAACGACGACGTTGTAATTGTAAATGATAGGCTAATTCACTAGCATGCCTTTGATCGATTCGACGATTACGAACACATGCATCTAAGCACCAAACAAAACGATGGATTCTATCAGGAACACACAATCGGTCAATTTTTGCTTCGTTTAAACTCATCAATAAATCAAAACGTAGTGTGCATAAGGTGGCTGAAGCAACTGAAGGTTGATTAGGCATAAAAGCTAATGGAATATATGGAATAGGTTGATTAGCTGAAGGTTGTGTTACATCTGAAGATTTTTCTTTACTTGATAAACGTTGTCTACTTCGTTTAGCTGGTGGTGGTTGTTCATCTATTTCCTCAGATGAATTATTATTTGCAATTGTCGATTTGATTTGCTGTTCCATAAGTGAATAAGCCGCTCTTTCACATTTTATACATTGATCACGAAGTATGCTTATAGTCTATAGTGAAGAAGAATGAATAAATAAACAATATACTTCATCACTACTACTGTGGTATATGCTACTTATATCGACGGGTATGAGTAGCATATGACAACAATCAGAAGTGGAATGCCTGGCAGCAAAAGGTTTAGAAGATCGAATTGAATAGAACAAAAATGTAAACAGAAAGTAATTATAATAACAACAAGAACGAAGGAATGATGAATTTTGTAAAAGACAATAGATGGAAGATGTGCAAATGAAGTATTTAATGTATGGTTTTCATATGTTATGAAGACATTTTGTAACTTGAACTAAACAATAAATCGGATATCCTTACAAAGTCTTTGTTCACAACACTGCTACTACAATACCAAAAAATAATTGAACATAACATTGATGAAACAATACACAGTTAATACGTTATTATTATTATTATTATTAACTCAGTCAGTAAGTCAGTCAAACACAACACAGAACCATGTACATGAGTACATCAGTTTAAGTTGCCACAGCCCATTATTTACATAGTAAGATAAATTTATCAAGGTAAATTGCAGAATAATAAGTGTAATAGCATTAGTAACGGTAATAGAAAAGAAATTTCTCAATACCAGGTAAAGATTTATATATTTGGCTTTGAGGAGTAATAACACAATCCAATTGTTCAAATCAAAATAGGCGAAACCTGGTTTAAGCCTACAACTTAATGGCTAAACGTTGAACATATTAGCTACTGAACCGACGTTAATAAAATTCTTTATCTAAATATAATTATGAAGTTAGAAACATATTTTAAATTTACTGTTCAATTTGTTTAAATACAATTATTCGAAAACTAATTATATTCTCACTGAGAATTTTACTAACAAGTATGTAAGAAAATCAAACCTAAATGGAAAGTTTCGATATTATAAATGAAACAACAAAAAAATACGATCCATTTAATGAATAATAAATCATCACTGTGTAAATAATATTGCGTTTCATGTTTTATATCGATCAAAATACTGGTAGAGCTAGATCAAAAAACAAATGGTAGTGTAGAAATTTAAGCGAATATTCATAATGCAAATGTAGGAAAATATACTATTTAGTAGACTCATTTTTATCATATTCATGAACTAAGAGAAGATAATGTTTCAGTACAATTGATCGATATCTCAAAAATGATAATGATGAGGTAAGAACTAAGTCTAACGACTGAGTATTAATTTCACTAAAAAGTGAATGCCCTATAGCAGACATATCCTCTGATCGTTTATTCGTTGTGTTTTGTGCGTAAATATGTTATTTTGTTAGGAGAAAAGCCTGTTTTACCGGAAAACTATCTCGTTTCGTGATCAATTGACCCCTTCGTATCAGTGCATATTACAACTGATCAGTAATCCACTCATTAAATTATCAATACATAAATCTTCATTCATTAAGTCAAAAAGAAATTTTAATCCAAGTATCGACTGATCGGTTTAATTTAAAAATTTAAGAGAAAGTCCCTAACTGGAACAACAATGTATATCATCTTCACAAGAGGTAGAGTTTTTGTAACGAGGTATTTTAGTACATACGTCTTACAATATCATTGTTATTATAAATGGTATCATTATTATTAATTTATTTTAGGCTCATTTAAGAATACTAAAACACCAGATAGGATATTCAGTTACTTTATCATACAAGACTTGTCCTTCTCCAATCATTTCAACAATTCGTACAATTGAAGGATCACGTCTACGACGACGAGGTGGCCAATAAAGAATTGGGACAAGATCAGCTGTCGTCGATGCAGTAGACATGATAGACATTGAAAGGGCATCCAAAATAGCCGAAGACCATGTCGATTGAAATGTTGCTATAACTTTATCTAATTCCTCTTGAAATCTGATTTTTTTCACAAACAAGAAAATATAGTATACGCAAACAAACATCAATTAGTATATTTAACTAAAAATTTAACGCATGCGTTAGTTCACTTACAGAGGTATTACAAATATCATAGGAAGTGATATTTTCAGCTATACTAAAACTCAGAACAACCTGCTTTATCACACAATTAGAAGATTCTAGTTTGAAGCAAATGCATCTACAATTTTACGAAATAATAAAACTACTAATTTATTTTATTTTCAGACATTTCAGGAAGAGAACAGGGTTAGCAGTAACAAAGATTTGAACAGAACAACATAAATCCATTTTAAGAGATGGATGGTGGCTGATAATGGAATCCAGGACACATGTTTTGTCCTATTTCGGACTTGTCAGCTGGATGTACCTATGTCCCGAAGTTAATGTCCACTCAGAAACTCGGATCCGGTACCATTCTCTCCAAACACTATCACGTTATCCACTTAGCTACTGAGTTCAGATAGTTACTAGATTGTGCAATGGGATGAAGTTTAATTCATTTTTGTATCAATTGTTTGAATCTTCTTACTGACGTTTAGGTCTGTAAATGAATAAATTCATTATATTTTATTGGGATATTTTCAAGTGCTTAAATCCTGTAACATTTAAATATTAAAGTTAAAAAGTGAGCTGAAAATACCTACATAAATAAAATTTTAAAATTCTTTAACTAACTAAGTTCCATTCATTTTGGTATTACTTATCATTAGCATTTGCTCATTACGTAACCACTTAATTCTAACCTCACAGTTTTTATTTTTATTAATAATAATGTTGTTGCGACATATTTGTAGTCTTATTTAGTATCTTTTAATTTATTGATATATTTGCTACAATGTGCTGATGTTTGATTGTAACAACTCCCAAACAAATTTACCTAAGTATTTTCAATACAATTTATAATTTTAATGTTGAAATATTATGTAATGTAAACGGCTATATAAAAACCTAATGAAATAAAATGAATTTAAGTTATTCTGCTTTTGTTTCTTTCAAGGCTTCACAACATTTATTTCAGGAAACCAAGTACTAACCTATGATGTAAACTGAGAAAGATAATGAGGAAATCTCATCTACGTCCGATAAAACACAATTCAGTTGGTCATTATTGAAAACCATGGTACATCGTAACGTTCCAACCGAAATATAGATTGATTTTTTATAAAATTTACCATATAAGCATTAAAAGATCAATTCCAGATTACCACAGATAGAGTCAATTTGTATGAATTTATAAAATTGGAGTTTCGTTTAGAGTGGCATTGACAGAAAAGGCGAACTGACATACTTAGGGAAAATTATTCCTCATCCATGAGAAGTGAGTCCACCTTATAAAATGTGATATTCGCAAACACTATCATTTAGGCAGCGACTCAAGCCGGTAAAGATTAAAAAACCTCGGCGAACAGAATTTATGTAACTTGGAATCGATGGAGGAAGTACCCGTTTTCACCAGATTACAAGGTTATGTAGTGAAAATAGTCAGTTTTTAGAGACTATAATTGAAACCAATAATTAGCTGAAACGTTAGGTGCCCCCAAATGCCCTGGTACGGCCGAGAGTGGGGAGATTCCGCTCACCCTCACGAAATGCTCACATGGCCACGTGTATACAGCCTCTGCCAGGGAAGTCCTACTCACTGCCTTCTCGTGGCGGGGCTGTTGTTTACGAAGTCGAGAGGATGAAAAGCGAATGCCCGGCGCTCCAACAGAGTTGGTGGACATGGAGAGTCCACCTAGGGGAGTTGGAAAACCCTGATTCCAAACCAATAGTGCACATGGGCTACAGTATCCTAAAGGAACAAATGAACCAATCGTTGGTCACCGGCTACCATGGGACTGCATCTCCTTACGATGCTCCACTGCCTTGTGGATCAGACCTTTAGGTCGAAGGCTTTGGGTGTGGCCCCCTAAGAAAACCACCTACTTCGGTTTGGGCACCCGGGCAGTATCACAGCCCTCACACAACTCAAATGAGATTTGTGTGGCGCATATATATTCGGTGCCTCCTTGTACCAATATCAATGTGTTCAAATAAATAAAATAATGAAACGTTAGGTTGTCCATTTTTCTGTGACCAAATCAGTCGTAAAACGAAACTCATGCTATTTGCCAAATAAGAATCAGTTTTGCAACATGCATAAAGTCATTCAGCTAATTTAAACTATCAGTGACTGATAGAAATATTGAAATAATATCACATTGGTCCAGCAAAACTATTAAATCCCATGAGTCGGTGAACTGTAAAGGTTTACATCATCATGTCAATTGTAATCAATAATGGAATATGTAATGATGATATCCCTGTGAATACTAATAACTGCGAAATCACATCATTCAATATTGTATAATCAAATACTCCAAACAATAGTACATAAAAACCAGAATATGCAATGTTATCAAATTTAAAACCACAAGATAGTAATTTATTGTTGCTTTTCATCACAGGATCGGTTAGTTTAATAGTTAATAAACCTATTTATAGTAAATGATTTAGTGACAAAACGCTATATACTAATAAGAAACAGTAGGCATAATTTACATATACTTATTTGTTGTTAAATATGACCCAGGGTAATACCTATATCATTACAATCAAACGTTTGAATTTTCCTGTCGAAGAGATTCATTCACCTATTTTAAGTAACTTATGGAAAAATGGTTATATCGAGATAATGGACGATAGATGAAACGCTGACAAAAACCGATTAAAATTTAATCCTGAATACCAAACGCGTATTAACAGTAATGCAAACACCATAGTTGTTAAGTTGGTGGCTACCTTGACTCAGTGACACACTGATATTTGATACATGAGGCACAAGACTGAAAATCAACACTGGAATGCAGATAAATCTGGCTAACGAGTTTTAAATAGAACGATACGCATATCCTGGATTCTGCTACTAGTCGCAGTGCCTATTTTGAAAGACAAGATAATACTGAGTGGTCTTTACTGTCAAGTGAATTATATTAGTCACTACTAGGCAGTGATTAAGTGCATAAAACACTCAGCATTCATCCCGTAAATCATAAACTCTGATTCCGCCCTACCTACCTCAGTTCAGACGATCATATAGTGCATACGATTTCGCGTATAAACAGTGTGGATTAAAGCTGAGTACATGAATCTGAGCCAGGTGAATGGCTTAGGTTAAATCAAATTATGCAGAACAGTATCTGTGACCAGATATACGATATTATCTGGGAACAGGCCCTACTGTAAGGCATGTTTTATGCATGATGTCACTTATTAGTATGAAGTATCTGCAAAAGTGAAGAGGATTATAAGCTTTCATTTTTATCATTCTAGCCGACGATAACATCTAACCATCTAGCCCATGACTGTCCTTATGTAAAATCAGATTGTGTATGAATTGATTACCAGATAGCTTGTATTTTCATAACAATAAAAATTTACCACATACTTGTGAGGATGAGCAACCCAAATATGACGTAAGACCGGTAAAGGAGCATCATCATATAAATATTTGTTGTCAACAATTAGGTTGACATGCCTTTCTTTAATTGAATTCATTTTACCAAGAACCTTTAAGTCAAAAGGAAGATAAGCAGTAATCAAATAAAACACGACTATATTAACAAAAAACTACTATTAATACCAATTATAACAGAAGCGTCAATCGATACGATATAGCCGTATATATAACTCAAGGAACATTAATAATAAGACATAGTATTAGTAAGTTTGATGCTCAGATACTTATAATTTCTCTATTGTTTGAGAAACGGAGAGTGGGTAGAAATGATTGACAATGATACTACGAACATGAGAAAGATTATAAAATAGTATTTCACTAATCTATTATCCACATCCCTTGGAGGTTGACTGCACACATTTAGCAATCGATTTTACCTGGATCTCTTAGTCCAACAGTCATCTAGATTGCATGTATAAGTGACACAAATACATCATTTACCCACACCAGTTTAATAACCAGATGGAGTTGAAAATTTTAAATAACAGAAATTTTTATTGACAGTTATTTTATTTTTTTTGTAAAAGAAACTTGTTGAAATATTTTTGTGCTGAGAATTCTATATTGTACCAAAATATAAAATTGAATGAAGCCACAAATATATAATTAATTAATTAATTAAACAGACTATCTGAACCTCATAATTTGTTTGTACTGCTATTTTCGATTAAAAAAATGGTCTCCATTAACGACAAATTCCTAAAGGCAGTAGTAACAATGAATAATGATTACAGACGGAAATATCAAGGATGAGTACCAATTTACATAACCATATATCTAAAAATGGTATATATAGGGTAATTGAAATAATAATTACTTAAATGTTGAAGCTATCTCACTGTCTCCAAAGTGATTCCGTTAAATCCTTTCACGTAATCTACTTGGTTTAATATAATGAATGACTATAATTAAGTGAAGTTGTGACTTGTACCTTGAGTTAAAATTGATGGTTTTCTAGACTCAAGAAAAAACTATCTGCATCCTTAAAGAAATTCATAAACCTTCTTAAAACTAGACTTTAAGCATTTGGGGCTTCATATAACTATACCTCATAACATATTTGGACGACACACTAATACATCCCGATGAGCACAAGACTTATGCTCGGAGCTATTTACTGGTTACATAAAAGCATGCTATAAAAGTCCCCAAAAACAGATAAAAATAATGCATACCTGCATGATTAATGAACGCATATATGGATGATGGATATACACTATTCCCGTCTTGATAAGCTTCTGCCAAAGTTTTTGGCATTTTTTCTGGTCACAATCATCAGGCTTCGAGTCAACTCTGGCCTTAATAGCATCCATAAGGCGATCGTTTATGCTCTGATCAAAGATAAGTAACAATAAAGATTATATACCCATAAAATATTATGTCTTGGAACTCCATGTATATCCAGAAGCTTCAGTGCTTGACTGAAATTAGGAACAAGTTGTTCCCAATATTTGTCTTGGAAAGCTTCGATATCATCTTTCGTAATTTTCGACTTGGTAAATAGGTCTTCAATTGTCTTTTTCATGACTGGAAACACAAAAGGCTTTGAGGGCTAAAATTGTTAGCAATACGTTACCAAAAATGCCAAGCCTTACATTGTCCTTTGTTTCCATTGTTAGAATAGTTGATCCTAAACATGCAGAAACTGAAAACGTACATACAGTACAATATATAGTATAGTTCACTCTTAAGGATTAGCAAAATGAATAAGGCACAGAGGGTTATAAGACGTGTTTCAGATTGAGGATTCTTACAAGTATCAGCACCAAATTATACGAATTAAATATTTGCCTGGTCGAAAATGAACTTTTGATAATGATGAAAGTAGTTCTGTGACAACATGAGGTCGGTCGAATGGATGTCATTTAACTATCAGCTCTTAGCACATTACAAAGCTCTACCTTTTATTTTGTTTGTGATATGTCGTTTTACAGGGTTTCACTGAGAAAACTAATAAAGTGTAAGTATACACTTTGAACTGAGAATGTTTTCTCCAACCAACTACAAGCTTAGTGTTCCCAATACTTAAATGTCGAGTAAAAAACTATGTGAAATGCAGTATACAGAAAACTGTGATAAGTCTACACGTTAAGCAGAACAAACATGAAATGTATTGTATGCTTCATATGATTGACATGTAAACAAATTACAAGGTCTCACCATAAATGACGTTAGTAGTCATACAGATAGTTATTAAGTGATGAATTCATGATATGACATTTTCATGAGACCTGTGAACCTATTATATACACTTATTATTATTATTTCGATCATGCCTGTGAACCAACAATGTCGTGTATTTGTAGTTACAGCTACCTCCTTGACAAAAACCACTTACAAGTCTACATTAAATCGATGCCGTGCGTTTGCACTACGAAACAGTTACTTATGGAGTTAACACCAGGTGAAAAATATAATACATTACATATTTGCTGAGTAACCGTAAATCATCACAAAGAATAAAGACATGATTTATTTTTGTACAATGGAATCATTAGATTAAACACACATGTGATAAGTTTGTGATTCATAAACTATCATCTCATATCGCTTACGCTTCAAGAAATGAACAGGCAAAAATTACATCAAAAAGCAGTGTGGCGAGACGATACAATTTTAGTGGGAATTGTGCTGCAATGTCCAATGTCTCAAATTTCTGATCAACGCTGTTGTCACTGTCTCACCCATCTGTATAAGTACCATTTTACGTACATATTTCTTTTAGATTTAAAAATCAATAAGTTAAAATGGGTTAAAGAACACCTCTTTATATAATAAATCACGTTCTCTCGATGAGTGGCTGTAATAGCCGTATTACATAAATTCCAGAGCGCGTTATTTAAAAAACGACAGTGATATTATTCCTCGCTGAGTAAATTCTAATGTTTTGATAGTTTATTACGCATCAAGACCACTGTTTACACTTTAATTGAATTTGTTTCAGTTAAAGTATCCTCTAAGAGTATCGTTTTGGTTTCTAAAGAAGTCTACGGTCAGTACTTTTGAGTACTTTGTTTTCTATTGTATTTGTTAGCACTTTTGATTCTAACAATCTTAAGTTTTACCATTTTTGGTCATAAATCACTTTTGTCTCTGGGTATTATTGTATCTAGCGTCATTTTTAAAACCTCTATTTTTTGGTTGGACAGTGCAAGAAATGCAATTGCCAACACCCGAGCCGTCTCTGCCCCGTTGAAAGTGGCATGTAGTACGACGAGTGCAAAGAATGATACCACGACGTTTGCAAGAATCTAACACCTTCAGATTTCAAACAGTTTAGTAAAAATTGTCGCCTGTGTTTTTGTCAGCAGTGCTTCTCGTACACAAACAGGCCATTTCAATAGTAAACGCTGCTAAGATGTGTATTATCAAACGACTTCGGGGAACATCGGATAGTACTCGCCCTATCAACACACGAATTAATGTGGAGCCACCTCAAATAAACTCGGTAAAAGCTAACTTACAACAATCATAGGGTGAAAGACCGACTTCAATAGCGTCTGTCCTAAGTAAAAACTCAAGAAAGAAAATTTCTCTACCCCCGTCCTCTGAACGGTAACCGGCAGGAAACGCGTGAAAACCCCAATCGCAAGGCTAGATCTGTTTCTAGCAGGAAAATTGACTTTACTGTGCAAGTCGTCGATAGCCTTCCCGAATCCCACAGTGTGTTTAAAGCGACTAGGATTGCTACTCCAACGAAAGTCCATAAATGAGCACAGGTCGAGAACAACAAACGACATAACTCTATTAAAGAAAATCTAACACTCAAAATATAGCTGAAAAATTAAAGACTGGTCACCGTGACAGGTCAGTTATCATCCATAAAATCAAGCAGCGTGAAACCTCAAAACACAAAACTCGTTTTGAACACATTGACTTGATAAAACAGCTCTTAAATCAGCTTATGCCTCAGGATATCTCCGGAGAATCTTGCTAGAGATGTATAGGCTTAGTATCCAAATGAAGTTAAAACCAAATCAAACTGGGCTGCTTAAAGTAGTATTTAAATTTCCTAATGAAAGGGACATACTATTACAGAAAGAATTAAAACTTAGGTTAGATGTTGGCGGAAAGGACTTTGACTGAAAACGATGCCGAAGCCACTATTGGTGCATCACGAAGCCATTTAAATAGGCTTTAGATATGTTACACAAACGCCCGATGACATCCAACTAACAACAGGATCTGGAATTTCAAATGGTTGAGTGCGTCAGCTTTACCGGACAATCTATATCAGGTGGATTCGGAAATTCACCCTCAACTTGATATGGATGCTACAAAGCAGTCTGTTTCTTAAATGGTCCCCAAAACCTACAAGCAACCTGGTTATCAAGAAACGCACTCTACGTTTGCTAAGCCACAAAAGGCGCTGTTAGGCGGAATATAAATGAACTGATAACAAATAGGCGTACAGGCAATACAAAGGAAATAAGAGTAGACAGGCTTCATTACATAATAAAGCTTATCGATAAATTTGTCTCCAATCTGAAAAGCTCATTCCATTAGGCGGCCTCGCCTCGAAAAGCCAAAACTGAAGTTCCTCAAATGTTAGGTCCTAATGACCCGACCAAAAACGACAGTGACGCCGTTAATCTTCTAGCTGAACCAACCCACACGAATTATTTTGATGAAAGCTTTATCTCTAACCTCACAGGACTTTCAGAAGAGAATTCTGAGCTCTGACTTGGTGTATCGGAAACTGCAGCATCTAAAAAAGACACTTCTCCTAGTCCGGATATGGTTCATTCTGCTATATTGAGGGAAAAAGCTTCAGTCCTGGAAATACTGCTTAGCGTAATATTATCACATTCCTTAACCTGAGACACATTACTGGACATTTGGAAACTGGCTCATATCAAACCAATTTTCAGAGGAGGTTGACGCAGAAAGCCTTCAAGTTACCGATCGGTAGCACTTCGCTCAATACCATCAAAAATTATGAAGTCACCTTTACACGATGGTACACACGATTATTTACTATCCGAAAACTTCTTTTCACCTCAACAGCATGGTTTCAGGAAGGGTCACACTTGTGTCACCAACCTGCTGACTGCAGTGCACAGATGGAAAACCATTCTTGAACAAAAGGGGAAAGTTGAAGTCATTTACCTTGACTTCCCAAAGGCTTTTGAAAAGGTCAACGATATATGTTTTATCAATAAGCTCAAACGATTTGGTATCAGACCACCTGTAATTGACTGGCTCACTTCATATCGACATCTTATGACCAGGGATAACTTCACTTTCTTTCGAACTACGAAATGTCCTAGTGGGGTCCCCCAGGGCTCAGTACTAGACCTCTTTTCCTCTTGATTTATATAAATAATCTTCCTCAACAGGTACCGTCTGACTTATTAATTTTGGCTGGTGTGAAACTTTGGGGAGAGATACGCAACCAAGAAGACATACTGGCACTTCAGGATGATCTGACTCGACTTCAAAGTTGGGCAGACGATAATGGAATTACCTTTAACACTTCAAAGTGTAAAGTAGTCCATCTGAAACATGTTGAAGACTACAATTACAACTTAGGCAACTCTTCTCTAGAAGTGTCCCAAATTGAAAATGATCCAGGAGTGTTGACACCCTACGATTGGAAGTCTCACGCTAACTGTGACAAAAATGCCTTTCCAGCAAATTTTGCGCTGCTAACATTGAAGCGCATTAATGGTCAGTTCGACTGAAGAACTTTTCACATACTCTTCAAAACTTTTATTCGCCTCTATTTAGAGTACGGAAACATAGTATTTCCTCCCTCATTCCAAAGGGATAAAGACACTCTAGAACCTATCCAACGGTGAGCCACGATTCAGTTCGAGGACTCAAATTCAAGCCTTATGAAGAGCGTCTACAATCACTAAATCTTTACCCATTAGAGTACAGGCGTCTTAGATGTGACCTTCTGATGGCTTACAGTATCCTTAACAATTCTGGACATCCCTTAGACACCTACTTAAGTTTAACTATAATACAAACCTTACAGCTAACAACCAGAAACTGGAGACAGAACTTTAACTCCTTAATAGTTGTCAAATGCTGGAATTCGCCGTCGGCTGGACTAATTCAAGTGGCTTCCTAGGAGTCCTAGTCTTAAAGACTAGGGTTAGTATCCTACTATAATTTACCGATTTCTATTCCTTCTTTAGTCGTTAATATACCTAGGTCCCTGCCTGGAAGTATTGGTGATCCATTGCTACTAGACGCGGAAGCCCATTAAGCAAATGATTCTTCTATTCCATCCACAACCATTTGAACCATTTGAAATTAACAATGGCATATAAATTTTCACACCGAGCCATCAATTCTCGGAACCTGTTACCAGAAACGGTGGTGTCCACATCTTCAATTGGCTCGTTCAAAATAAGACTAGGCATTCACAGACGCATCTCAGAAAGCAAAAAAGGTGGGTCATAGGCCTTCTGTCCATACCACACAGATTTAATCTGAAATATGATATGATGTGAAACGCGCAGTCAACAACATACTGCGTTACAGCGTGCTCAGCTGTACCGTTAGGATATCTTCTGCTTCCCTAACTTATTTGGGTAAGAGTTTATTTTATAAAAGGCTTCCGAGTAATGCTTAAGTATCCTTAATAAAATTTAATCACTTGCTAGCATTAAAAGAGGTTTATAAATCAGTGTGTAGGAATAGGATTAAGAATTAGAGTTGTAAGTTTTGGTTGTGAAGCTATTATTTATGGACGAACCTTTAAGACTTAGAATGGCAGGTCTTTGATTGGTGAGACCATAACTTATAGACGACTCTTAAGTGGCGCTTAAGTACACCTACGTACTTGTGTTAAATGAGGGTTATAAACCGGTGTGAGGAATTAGGATTATGATCTACAGTTGGTGGTTGTGGCTGGAAATTAAATTTGGTGTTTTCATCACAAACTGGCATAAGCTGTAATGCTAAAACTTTGGCCCAATGAATTAATAAAGTTCGTACCGAAATCTAAGACCTGTTACCCTCAATCTGATTGGCTCATCCATAAATTATAATCTCTCCATGAAAACATTAGGTCCAATTTCCAACCCTGACATCTTACTGTAAATCCTGATCCGACAATGTCGCCATAAATTTTAGCACCACCGTTTTGGTTAGTGATTAGTCTTATGGACTTTCACTAAGAATTATCATCTATAATGCCACAATACTGTTTAAGCACATGAGTGAACGGATTTCGCCCGAAAATTCGATTACCGTTATTTTAAATCTGACCGGTTTATTTATAAATTATGGTTTCGACGTTCTTTGTTGATATAGCCGAAATACTTAACCATAGCCCAATAACTGATTTTTCCCTTTATACTATTGGTTTTACATGTGGTTAATTCGTATTTTTGAAGCAACTAGCTAATGTTATATTGAGACGGTCATTGGCCATATTAAGTAATACAAAGACCAATAATGATTCAGTGTAATTGCCCACATGAGGTCTGTCACATTTCATTACCTTGTGTATGTGCCGGCTTTGTGCGTTATTAGTGCTTCATAAAATAAATGGACTAAAGCTGCGCGTTCATATTTTCTCATCACATACTCAGTAGGCTACATATACATACGGTGTCCAAGTGACCATTCAGTTAAGCTTATAACAATCAAGTCTCATGTTCAATCCCTTCTCGGTTCGACTAGCGGGGGACCATCAATAATATGTGTACTGATAGTGTGGCTGAAAGCTCAGTTTATAAAGGTCCATTTGGTAAATACATTGCAGAGTACTGTCTGTTTCTGTAGTCAGTGTAAGCTACATCTCCTAACCTTACTACTGAAGAATAGAGATACTCCAATAGAGTTAGTTATATGTGCCCCCCCAATGCCCTGGTACGGCCGAGAGTGCGGAGAGTCCGCTCTCCCTCTCAAAATACTCACACATGGCCACGCGTGTATAGCCTCTGCCAGGGAAGTCCTACTCACTGCCTTCTCGTGGCTGGGGTGTTGTTTACGAAAATGAGAGGACGAAAAGCGAATGTCCGGCGCTTTAACCGGATCCCAGATCAACGGTGCACATGGACTCCAGTATCCTGAGTGAACAAATGGCGTATGAACCAATCGTTGGTCACCGGCTACCATGTGACTGCATCTCCTTACGATGCTCCACTGCCTTGTGGATCAGACGTTCAGGTCGAAGGCTCGGGGTGTGGCCCCTTAAGAAAACCACCTACTTCGGTTTGGACACCCGGACAGTATCACAGTCCTCACACAAATCAATTGAGATCTGTGTGGCGCATATGTATTTGGTACCTCCTTGTATCAATATTTATGTGTTAAAATAAATAACAAAATAGTTACATGTCTATAAATGTATTCATTATTAATCAAGCAATTTTTACTAGGTATGTGTCCTCAGCTATATTTTTGCTTGTTTAGTGCGCATGTAGAAGCAAATATTCCCTGACCTCATTCTTATTGACTCTAACCTCATATTTTACATAATGTTAGGGCTCGTAGATATAATGTTTATGATACAAGCTATTTAATTCCAATAATATTTCATTGACGCTCCCATTCTGTCAGTCTAGTCATTCTATTTTCAGTCATCGACTTCGGTTTCTCACTATATCTGACGTCTGAGACCAGTGTGTTGTATTGTCACTGGGTTTTTTGATTGAAAAGCTGTGCCACATTCACATTTGTCCTACTACGTATGAGCCTGCTCTATGAAGTATGAAAAAACAAAGCATTCGAAATTACAATAAATTGTATGACAGTGCGAAGTAAGCATGAAAGATAAGATATAAATAAATAAACAAACGTTTTTTAGAGTTTTAAAATCCAAATCCAAATGGCGAATGCATCCGTATTTATTAATATACCTGTATCGACAACACTGCAACATCTTCAGCCTTGTCACTTAAGGTCTTCAACCATAGATAATGATTATTGTACAAACCCCAAACAAGAACTCTGGGACTCCCAACGAAGCCTAGTTTGACAGTCAGGGAATTCGTTGGTTGACGATATGTCCGTACACCCCACTCAGCCTTCTTTGAAGTGAGACTTCTCTTCATCCTTGTAGGTGGCGTATGGTCGTGTATCCCACATACATCAAACACCTCAGCCGACAAATACCTCATCAGCTGATTCATTGTCCTTGCCTAACAACTCATTCCTAACCTTAGAATTACACCTAGCGGTCTCACTGTTAGTGAATAGTGCTTCGAAGACGTTTCTACCTTGACGTGGTGGTCGGGCTTGCCTATCGTGATGACCCAACCGAGCTATATTGGCTGGAACTCAAGTTCCTGCAGGTTCTACCATGCCAGGCAGGTCGATTGGAGAACGGTAAGACTAAAAGCAGCAACTCAAGGTCTGAGGGCGAAGTCGTACTGCTGACTGTACAGAGGTGTGACAGCAGTAAGGTGTTTCCCTCGGACAACCAGCATCTGCAGCGATGCTGCCTTCTCACAAGGAAGGAAGGGGTTAGAAAAGGTTGACCCTAAAAATGTCACACCTCACCTTACCCCACGGATTTCCGTCTCCAGCGGTAAGGCCCTTTGAAGAACGGAGCTAACACATTAAAAACCTCCCACAAAAAGGCCGTGCGCGACCGGCCTCAAGCAGTTGTCCCTTGGGCTCTGCGGTCACGCACTCAGTTCGCTAAGACCAACACTAATCCGATTTCCTTTTCAGGTCCCCCAAGAAATACCCTTCCACGGTGTGGGCAACCGGGAAGTGATATCAGCCCTCATACCCGTAACAGCACACGAGACCAAGTTGGTCACATTCAAATCCTTCCTACACCTCCTAATAACTCTCTTATCTCCACGACTAACCCTTCTCACGTCCCTTTATCACCTCGCCCCGCTAGTGCGAACGATTCGAGTACGCGGAATGTTATTCCTGGTCTCCTGAAACCACGCTCTAAACTACACGTAGGAGCTTTCAACGTCCGAACACTGTGCCAAATAGGACAACAGGCTTCCTTAGCTAAGACTTTAGAATCTCGCTCCATCGATGTGTGCTGCGTCTCCGAAACGCGCACACAGGATCCTAGTAGTGTCATTCATTTGACTGCACCATGTCTAAGTAACGAACCAACTCGATTTACGCTTCGTGTATCTGGAAGCCCTGATACTGCATCCCGTGGCCTCGCTGGCGTAGGTATAGCATTGAGTCCTAGGGCAGAACTAGCTCTCTTAGACTGGATCCCAGTAGACAGTCGTTTGTGTGCTGTCCGACTAAACGGAACAGTAAGGACTCGAAAAGATAGGGACACTCGTCGTTGCCTCTTCGTCGTCTCTGCCTACTCTCCCACTGACTGCAGCTCAGCTGATGTAAAAGATGAGTTTTACAGAAAGCTTTCCGGCCTTCTCCGAAAAGCTAGGCGTTCAGATGTAGTAATAGTGGCTGGTGACTTTAATGCTCAAGTAGGTAAACTAAGCGAAAAGGAAAGACACCTGGGTGGATCTTATGGTGTCGCGGCTCAAAGAACAGATAACGGCGACCGTCTGTTGCAGCTATGCTCAGATAACCGCCTGTTTCTTGCAAACACTAACTTTAAGCATAAGGAAAAACATCTTTTGACATGGCGACCCCCTAATTCGTCTCAACGCTGGACCCAAATAGATCACATCGCTATCAGCCACCGATGGAGGGGCTCGATAGAAGACTGTCGCTCATTCTGGAGCACATGCTTAGACTCAGATCATGCTCTAGTGCGAGCGCGTATCTGTCTACGTCTTACTGGACGTAGGAAACATGCTGCAAGGAAACCCCTTAGGGTCCTACTTAATGATAGTCAAGCTAAGAGTATATTTCAGGAACATCTAGAAAAACAGTTAGGCAGCCATGTAAGTGATACCCACCCCGAGGCAGCATGGAATGACATCCGAAAAGCTGTAGAAACAGCAGTGATGTCTGCAAGTACGGTAAACCATAAGGTTAGGGAGAAACACTGGATCTCAGCAGCATCTACCGCACTGATAGATGCTCGAAAACTCATTCCATCTGGCTCTGAACATAACGAAGAGCGGAGTCAGCTTAAGCGTAAGCTGACTAGAAGCCTGCGCAAAGATCGTGAACAGTGGTGAGTAGCGAAAGCAAGAGAGATGGAAAAGGCAGCGGCAATAGGTAACAGCAGGCAACTGTTCAGACTTGTTAAGGAAACCGGTATTAGGAACCCAACTGTTAGCGAAACAATCGCAGAGAAAGATGGACATATTATTCATTCTCAATCCAGGAGATTGGATCGATGGGCAGAATACTTTAGGGATCAGTCCAACTGGCCTTCAGCCACACTTCGGTTTCCCACGATCCCCAGTCGACCTGAATGGCAAGTTGATGTAAGTCCTCCGACTCTTTACGAAGTTGAAAAAGCTATAGGAAATCTGAAGCGTGGGAGAGCAGCAGGCCCTGACAGGTTTACCCCTGAGATTTTTAAGGATGGCGGTCCAGTATTAGCAGCGAGATTGACTGAGGTCTTAGGTAGAATCTGGGAACTGGACGTAATCCCATCTGACTGGTCTCAATCACTGATTGTACCAGTCTATAAGAAAGGACAAAAGTCCTCCTGTGACAATCACAGAGGAATTAGTTTGACTAATATAGTGTCTAAAATATTAGCTTCAATAATACTTCGACGTCTAACCAAAGCTCGTGAAGAGCAGACTAGAGAAAACCAGGCTGGTTTTCGACCTGGACGTGGTTGCATTGATCAAATATTCACATTACGTCAGGTCCTAGAACATAGACACACATTCAGACGTCCCACAATGGTAGTATTTCTCGACCTTAAGGCGGCATTTGACTCTGTTGATCGTAAGGTTCTATGGCAATGTTTGTCACTGAAGGGAGTACCAAAGAAGTACGTCAACCTTATAAAGGCTCTCTACTCGAACACAACTGGTCGAGTGAGAGCTTATGGTGAACTGTCATCAGAAGTGATTACCTCAAGTGGTGTTCGTCAGGGCTGTCCACTCTCTCCATTCTTGTTTAACTTTGTCGTTGACGTCCTTTTAGAGATGACACTTTCCTCATCTAAATTTCCAGGAGTTGAACTTCTACCGGGAGATCCACTTGTTGACTTAGAATATGCCGATGACATAGTTCTATTTGGTGAAGACGCTGACAGAATGCAGAGTCTGTTGACCACTCTAAGCAACAATGCAAGCCTATTCGGCATGCGATTCTCTCCCTCGAAATGCAAAATGTTACTTCAGGATTGGGTTGCGTCGACACCCGGACTAGTGATAGGGAGTGAAGTAGTTGAGCGTGTCGACCGCTTCACTTATCTCGGAAGTCTCATCAGCCCTTGTGGTTTGGTGTGTGACGAAATCTCAGCACGGATACAAAAGGCTCGACTAGCTTTTGCCAACTTGCGTCATTTATGGCGTAGGCGAGATATCCGTCTATCAACCAAAGGACGTGTTTACTGCGCAGCAGTTCGTTCCGTCCTACTTTATGGCAGTGAAACATGGCCGGTAAGAGTAGAGGATATTCGTAGGTTACTAGTATTTGACCATAGATGTCTTCGAAGCATTGCTCGTATATCCTGGGACCACCGAGTAAGTAACTCAGTTGTTAGGAAACGGGTACTAGGTAAGGATGGAAAATCAATTGAGGAAGTAGTGAAACTCAATCATTTGAGATGGCTGGGACATGTGTTGCGCATGCCCGACCACCGACTGCCCCGACGTGCTATGTTTTATGGTGTAGGAGTAGGTTGGAAGAAAGGTAGGGGCGGCCAGACCAAAACATGGCACAAATCCATGAAGTCACTGACAAGTGGACTGAGTCATGTTGGTAGGTGTAGACTACCTGGTTGGGGACCGCGAGACGATAGCAACCGATGGTTAGAGACCTTGAATGACATGGCTCAAAATCGTTTGCAATGGCGCAGGTGCATCCGCTCTTTGTGTTCTCTCAAACTCTAATCTTCTGAATTCTTCATGTCCTTTATTTTCTTTCCCAATTTATTCCACTGGACTATACTCCTTTAATAACATCATCAAACCTTAATGTCCCCTATCTCTACTTATACTTTCAGTACCTCTACCACTATGGGATTTGAAACGATAACTGAATCTCTGTGCTAATGTGGTATGGCAACTCGAACTGATGTACGTACGTACGAAGTTCCACGTTGTTACTGACTGACTGACTGATCATACGTTTTACAACTTCACAAACGAGATTGTCAAAAGTTAATTATACGATCAAATCAAACTTCACAATCGGCCCTTCGGATTTAATATATAATGTAAAACGCAATGATGGGTAACTTTTAGTCTTCTAAGAGCTGTTTAAAAACTCTGTAAAACCTAGCAACATTTTCTTTGTAAAGCTAGTAGACTCATGTATAAAATAAAAAAATATCATACGTTCTCATAGCAAATTTTACTTTTTAGTACACTATGTATCAAAAACTGTCGTAATCAACGTAATTTGTTTGTGTTAATACGTATCTGAATGTTTATATTATATTTTAAGTTAGCTTGCTTGAAATATCAATTTCCGTCCTCTTCTAGATTGTTATTTGCTTGCTTATGATCATATCAGCGGTTCAGGATAGTATTTATTTTCCAACACTTGTCGAATTTTAAAAGGACACTTCAAAATAAAAGTAACTTGGTCAAAAGAAATGATGGCGTTACGGCGTCTAACAACTAATGTGTTGCGTTTAAGACCGTTTACTTTATGCTCAAGTGGAACTAGATTCTTTTCTGCTAACTATCAACTATCAGGATTGTCTGCATCCTCTATTTTGTGCCCAGTAAAATCACAATCTTATAATTTCGTATACAATGCCGCTTCCGCATTAGGACTATACGTTCCATGCCGTTACAGCACTATATTCAGCGACTATCCTAGTGAAATGTTATGGGAAGGTGTGACTGGGCCGAAAGGAGGCTCAAAAAAACGTGCAAGAGGAAAACGCAGAGTTACAAGACAAAAAATAAATCTTCATGTGGGACAGAAATTAGGTTTCGGCAAAGCCTCCATACAGTGGCCTGGTCTTAATACCCCTGCATCTTCAACTATCAAGAAAGTAAGTACTTGATTACCGAATAGCACTTTATAAATCGATTTGTTTTCAATGGTGTTCAGCTGTGCCTGTAATCGTCTAATTGTAAACATCCATAACCTTAATTGGCTTTTAGTAACTTGTTAGAAAATATTATTGTTGAGTTAATCTGCTTGTGTTTATGTTTCGCTCGCAAGCTATTGACCATTCCTTGAAATCAACTGCTCTTCCAATAAACAGTTCAATACCAGATCCGGTTTTATATTATTACCAGATTTAAGGAACAGATCATATATTATCGTTTATAGTCCAATTTTTATGCCCTTAAATATCCACTGGTTTACAAAATATTGCATTTTGCAGTGCAATTGATCCTTGTTTAATGGTTGTCTACCATGCAGCTTAAAATTTTGATCATGATATAAATTCGAAATCAGTCGGTCATAATTAACGTGAAATCTAGAACAAATATGTGTTAACCGAAGTTTTTAAAATTTAAATTTGAACTGTAAATAACTTGCTAATTATTTTCGTCTTCACATCACCGCACTATGTTCGTCGGTGTCGAAGTAGGTTGGGAGTGTAGGAACGGCTAAACCAAGATGTAGCATCCTTCCATAGAGTCATTAACTGAGCAATTTTGGTAAATTCAGGTTACTTGGTTAGCATCCACGTGACAACCACAGTCCGAGGTTGGTGGACTTTGGATGTGATATTTCAGAATACTTTGCAATAATTCAGATACGTTCACTCTATATTCTCAGTCTTGAACGCTAATATTCCTCTAATGCATACCTTTCCATTCTGTTTTTTCGAACAATATTTCAAATGCTCAGTTTTTCTCGTTAAAACTGCCACTACAATATTCAGACATTTTGCATTTTGGCTCGTTATTTTCACTTTGTTTTGATAATGAAGTGTGACAACTTGGGCAATATGCATCTGTGCTAGTTCCTATGTTGACACTGCCTGTATGTCCTTTATAGGTATAATGTCTTCATCATGAAGCTGCTGCATCAACACAGTGATTCAACTTTCTTGTTTTATGTAACTTCGCGGTTTTGAGATTTATTAGCAGAATTCATGACTTTTACCTCAGTGAATTACTAACACCAACTTGAATAGCCAACATAATTGCCATAAACGACAAAAATTAGGCATTCCAATATTCAACAAACTACGAAACAATAACATCTTAAAGTTTTAGTGGAGCTTCTGTTAGCCTTCGAGTAAATACGGTCTTCAATATTAAATTGCTTTCTTAAGAGACATAAATTAAACGTGGTTTTCTACCGTCGATTGATATATCTTATGTTGTCATCACCGCTTTTATTGTTTTGCTAACATTGATCGGTAAAACCCAGTATAATATTTCCGTCTATGGGGAAAAGTTTCTGAAGTATTTGACGCTCCATAAGCCAAAATAACCTAGGATTTCTTGGAATGAACTATTGATAGAATGTTCTAAGTAATATTGATCAACCAAACAGTAAAGGGTATCGAATAACAAGATGTCCAAGATCTAGGGAATATATCAGAGTCATTAATGCTAATCTTATTCTGTGTACCAGAAACTCTTCCTGTACTGATTTCATCTGTCTCATGGGCTCCAACTAAAAATATCTCTATAGCCTTACACAACTTTTTGAAAAGACAGTTATCTATATGTGACACACAAGGGAGAAAGCAAGATCCTCAAATGCAACTCAGAGAACACCAATACAATCACATTTGATGGAGAAAGTCTGGAAGAGGTTGACACTCACGTACTTGGGCAGCATTACCGATGAACAAAGAGGATCCGACGCAGACGTAAAGGCGAGGATCGGCAATAGAAGAGCGGCATTCCTACAGTTGAAGAACATATGGAACTCAAAACAACTGTCAGCCAGTCTCAAATTCAAAATCTTCAATATGAATGTCAACACAGTTCTACTTTACGAAGCTGAACTACCGCAACCATCATCAAGTATTTATAAGCATTTGCTTACACAAGATGGTGGAGAAGATTTGTAGCTCAGGTGGATGATTTTGATCGAGATTTGTTCTCTGAACTGGATGGTTTGGTCGTGAAGTTTTCATCGTTCTTCCGAACGACATCGTTAGCACAAATCTCAGGTAGAAGTTTACACAAGATACTCAATGTCCGCTGGTTGTATACCATCGGTAACAGCCTACTGTGAGAGAGGAAGGCTAAATAACGCATTGCCTCTGGAATTGGAAGCAGACATGAAAAGAATCAATAGAAACTGAAAACAACCAGAAAGTATTGCCCAGGATATAGTTGAGTGGAGAATTCTGGTGGACGACCTCCACGAGGGGTAACAGGCGTAAGTAAATATATGCGACATGTTCTAACCATCATAAGTGTTTTAAGCACACACTTTCATATCTTGATTCGCATATTTTATCACAGGGCTCCACGCGTAGCCTCCACCTTGCTCATTCTATGGTTTAATCATACATGGAGAGTGTGTCAGAAACATTTTTGACCGAATATCCATAACCATCTTTTTCTATTTTCAGTAATCATACCTTATGTTTGTAGAGCAAAACGAGCTGCTACATATTCTACTCGTCTTTTGATAAATGTAAGAATATTGTACTGACATACCACGGACAAATGTAAATCTCTTTGTCTTGCTCCTGTTAACAATATGGATTAAAATAAAGCAAATCGTACAGTTGACTAAAATTAATAAAAGGTAATGGATAAATATTCATATTCGTGAAAAGCTTATGTAACAGAAATTACGTCTTGCCTCCAACTATTTCTATTGTCTTAGCAACTATATTCAACTATGATTTCCCAGTCATTGTTTAATTTTGTTCAGGACACACTAGGACCTACTTATGTATTCATATTAGTAGTATCTTTGAGATAATAAATCTTATACAACGTAAACATCAATTATTACTTCAAATAGTAAAACATTCTGAATAAATTACTAGAGAAGAAAAAATTCAGACATTTGCGGTTATTTAAGATAAAAATAGTTATTTCTTTGAAAGGCATATTAGGTATTTTTCTTCATCAGATATAACACTTCTTCAGTTCGTTCTGTTGTTTATGTCATAATTGGGAATAAACTATAATAAAATGTTTGTTTACGCTATCTCCAAGTCGTATATACTATAATTCGTATAGTTATTTGGATGATATTTATTTATGCAGATTGTATCTGAAACGATAATTACTTTTAAGTATACTTTATATGATTGACGGCATAGTCAACGATGTTTCTGTGGTAAGACACTTTACTTTACGGACGAGCCGATCAGATATAAGGTACTGTTTCTCGAATTTTCCTCAAGATAAATTCATCAGTTTGATCACAAATTATTCTTGCATTTTAACTGACGTCAGTAGGTAAAAAAACTCTAACACTAACCCATAAACCTAATTTCTCTCCCTAACCATAATTCATAACTCCAATCCTTACTCAACTTCTAACCCTAAACTAACCTCCTGTTGTTTACCTTAATCTTTCTTCGTTTACTATAATAAACAATTCAGTATGTAAACGTTTGTTAATCATGTCTAAACTTCACTCATTAAAGTTGATTGCTTTTTATTATAAATTGTTAATTAACTGAACACTTTTCTAATTACCTGTTAGTTGTTCAATGTTGTTAGCATGATTTTATTTTATCCTCCTTTATACAGGGTGACTACAATCAAGAGTATTTTGAAAGGTTAGAAAAGCTTCGTAATAAATCTGCCGTGAAAAAGAAACGCATGAAATTAACTCCCTTACAACGTGGTTGGACAGGGAAGCTATTGGGAGGACAATCTGTTGGTCCACCTACACCGAATAACCCAGACTTTGATTGTTTTGTTATCGAGTCAAAAGTAAATTCATTTTTTCAAAAGAAATAATTATGTATATATATTATATATGTTACACTTAAATTTCATCTATTAAACCATAACTTTCCTACATAGTTCTATCTTGTTGTCTGGAAAAAATCAGTCAGCTTAATAAACAATAAATTTAACTTTAAGTGTTACTGACCAATGTGTACCTGGTAGCTGCATGTTGTATCGATTTAATCTGTTATATGTAGTTGAGTTCAGTAATATTTGTAGATACACATATACACTAGTGGAATCAAGTGGTTTATGAAGATTTATTTGTTTTGATTAAAAAATGTTCAATGTTTCCTGATTTCTGATAATTTCCCAGTTAACACTATTCCATGCATTATTACCATTATTATTATTATTATTATTATTATTATTATTATTATTATTATTCAGTCAATCAGTTACAACGTATGACCAGACATATATATACATCGGTCCAAGTTGTCACACCTCATTAACACAACAAGATGAACACCTAATTCACAGAAACAGTTACTTCAATGCTAGTAATATATAAAACAAAGATTGCATATGAGGATGAATTGTTTCCAAGTTAAAATGACAATATTATCAGGAATGAAGACAGTTCAGCGTGGAAACTTATCTTCTCGAAGATTTCATTTACTTAAGCTGTACAATCGTATTTATAGTTAATTTTATTTGCTAGGATAGTAAAATAGAAAGGTGCTAATTATTTTCAAAAAAAGAAACTAAGTAGTATAAATTTATTTCAGTATTGTTTGTTTGAATTATCCGATTGATATTTAGGACTGCATTTAATCAATCTCTTATTGGCATATGTGCTTTCTGTACGGATTGCCTCGACGTTACCTTAAGTCACAAGCATTATAAGCGAAGATGGATGATGGTTAGCAGTGGAATCCAGATTGACGCGCGGTTCGTCCTATTTGGGACTCCTCAGATGGATGTACTTGCATCCAAGAGTAGATATTCACTCCGGCACTCGAAAGGAAGTTATGTAATAATTGACTTTTTCACCAGCCAATTTTTACATAAATTTAAATATCTGATTTTCAGTTCTTGATAGCATACCGCTTCAAGTTTTTTAAGAAAATAATTAGCACATTTCTATCCCAGAACACTATTTTATCAAATATAACTAACTATACTTACGATTGTACAATTGTTGGCGAATGCTGGTCGGCGGCCTATGCTCCATTTGGAGTAACAGGCGTAAGTAAGTAAGTACGATTGTACAGCTTGAGTAAGTGAAATCGTCTAGAAGAAAAATTTCCCTCGCTAAAATTCCTTCTTTCTTCTTCAGTGACACAAGTAGTCCCTTTCGTTATTATCAATAATAAAAATAAAGTTCACGAATCATAACCGAGTGAAGATATATATTACTGACAACTTTCAGCGACTCTTAGAATAATTCCAAAAAAGTAAATACAATTTTCAATCGATAAAACTTCATGTGATTTAAATGAAGATTTTATGCCCCCAGAAAAAGAGAATGTAATTATTGAGATTAGGGGTTCGAACTAAGATTTCAAGTTAGAAGTTAATGGTGCTCGTAAGGAATACAGTAGAAGAATACTTTATAGTCATATGAATGAATAATTGTGCAGTTAACTCTGCTTCTAAATTTCACAAAACTTTAAGTAATTACTTATCTTTCCTATTGCTTAATCTCATATTTATCAATTTTAAGAGTTTAAGTAATTAAATATCGGTGGTTTTAATAAACTATTAAACATTCATGACAAAAATTAAGTATGGGGACAAAGTTAGAACAATCGCGGCTAATTTTCAGGCAATTCTTAGTTAAATTAATGAGTCGATTTAAGCTGAATCATCATTGAAAACCTGGAAGCACTGAACGGCCGTTTCTTCTTGGTACGGGACTCCCAAGCACTGTGCGCCCACGGTCCCACGCACGGGACTCGAACACAGGCTAAGCACTCACGCGAGAGACCGAACGTCCTGGGTCGGATTTCTCAACCTCAATGAAACTTCTTAGAGATTTAGTGAGTTAATTTAAACTACAACTCTTCATTTATACATTTAGAATTTTACGGTCTTCTAGTTATAAAAATTAATAGAATTATTGAATGGTATTAATAAATTGTGTTTACATAATTCAGGTTGTCGCAACAGTGACTGCAACAAAAGGACGTTATCGTCGATTTTCAGTTGTTGTTGCAACTGGTAATGGACAAGGCTTATGTGGTATCGGTAAAGCAAAAGCTTTAAATATATTATCTGCAACTCGACGTGCTAAATTACGTGCTTCACAAAATATTGTATCATTTGAACTGAAAGAAGGAAGAACATGTACGTTTTATAAGTTTTCACATATATATATATATATATAATATATATATATATATAGTTTTTACATAGCATTTATTCATTAAGTGTTTTTAGTTTGTATAGAAACGGTGATTGTATGATTAGATCACTCAGCTTTTAACTAGTAAGTCACAGGTTTTAACCTCGTTAAGTAGTATTGTGGTGTAAGCTACTTATATCCACATAAGTAGTATACAACGATACTCAGGGATAGAATGTATTTCAGTCGAAGATCGAGAAGGAAAGATAACTGGATGATCCAAACACTTATAGTAATATCTGATAAGAAATTTTTACGAAGCTATTTATGTAATTTTATTGTCAATCAGTTTAAAATATGCTTCAACAATAAACAAAAGTCAATTTATATACTAACTAATAATGTTAGAATATCATTTTGATAATGTAGATCCAAATTGTCTTGTACTGGAATAAAAAAACAAAAGAATGAATTAGAAAAAAAGAGAAAGGAGCTAATTTAATCGGGAAATATCGGATAATACGAATAAAATGTGGTTAATAAATGTCAATAAGCGGTATAGAGTAACAAATAAAAGGGAAGTGGAATAAAAAGAAATTAGAAAGTAGATCATAAAAATGAAATTCATAAATCTTATCCCCTTTAAAATAATTTCCACTTGTAACATTGAACATTTGTCATATCTCCTTCCTCATTGTTTGAAATATCACTCAGTGGTTAGACTCATCAACTATCTCATCGTTTCATGTTTTATCTATAATCTAAAATGTTTTTCTTAAAGTTTACTTCACTACTAAATTGCCGAAAAGTGATGAATCAATAATTTTAAGGGATGAAGGACTTGAAGTATCGGACAGCTTCATCAATAATATCAAGTTGATAGTCACTCTGCTTTCACACCATCCTTATAGCCTTCATGTCAATCATCAAAACATTTGTTTCACTTAAAATGTACTGTTTTCTAATTCATCGTCTTTACAGATAGCTTTTAACATTTTACGTATTTCCCGCGTTTAATCAAAGATTTGATATATGTTATTATTGGACAAACTGTGTAGTATAATTTTGTTACGAATCGGAGGATTTCACTATTATCCACCACACTTTTCGGTACCCTTACGTTGATCAACTTGTATAAGATTTTCTAGTAATATGTATGCAACAAAACACTTGTCAGTTATGTATATCATATATGACAAATCATCGACGCAAATAACATATCGTCGCATACTAGAACGAAACGGCCGTCCAGTGCTTCCAAGTTTTCAATAGTGGTCTAGCTTACATCGACTCATGAATACAATTATTAAAAAAATCTAATTAATTTTCTACATAATTTATGATACTTTTCTCATCAATTACAGTATGGCATGTTGGACATGTTTGTCAGTGGAACAGTAAAATCTTTGCAGCTCCTCTATCAGAAGGTAAGCTTAATCATGTTAATCTCTTCACTTTTAAGCCTAATAATAATAATAATAGACTCTGGAAAATGATTAAAGTAAACCAATTTTACTAATGTATGCTGTTTGTGTGTGCGAATAATGTGAAATTAAGTAAGCAATTATAAGCTAGACTATTCTGATTTAAATCATACTTTATATATATATATATATATATATATATATATATATATATATATATATATATATATATATATATATATATATATATATATATATCACAAAACAGTGGATCTGCTGATTAATAACTTCAATTATTTTAAGATGAACAGTGAATATATTTATACCGTTGCAATTTATACTGACCCATGTTTATCATTCTCAATTGCCCTCAAGTGGAGTGCCAGGGAATGCCTACTCACTGCATTCTCGTGGAGGAGGTGTTTACAAAATTGATAGGACGAAAAGCGAATGTCCGGCGTTTTAACTGGGTTGGTGGGTATGGAGGATCCACCTTGAAGATTTGGAAAACCCTGACTCCAGGATCCCGAGGCAACAATAGGCGTATGAACCAATTCTTGGTCACCGGCTACCATGGGACTGCACCTCTTTACATTGCTCCACTGCCTTGTGGACTAAACCTTCAGATCAAAGGCTCCTGGTGTGGCTCCCTAGGATAACCACTTCGGTTTGGTTGCCTGGGGAGTATTACAGCCCTCACATAAATTAATGATAACTGCCAATGGCCTTAATGTCATTGAGTGGCGCGTATGTATTTGGTACCCCCTTGTACCAATGTTTGTGTTCAAATAAATAAAAACCCAATATCTTCAATCATCGGTTACAATAATCGTGCGGATATCGGCTTAAAACTCTATAACTAGTTAAGGTACTATTTAATTTTGAATAATTTCTCAGATTATGTATCATAAATATATTCTATAAATAAATTGTTACATAATTATTAACGTTAAATTTATACTATTCCTTTTGTTCAGGTGCTGGTCTAAAATGTCATCGTATGATTAAAACATTATGTCAAGTTATTGGAATTAAAGATATGTATGCTAAAGTTGAAGGTAGTACAAATAATTATCAAGCAATAGCCAAAGGTTTTTTACGTTTATTAAAACAACAAGTATGTAAAATTGAATTTAAATGATAATTTGGTTTATCTACTAGTTATATATATATATATATATATATGCCAGATAAAATAGGATTGTTATAAAAAAAATACATTTAATTATCAGTATAGGGTTGAGCATTCGTGTGCGAAACCGAAGGTCCTGGGTTCTAGTCCCTCGTACGGAATCGTGGATAGTTACTGCTTAGGAGCCCCATACTAGAACGAAACGGCCGTTCAGTTCTTCCAGGTTTTCAATGGTGGTCGAACATTCATTGATTTATGATGTTAAATAGATTACACTGTGATTATTTATTGCATTTTAAGTACAAGCCATCATTAAGCTAGTTATTTTTACTGAGTTGTAAATATTTTTATATAGACTGATAGTATATTAAAAGTATTATTTTAGTACATAACACTAGTTGCGTTATATAAATAAAAAGGGGAATATTGGCTGATATTCAGGGATTCTAATATAATATTCTGGCAATATAGATCTTGTCTGCATAGTCAGTTACCTACAAATTTATAAGTTTTTTTAAAGAAATTTGTTATTTTGTTTCTTAAGTTACATGTAATCTGATATTCTGATGCAAACCAGTTTCCTTTTGATTTCGAAAAACGAATACGTGAGCAACACTGAGGTCAGATTTAGAGTACTAGCCGAAGGTGAGATATCAGTCAATAAGGTTTTAAATCTTTATCGACTAAGGTGGTTAAGGACATAGGTTACATATGCCTAACTACCAGTCACTTTGATGGGTAATTTTTGTTGTTATAGAGGAAAGGCTAGAGGATGAGACCTAGGAGTGACTAAATCTAGATGTAACATCAGTCCATAGAGACATCAACTGAGCGATGTTGGTACATTCAGGCTACTTGGTTAACATCTACGTGACTTTGGGTGTGATGGTTCAGAATAATTCACAATACTTCAGACACAGTCACTCTATCTTCCTCTCATTCTTGAATCCTAATATTCCTTCAATACACACCTTTCCATTTTGTCTTTTCGAATGATATTTCCAAATGCTCAGATTTTCTCTTTAAAACTGCTACTACAATATTCCGATATCATTTGCAATTTGGCTTGTGTACATAATTACCTGTATTGATTAGGGTAATTTGTCGGTGCTTATGTCAAAAACATTAAATTTCTATCTATGCACTCAGTAGACTTTATTGTGACGTTTCTTTTTTATTTTTAGAAAACGTATGAAGATTTAGCTAACAGTTTAGGACTTCATGTTGTAGAATTTGCTGCTGATCGTGATATGTATCCGCATGTATTGGCATCTCCTGCATGCGGTCATACATATGATTTTAACAAGAATAATGTCAATGAATCTGGTGATTCTTCTGTTGCGATCCACTCAAAATCTCATGAATTACCTCAAAAACTTCCACTGTTGGTTCCACAGAATCTAACACATCATAAACCGCGTAAACCCATACCTGAAGAACACGACAATTTCTTAGATGATTTAATCGGTGTTGATGAAGACACAACAACAGAAACTAATATTTCGGAATTATTAGCAGCAGGTGAACGTGATTTAGATACTCTTATGTTGGGAGGACGTGTCCCACTAAAAAAGAGCTCATCTCACTCTGTACGAATTACCAACCCCATGGTTATTAAGCGAAAAGCAGAACGTCATCGTTATCGTAACCAGCAAGTTGTCAGACGTGAGAGAAACGCTCACATAGCATTGTCTGTAAATTCAGTTTAACTATAAAACCTTGTATATATATTTCTAGCATAAAGTTCTGATGGGTATTTTGCTTCATATTTTGATTGTATTCTGTGTATTTACCGAACCTTCTAAGGGATAAACTTCAGTCAAAAATAATATTAAAGATATTGACGACTTAAAATGATAGCATTACGAAGACATCTCTACTTACATAATTTATAGTTTAAAAAACTAACTCTAATTTCTCAGTCTTCTACTGTTCCAATTTGATAAATATTGTGACGTTTAGCACCTTGATAGAAGTATGACTCATCTTTGTTTGAATATATCATATTAATGACGATACCTATCGTCAAATCAACGTGAATTCAATACTTTGATGCTTGATTTCTGTAATCTTTATAACCTTTATGACTCTCAAGTAATTTCGATGAATTTCAAATCCATCTCATTTTATGTATTGAGTTGCATTTTGCTAGATAAATATTAGATATTTCATAGTTTGAATCAAATTCCGCGTGTTGTTCTTCTAGAGTTGCCACCGGTCCTAGGAGGGTTGGGCATGGGGTCGGAAACCACATCCCGTAGAAAAAAATCTTGCTAAAAAATACCAATCAGATTAAACAAATTAAGCCATTTAAACTCTGCCCTCGGAGTTGAAGGAAGAATTATAAGGCCTCGGTTTGAAAGCCGAGATTCTTCGGAATTCACAAGGCCGATTCCCCTTCTAACAACCAGAGCAACAATTTTTATAGGTACATAAAACTTCCGTACAATGTGGGAAACCAGGAAGACCAGTCAAATAGCAACGGAAATGAGATGTAAATTGGCAGTACTCGAAATCAACCAGACGCAACATAGAACCTAGCACATTTATGTTGGTTCAAGTTGCCATACCCTATTAATACAAGATAAATTGTCAGAGTAAATCTCAGAGTAGTAGAGTTCATAACAGGGTTATGGTAGCAAAAAAGATTGGGCATGCAAAAAACAACTCCAAAAACATAAATTTATGAAACAGTAGAGAAAGTTTGAGGATTATATAAGCTGAGGATCTAACAGAAGATAAATAGTGAATTCAATTGCGCTATCGCGAACGATTTCGGGCCGTCTGATTTATTTTGTAACCATTCGTCACTATAATCGCGCGGACTCCAACCAAGCATCCTTCACCTACCTACATGGCTTAGTTCAACAGTCCGTGACTTCATGGATTGATGCCATGTTTATGTTCGGCTGGCCCTAGCTTTCTTCCAACTACATCATCGCATCAAGGCAGTCAGTAGATAGGCATACATAGTACATGTCTCAACCACTTCAGTTGATGAAAATTCTCTACATCATCAATCGAATTACTACCTTTACCTAGTACTCTATGTTTAACCTCAAAATTACCAACTCGATAGTCCCAAAATATCCGAGCAGTGTTTCAAAAACACCTATGATCGATACTGAATGTTAGCTATAGTATATATGTATCAATGTTTTATAGAAAACCTAGTATTTAAGAATTTTCGACACCAAACATTGATCTTTGTATACCAGCGCTATGAGTTAGCTCATGATTAAAGTTGAACTCATTTCTAACTATTTTCAGAAATGCATTGACCGTTGAATAAAAATAGAATTCAGTTAAGCTGTACATTCATATTTATAGTTGTTTGGTAAATATATAGGTCTATAGAAAGATAGAAAAGATTGCATCACAAATAGATTCGAGATTTAAAATGAGGTTGCATAATGAGTATGAGGTTAGAGAAGAATAATAGGTAGAAAATAACTTACGAGTCAGAATTATGATAGTTGTATACTTTACAGTTATGTAGTGGTAAATAAATCACCAAAATAAGTGGTTTTGTAAATTTTCGACATTGTTGCTGACCTATTTAATTTTTCTGAACACACCTAACTGAAGGCGCGCAGTCACGCATCCGCACCAGATCACGTATGAGTATGCCGTGATATGCATCCCTTGCAGCTGTTGGTCAGCTTAGACCAAATGATTCTCGACATATCGATAGCTTTCCAAATTTATCTTCGAACCCCTTCATTTCTGATTTAACTGGGCTGGTATGTTTCAATTAAATAAAGGCGTTGTCAAACAATACTTGTGGCATCTTTAGATAAAGAGAGAATTGAGAAACCTAAAAGTTATAACAAATGAAGAGTTGTTAAGGGATAATGATAACCGACTGCAGCTTAAAGTTACATAACAGTAATAAAAGCAAAACAAAATTACTTGCTGTTATATGGCAGGTTATATTGGCCGCACAAAGCGATCACTTCCAAAACGCATCTTAGAAAATTACCTGACATGGCTTTTAAAATAGAGGACGCAAAACAATCACCAGTTTAATTTGGAACACGTTGCTCGAAAGGAGTCCCTCTACAAAATAATCTACATGATTGTGCCAGTCTATAAGAAAGGACAAAAGTCCTCTTGTGATAATCACAGAGGAATCAGTTTGACTAATATAGTGTCCAAAATATTAGCTTCAATAATACTTTGACGCCTAACCAAAGCTCGTGAAGAGCAGACTAGAGAAAACCAGGCTGGTTTTCGACCTGGACGTGGTTGTATAGACCAGATATTCACAATATGTCATGTTCTAAAACATTGACACACATTCAGACGCCCCACAATGGTAGTATTTCTCAAGCTTAAGGCGGCATTTGACTCTGTTGATCGTGAGTTCCTATGGTAGTTTTGTCACTGAAAAGAGTAACAAAGAAGCACATAAAGCTTGTACAGGCTCTCTACTCGAACACAACTGGTCGAGTGAGAGCTTATGGCGAACTGTCATCAAAACTGATTACCTTAAGTGGTGTTTGTCAGGACTGTCCACTCCATTCCTGTTTAACTTTGTTGTTGACGTCCTTTTAGAGATGACACTTTCCTCATCTAAATTTCCAGGAGTTGAACTTCTACCGGGAGATCCACTTGTTGACTTAGAATATACCGATGATGTGGTTCTATTTGGTGAAGACGCTGACCACCGTGAGCAACAATGCAAGCATGTTCGAGATGCGATCCTCCCACTCGAAATGCAAATCGTTACCTCAGAATTGGGTTGCGTCGACACCCGAACTAATGATAGGGAGTGAAGCAGTTGAGTGTATCGACCGCTTCATTTATCTTGGGAGTTTCATCAGCCCTCGTGGACTGAGCCATGTTAATAGGTGTAGACTACCTGGTTGGGATATGTGAGACGATAGCAACCGATGGTTAGAGACCTTGAATGACATGGCTCAAAATCGTTTGCAATGGCGCAGGCGCATCCACTCTTTGTGTTCTCCCGAATTCTGACTTCTTCATGTCCCTTATTTTTTTCTCTTTCCAAATTTATTTCACTGGATTATACTCCTTGAATAACATTTTCAAACCCTAGTCTTTCCGATTACTGCTTATACTTTTACTACCTGTACTACTACGGGATTTGAATCGACAACTGCATCTCTATGGTATGGCAGCTCGAACTAATGTACGTGCGTATGAAGTTCTACGTTGTTGATGACTGAGTGACTGACACGACCAGATAGAGGCCTAATCAAAATCCTATTCACTGCTGAAACATTGGGAATCAACCAGTTCAAGCCCGAACTCTACGTGCAAAAACAACACGTTCAACCACTCATACTTTATTAGTAATGGGGTTATGGAGATTGTTGATCTCGTGAGCGAACGCTTAACCTCTAGACCACAGAGACGGCACTAAACTGTTATTGTCTAACTTCAAACAATCCACTTAATTGGGCGACCATCTTCCACTGTCTGAGGTAGATACCTGACACGGATTAGCTCCACTGATCACGGCCTCTCACTAAAACTCTGAGAATTCCCACACGAAGTCAGTTACTGGTGAACACATAGTCGTTATTAGTATGGGGCTGTGGAGATTCTTTATTCGTCCTAATTTCCTTCTGTAATATGTTTTGTAACTTTAAACCGCAGTTAGTTATCAGTATCCTTTAACAATTTTCATTACTATCCAGTTGTTATTATAACCCTTATATTTCTCATTTCTATTCATATCTATCAAAAGGACAATTATCTCTGATAAATCTGACTCGTAAATTACTTTCTATTTACTATCCCTCTCTAACCCCATGCTTATTATGCAACCTCATTTGAAATCTCGAATCCATTTGTGATGCGATCTTCTATCTTACTATAGACCTATATATTTACCAAACAACTACAAATACAAATGTAAATAACGATTACATCGAAAATGAAATTTTCTTCGTTGGATCCTCTTCTATTTTTATGTATTGATCGTTTCAATCTTATAGAGGCTTGTCACTTTGTGATAATTTATTACGGTAGATCTTGAGCGCATCCTGATAAGACATCAATTTTGAGTGATAATCGTTTAATCAGTTTTAATGTTACTTTTAAGCTAGGGATAATGTATTTAAGAATAAATCAAGTTATCAACTTTAAAGGTACTCTCAAACACATCTGGTTGGCGTTTTTTAGCAAGATTTCTTTCTACAGGTTGGGGTTGCCAAACCCTTTTCCTTTACCCGGGTCTAGGAGAGCTACAAGCGGAGATGAACAAATCTACTGAAGTTTATTCACTGACGGTTAATTAAGTTTCACTGGTTCCCAAAATCTATCTTCTATCTTTCTTCTAATATAGGATAGTTATATCTAATTGCGTCTTTTTTTATCCAGACATTTAATACGTCATTCTAATTTATGCTTTCAATCACAATTTTAAAAGACAATATGCGTTCTGGACTAAACCGGCTAGATTAAAAAAGAAGCTATTATCTCGGTAGACCAATAAGAACTCTAGGTGGCTCGCATAAGTCAATGTCTCTTATTGACGGTCATATCACATCACATAATTAATCAGACATAAGGTTAAAACAAAAACTCCCCTGTCATATCTAGCTATACATTATTATTTTATAGAAATATTATTTAGCAAATATCTAGAACTTTATTAACAAATAAGAAAAAGATAACAGTTAGATATTGTTGTTGTTTAGAAAAAGAATTAAAAACTTTACATAAAAATCAATTTATACACATAATGATTTCGATAATTGTAAATTAAGAAAATCACAATTAACATCATTCAAATGATCATCAAAATCAACAATTTGACGATGAAATTTCAAGTGTAGAATTTCTTTTAATTTTTTATTAACATTTGAATTAAATGTGTACCTAAATTCATAAATAGAATATTTACTGAAGTGAACTTACTTTGTTTCATTCCACTTCCAATCTAATTTACAAAATACTGTAAAATAATTTCCAGTTAACCGATGCAAAGTATCATTTTTAAACTATTAAAATTATTAGATTGTTTTTTTTTTATAAATTGTAACCGGATAATGTAACTTACAGTTAATAAACAAACATTACCACATTTTTCAATTAACTTTTCACCAATTTTACATGCAATACTTGTTGGGCTATATTTTTATAATGGAAAATGAAAAATAACAAAATTACGTATTGCAATTAATATGTTCATTTGCTTGGAAATAACCACATATTTGAAGACCTTTAGCTGCACAATATGAGTCTACCTATCATTCAATTTTGATAGACATTAATTTTGACTAACATGATACAAAGCTGTTTCTAGCATTGGTGTCAAATTTATGACACTGTGAAATAACGGAATATAGTCAGTAATGATTATTTGTGAATCATGATTTTGATCACTTAAAAGAATGCCATTAACGGAACTCTCTGGATGTTTGGCAGCATGTAAAACCATCTTTAAAAATGGAAGTTCACCAATATGTACTGCAGCTGACATTTCCAAACCAACCTGAAAATTAACAACTGAAACATTAAATTTTTTTGTCTATCAAAAGATTTACATCAACAGAGGATCAGTATGGATAGAACTATAAAAAGTTAAACAGTACATTTAACATTTTCAATTTGATTGCAATCCTCCTAGAAAGCAGGTGGATATCACAGAAATCAAAACAAACTAAAATCATAAACTATGTCTTCTGTATCTGAATTTAAATCCCTTTGAGCAAATACAGAAACGTGCTTGGTGAGATTACGTTTGGTCATTGCTTAAAATGATGCTATTTCTCAATTGTTAAAATGATAGGTATAGAAATTTTTCAGAAAATAATACCACACCTTGTCTTTGATAGTAAAATTTTCAAGGAAATGACAAAGCAATAACTACAAAGACTGAGTGTCCTTTGCATTTTTTCTGTAAAAATATCGTCACATCGACAAACAGATAGCTATTGAAGGACCGATACTAAGTGCATATCCATTACTGTTTGCAATTCGATGTAAACACCACACCTATAATCTCATTGCTATTCCGAATAAAAATGTTTACATCACCCCACTAGACAAACCGGAGTTAAATTTCAAAATAAGGGCTTAGAACAGTTCTCAGTGGCATATATAAATAGCCTTGTTGAAACAGAAATATCCGCAAATAGCTGATTTTTTTCACTAAACATCCGTTGGTCTATGTTGATCGGTACTTTTTTACCCATGCCAAGCAATCATTTATTTGAAACAAGTAACACTGAGTGGTGGTGACTTTAAAACTCACCTGGTACATATCTATGTAAAAAATTTTAGTTGTATTTATGAACCAGATTTTTTAGGAAGTTTATGATGTAAGACTCCCGAGTGATGTTTTATTTAATGCTAATAAATTATATTACTATCATGATCCCTTTATGCTATCTTACTAAGAACAAGAAACTCGTACTTTATATCTGGATCTGTGAGAACTATTCTATTCGTTATTCTCGATATCAAAATCTGGCCAACTAAATCAACCTATTAAAAACACATTGTCAGATCAGCTTTGGTCTAAAGTTTATTTTGGCATTAAGTAATGAAACTTGATTGGGGGAGGTGAAATCGGCACATACAAATGCCTTTGAATTACCTGGGGTCTACAATACTTCGAATTATAAGGTCAGTCATAATAAAAAAGCCTGTTACAAATATTCATTTGCCCAAGTTGTCGAACCAAATTAACATGATGGGATAAAATTTAAAAAGAGAGTAGTGAGTGAACAGGAATAATACAGTAGTAATAATAATGAAGTATTGAGAATGTGGTTCGAGATGATAGATGCCTGTTTCGATCAGAAGTTCATATTTGTGATATTTTACATCAAATTTAGGATGAATTGATTTAGGTTCCTGATTTGGATTTCCATAGTTGTGTCAATACCTTTACCAATATGTACTTAAACGCAAGTTTCAAGTTGACCTATACATGTTCTGGACTGGCTTTACGTATTTTGATATTTGTTAACACACAGTGTATCGATACAATTCTTGGTTTTAGCACTCCTAGTAGTAAAAGATTATAGTTTTTTAAACGAAATTCTAACGAAGATAGGTGTGTGTCGGAAGACTAAAATAGTATTTCTTTACATACTAACCACTAAAGGATAAGACTCTCAGTCAGTGGTCTTGAGTGCTGTTAGAGGTATGAGGGCGGTTATCACTTCCCGGTCGCCCACACCGTGGAAGGGTTCTTTTGGAGGTGCCTGGAAAGGAAATTAGATTAGAGGTGGTCTTAGTGACCTGAGAGCGTGACCACAGTGCACAAGGGACAGCTGCTTGAGGTCGGTCACACACGACCTTTTTATGAGTAGTTTTTGTGTTAGCTCCGTACTTGTTGAGACCTTACCGCCGGAGACGGATATCCGTGGGATAAGGCGAGGTGTGCATTTTTAGGGTCGACCTTTTCTAACCCCACCCCTCCCCTCCTTGTGGGAAGGCAGCATCGCTGTTATGCTGGTTGTCTGAAGGAAACACCTTACTGCTGTCACACCTCTGTACAGTCAGCAGTACGACTTCGCCTTCGGACCTTGGTTGTGTTGCTTTTAGTCTTACCGCTCTTCAACCGACCTGTCTGACATGGTAGGACCTTGAGGAACGGTTGTTCCAGCCAGTATAGCTCAGTTGCTTCATCACGATAGGCAAGCCCGACCACCACGTCAAGGTAGCAACAACGGTCAGGATAAGACTCTATTATGTCCAAGATCTGATTGTATTCAAAAATGTCAGAGGACTGTTGATAGACAGCATGAACTCGAGAAGGAATGAACCTTAATTCGTTATTTTATTATTTATTTATTTTAACACATGGGTATTGGTACACGGAGGCACCAAATACATATGCGCCACACAGATCTCAATTGATTTGTGTGAGGGCTGTGATACTGCTCGGGTGCCCAAACCGAAGCATGTGGTTTTCTTAGGGGGCCACACCCGGAGCCTTCGACCTGAACGTCTGATCCACAAGGCAGTGGAGCATCGTAAGGAGATGCAGTCCCATGGTAGCCGGTGACCAACGATTGGTTCATACGCCATTTGTTCACTCTGGATACTGGAGCCCATGTGCACCATTGATTTGAGATCCGGTTAAAGCACCGAACATTCGCTTTTCGTCCTCTCATTTTCGTAAACAACACCCCCGCCACGAGAATGCAGTGAGTAGGACTTTCCTGACAGAGGCTATATACGCGTGGCCATGTGAGAGCATTTCGAGAGGGAGAGCGGACTCTCCGCACTCTCGGCCGTACCAGGGCATTTGGGGGTCCAGGCTACCAGCTTTGGTGAAAAATCGACCAATTCAGTGTGAATTTTGCGCAAATCTTGGAAAAATCTGACAAACACCTCAAAATTTACACTGCTGTGAAGCTTATACACAAAATCACTACCGGTTTTGGTTCCTTTTTGACTTAAAGTCCACGATTTTCACAAATGTCCCACAATTGGGATTCAAGAATTAAGACTTTGAATTTAAACAAGATATGCTAGCCCAAACTCCCAACTTTGGGAAAGAAATTAACAATTTCTAGCAAATTTTATGAAAATTCCATTAAAATTTTCAGTAAAAAAATAATCAGAAGACCGTAAATGAATAAGGATGGGAATTTTTCCCGAAATCTACCCAGATGTTTCCCAGGTGTAAAATTCTTTCTCAGACTTAACAAGAAAATTCACAAAGCTGAGATCTTTTCCATTATAAACCAAATTTACGCAAGATACTTATGCACATCGGAAAAATGGTATGAATCACCAATTGAAAATCCAGAAAATTTAACTGGTTGTGTGTTTTTTTTCACAATTCGCCCTACAGTTTTCCATGTCCAGGAATTTCGAGGACAATTCACCGATTTCATAAACACTAGTTCATAGATCCTGTCAATTCAAGTAGTATAGGTATATACAAATGTTCTACATTCGGTCCCCTGTACATAGATTTCTAGGACACATATAGATAGGCCACAGCTATTGGTTAGTAAGGCATCTGTGTTGGCGAAATAAGAAAATTCTATTTCGAAGCAATATCTTCAGATGTTGTTGCAATAAAACATTTCAATGACTTTGTTCCTACTTCTTAGCTTGCTCCGAAAACACTGGGTGGCATTACAGTAAGTTACTCACTTCCAATGTGTACAAATTTTACTATAGTTCATTTTCAGTTAACTGCATATAACATTTGTAGGCGTTGTTACATTTTAATCTTACCTAATAAATATATCTGTATGTATACATAGCGTTTGATAGGAATGATTAACTCTCTCACTTTGGATTTCTGATCTGGAATATCACTGATGCAACCGAACAGGATTAATGAAATTTCAGCCTGATGAATTACTCATTTATTTTAATAAACATTTTCACTGATGATTTGGAAATCTTATTTTGTTAGAAAAAATGACAATCACTGTGTAAAGTATGGAAAGTGTTTATGAGAAAGACTACCTATATTACGTTTGATAACTTGGCGGTGTAAGATCGTGCGATAGACAGTCTTGGAAGTAGTATTAAACGATAAATACGTTGTACACAAAAGCTAATTTCCACTGTAGCAACCACAGTAAATAGTCAAGCTTTCACACAAACTGAAAATAATAGAAAACGTGGTTTCTGTCCAGATTATCAGTGTCAATCATGACCTAGCCCCCAAATGCCTTGGTACAGCCGAGAGTTGGGAGAGTCAGCTCTCCCTCTCAAAATACCCTCAAATGACCACGCGTATACAACCACTGTCACGGAAGTCCTACTTACTGCTTTCTCGCAGCATTATTGTTCTTTACGAAGTTGAGAGGATGAAAAGCGAATGTCCGGCACTTTAACCGGGTTGGTGGATACTGAGGATCCACATAGGAAAGTTGGAAAACCCTCATTCCAAACCAGTGGTGCACATGGGCTCCAGGATCCTGAGGGAACAAATGGCGTATGAACCTATTGTTGGTCATTGGCTAGGAGGGGACTGCATCTCTTTGCGTGGCTTCACCGCCTTGTGGATTAGAACATTAGGTCAAAGGCTCGGGGTGTAGCCCTTAAAGAAAACCGCGTGCTTCAGTCTGGGAGGGCAGGTATTATTCCAGCCCCACACAAGCCAAGTGATTTGTGTGGCATATATTTATACGGTATCCCTTTTTTCTAATATTTATGTGATCAAGTAAATAAATAAGCTATTAAAAGCACAGATCCTTGAATTCGTCTACATATTTCGATCTCATGCAAAGAAATCGCATCGTTTGTGAAGTCAAAGTGATCCCCGAAATTTCCGGACCTCAGAAAATGTGGGGTAGAATCTGGGGAAAAACACAAAACAAATAAAATCTTTTGAATTTTCAATCAGCGACTCAGCATTTTCTCAAAGTGCATGAAAATCTTAAGTGAATTTAAAGAATATTGTGTCAATAATCCCAACAATGAGAAATTTTGAATCTTCGTGTTTTTTCTCAAAATTTTCAATGGAACAGTCCTATGATTCACGATTAATCAACTAACTTTGTGCTAAAGTTAGAAGAGCTTCAAAATGTTCTTAGAACCTCCTGATTATGCTTTTTCAAATCAGATTTCCAAGTAAAAATCTACGAATTTTGTGTCAATATATCGTGCGTATGTTTTTAACATAGAACTAACTATAGGAAAAAAAATTTCAAAAGCCAGAACCAGAATTTTGGTCCATTCTGTTAACAAATGTTAACATTTGTTTCGAGGGCTAGTTTCATATAAATTAAACTAACACCGATTGTCGACATTCACAAGTAAAGATTATTGAAACATTCGCACATAAAATTCTTAGCTCATATTTATGATATAAATACTTAGTATTCGCTAAAATCTACATGGTATAACAAAAACACTAACTGCAACGCCGTAATTTAATCGATTGGAAGCGTAGTGTACGACGCTCAATGCCACTATGACATTAACCGTTTCACAGTAAATCTTGTATCCCTGTTACAGAAATAAACAGTTATCCCTAGAGAGAGATTTTAAGAGAGAAAACCATTTTAACAACAGTTCAGTTCGAATTCTATTGTATTTAGCTAACTACTGTATAAATGGGATGTCAGTGTTATTTTTGGTGCTTCCTTACAGTACTCTGAGGGCTATACTGAGACTAGGCAAATACATTGATAGGGATTTGGCAAACCACGTGTGGCTATGATGAAAATTCTTGTGTTGCTAAACTGCAACAATGGTCATTTTTTTGTGTGTTTCGAACGACGTTAACAGCTTTATGGACTATTTACACATTCAGAAACACATATGTGCCCCTAAATTTGAATTGCAAACTGAATTCTGCTGGTTACAGAGGCATTGTGACTCATCACTTGTTTATGAATGGAATGAATCTAAACAAGTGCCACGATAGAGAATAAAGGTATCGAGTAAGAGATCTCCAACATTTTGAAGAGTGTCAACCAGAATGTGGCTAGATTTTCAGGAATATTTCAACTCATATTTGACGAAGTTTAAAGTCCGAGACAAGAGGAAATAATTGTACTTTATTTGTGAGCAACAACACTTTGGGCAACGTGGCGAATTTTATACTCAACGCATTTGAACTGGTCAAAATCGCTGAGAATGACGTGTTTGATAAGACATGCAGGTGTAGTGACCTACTTTTGTCAACAGAACGCGATTGGATCGATGAAAACAATTATTATTATAACCAATTGTACCAGTGACTGTTTTACTGTGCTCGTTTGTTTAACTGTGCTAATAACAGCCATTTTTTGGGCCTCCATTGTATTCCATTGCTTTTACGCGGTTTTTGGACTACGCACGTATCTTATCTTGCCGATCGCAACTGTACTCCTTTGGCACGATCTCGGTATTCTTTCGATACCACGAGATCGCCAACAAATATATACGACTACTACAATCATCTGCCTTCTGATATTTTGGCCTTTCGGAATCTTATTGGTTAATTGGCAAGTAGTCTGGTAGCGGTGTTCATAGTTCAGCTCAACTCGACACCACGCTACATTTGGTGAGCCAACTATTGGAACACTCCTCAACCTCGGTCAAATCTTCAAAGAAGGCAATTCGGTGAGTCTATTGTTTTATCTATCCACGTCTGTCATATATTTTCATATTAATTTTTTATATATAATATATTTGACATGACGGATAACGATAAGATTAGTATTAATATAATAGACTCCGATGTACGCGTACCGAATCCTCGGCACTTTTTATTCGCGTGACGATAAATTCCACGCCTTATTCGAGAAATTCCCCAGATTAACTAAACCATTCGAGGAGATTTCATCGGTGACCAATCGTGTGGTACACCACGTAGTCACCCGCGGACCACCAGTCACGGCAAGACCACGCCGACTGGCACCGGACAAATTAGCCTTCGCTAAACGTGAGTTTGACAATTTACTATCTGCTGGTATTATTCGTCCTTCTCACAGTCCTTGGGCCTCTCCTTTACACATGGTGCGCAAAAAGGATGGGGTTAGTTGGAGACCTTGCGGCGACTACCGAGCATTAAACGTAGTTACGCGCTTTGATAGCTACCCCATCCCCCACATACACGACATCACGGCATCGCTCAAGGGCACGACTATCTTTTCTAAAATCGATCTGGTACGAGCATATCACCAGATCCCAGTCGCTCTTGAAGACATTGAAAAACTGCTATCACGACTCCTTTCGGTCTGTTTGAGTTCCTACGAATGCCATTTGGATTACGGAATGCTGCTCAAACTTTTCAAAGGTTTATCGATAGCATAGTACGAGACTTGGATTTTGTTCACGTCTATATTGATGACCTGCTGATCGCATCATCAAACGTAGATGAACATTATCAACACCTTACGCTATTATTCCAACGTCTTTCGGATAATGGAATAGTAGTCAACCCAGAGAAATGTGAATTGGGTAAATCAGAAATAGTATTTCTGGGTCACATCATCAAACAAGAGGGTATTCTGCCTTGCGAGGACAAAATTCGAGCAATCAAGGAGTACAACGTGCCGTCCTCAATCAAGGAACTGAAGGCTTTTCTAGGTTTGGTTAACTTCTACCGACGTTTTATCCCTCACGCGGCAGAACGGTTACAACCATTAACCGACTTACTACGCGGTAATCCACGCAAATTAGAACTGAACGATACCGCACGTACTGCATTCTCAGAGATCAAAACGGCTCTCGCTGAAGTTACAATTCTCGCTCATCCTGACCCATCAGCCACGCTTAGTATAGCGGTTGATGCATCGGATTTTGCCATAGGAGCCGTCATGCAACAGAATATCTCCGGTGGTTGGCAACCGCTTGAAATTTTCTCACGACGCCTTACTCCCACGGAGACGAGATATAGCGCTTTTGGTCGCGAGCTGCTTGCAGCCTACTGCGCCATCAAACATTTCCGGCACGCAGTAGAAGGACGTCAATTCATCTTATTCACCGACCATAAGCCCTTAACGTATGCCCTGCATACCAAGTCTGGCCGCTACTCACCACGAGAGTGTAGACATTTGGACTATATCTCCCAGTTCACGACAGACCTTCGTCACATTAAAGGCGAGTCGAACTATGTTGCCGATGCTCTTTCACGTATCCAGACGAATGCAGTTACCTTACCGGTGCTCGATCTACCTGCTATGGCCGCCGCACAAGCAAACGATCCTGTCTGTACAGAAGCACCACAATCTTCGTCCCTTCAGTGTCAGGAAGTACCCCTAGCTACTAGCTCAGGTACTATCCTATGTGATACGTCTACCGGTCTACCTCGACCCATCGTACCCTCTACCTATCGCCGTCTCGTCTTCGATGCCCTTCATGGATTGTCTCATCCAGGTATCGCAGCCACATTACGTCTCATCGCTGCACGATACGTCTGGCCGTCCATGAATAAAGATGTTCGTATGTGGGTAAAGCAATGCTTACAGTGTCAACGATCAAAAGTGCACAGGCACGTAGCTACCCCCATTGGCACGTTCGCTACGCCTGATGCTCGCTTTGATCACGTTCATATAGACATTGTAGGACCATTGCCACCATCGCATGGGTATGATCACATACTCACGTGTATCGACCGTTTTACAAGATGGCCCGAAGCTATTCCCATCACGTCTATCACGGCGGAGACAGTTGCTCACCGCTTCGTAGAACGATGGATAGCATTGTACGGTTGTCCCTCGACTGTCACGACTGACCGAGGACAACAATTTGAGTCCGCATTATTCTCCTCACTGACCCGGCTGCTTGGTACGGAACGCATACGCACTACCGCCTACCATCCAGCATCGAATGGTTTAGTCGAACGGTTTCATCGCCAACTCAGAAGTGCTCTCCGAGCACACGAAAACGACAATTGGTACGAAACCTTACCGCTCGTTCTCTTAGGCATCAGAACGAGTTTGAAGGCAGATATTCAATGTTCCGCCGCTGAACTTGTATACGGCACGACATTGCGTCTGCCTGGGGAATTCTTCACACCACGGAGCAGTAAGGATTTCGGTAAATCAGACTACGTCCATCGACTGTCTGCATTTATGCGAACGCTGTCTCCGGTGTCAACTCGAATACAACATCGACAGGTCGCTCTCCCTCGAGAGTTATCTACCTGTTCACATGTTTTCATACGAGTAGATTCGGTACGCAAACCTTTGCAACAACCTTACGAAGGACCTTTTCACGTGATCTCTCGTCACGAAAAGACCTTCAAGGTTGATCGACACGGCCGCGTCGAGATCGTCAGCATTGATCGTCTCAAACCAGCACACGTCGATGACAGTGCACTACTCGATAACTTGAGACTCAATGCTAGACCTATCAAACCTTCTAGCGGGATCTCTACGTCTACCTCGGATCCCACGCTAGATACATCAGAGACCTCGTTCTCACGTCCCGGTCAACAGCACGCGTCATCTGCACCATCTACGGACGAGACTTCCGTCTCACGTCCAGATCGGCAGACCACGCCGCCCTTGACCTCGGATGAGATCGCAGGCTCACGAAGCACGAACGAGACTACCGTCTCACGTTCCGGTCGCCGAGTACGATTACCCGTACGCTTTCGCGACTAAACGCACAGTCAATAACATACGGTGTAGGATTATTCCTATACTACACGCATGCTACACTTTTCTTTTTTTGATTTTTTTCTGTATCCTAAGCCCACGCCACCGACCATCGCCCATTTGATAACGTCGACTTCAGTCAACTTTGGCGAAAGCTGGTTTGGCCACCCACGCTCTAGTCAACGCACTCAGTCGATTATCTGGTCTCGAATCCGCCTGGCATATGCTTGGTAGTTATGGTCGCGTCCGGTTTCTTGGCTCAACGTGGTTTCGTCCTACGTCTGCAGCGTTTTCTGGTCCGCATCCATACGAACGCAATCATCAGATCCTGGATACAAACCACTCTGGTGTGGTATGCTAACTCGACCAACAAATACAGCACACTTCTCCTGGTACCGTTCTGCGCAAAATACTTTCGTTGGCAACTCGAGGATCAATGATCACTTCCTGTTCCGCCAATTTCCTCCGTCCTACAACCGCAATTCTGCCGATCAGTCCCAAGAATCAAACCGCTCACTATCGAAAGTGTAAACCCTTTCTAGCGGGGGGCTCCTGTAGTGACCTACTTTTGTCAACAGAACGCGATTGGATCGATGAAAACAATTATTATTATAACCAATTGTACCAGTGACTGTTTTACTGTGCTCGTTTGTTTAACTGTGCTAATAACAGCCATTTTTTGGGCCTCCATTGTATTCCATTGCTTTTACGCGGTTTTTGGACTACGCACGTATCTTATCTTGCCGATCGCAACTGTACTCCTTTGGCACGATCTCGGTATTCTTTCGATACCACGAGATCGCCAACAAATATATACGACTACTACAATCATCTGCCTTCTGATATTTTGGCCTTTCGGAATCTTATTGGTTAATTGGCAAGTAGTCTGGTAGCGGTGTTCATAGTTCAGCTCAACTCGACACCACGCTACACAGGCATAAATATAAATTGTTCAGCGTGACTTGAATTATCCAGTATAAACTAGAGAAGAATTAATATCGCAAACAAAGAATTAGGTCCACATAGATTTTACTTGTACATGGTTTCGGTTAACACTCATAGCCTCTTACAAACGAAGGATATACATGTCGTTGTCTAATAGTTCTAACGTGATATTAACTTATAAAAAGTCAGTTGACTGAAAATCAAAGGTTGGAAAGACTACCTCTCTCTGAATGCAGTGAATTCGGGGCGGTTTTCGAAGTCCATCGTGTCATTGTGCAATGCAATGTATATAAAACTCAATAGACAAAATTTTTTGATGTTGCTTTTTGCAAGGATTTTGCAATTATACACCAAAATAAAGAAACCCAAATATATTCATAACAATATCTAATGATACTTCCGACCTAATTGCTGCGAATAGCCAGTCTATACAATCTCTATAAAGATTTTCCAACGGATAGGTTTTATGGTGTGATGACGAAATTTATATATTTGAAACAATTGAGACGTGTTAGATAAATAATTGGTTCGTCTGTCAAGTCTCCTCATTAGTTAAAACAGACAATTGGTGACAACTATTTGACAACTACGTGAAACTAACCAATGCAGCCACTATAAGGAACGCGACTCCTGGTAATTTTATGGATTGTGGAGGGCACTCATAAAGTCAAAATCGAATGTTGTTATGCGTTCTTGTGTTAATCCAAATCCAAAACCACATAGCACTCGAGTAGTGATCTGGTAAGGCCACTATTGAAATTATAGAAACTCACGTGCAATTGAGTCTGTTCTAATTTAATTCGGTTAAGCCCTTTTGTTAACTTGTTTAGCGGACTAAGTCATCTGTACTATAACAACTTACTGTACATTTATTATTGTAATGCTTGTATAAAACATGTATACTTGAACATTGTCTACCGCCTGCGCATATATTCATCCTGCTGGCTTTATTATTAGCTGCTTAATCGATTCGATAATCCTTTCATTTTCCCATATATATATTTAGCACTTTACTCTCGCGGTTTGCTGACTCAGATCCTAGCCGTCGGAGATACGAACGCTGATATAGACAACATAGGAAAAATAGCCGATAGAATATATGAAAGAACCAAGCAAACAAGCCCACCGTTACACAACGTGACGGTAGATGATAGAATTAGCACTCTACAGAAGGAGGCAGATGTTTTGTGTCACAAGCTCACAGAATTAACCCAAAGCGAAAGGCCGCGAAGATCGCTCGCGCAATAGAAACCGATCAGCTTCTAGACGGCGCACAGCTCTATTGATATGCTAGGAAGTGTTTACAATCTTGTAGATTTAGCATAACAGATAAGCGAAACCCACGATTGTCAATGGCGACGGCAACAACGAACGTGCCTGAAAATAGTCGCCTGTTTTATACACAAGACCGAACAACAGGCGCTCAATTCTTAGTTGATACTGGAGCGGAAATCAGCGTAGTACCTCCAGTAAGGGATGAGTGAAGAAACCTTTATGCGTCATTAGTGCTAATAGCAGCGAACAAATCAGATATTGAGACATACGGAAACGAAAGTTGTCCCTAGATTTCGGACGAGGCACTTCATACAGCTGGGAATTTGCCATAACAGATGTAACAGTGCCCATAATAGGCATCGTTTTTTATGTAACTTTAATCTGCTAGTAGACACGCGGCGTCACAGACTTATAAATGGTAGTCACTCCACTTCGATAAGAGGAACACTTACGGAAGCCGTTTCCATGAATCTAGTGATGGATAAAAGCCGCGGTGATCCATAAAAATTGTTTTAAAAAATTTCCTGAACTCGCGAAAGTACCGTACAATAAGGCAGTTCTCAAACACTATTCAGCACCATATCATAACGAATGGGCCAACAATTAATCCAAGACCAAGAAGATTAGATCCCAAAAGTCTAACAATTGCAAAACAGGAATTCGACAAGTTGATGAGGTCGGGTATTATAAGGCCTTCGAACAGCCCGTGCGCATCCCCATTACATATGGCCCCGAAAAAGAATGGAGAAGTTAGGCCATGTGGAGACTACCGATCACTGTAAAAGCAAACAGAAGCCGATAGACATCCTATACCTCATATCCACGATTTTCTCTACGGTATAGAAGGCGCTACTATCTTCTCGAAGATCGACTTAGTTAGAGCATACTATACCATTCCTGTTGCTCCATACGACAAACCAAAGATAGCGGTAACGACCCCATTTGGGCTGTATGAATTTCTACGCATGCCTTTTCGGACTGACTAACGCGGCACAAACCATTCAGCGGTTTATCGACCAGGTCATCAGAGGTTTACCTGGAGTATACGCATATATCGATGACTTACTAGTAGTCAGCGCCACTAAGGATGAACATATACAACAGTTATGACAATTATTCATGCGACTGAGAGAACATGGCATTTCCGTAAACTTTGAGAAGTGTGAATTTGCAAAGGAATCATTAGGTCACATCGTAACTTCTCAAGGCATTACACCAATAGTAACAGAAGTCGATGCCATCAGAAATTATCCGCTACCCGACTCATGGAACAGGTTACGACGATTTCTCGGGTTGGTAAATTATTACAGACGATTTATTCCGAATTGTGCGGCAATATTGCAACCATTAACGGATGCGCTACGGGAACACGCCTGTCCATTCCATTTATCACCAGAGGCGTTACAAGCATTCGGACACGCCGAAAACGCACTAAAAAAGGAACGACGAAGGAGCGAAACACCATTAGTTATCATGATTGGCGCATCGGATGTCGCAGTAGTAGCCGTTTTGCAGCAGTTAGTAAATGGCACATGGGAACCGCTCTCATTTCTTTCGAAAAGGCTGAATCCTACACAAACAAGATATGGTACATTTGGAAGAGAATTGATAGCAATTTACTTAGCAATAAAACATTTTCGTCATATGGTGGAAGGTATAAATTTCACCTTTTACACAGACCACAAACAACTTACGAAAGCATTAAGCGCAAAACAAGACAATTATTCCCCATGATAGATCCGACAGTTGGAATTCATTTCACAGTTCACTTCCTATATAAGATATATTAAAGGACTGACATTGTAGGATCCCTGACTGTTTCGAATGGGTACAATTAGGTTTTCACATGTGTAGTGCCGATAGGTAACCCTCGTGTTAATAATAGAAGAAACCCGACTAGTAGGAAAATAGGTCTTTATTTTGATCTTCGCGCAGTCACAGTGGAGCGTTGGATTCCTTACTCAGAAAAACAAAGCCTCTCAACATACAATATAAGATAGTTAGGAAATAACACCTATACAGAATAAAGAAGTGTATAAATATCTGAACTATGCTATTTTGACAAATGCTTAATTGCTTGAGGTCAAGTCTTAACCAATCGATCTAAACTGTTACATTAGCTTCCCCCTGGAATCGACTTCGGTAGGAACGTCGGTTCGATAACCTACCTATCAAAAGCATTTTAGTTCGATTTCCGCAGCCCAAGGGAGAATTATCAACTCGCTCACTGTGACTTCAAATCAATGACGAATAACTCCGTCGGTAATCGACGATAGTTCGTGGATGTCTCTTCATTTGCCAGCTTGCCATCTTATTTTGTAGCATGCAATTTTTTCTGCAACTAACGCTGACGGTTTGCTACGTGCTTGCAAGAGAGTGTGAGAAAACGGAACAAGAATGCCTGATGAAGTGCCGCGAGCGGGCTACCCAACACCATGTTGGTGAAGTACGATTTTTCCATGCTCTGTCCGGCCATCAGGTGTTTACTCACCTGCCTCTTGAGTCGCCCTCAAGTAAAAAGTAAAGAAGAGTCTACTTCAAAGGTAATGATGAAAATCAATAAAACTTGAAGAACTGCTCCACTGCCTGCATAAAATAATAAGGTACAAAATGGCAATACATAAATACAGTTGATAATTTTTCGGTTCCACGTAAGTCTTTTGCCTCCAGAAAGGATTGGTCGTCTGGGTTGCATTTTGAATTCGCCGTTACTGTCAGGGTTAGTTGTGTGGGTTCATAATACATGCTCACAGGGAATTTGTTCAACGTTTCCCTCCAGCTTTTGTTTAATTGTTTACTATTATTGGTAAAATCTAAGAAATTGTTTAGTTCAACAGGCGCAGCTTGTTCACATCACTCACCTTAGTTGGAGATTCGTCGTTTTCTGGTGTGACTTATCCCTTTTTATGATTTTGAGTACTATCACTCAGCAATTGTTTAGGAATACCTAGCTTATGTATCCAGTATTTAAAAAAAATTAACACACATACTCATATCAAAAGTAAAAGATATGGGGAGTTGTGGATAGTATAACATAGCAAACTAATATTTTTGAATGTTTTTGTTAGTTAAATAAAATAGGTGGGACGTTATGAGAAAAAAAATACTTTTAAATAAACGCAGGATCTTACTAGATATTCTGCAGCCAAAACTGTCAATATTCTTGACTGACTAATTGGATGTGCCCATCTAACCATTTTAGTCACTTGTAAAGTTTTGCCGTTTTTACATGTCGATTCCGCAATTGTTTTGTCAGGTAAGCGGTCTAACAACACGTACGGTGGTTCATGATCGAGACAAGCTGGTTTTAACCTATCAATACTTACGGAGTCCGTGTTTCCATGTCTTTCTGTCATGAAATATTTATCTTTTCTTGAGATGACTTTGGAAGGACCTTCAAATGGAGGGCTAAGCGGTGCTTTTATTTTGTCGCATCTTATCCAGACGTGCGTGCAATCACTTAGATCCTTAGGTATATATATGGCTCGCGAATGTTCACGAGTAATAATTGGCTTAAGTTTGGACATGTGGTCCCGTAGTTGATCTACGTAATTTTCTAAATGAAGTTTTTGACTGTCAGTATTAGAGTTAATAATTTCACCTGGTAGTCTCAGAGTTGTTCTGAAAACCACTTCCGCTGCTGAACACTGTGCGTCAGTTTTGACATATGTTCGTATTCCCAACATAACTAACGGCAGGAATTCTGTCCACTGACTAGGGTTTACGTGAGATATAAGAGCGGTCTTTAGCTGACGGGGAAAAAGTTCTACCATCCCATTAGCCTAAGGATGATATGCAGTACAACGTATCCTATTGGAGTCTAGAATTTTAGCCAGGTCAATGAATAGTTCGGGTTCAAATTGCACTCCCCTATCCGTCGTTATTGTTATGGGCGTACCAAAAATGGTTACCCAGTTCTGCATGAAAACCTTGGCTACTGTTTCCGCTGTGATGTCCGCTATCGGGATGGCTATAGGGAATCTGGTAAATCAATCTA